CCCCCCCCCCCCCCCCCCCCCCCCCCCCCCCCCCCCCCCCCCCCCCCCCCCCCCCTTTCGGTCGTCCGCCGGCGCTCGTCATGTAGAAAGGGTCGCGCCGGGCCTTGCCGATTTCCAGTCCTTTTTTTCTTTTGAGTTTGGTGGTGCGACGGCACTTGCGGGTGAAAAGGGCAAAAACGGCGTTGATCTTTTATGGGGGAGGGCGGTACATACATTCTTTTAACGGCAAGAGGCTCTCACCAGCTGATGCAAAAAAAGGCCGATCGTCGAGCACTTCCTTTGCACCGAGGCCTCGGCAGCCGAATCCCAAGAGGAGGGTTCGGGAGAGAAAAAGGCGCATTCGCTGTCGTACTCGGCTCCGCTCCGTAGCGTCCTGTGGCCCAAAGGAGCAAAGAGTCGAGGAGAATAAATAAAATCTCGCGGAGGCTAGTACCGCATGCAGTTGCGCGACAGTATGACGACACGGACCCTGCGCTGCACACGCACTCGGATCGCGGAACTGTCATGCCACTTTCCTGACGAAGCCCATCTCGAGGCTGACACATCGACCAGGCGATTAGTATTCACCGGCATCCGAGCGCTATATGATTTACTTGCGTGCCGCAATCTATTCTTAATTACAGAAATGCCTATATGGCGCACGTGCCGTCTTGCTATACGCCCTACTTCAGAACGCACGAGCTCCCGGACGCTCGGTGGTCAAATGACGCTTTCCTGATCTGGCATCTGTCCCCTGCGCAACCTCTCGCTAGGTCCTGACTTTCGGTCCCTCGCGAATGGATTCAATCACACGACCACTATTAGATGACTCGTATGGGCTACACGCAGAGCCAATCAGTAAAATATTGGATTTCCCTGATACAGTTCCATTGGTATAGAGAATACCCAACCACTCTGCAGTCCTAAACCTAACACTTAAGCCGTGTACGTCGTGTTTAATATATTTGGTTTTTATTTTGCATCTAAAAGCTTAAATGCTACTATAGAAATGTAGGCTTTACTATCGTTAGATTTTATAACGCTTAGAAGAAGGTAAATTTTAGTAAGAGAGTTGGACTTCAGAGTATTTTTTATACGAATGGGGTTGGGGTTTAGTATCTACCCCTTACTAATTGGTCCCTATAATTACAACATTTACAAGATATCACTTTTTTTTTATATCTAAATCACGAAGGCTATAGAAACGCCTGAGAGTATTACCACTTACCAGCAGTTAAATCACCAACTATACAATCATTCACACCACGGGCAGCGGGCAGCGGGAGTGACTACTAGCAACCTACACATCTCTGTAGCCTAGTAGTAAAATAGGCGGATTAGAGTCAATATTTTGTAGGGAATCGGAATTACAGACACGTACTGATTTCATCTACTTCTTATCCACCCTGGAATGATTTGGGGAAATCAACCAGATTCATATGCTCCACCACCGACATGACATTGGAAGCTCGAAAAACTCAAAGAGAAGCCATTGGCAGGCTCGAAAGACGAGTCATGACGCAACTACCCTTTTCGGCATTTGCTGGCCAGCTTTTTTTTCGCTTCGGGAACAAGAATGGCAGAGTAAAATGGACGGCCTACTTCCCCTCATTGTCGGTGCCAAGTACCGAGGATGCGGTGAGGCAGTAAGGCATCCTGAAGGACGAGGGCTGTTGGTGGCGCGGATGCTGGCTGACACCGAGGCCGAGTCCGAATAAGCCGATCGTACCACTTCTGTGAATAAATAAGATGCTCGCAAAAAGCAAGAGCCACCAAAGGAAGTGGCAATTGACACGAAACCGACTATGACTTCCCAAACGGCAACTGCGACTGCCCACGAGGCTCCTTCCGTGTTGGGACTGACCTCGTCATTTCCTTCAGCTCTTCCGCCCGACATCTTGTCCAAATTCCCCAAGCTCTCGTCGTCCCAAGCCGGCCACCTCCGCCACTTCCACAACCTCGCAGCGCAGCCCGATGGCGAATGGCGACACATGGGCAGCCAGGACCCCGGCCAAGAATGGCTGGACTCGTATCGCTACCAGCTGGCCACCATGGCCTACGCGGCGGGCGCCGCGCACTACCACCGGATGCCGGCGCTGCGTTCCGTCTTTAAGACGCTGATGGAGCAGCTGATCCACAAGATGCTACGGCGCGAGGTCTGGGGCTACTGGTATCTGACGAGCCAGAGCGGCAAGTTCGTCGATCCGGACATCAAAGAGCTGAGGAAGCCGTGGCCGGACCCGGTGACGCGCGAGAACATCATGTATTCCGGCCACCTCCTCCTCATGGTCTCGCTGCACGCCATGCTCTTTGATGACGACAAGTACGACGCTCCTGGCGCCCTGACGTTCCACTGGAATCCCATCTTCTGGGGCATGGGCCCGGAATCCTTCCCCTACAGCCGCTCCACCCTGCAAGACGCCATTCTCGCCGAGATGGAGCGCACGAGCTGGATGGGCGTATGCTGCGAGCCCAACTCCGTCTTCATCGTCTGCAACCAGTTCCCGCTGATCGCCATGCGCTACAACGACGTGCGTACCGGCAGCAACATCGTCGGCCCCGTTCTCGAAAAGTACATGGCCGCGTGGGCGTCGCGCAACGGTTTCGCCCAGGGCGAGGAGGCCGACGGCGGACTAATGGTCAATTGGTGGTCCCCAAAGCAGGACCGCTTCGTCCGCCTTCCAGCCTTCGGCATGACCGCTTGGGCTTGTGCCTTCATGAACGCCTGGAACTCGCGCTACGTGCACACTATGTCGCCTGTCTCCGCCCGCGGCTTCCTCTCCCCAACACCTGACGGACGCATCAACGTCAATTCTGTTCCACTTGCGAGCGAGATCCGCAGGCTCGTCAAAGAAGAAGGAGCGGACCCCGACTCGGCCGAGACCCTCCAGGCGGCGAGAGCGGGGGTGGCGGCCGCGGCCGAGAAGAAGGAGAGCGGAAAGGAGATGCCCGCTCCTCCATCGGCACCCGAGTTCGGCTACGCCGCCAAGTGGGCATCGGAAGTTGCGGGGCCGCAAACGCTGAATGGTCTGCTGAAGCACGCCGATGCTTTCATGCGCCCGTCGTGGGAGAATGGCGGACTGTACTACCCGCGCAGGGATGGCACACCTACGGATAACGAAGGGAACTGGGTCTTTACCGACCCATTCACTGGGAATGCGGCAATTGGGTACGCGCGGCTGAATGTGCCCGATGGCCAGAGAAAGATGTGGGAGGAGCCATGGGGAAAAGAACGGTTCGAGCGGGAGCCGTGGGTCGAAGGTGTGGGCCTAGGGAGCGGCGTGGATTTCTTGAGGGGCGCGTGGGATGAGGGCCTGGGCGCATTTGTTGTGACGATGAGATCGTGGGACGGAAGTGAAAAGAAGTAAGTGGCACCTTCACATCTGATGCGCTATTGTTCGACCTGGACGACTGACCTCCACGCAGAATCGATTTGAATGTCAGGAACCTGCCGGCAGGCTCGTACGGCATCTACCAGGGTGGGGAGCTGCTGCAGGTAAGGTCTGTCCAATCCGGTGATGCGGTTGACCTAGGTTTCCAGGTAGGCGGAGATGAGCTCGATGTGGTTTTGCTCAGGGTCAAGGGTACCAAGTCCTCGCTGTAAGAAGTGTTGAAGGTCAGCGGAGCAAAAGATGCGCGCCATTCAGCCATTTGATATTACTGCAAAAGTGGCCGAGCAGACAGTTATCTTCGACAAGCTATGCGGTAACAGTGAGGCTGCGATTTTTCAAGGTCCAGAACAACACGCAAATTCCGTACGTATTAAAAAGAACTAACGCCATTTTTTTTTTAATTCATGGTCTATTGCAGCAGATATCCAGAATGATACTATTTCTAAATATGTGTACGAATGCGTCTGGATAGAACTCCAGTTATCGTATAAGCAGGAGAATGTTTGGCAAGTAAACCTAGGTGAGTTATTACATCGTTCTGTCGTGAAGTGTTAAACTGGTTATGTTTTGATGTTGGGAAATCTATGGTATTCATATATTTATATCCTTTGAACTGAAAGTTGTAAAGAGTCTAGAAATATATAAGTACTATTACTTACAATTGTATTAATATAACCTACTACAATAACCAACTATAATCCGTAAAATCAACAACGTAATTACCTGTAGGGAGTAACTATTAACATCTAGCAGCGTTACAAGCAGGGCGAGAAATCACCGAAGACGCGACTACAAATCAATGACGCACAAGCAACTACTGCTTTAAAACACTAGTAGGGAAAGCGTATCAGCAACAGCGTAGTAACACGTAATTTCTAACATCATTGAAGAACGTGAAAGTGAATTGGCAATTTTCCTACATCAATCTTCATCACTGTTCCAGACAAAGGCTCACACCATGATAGACCACAGAAGCTCAAGGAGCAACAGGCACGAAAGTCCACATGTCCCACTTACCCCCGCGAAAACACGTCCGCCACCCTCGCAAAACCGCCTTCTCCCTCACCGATCCACAGCCCCACCCACCCAGCCTCCCTCTCCCTTCTCACTTCCTCCTCGCCCCAGTCCTCCTCCGCGGGCCTCTCCACGTACACCGTGCCCAACCCGCACGCCGCGGCGGCCTTCAAGTCGCCCAGGTGCGCCGCCACGAGCGCGCACTCTTCGGGACGGAGGCCGAGGCGGCGGGCGGCGCCCAGGTACGTCTTCGGGTGCGGCTTGTACGCGGCAAAGTCCTCGGCGCTGAAGATGTGGGCGAAGGGCAGGCGCGCGTGGGCCGTCAGGTCGCGCAGGAGGGCCGTGTTGCCGTTGCTGAGGGTGGCCGTGGCCAGACGACTCTCCTCCTTCGACGACGACGTGCCGCCGGCATGAGTCTTCTTCTCGTTCAGCGCCTCGATGCCGGCCGGAGAGTCTGGCCAGGGCGCGAGGCGGTGCCACACGAGGCTCAGCCGCTGCACCTGGGCGGGCGTCCACAGGCCGTCGAGCTGCCACCGCGCCAGGAGCTGCTGCAGCGAGTCGAGGTGGTGCTGGTCCACGCTCTTGAATTTCTCTGCCGGCTGCGCCTCGCCGCCGCCCGCAAGCTTCTCCGCCTCCTCGAGCGCCTTCGCGGCGCCGCGCACGAACGTCTTGTACTCGTTGCGCCACTCTTGCGCGAAGCGGGCCCAGTCGTCCCACGTCAGGTCCGTCGCGCGCAGGCGCACCGTCGTGGCGAGCGAGGCGGTGGGGTCGTTGAGCGTGGTGCGGGCCTGGTCGTAGAGCGCCGTCGTCACCGTTGAGCGCCAGTCGACGCACGTACCGAAGACGTCAAACAGCAAGGCACGGATCTTGGTGGTGTCGAGGGGAGCCATGTTCTTGTCACGTAGGGAGATGTCTTTTTTTCTTGAAAGATGATTGCTGTATTTGTGGGTATTTCGAGGCTTTGGTCGGATTTCAAGCTCCCAGTGTAAGCAAAGTCATTGCGGACGTCTGGAAGCACGCCCTTCGGCTATAGATGATGTCATCCTGGCTTCCCGCTTTGCCGACCGCCATTGCCGCGGCATCTTCCTGCCCTCCAGGAATGCATGTGTTTTTGCGGAAAACGATGCTGGCAAAAGCGTGATACTGGTCTTCAACAATACGGTGATCCTTCCCAAGCACATCCATTTCCCCCGATAGCTAGTGTCTACGCTTACTGAAGTTTGAGGTTGTCTTCGTTCAGCACACCATACAGCTGCTCGATGTCTTGTCCCAAGGACGCAATGTCCTGCGCGATTTGACCGGTGACCAACACTGTGCAAACACGTGAGATTAGCGAGAGCTCCTCGACCGATTCTGGATATTCTGAACTTACCGTACGCGTAGAGGAGCTCGTAATCCTCGTCCGTTGCCACGTCATCCGGGTCTCCGTTCTTCCTGAAGTCAAAGATCTTAGCTAACAGACGGTCGCGCGTGTGCTCTATGACCGGCAGCGCATCGTTCAACGGGTATTCGAGTTTCATTGACGAAGCCATGACTGATCGTCTCATTAGCAGCTTGAAGGAGGAGTCAGAGGGGTTGCCTTACCTGAGAACAAATGGCTGATACGCGACGAAAGCTGGATACGCTCATCCCTCGTGTACTTGAGGAGCGCCTGCTCGCCCTCCGATGATTTCACATCTTTGGAGATGACCACGTTCATCGCGTGGAAAGCGTCCAAAATGCGTCCGGTCGTCGCGAAGAGGCTACCGTACACCTTGCTCGGAAAAGGACCACTGAGCTCAAATTCAGACGCCGCCGACTTGCGAAGCGCTTCGAGATGATTCAAGAAACGCTGGAGCTTGATAGACTCGCGGATGTCGGCGAAAGAGGAAGCAGAAGCGCCGTCGAGGAGCGTCGAGAGGGGATCCCGCTTCCAAATCAATGCCATGCGCAGCCAGAGAACGCAGACGCCGTCCTTGACCTTTTGCCGGGCGCTGATGGGCCAAATGAGCCGGGTGACGACGATACCCCAGAGACATCCCACCATGACGGCGACGACACGGTGCTTTGCAATCTCAAAGATCTCCGGGCTCACTCCACCCTCGTCGTCATCGTCGTCATCGTCTTTGACGGACAGCGAGTAGGCGTACAGGGCAGACAGATTGTACGTCAGGAGGATAAAACGACCCATGGGGCCCTTTCCCTTCCCAACGATGATGTAAAAGCAGTACAGTGAAACCACCCACCCAAAGAATCCCAAGACCCACGGGTTGTCGTCGGACGCGATCCAGGCGACAATGGCGAAAACGGCACCGAGACAGGTACCGGAGAAACGCTGGTATCCAGTCGTGTTGGACGCTCCGATAGTCATGGAGCACACCAGCATGTACGACAACAGACCCCACTCGCCACGCCAGTGGCTGTAGGTCGGACGCGATTCCGCAATAAAGGACCACATGGCATATAATACGGCTCCGATGCCGACCTTGATGGCGTACTTGATGTCTTCTCTCCGCAGGAAAGCAGAAGAGCGGTAAATGCGGTAGAGCAGACGGGCCTTTCTACGGGGCATCTTGGCAGCCTGAGCGGCGTGACTAGGACGCCTAGCGATTTGAATGTCTTGAGATACACCTCGTGCGTGGTTTTGGTCCTTGATGTCGGGCGTTTCTTTGAGCTAGTTAGCACGACCGCCGGATGATATGTGTGGAGCGCCACCTACCAGGTCTGCTCTCGTCACCATCACCCTTCTTCTCTTTGCGCCAGAACCTGAGCCAGTTCCAGGTTCGCTTTCTGGGGCTGCGCTCGACGTTATCCTTCAACTCGTCCAGGACGTCGAGGTAGACGATCATCTCTTCGGCGCAGTCTTGAAGAGCAGAGCTGAAGTAACCACAGCTGGCGGCCACCTCCTCGTAGTCGGCGAGGACTTCGAGAGGCTTGGACCTACTCAAGCCACGGTTGGCGTACACGGCGTCCAGAGCCTCTTTCCTCGCCTTGACGAAAAGTTCCTTGGCTTCCATCAAGCTGCTGCGGAAGTTGCTGTTGACCGCTATCGTATAATCCGGGCCGGGGCCGTACGGCAGCTCGTCGAGCACTTCTTTCAGGGTGAAAGCCAGAGACTTCATCGAAGGGCCGAGGTAGGAGATGAACATGGTGAAGATGTCTGCGGGCGTATCCGCAGTGGCGAACCCGCTGATGGCGCCCGGAGTCGTTGTGGGAGAAATGGCGCGGCTTCCTTCGTCACTGGCTTCCTCGCCGGCCTCTTCAATGGCCGAAAGACCGCTGGCAGACACGCTGCTCAGGTTGGAGTGGCTGGGCTGCCTGTTGAAATAAGACTGGAAGTCGGTGGTGTTGACACGGGACAAAACGTCGGCAGAGTTGTTCCTGGTCAGCACGGGAGACGTGCCACCGCCGGGTGGCTTCGATATCAGGGAGAACTGAGTGAGCGCAGCTCCGCGGAGAGCCCCAATGTTCTGAGCGAGACGTTCCATACACTTAACCATGCGGGTCTCGATGTGGTATTCCTTTTCCGTCCCCAAGACGTAGTGTTCCTTTTTGGCCTCGCCGAGGTTTTTGGTCATGGAGCTGAATGTGGACTTGAACTTGCTCGAAGCCTCAACGTACTCGGGCTGCCTCATCTCCTCCTCGGCACCGAGCAAGAAGCTGCGGGTGATGTTGGCGAGCATGTCGCTGAGGACGTCGGTCGCCTTGCGCATGTCGTTCCGCAAATTATTCCTGGCAGAGACGGGCTTGATGAGCAAGCTGACGGCTGTGGTCGCCGTGATTCCCATGACCACCATCTTCAAGACTTGAACGATCTTGTTGTACGAAAAGGTCGCCGCCTGCACGGCGCCCTCCTTGGTGAGCACGGTGATCAGAGCGAGCGAGGCCAGAGAACACGCCACGTTGACCAGAGGGTTCCCCAGCCTCTGCTTGATCCAACCGATGAAGCCCAAGCCTCCGCCGCAGAACAGAATGAGCACAATGGCATGGCCCAGGACGAGCAGGTTGGCTTCGGCAAAGGCCATGGAGACACCCATACTAGAGAAGGAAATGGCCGTGGCGTAGAGGAAGGCCATGATTGCCAGCATGAAGGCCTCGATCATGCTGCCCGCAGAGCGAGCCGGGTGGAAGTAGACGGTGATTGTGGCGACCATGTGCTTGCCGTCATTGCGGCCTAGGAAATTGGACAAGACGGGCACGAAGGTGGCCAGGCTCCCCAGCACGTAGGCGATGGAGCATTTTAGCAAATTGACGCCCAGGGGCGAAGTTACGAAGCCGTACGCCCTCTTCGCGCCGTCGCGAACCCTCCCGCAGGTTCGGGCTACGGGACCTTGGTGTCTGGCAGGCGGCGCGGCATTGCTGCCGCCCAGCAGCGGAGTGGTATCATCGACGCCGTCGGCGGGCTCGGCGTCTGGAGAGCGGAGGGTGAAGGTGCGGCGCACACGCTCGCCGGTCTTGGGCAGGATCAGGGTAGCTTGCCGCAGCTATTCTCCGCAGATCAGCGACCGCACGGAGAGGCGGGGATGGTGGCACGAACCTTGGGGCGGAGGAAGCGGCGAGCGGAGACGGACGACTGCGACTGCGACGACGTCTGGGACTGCGAGGCGCCGTTCATGGTCGCTTCGCACGCTGCAGGCATCGACGGCAGGCGTGGTGTTGCAGAGTTCGCATGTCTGCGGGGGAAGACCAGGGCGGAATTGTGGAACTGGTCGAAAGGCGCGTTGGCATGCGGTCGGGATCACCGTGGACCTCCAGCTGACGCGGGAGCTTGTGCTTTTTGCCCTGGTGTTTGGCCCGATTTGCCGCCGCCGCCGCCAAAAACTATACACAACACAGCTCCCTCCTTCTGCATCTGCCCGCGCCCGCGCCCTCGCCTGCTCCTGTGCCACTCCAACCCCCCTTCGGCGGCAGCAGAACGCCTGCGCTGCGAGCCTGCCCAGCTGCGCGCGCGCGCACAACGTGACGGCCGCTGATCTCCAGCTTCACCTGACCACCACGCAAGCGCAACCATGGCCACCGAGCCCAACTCGAGCATGGATCCCGCCCGCGCCATGTACGCGACGCTGGGTCTCACCGGATTTGGTGCCGGCAACGGCCCCACCAGGAAGCGTAGGGTCGACGAGGCCTTTACCGAACTCAACTGCAATTCCTTCAACCCCGACGCCTCTGGCAGCAACTCGGTGCCTTTGGGGGTCCGCCGCAAGAGCGGCGATAGCGGCACGCCTGAGGCAAGCTCCTCCGCTCAAGAGGTCGCAAATCCTGCAGGTGCAGCCCCAGCCGCGACGTCCACACCGCTCGCCGCCACCTCGGCGAATCAGGATCCCAGCTCAGATGCCGCCGACCCGACCGCTGGCATGATGGCGAGCGATGCCAGGAAGTACTGGAAGAAGCTGAAGAAGGATCAAGAAGCTCCGCCCGCCTCTGGTCTGTCCGACTATCTCGCCTACGCCAAGTCACTTCCTGCACCGCCGGCTCGTCCCAGCAACGAAGCTTCTAGCAGCCACGAAGCTTCCAGCAGCCACGGTGGATACTTTCTGCCGAGTTTCGTTGAGGACCCGTGGAGCACCTTATTGGCTAGCCGCTCGTGATTCAAGCCGTTGGATCAAGTAGGAAGTCATATCACGTATGATTCCGCAGCACTTCGTCGCGGTCGTGTGTATCAGGCTTCGTCTGATGATCACTCTCGACCATCCAGAAAAATGGACAACTTCGAAAACTGGAGACTCAACCGTTGATACTTGAAGAGGTGAGCCTTCATTCCAGGATCGCAGCAAAAACACCAACTGCTATACTGAATTGGTGGCAGTCTCTAGGAAACATTCACATTGGCTACTAATGCGGCTCAATCGACTTGGCGTATCTGGATACCCTAACTCTGGTCATTGATTTTGGATTAAAAAAAACAAAATGTCACTGGATGATGGACGTAGATCTTTCAAGCCAACGACGCCTTAGCAAACTCAGTACAGACTCAATAAACACTTGTTCGAGGCCTGATGTAGGAGATTTTTTGATCTGAATGCGATCAATGTTGATCGTCAGTGGTAGCAAAAACCGTCCACCGAGTACCCACGTTGCAGTTAGAAGCTTTATCGACTGCACCATACATGCACATACATATGTCATATTCTCGGTCTTTTCTAGAGATGTGTATTCAATTTGAGGTAAAGACGACAGTCCGAGTTTCGCCATTGGGTAAAGCGCATGTCACAAACAGAAGGCACTAGGAGTCTAACCAAATAAGAAGCGACTTTGCCTTACATAGCACTGCAGCATCCGCCGTATCGGCTGAAGAAAGCCACCTCGCTGATTTGTGTTGGGAAGAGAAGCAGCCGGGAATACCTGCCGTCATAGAGCGGTACCGCCGCCGAAGGCTAGCACGAAGAATAGCAGAGTCCTGGAACATGGCACAACTATGCCTCAGTTCTGTTTGCCTTTTTTTTTAAAAAAAAAAAACAGCATACATGGGAAGTTAGAGCCATCGTCTAGATATAAGTGTGGCATTCGAAACCATACATTCTCATCCGGACGATGGCTTCAACTGCCCACGACATGAGCGAAAAACGAATCAACGCTGACCCTCGGCTACTATACCCCTCCGTATGTCCACCACCATCTCTATCTTGGGCTCTTGTGAACTCTGCAGCGATGCTACTCGCATCCACCAAAATCGCGACACCCAGATCCAATTCAATTATTTGACAGCATTCACGCCAGATGATGATCGAGTCTCAATCAAGAAAGCATTCACAATAGACGAGACCCAACACCCACCACTGCCTTACACGTGATGACGCGTCACCCCATCGTGCAGATGTTTCCAAGACGCGCGGGACACCACCACGCACGCACTCATCCACATTCCAAGCCACTCACCCCACACCCACAGCCACATCCGAACATGACCCGTACCGTCTCGCGCCGGCGTTCTCCCAGATCCATGGTAACCCGGGCACACCCCATCCTTTAGATTCAGCCCAAAACTGCCATATCAGGTAAGAACGGCCACCTCGACCGATCCTTGTTCGGTGCCCGTTCCGCACCTCAAACCCGCTCCGTGCCCAACATCCCACGAATGGTGGTCATCTCTACAAGGGGGACGCTCAAGCAGGGGGTCCTAGGCAGGGATGCTACTGGAGGCTGGCACTTCCACAATGCAAGGGAGATCACACATATCACGCATCACGCACATCGCATCGCGGTCACATTACCTGCTCTGCCCCGCGTGCACCGCCGCTCAATCAGGCAACGCCCGCGCCCCGAATCCAGTTCTTATTGGAGCGTGGTTACACCAGAAGGGCGGCGAGTTTCACGTCTGGATTGTGCTACCATCGTGGCCCTGGGGTGCCACCGCGCCCGAGCCGATGGGTGGATGGCTGGAGTGGAGCGAGGGGGAATGAGTAAGAGAGAGACCCAGCAGACGGGTAGACGGGCATTCAAGTGCCCCCCGGCCGGTCCAACAGGCGTCAACAGCCACTCACCTTACCTAGTCAGTCAGCGGATACCGGGAAATGGCTGCCGGTTGGGCCATTTGAGGACCCGGAGACCAGGGTGGGCTCGAGGCAAGGAGGGAAGAATGTCCCTCTGCATAAGCAAGTCACGACTGGCTGCCCCCAACGCCGCGCGTGCATAAAGTAAAGGTGAAGCGTGGCGGACAGCAAGTCAATCATTCACCTTCCACGTCGAGGGAAAGCGGGAACGACCATAACGGATTCATAAATGGCACAAGTACGGAATAGTAAGCAGACAGTTTCCTTAACGGTCCCGGGAAAAACGCGGAAAGAAAGCACGGAGATAGCCGCTCGCGGAGAAAGTCAGGTAGGCAATCGAATCGAAAGGCATGGGAGAGATAAGAGCCACCAGATGTAGGAAAATGCCGTACTGGAATTCAATTTGCCGCCAAAATGGAAATCAGGGTAGAAATATGACACCCAGTCAATCGCACGCACACAAAAAAGAAAAGGCCGGTGCCCGTTGCCCTGCCCGCGGGCACGTCTAGGGGCATGGGGTCATGCCCCCGGATCGTTTCAGAACCAGACGGCACAAAATGCCCTCTTGCCGCGCGGGAAAGGAAAAAGCAATGCCCGCAGCTGCGGGGTTAGCCTCTGGGGGCGCGGGAGGAAGAGCTGGCTTGTGCGCCTGCGTGTCAAGAGAAGAAACGTGCCGTGTGATTGTGGAGCGTGCCGTGCAGATTGCCCATGTGGGCGCGGACCGAGCCGCTGTGACGTTTCGTGCAGAAAAAGTGACAGGGTGCGGACTTGTAGGGCTGACCGCAGCAAAACGGCGAGCCACGCAACCGCACCCCCTCGAGTCGACCACCGTCGCTCCATGTCCGCCTCTGCCGCTGCTGTGCGCATGCAACGTGGATCCCGTCCGATCGGTCGGGAGTGAGGCAACCTCATGCAGGGGCCGCCGGGGCGTGCCTGAGCGTAAGGCGGACGTCGCGTCGTCGGGTGTACCGTGTCGAGGAGGCGAAATGATTGCAAATGAGAAGCTGAAGAGGTTGAAGTGAGTCTGAAGACGATCGCCGTCATGGTATCATTGTCGTGTCGTGAAATTCGAGGTTTGTGGTGTTTGTACAGAGGGTGTCGGTAAGTGGTTCGAAAACGACAGCAACGCTACTTTTTGTTGTATCGAGGTCCCAGGTCTATTGGCCGAGCGAGAAGAAGGAAACGGGAAGCAGGAAGAAAAAAAAAAGAGGCCGAACGCTTAGTAGTCGACAGGAGCGGGGTAGCGCTCCGACGCCCTCTTGTACTGGTCGGGGTATTTGCGGGCAGCGCGCTGGTTGATGGAGCTGTTCCCAAAGTCAGTTCCCGCTTATTTTCTCCGATTCGAGCACAACTTACGAGACACGCTTCTGCGTCCACTCGAGGTCGCGCTGCACCTCCTTTGCAGCCTTCATGCCGTCGGCAAAATTCCTCTGAGTCGCCGCAAGTCTCTCACGCGCAAGGGCTTGCAGCTGCATCAGTTCGCGCGTCTTGGCGTTGAGCTCTCCTGATCTGCGCGCCCAACGTGTCAGCATATTTTTTTCTGTCTCTTCTCGCGCTCGATTGATCGGCGTTTGCCGGTTCTGCACCCCGGATTTTCCAAGCTCGAAAAGACAACGGTCAAAACTCACGTTTGCGCTTGCTTCGCCAGACTGCGGTCCAAAGGCGTCGGGTCGAATGCTCCGTTCAGGCGCTCACCCATGTAATCCATGAGGTCAACGCTGGCGGCGCTGTCGCGGCCGCCAACCTCGTACTCGGACGCGGAGCCGGCATAGCTGCTGGATCCCGTGGCAGTGGGGTCGTAGGAAGTAGGACCGCCAGTGGTCACAGAATCGGCTGGCTCAGGAGGGGAGACAGACAGACGGCCATGGTGGCCGGTCTGCTGAGGAGGGTAGTAGGCCTCGGCGCCATGCCTCTTGTGGGGCATGTTGATGGGCGCGGAGCCACCGGCGTGGTAGGCAGGGTACGAGTAGTAGCCGGAAGACATGATTGAGAGGTGATGATGGTGTTGTACGAAGACAAGGATGAAGAGTGGGTTCAATCGAAGACTGTGTTTGCTTCCTGTTGGAACAGAGTGACAATGCTCGGGTAAGATGTGCTCTGGGCAATGGCAGCAAACGGGGGAAGAGTGAGCTTGAGAGAAAAAAGAGAATCAAGAGGAAGGCGTCCAAACCACACAATGGAGCCCTTTTTATACCCTTCAGACGGAGGGGAAGGGCCATCCCGGCCCAGAGCCAGACCATCACGCCGCCGGCCGTCCCGCAATGCCGTCGACGACCATGACAAGGTGGGCGGGAGGTGATTGGGGTGATCCGTGAGCCGTGATCATTCACACATGCGGGCCCCGCTTAGTGCGAAGGGTTGGCTGTGATGGAGCTGCATGGTCAGTCCTACGGAGCGGCCTATGAAAAGCCCTCTTTCCGCGCGCGTCCGGCGCAGCATCCCTCCCTCTGACATGAGAGGTACTGGGGATCAGGCCGTGTCTAGAAAAGCGCCGGCAGCGCAGAGCGAGGCTAGGTCAGGATCCTATGGCGGCCGGGGGCAATGGCGCGGCCAGACGCGGCAGCGGAAGCCCAGAGGGCACTGGAGGCATTGAGCTCGGGGCATGCCGGTAGGGAAGGGGCAGTGGCGAAAAGAGAGGGAGAGCAGGCAGCTTGGTCGGAGCTTGGTTGGCAGGAGTCAGGCTCTGCGGCGGCGCCGGGGCGTATCAGCGCGCGGGCGGGCAATCGGGCGCAGAGCGAGCGGCACTAGGCTCGGGCAGAGCTGGCTGCGGCGTGGGTGGAGGGGTCTGGCTGGGGTTCGCGGGCGGGCATCTTCGGTGGACGTCGTGGGTTGAGGCGGCGCCAAGGGCCCGGGCGAAAGCATGGCCGGCATCATGGTCCACCGCGGCTGCGCGAAGAAAAGCGTTGGCGGCGGGCGCGGGCGGCGGGCGGCCCAATTCGCGCTGGCGCAGCTGCAGAACGGCGAGCGCCTGCATGGTGGAGGGTGGTGCAGGTCGGCGCTGCTCTGCTGCGCTGTAAGAAGGTGATGCGTTGTCACTGTCGCGACGCCTGCAGTGGACGAGCAGCCGGACGGCGCTGCGACCTGGACGGCGGCCATTGGCCCCCTGCGCAGCCCTAGAAATGCTCGGGCAGAGGCGCAGAGTGGGGAGAACGGCTCAATTGACTGCGGCTTGACATGATTTTGCACCGTTCCCCTCGACAGCTGCGTCATCCGCTTGGGCTAGGCCCGAAGCGCTGCTGCCTGACTGCAGCGCGCATCCAGCGCAACTCATGTGCTCACGGCTCCCTGCACGCAATTCCCACGCCCGCAGCCGTCGTCTCTGGCGTGACCGCAGCCCGCTGCGCGCTGCCTCCATGGATCGGCGGCCAATGCCACCGCGCCGGCGCCCGAGCGCTGCTGCCCCGCCGTGCCCGCCGCTCACCACCACCTCACCACCACCATCATCGTGATCGCACGCTGCTAGCCAGGCACTGCCGCGCGCTGAATGGCGGTGAGCCGCGATCCGGCGTCGCGCTTCCTGTAACTAGCGCGCGCCCACTATCGACGGATGCGCGCTCCAGCAGGCCGCCCGTTGGACTCTCCTCCCCATGCCTGGCCTTGCGCTAGGGCTGTGTTTCGCCAGAGTAACGGCGCCTGGCCCAGGGATCCTCCTCCGCACGCCGCCATAGGAGCGCCGTCGCGTCTAGCGACGATTTTCCCTTTTCGCCTCCGGATTGCTGCAGACGGGCAAACGCCGCTGGTAACGTCACCCGTACAGGCGTTGCAGCCAGCAGCCTGGACATGAAACGGAGCCGTCCGTCAGCCGTCTCATCTCATCCCGCCAGAGAAGCGTGTTGCCCGGCACTCAGGTCCAGCCCCAGCAGCAATGCTGTGCGACCGGCCGCCAACCTGTCAAAACATGCCCATGTGAGCATCGCGTGGTCAATTCGATACCCGGTGCGCCGTTGCACTGCGTTTGCGAGCGCTGCCATCCATTGATCTTGCGTATCTTCTATCCCAACGGCCCTGCAGCACGCATGCCGTGCATTACCTGCCCGCCCCCCCTTTCCGTTCCATCTCCGATCTCCGTTCATGCAAACGAGCGTGCGGCAATGGCCTGCGACATGACCGCTGCGAACCGTCCGGCCATGTCCTGCGGGTCCTGCTTGGCCGTCTCGATGCCCGTCAGAATCTTCTTGATTCCGACCCCGACCTCTGAGCTGCCAGTCGTGGACTGGATCTCGCTGATCGCGCTCGCTACCTGGTCGCTGCTCGGGAACGCACGCGACTCCTCCAAGATGAACCCCAGCTCGCGCTGGCTGTTGACGTTCGGCACCGGGATCTCTGCGTCGAACCGGCTGAACAGGTCGAGCTGCTGCAGCACCGACCGCTCGGTCGTCGTGGCGAGAATGAGCAGCCGCCGGCCCTGTAATCCTGCCGTCAGCAATACACACACAACATATGAAAATCCCGCGTGCGTCACGTACCTTTGGTGGCTGCTTTCCGAGCAACACCTTCAGGGCCACGAGAACCGTGTTGCTGAACCGCGGTCCGATCGGCACCCAATCAACGAGCAGCTCGATGTTGTCGATGACCACCACGCTCATCGGGCTCTTGTAAGCATCTCGGAACGTCTTGTCCAGCAGCTGCACCTTCTGCATCTCGCCGTACCCGACCATGTCCTCGGGACTGATCAGTTTGATGAAGGGGAATTCGGACTTCATGGCCAGTTCCGCCGCCAGCGCCGTCTTGCCGCTTCCGGGCGGGCCATGCAGCACGACAGACAGGAGCGGCGACCCGCCCTTCCGGACCTGATTAATGTAGAGATTGCCCTCGTCCAAAATGGAGTTGATCGTCGGCGAGAAGTGGATTATGCCGCCCCTAATGCACTTCTCGAGCTCCTCTTCGGCAACGCCGAACAGGGGACGCACCTCCTCGAGTGCATTCAGAAAGTCCACGCGCTTGACCTTCATGTTGACAACGTCGTCCTGGACGGTCGCCATTGTTCCCACCTTGATGTGCCTGCTGAAGGCGAACGACGACGCCGCCTTGACCAATCCGGTAATCTCGGCACCTGAGTAGTTCTTGGTCAACTTTGCCAGCTCGGCAACGTCGACGTCGTCTTCCAAGACCCCGTTGTTGCGCATCTTGGACGTGTGGATGTTTAGAATCTGCTGACGGCCGTGCTCATCGGGCAGGGAAATCTCCATGTGCAGCTCGAGACGCCCGGGACGCAGAAGGGCCTCGTCGATCATGTCCATGCGGTTGGTCATGCCGATGAGGAGGATGTTGTTCAGCTGCTCGACACCGTCGAGCTTCGACAGCAGCTGGTTGACGACGCTGTCGCCGACGCCGGTACCACCGCCGGCCCCGCTGCCTCTCTGCTTGCAGACGGCATCCAACTCGTCGAAGATGATGATGTGGAGCTCGCTCTCGTCGCCCTTCTCCTTCTGCTCCTTCTCCGCGTCGGCGAACAGCTTACGGATGTTCTCTTCCGACTGACCGACGAACTTGTTCAGCACCTCGGGGCCGTTGATGACCTTGGGCTCCCTCGCATTAAGCATCTTGCCGATCTGGCGCGCGATCAGCGTCTTTCCGGTACCGGGCGGGCCGTGTAACAGTATGCCGCGAATGTGCTGGATGCCGAGCTTGTCAACGAGGCCGGGCGGGAAGATACGGGAAGCGAAAGCTCTTCGGAAAATGGCGCTGAACTCTTCGTCCAGACCGCCAATGCCCATGTCCTCGAACTTGAAGCCGGGTTGCACGATCGAGTTGGCCGCCGGCCTGCGAGACGAGCCCTTGAGCTTGAGCTCGGACTGCGCGCTCTTGAAAAAATCGACCTGGGTCTGGCGGGTCAGGATGCCACGGGCGCGGGGGTCCGAGATGGGCGGCGTATCTGTGTTGGCCTTCTCCATCGTCAGATCCGCGAGGCGGACCGCGCGAATGACTAGGGTGAGAGGGATGTTCTTGTGGTCCATGAGGAGCTGCTGGCCAGGCGCCAGGATTTGGTTCTCAAAATTCCTCGTGAAAAATTGGCCGAGCTCGTCCTGGTCGTAGGGCACCTCCGTGGTCTTACGTCCGGCAAAGCCGACCTCCACGTCCACGGATGCCAGGTAGGCGCCGCCGCCCTCGCCAAAGTGGTCGTAATTCTGAACCATGACGATGTCGTGAGGACCGAGACTGACGCCTGCCCACGTACGCTGCCTGTCCGTCAGGCCAATCTCGCCGGGCATGCAGGTCTCGGTGGGCCTCGCGGAAAGCACGTAGTTTCCATTAACCAGAATGTAAATATCGTGACCGTCGGGGGAGGGCGGGAAGTCGGCACGCGAGACGGCGACACTATGTTCTTTGTCAGGGTCGGGCCGTAGATTGCGAGCGCAGAGCATTGGACTCACACGTTACCGAAAGCATACGCGTTTCCGCCGGGGCTCTTCACGGGCTTCAGCTGGATCTGGCGACCGCCGCGACCGCCGCCGCCAGGGGCCGGCCCGGGAGCCGGTCTCCTCGCGGGCACCTGTTGCGCGGGAGGATAGCCACCTCCGGGCGGTCCTTGCCGGGGGTCATAGCCGGGCGGCGGATGCTGCTGGCCGGGGGGCGGTCCGTATCCATCTCTCCGAGGTGCTCCAGCGTCAGGCCTGCTCCCGAACGGGAGGTTGCCGCGGTTAAACATGATCGGGAATGGCTTTGCTGGCGGATTCGCTGGTGAGGTGTGCGGTCTGTATATACGCGTGGATGATGTGTTGCCACGTTTACGAAAAGTCGAGGCAGCAGTATTTACGGTCAGCTGGAATCGTCCGGTTCAGGCGATCGAACGACGGTATGGGAGCGCCGTGCGCGGGCTTGCGAAATAACGACGTATGCCGGAACGAAGTTCGGCGATTCTCGAGGAGGGATTGGAATAGGAGCGTGTTTTTGTTCGGAGGTTCAAGACGTGCGACGAAAGGGGATCTGCCACTGCGAACGTCACAGCCCACTTGGGAGCTCGGGCCACATTTTGGGCTGCCAGCCTTATGATTCGCGCCTCCCCCACCAGGGTCTGAAGTCCGCACCTGTCCCGCCTTTCTCCACTCGCCACGCGCCTTATCCGCCGAGTAATCGCGGAAAATATTAGAGGCGGCTGAAGGAGTTTATGGCGAGTGGAGAACGATCCATGCACGTCCGGCGCACTGCAGTGGACGCAAGCGTCTGTACTACCCTCGAGATTAGGACTAGAGCTGAAAGACGGACTTTGGGTGGAAGGTGCAGGAGGTCAGCAAGACTCGAAGATTTTTTAGTACAGCGCTGCGATATTATCATCTGCTGACATCTTCACGGGTGCTTTATTATGCTTGTTGTGGTCATATTTGCGCAACTGTTACGCGTCGTGTTACGCCTGACGATCAAAGTGCAGCTCAACTTACAGGGGGGTAAGCTGACGGCTGGCGTGAATTTATTTTTCGCTCATACCATGTGCAGTTGAAGCTATCATCCGGATGTAAATGTAGATTTAATAATTATACATCCACGTCCGGACGATAACTTTAACTACCCATACATGTTCTTTTTTCCATCGTGGGGGAACAAAAAAAGAAGAGCTAAGGCATACAGTCCCCTCTTACAGCCGATGGCTAGCGTGGATTTTTGCTCATGTCATGGGTAGTTGAAGCTATCGTCCGGACGTGAATGTTTAATTATTAATTCCACATTTACATCCGGACGATAGCTTCAACGACCCATATTTGTTCTTTTTTTTTTTTAAAAAAAAAAGGACAGAAGCATACTCACGCCATGTTGCAGGGCCCTGCTATTCTTCGCGCTAGCCATCGGCAGCAGCGCCCCTCTGTACGCATCAGTCTCGGCTTGAATTCCAAGCGCTTTTCATCCCCCCAATCTTACATCCTAACATGTGGATACTTAACGAGCATCCCCGATGACTAATCGGTCGGCAGGGGTCTCTATAGGCTACCAGGGCAGAATGACTGGCACCAATGTGGTGGAAATGGACCCGGAACAACAAGCTAGGCAGCACTACCAGGCGAATATAAAACGTACAGTCTTCTATTAATAAGGCAAATTCCTCTTTAGCTGCAGCCGATGACCTGCCACGGCCAACTCATGTAAACCTTGCAGGTAGTTCTTCGGCAAAGGCAGCAAGACAAGAAGGAAAACGAGGGTACAGTCAGTGGAGAAGTGAAGAGCAACGATAGCAAAGTTGCGAAGTTACTAGTGGCTCAAATCGTGGACGACACTATAGTAGGTCCTAAAGAAATTTTCTTTATAGTAATATGTAAGAAAAGTACTAAAATATAGTGTGGAAACTAGTGGCCAGATCTTTTCTCATTTTTTTTATTCACTAGTTCTAGATTTACTGGGAGAATTGCTTAATCCATGATATGAGCTTAGATGCTCGTGGAAATAAATATCATGGCCCTAACCTCTTCACTTGAATGGAATCTCTCAAACTGCTGGATACTAACGAAAGCGAGGTGAAAAAACTCCGAGCAACTGCTCTGGTAATATCAGTGCGTCCCGAAACAAGGATCGCGCACCATCATAGGAGGCTCGTTCCGACATTACGGAATCGCTTTTGGTGTTTTCCAGCGGCCACGACTATTCCGGATGACCAAAGGCGGATGATCGACGTGCCAAGACGCACTAGCGCCCACTTCCTTCCGCCAAATCTTCCACCCGACCGTCGTCCACGCACATCCTACCTGGCGACACCCACGTCTCCCATCCGACCGGACGCGAAGCTTCAAGCTCCGCCATCCACCGCAATAATGGGAAACACGTCCTCGCAGGTCCAGGACGAAGCGCCTGACGCCTCGCAGCGATCGGGTCCGCTGGATCCTTCCACAAACAGAAACGGTACGAGCTAGGTAACCCAGCGCGCACTTTTCGCGACGCGTCGCAGGTGCTACCGACGATTTTGCTACAACGCTGCTAACGCCAACATACAGAAGACGACGCCGCTGCCTCGTCTCAGCTAGTTTCTGAGGTTCACACTGCCGCCGTTCCCACATTCGAGAAGGAGGGCAAAGAAAAGAAAAGCAAGAAAAACAAGAAACGAAAGAGCCTAGAAGCGACATCGGACGCCCACACCGACGAGCAAGGAACTTCCGCCCCGCAGGCCGACGAAGATGCTCCCGGAGCGGGCAATGCTGCGGCAGCAGATCCGAAGGAGAGCAGCAGTGCTGTTCAGAATGCCAAATCCCAAGCAGACGAGCAGCCGCCTAGAGAATCTCGGAGGAAGAGGAAGGACAAGAACGCCGTACCCGCCGACGCCCCCGCAACCACCGACGACACCGTAGAATCGACCAAAGCGGAGCCTGCTGAAGGGGACAAGGCGGCGCACAAGAAACGCAAGAGGAGATCGGAGGGCACTGCGTCTCACGCCACGACGGACACGCCCCAACCCGCAGCAGCTGCTCAAGCAGATCCCACGCCCGCTGAAGATGGCCAAAGCGCCGAGGACCTCTCTCGCAAGAAGCAGAAGAAGTCAACTCGATCTGCAGCCGCGCCGGCTCAGGTCAAGAACACACCTATTCCCATCCCAACATTCAACCCCCCGGTGACCAGACAGCAGGAGAGCATCCCTATCAGGAAGAGCAAGAGGAAGGCAGACGCCGCCGAAGCAGCCAAGAATGTGCGGGCGGAAAAATCTCCTGTTCAGGCTGCGCCTGTCAAGGATAAACGCTCCAACACCGCCGACGGCCAGGCCCCGAAAAATACCGAAAAGAAGCAGAGGAAATCAAGGAAAGCTCAACAAGATGCTGCTGTCGCCAGTGCTAACCGCGAATTCCCACCTCAGCCGAGCATGAACTCGGTTGAGCTCTCTGTCATCGACCCAGCCTTACTCCCGCCTGCTCAGCAACAAACGTCAGTCGAGCCCCCGGCTCAGAACACCCTGGAAGAGACATCAGGTCGCAAGAAGTCCCGGAAATCCGCAAAGTCACAAGCTGATGCCACTACCCCAATGGCCCAGGGGATCGCTGTGGCGGACGCGCTTCTCGAGACACAGGCTCCTGGCGCGGCGAACGGCGTCAATGGCAATGCCCATGGGACCGAGGTGACCGGCGAGAAAGCTTACATTGATCACCAGAAGAAGAAGCAGAAGCGCAAGCGCCAGGGCGACGAGGCTGCCGCCGCACAAACGGCCCAACAACCCGATAGCGCCGAGCCGAAGTCCAAGAAACGCAAGAAGGCTTCCGAGAAGGATGCGGGCACGAAGGGCGGGTCCGCTGCTGCGAGCGCCAAGGGCGCCAAACCCCAAGGAACCGAAGACTTTCCATCGTCCGGACCGTATACCAAAAAGGAAGTTGAAACGTTGACGCGTGCGATCGAGGCGTATCGCGAGTACAACGACCTCAGCCAAGCCCAAGTCAACGACATTGTCCAGGCTGGCGTCTTCAACGAAGTGCACAGCAAGTCTTGCAAGGAATTCTGGGACGAGATTTGCCCGTGCCTCCCGAACCGCTGGTCGCGCGAGACGATCATCAAGTTTGTCCGTCGCAAATGGCACAACTTTGATAAGCGCGGCAAGTGGGACCCCGAAGAGGATCAGATGCTGAGGATGGCGTACGCAAAGACGCCGGGTCAATGGACGAAGATTGGCGAAGCGGTCGGCCGTTTCGCGGATGACTGCAGGGACAGGTGGCGGAACTACCTCTCTTGTAGTGAGACCATGGCGAGCAAGAGGTGGCACGATAGTGAAGTCAACGAACTTCTCAACGTCGTCCAGGACTGTCTCAACACGCTGCTCGAGAGACTACCGGAAGACAAGAAGAATTACTGGCGCGAAGAGCTGCAGTCGACCGAGCAGAGGGGGATCTGGAGGCCCGATGAGATTCGCAATCTCGTTCGCAAGATGCCCGACTGCATGGACGCGTTGCGCACCGCGTTTGAGGAGAAGCACCCGCGCGAGAGCAAGCAGAAACGCGCCACGGAGAAGCGCCGGGGCTCGAGTGCCACTGATGGCTCCGTAGTCATCAACTGGGACCTTGTCAGCGAGAAGATGGGCAAGAAGCGCAGTCGCCTGCAGATCATGTCTAAGTGGAAGGCTCTAGAGCATTCGTATAGCCAAGACCCCAAGGAGACGTTCTTCACCGAGGCCAATCACTGGCGCGTCGAGAACGGCCAGAAGTGGGCGGAGCAGATGCTGCCTGGCGACAAGTACAACATTGTGCGCGCGATGATGGACCTCGGCCTCACGAACGAGGAGCGCATCATCTGGAACAGCGTCGCACACCACGAGCTGGTGAAGCTCAAGTGGGCTCATCAAGCCAAGATGACTTTTTTGAGCATGAAGGAGCTCGTTCCGCCGCAGGAGAGCCTACCCCAGCTGCTGCAGTCCCTCAAGGACTACTTCGAGTTCAACCACGGCAGCGAGCTGGACAGCCACTGGCGGTACGAAGGCAGACCTGGCAGGGGATCGCTAAAGTCGGTGACGAAGAGCCCTGGACCTCTTGACTGGCGCGGTCACATGCGAGGAGAGTCCTCGTACAAATCCAGCGCGCGGGTCACCGATGACGACGAAGACGGGATGGAATAGCTGGGACTACCTTCTCTAGCAGGTATCACGAGCCTATCGTTTCCGGTCCGGATGGAGAAAATGAAAAGGATCCGATCGTTACCAATTTCAAGGGATCTCAACGGGTCCCGCGTTGAATTCGTTATCGATTTAAAAAAAAGAGAGAGAGAAAGAAAGGGAAAAAAAAAAAGTAAACCGAGGTTACTGGGCATGTCTATCGTTGAAAAGGGGGGCGTGGACTTGGCGACCTACTCTGATATGGACAGTGTCAAACGAGGCGTATCCGTAGCTGATAGTTGGCTTTTCAATCCACTTGTCGTTACTATAGGTTGTGTGTAAGGTCTCGAGAAAGGGATTCGATGGCGTTGAAGTGCTAGCCGTACACATTGGCTCGAAGCAATTAACGGATCACCCGCACGGAGGGATGCGGAAAGCGGACAAGATGACAGAAAAGAGGCATTTGGCCAAAAAGGGCATCAGCACGTGGCACCGGCACACCAATATGTGGGTGGAAATCCCCGGTGCGCCGGGCGCTTACGGCGACACAGACGAGGACGAACTGCTGCCGGGATTTAACCGCATGAGGAAGGTCAAGGCATACCACACAAGGGGCGGGAAGCGGTTTCTTCATTCACTCGCTCACCCGCGCCTCGGCGGCCGCAGAGCAGGCAGAGCCATCTTCACCGACGTACAGTCCGACTTTGCCGACAGTTGGACACTTGATCGAGGTCCGATGCATTAACCAGGGTTTCTATTAACGCCGAAGCGGCGGATTCGAGCCAATGGCGATCGACGTGCGAGCCACGTACTGCATCGTACTATAAAAGCAACCCATGCCTCCTCGCTTAGCAATGCGCCACAGTCGCCAGCCATGAGTAGCGGGCATTCGGCGGATGGGCTGGGAGTGGAAAGGTGAGCGGGAGGGTTAGGCGGAGATGGGTAAAAGATTGGCAGGGACCATGCGACACACGTACAACAATATGCATGCGATTGACGCGGGTGACTTGGTGTGTCGTGAACAGGCCATGAGCCACTAGTTGACCTCGTTCTCGAACGTGGGGATGTGCGGGTGTATAAAAGCTTGGTATCGCACTCTATATTCCCTCTGCCTCCATCCTAGGAACGCATTTACGCGAGCTTGCCATCGAACATGCTGTCGTCATCCTTCCTCTGGGCCGCGCTCTCCGTGGCGAGCGTCGTTTCCGCCGCGCCGGTGGATGTTCTCGAGAAGCGCGCCGTCATCGCCCACGACGCTGTCGTCGGCTTTGCACAGACGGTCCCGAGCGGCACGTTGGGCGAGCTGTATCTCAAGTACAAGCCTTACCTCTACGTGGTGAACGGATGCGTGCCCTTCCCGGCTGTGGACGCCGAGGGCAACACGAGGTGAGTTTGACGTCCGTTGTGGGATATTCCGAGGAGAAAAGAGCTGGATCAATCCTTTATAAACGAGAGAAACACAAACCGAATTGCTCGACACCTGTTGACGACTCGTATAGCGGTGGCCTCTCCCCCAGCGGCGACCCCTCGGGCGACTGCGACAGCAGCACGGGGCAGGTCTACGCGCGAGCAACGACCTACAACGACGCCTTTGCCATCATGTACGCGTGGTACATGCCGAAAGACTCTCCCTCATCCGGTCTCGGCCACCGGCACGACTGGGAAGGCATCGTCGTCTGGCTCTCGGGGGAATCCACGTCCGCCACCCTTCTCGGCGTCGCCGCCTCTGCCCACGGCGACTTCAGCACCACGACGAGCCCCAATCTCAGCGGCACAAGCCCGCTGATCAGGTACTACAGCGTGTGGCCGGTCAATCACCAGCTCGGCTTCACGAGCACAGTCGGAGGCCAGCAGCCGCTGATCGCGTACGATAGCTTGACGGACGCGGCGAGGACGGCGCTGGAGGATACGGATTTCGGAGACGCGAATGTGCCGTTCAAGGATGCGAACTTTGAGAACAACTTGGCCAAGGCTGCGTTGTAAAAATGATGTCTGGCTGAGATGCAACTGTACTAAGTTCATGGTCGAATATATGATTACTCTCTTTTGCTTAAGGCGACCTCGGGACGAATAGTGAGCAACTTTCATACTAACCTGATGGGAAACAAGATGGGGAAGCCCAAAGTTAGGTGAATAGGCGCGTGGTTTAAACTTTCTAACTTACTCCAGTCCGGTCAATTTATTTTTCGGTGCCTTGAAGTCTTGTGTTCGCCGGCCAGGCATCAAATGTAAGGGTCCAAATAGATCCACAGTTGGACCCTTCTTCCTCTCCAGATACCGTGGTACATGTCTTGCGGCACCAGGTTTTTGCAGTTGGACGAAAATAAAAGGCACCCACCAGAGGCTGTGCGGCAAACTTCTCAACCCAACACACAAAGTATACGTCCTGGAGTCGAGGCTTGGAGCGATGGCACAGACGAGAGCACAAGAGAGCGCAGCTAATAGGCCTCGGAGGGGAAGTCGGCTACCGAAACAGACCCCGACAAAGCTTTCAACGCGACAGGAGAACCCGAGAGGGAGACGACCATGGAGAAGTTATTCTGAACACCGTGAGGTGACGAGGCGCCGCGGGGCACATAAGAGACAACGAGACGCCGGGAAACAGGGGTCCATCCTCGGAGATGGAGGAGAAGAGCGAAGAGACTGGCAAGAAGCCGGGGAGACGCTGTGTCAGGAGACGCAATGCAAGGTTCTTGGACGGAAAATACGCTTCTCGTATGGCGCACTCGCTCCAGTCGGACTCGCCGACTTCCTCGAGGGAGAACTCAACATCGACCAGCTGGTTGGCTTCGGCACTGCGGAGGCCCGAGCCGGCGAGCGAAGCAGGAGCCCACTTCAGTGGTATTGGGACAGGCCGATGCCAGACATTGTGACGGGTGTTGCGAAAGCAAGGACTCCGCTGACCGAGTTTCAAAATGTAAGCTTTCCTGCGCGCGAGCCGTGTCTGGAATGCTGATGGATCAGTAGGGACGCGAGCGATTCTGGGACGTCAGGATGGCACGCTGGAGACTGAAGTGAGGGGCTGCAGCAAGCTGATGCTGACAAAGCGAAGGAGCTGTCGTGTCAGCTGGAACCAAGGTTTCAGGTTGGTGATCGGCGGCTGAGAAAGCATGCAGCGAGACATCGGCAGCGGGCGGAAGTGGAGATGGAAGGCGATGGTGTTGAGGAGCGGCGGGCCGGACGCGTGGCGCAGGCGGCCGAGGATGACCCCTGCGCGATCGCAGGCCCCACCTGCCTCCCTCTGGGCTTAGAAATGCAGCCGCTCCCTCTTTACATCATCCAGCCCTGAGTATATCTATTCTCTGCATCGCTAGCCACGCCGTGCCCATGCGCCTCCAGAAGACCTACGCCCCGGTGCCCTTCTCCGAGGAAAAGCGCAGCTTCGCCGCCCAGATCCCCCAGCGCTGTCGCAAGCTATGCGAGCAATTGGTACGCCGCCGTCGCGACCGCCTCCCGCCCGCCCTACTGACCGCGCGCTGCTGCAGACATCAAGAACGGCACCGGCCCGGCCGACGCCCTCTTCGTCGACAATGACTTCCCGAAGCCCGTCCCGAAAGCTGCAGAAGCGCTCGTCCGTGTCAAGGCCTTCGGCCTGAACCGCATGGACCTGCTGCAGCGCGAGGGCTTGTACCCCGTCCCGCCCCAGGCTCCCAAGACCCTGGGCGTCGAGTTCAGCGGCGTCATCGAGGCTTTTGGCAGCAGCGAGCACGAGAAGGGCTTCAAGGTCGGCGACGCCGTCTTCGGCCTCGCCTACGGCGGCGCTTACGCCGAGTACATCGTCGTTTCCACGCACATGCTGGTCCACAAGCCGGACGAGCTGTCGTGGGAGGAGTGCGCCGGCCTGCCCGAGACGTGGATCACCGCCCTGCAGGCCATGTACGTCGTCGGCGGCTTCAAGCCGGGTATGAGCATCCTGTGGCATGCCGGCGCCAGCAGCGTCAGCATATCAGGCATCCAGCTGGCCCTCGCCGATAACGCCTCCGCCGTCTTCGCCACCGCCCGCCAAGACGAAAAGTGCGACTTCATCGTCAACCACCTCGGCGCCACCAAGGCTTTCAACACCACAAAGGAGAACTGGTCCGAGGAGGTCCTCAAGGCCACCGGCGGAAAGGGCGTCGATATTATCGTCGATTTCGTGGGCGCCGACTACTTCCAGGGCAACCTGGACGCTGCCGCCCGCGACGGCCACATCGTCCAGCTGGGCGTCATGAGCGGCACCAAGCTCGACGGCAAGGGCGTCGACATCGGCGCCTTTGTCCGCAAGCGCGTGCGCTTCGAGGGCAGCACCCTGCGCAGCCGCGACGAGGAGTACCAGGGCCGCCTGCGCGACCAGCTCGTCGAGCACGCCCTGCCCAAGTTCAAGGATGGCTCCTTCAAGGTCTTTGTCGAGAAGGTCTTCCCCTTTGAGCAGATCGTCGACGCCCACAAGCTGCTCGAGTCCAACAAGACCAAGGGCAAGATCATCTGCACGATTTCATGATACACTCACGATGCATTTTGATGTCTCTGGAAGACGTATATACACTGTAAATATTGGGCGTTGGCTTGCATACTTCACTCTCGTTTTCAGTCATCAGTTTTTTCAGATACTCTATCCATGTTCACACGTCAGCCTGCATCACGTGAAGTGATGTTTGATCGGTATTGAACTGCCGGACTTGAAATTTCTTCCACCTCCGATTTTCCTATTCAATTCGCATAGGAGAGGCTTACGCCACGGCTCACGCTTACCACTTATCCAAACAATGTTTACACGCAAAGCAGCAAGGTTGGGTACATCTGACCAAGCCTGTCTTAAGAAATACTCAGTTCTATTTACACGGGCACTTCTTCTTCGCTATATCGTTCGCTGAAGGAATGCTGCAGTCTACTACGTCCACCCACTACCACCCTCATTGATTGTTGTTAGCGCACGTTGACCGTACCTGCTGCGCCTATGACCTCCTGCATCAGAAAGTATACCTCTTCGTCTCTGCCATGAAATAAACGACTGTATTCGGAGTGGTCGTCCTTTAATACAACGACTTTCGAAAGGAAAGAGTTGTCGGTTTACGCAAACCACAGTGAACTCAAGGCTACATCCCATGTGCATCACGTTCCCCGTATCATTTCACTTCCCACATTCCTATGTGTCTCGTTTATCAATCACCAAAAGTCACATCTGTGTATCATCTTAGACAGAGCAAAGAAAATGTTTTGACAGGCGAAAATGGTATTATTGAAGGGCGACAATAAACAACCAACACGAGCGCCTGCCCTCCAACGCTTAGCAAAGCAAAATTATTACGTCTCCTTTGGAGGAGAAATCCTTTTCCGAGTAAGAAGATAAAAAAAAAAACCAAAAGGGGAATCATAGAATCGTCATATAATACAAGAATGGGAGTCGACCAGATGGAAGCAATACCTTCCCTTTCCCAGTATGTTTCCTTCAGCCCGTTCGATGGTATTTTTTTTCCCTTTCCCTCATTTCCGTCCTCGTTACATCATTTGCCCATTAAGTAGAAATCCGCAGATCTGGCTTTCTTTCTTCTCTCATCTTTCTCTTTTCCTTGTAAAAGGCGCGTTCGTCTTCGATAGCAGCAGAACTTTTTGTTTCTTCGTTGTTGCTCTGTCGGGTTCCGGCACTCGTCAGGAAGATCCACGACACACCTCTGCGCTCCTTCCCTCAGTCACGACGGCATCGCGTTGGGTATCCCCAAGCCACTTGCCCCTCCTCCATCTCAATCCCTGTTGATGACCCTCAAACTCCTCCTTGGATTCAGCAACACACCTCTCGTCCCCCAGAAACTCGGTTCCTGCCCGGCCAGCAAATCATCCGTACTGCTCACACTCCCGCTCCTCCTCCCCGTGCTCGCACCAGCACCACTGGCATACGGCCCCGCCTCCCCAGCACTGGCCGAACCGCTCGTCGGACCGCCGCTGCTACCAGCGGCGTAGCTGCCACTCCTGATGGCGCTGCTGCCCTGGCGGCCGTCCGATGACGTGGCCACGGATCCACCCGCGGCGACACCGGGCGGCATGACGAAGCCCGTCTTCTCGTTTGCGTTGGCGGGATCGGCGGCGTGCGCCTGGGCCATGGCGACGTGGTTCTTGTACAGCTTGAGCTGGCGGCGGTACACCCACGCGCAAAAAGCAAAGTAGGCGGCAATGACGAAGAAGACGCCGGCCAAGACACCTCCGACGATAGCGCCGACGTTGGTGCCGTCGCCGTTGTAGCCCGAGCCCGAGCCAGAGACGGCCGTCTGCGTTGTCACGGTGCCGTCGCCGTTGGTCACCGTGTAGGTGATGGGTTTGCCGGTGGCGAGGGGGCCGGCGGTGACGGTCTGGACGGGCGCGGTGACGGTGGCGCCGCCGGTTGCGTCCCCGCCGATGGCCGATATGACCTTTTCGGGAACCGTGTAGCCGTAGGAGCCCTCGAGGCCGGAGGAGGCGTTGGCGCCGCGCTGGGAGAGCTGCTGAGAGAAGGGGTTAGAGTCCTCGGTGAAGACGGCGCCGCCGGAGGAATCCTGGGCCGAGCTTCCGGAGAGGGCAGTGAATTGCGTGCCCCAGGTGAGCGATGAGGTGTTGAAGACGTAGACGCCCGGTGAGTCGCACGAAAGCTGGTCTCCAACGTAACCGCCGACGACGATCATCTGGCCGTCCCAGATGTTGCACGTGTGGCCGGCGCGGGCGTACGGCACGGATTGCGAGCCCTGGTCGACTTGGATCCAGGTGAAGGACGGGATGGTCAGGATCCACATGTCGTTGTACTGCGTCTGGTCGTCGCCCAGATCTTGGCCGCCGAACATGTACATGTTGTAGCTCGAGCCGCTGTACGTTTTGGTCAACGTCCGTGTCCTATACGAGGAGCTCTAGCTGCATTGGGCAACTTACTCTGCCGCCGCGGCGACCACCGCGCAAGGGTTGACGCGGATCTTCGGTGGAGTGCCGCTGGTAGGCTGCTTGAACCACGTCGAGGTGGCGATGTCGTAGATGTCGATGACGTTCATCTGGGTCTGCAAAGACCGTCAGTCCCAATCCAATCGTGCCGAGCCCGCGGACCTTACGAAAGTAGAGTTCGTGCCACCTGCGAGGCCGAGCAGAATGCCCTCGTCGCCGAACCCGGGAACGTACACCAGGATGCCGTCAGCGCGCTCCGGAAACCCGCTCGTCTCTTGCAGGCCTCCTTCAGTGATGTTGCGCCAAACGCCATCCGAGCCTGCGGTGCCGTCGTCACCCAGAGATTCGACGCCGTTGTTGGAGGAACCGGGAAACGTGTACTCGACCATGGACTTCAGGTAGATACGTGCGACCTGGTTAGACCAGTCCTCGGTGGTCCATGTGTCCAGGTGGCCGCCAAAGTAGAACCCGCGGCCGAGGCTAGCCACATTCGCGCCTGCGCCCTCGGCGGCGCGCTGCACTGCCTCGTTGCTACCTTGGGCGTGCGTCCCTGCAGATGTTTTGGGGTTCTTGTGCTCGGTCCACGAGGACGAGGAGATGTCGTACTCCCAGAGCGAGAAGGCGGTCGGGTAGTCGGGAGTGTTTCCCTGGTTGCCGTCTTGGAACTCGCCGCCATAAAGGAATAACGAGGACCGTGAATTCCACAGGTACGCCAGCGAGACGGCAGGCGGCCCCGAGGGTTGCGGCAGGCCAGTGAATGACGGTGAGGAGATTTGCCACGACTCGGTGAGATCGATGGTCACGAAATCGTTGTCTGGAATGGTCAGCTTCACAGGGCCGTTCATGTATCGGACGTGGTCACACACTCCAAGTGTTGCTCGTCTGATCCGACTCAGTCTTCGCACGGCCGCCGTAGATGTATAGGGTGCCATTGACAATTGCAGCTGTATCCTCGTCAGTCTCGGTCTCAATGTTGCGGGCGGATTCGAGAAGTCATACTAGCGTGGCTCCACCTCGTACACACATCCGTTGGGCTATCCGCTCTCCCGTACAACATGCCTTCCCGCGGGATGAGGGCCGCATTGACGCCATACGGGGGCCCCGCAACGGTAGAACCAAAGACGGGCAGCCTGTGCGTCACGGGGATGACGAGGAAAACCAGCAGCGCGAGCACACACAGTCGATGCAGCCTAGTCATCCCACCCGCCGTAGCGAGAGCGACATCCACATCCGCCTTCGCCGTAACGATTCGTCCGTGCTCAAACGAATCCTCGCGCTCCTTCCTCGATGTCTGATGCTTCTTCTTCTGCGTCAGTCCACCGATCTCACAGTCCGACTCCTCGTCGTCCCCCATTTCTTCCTCCCGCACGTCTTCCAGCAGCGATGGCGCCGGCCAGTACTCGGTAGGCGAGGAGGAGGAGCGGGTGACGGCCTTCTTGTTGCCGTTACGGGCGGGCAGAGACGGTGTAGAGAGGATTGGCACCCTGATCGGCACTGGCGCGTAATTTTCTCTGTCGTCGTCCACGAGGCCGACTTCGCGGAAGACGGACTTGCGCCGTGGGTTCGAGGTCGCCGACGGCATCATCTTGATCCAGACAAAGAAGGCAATCGGATTGGACGTTCCAGCGGCACGAAAACTGCGATTCAAGAGCGCGCCCTTGGAAAATCCGTGAGAGGAATTGTTTTTTTTAGGTCCAGGACGGCCAAGGCGATGACAAGCTTTCCGTTCCGTGCTAAAGCTATATAGAGTGCCCTTTCGGCGGAGAAGGGATAGGTGTGGAGGCAAGCTGCAGCAGGCGAGTGGCTGTGTAGTGAGATGTGGAGCCGAGCAGGTGGCGAGGCGCGCGGGATGTAGGTAGTCGACCAGCCCGGCTGGGTTGGAGAGTATACGTCCGGCAGCGGGTGGTAGTTGTATTCAGGCCCAGTTGTGAGTGACAGGCTATGACGTCGCTGGTGTCGGCTGGAAATTAAATGCAGGCGACGGGGATCGTTGGCATCGGAGAACTGGGGATGGCGCGCGATTGGCAGGAGCTCGCAGCAACACAAGAGGCAGGAGGGCCGTTGGAAATGATTGCTCGCGCGAGCAGCAGTAAATAATGCTCCCCTGCGCGCCTTGAATGCTTCCCGTTCCAGGGTGCGCCCTAGACTCGGCGCGGCGCGATCAAAAGAGTAGGGAAAGGTGCATCAGAGGTGCCGCGTGAGCTTATGGCGAGCAATTGGGCAGAGAGTGTGGCGGCGCGGTGGGGTGCAACGTGGACACGGATACGAGACCACGAGGAGCAGCAACGGCACAGATAGATAGATAGCGTGAGCGGTGTGTGAGCAGCGCTGGCAGGTGGAGAGCGCGGAGAACAGAGCAGGAAGAACAGAGCGGGCAGCGCCGGCCAGCAAGGCTCGGGGGCGGGCGACGACATACAAGAGCGGCTTAAGCTTACCTGCTTCATCTCGATTGCGTTCCGCCTACGAGCAGCGGTGTTGGCAGCGTTGAACGTCATGCGTTGACCCACCCGGGCAAGTGATCGACTCCCCACTGGCCAACCCCGGAAAGCCGCCAACAGGCGGCGAGAAGAAGCCAAGCGAGACGCGTCGCCTGGCAGCATGCAACTGCTGTGGCGCCGTCCCGCATCTGCTGCAGCCCCCGTCCCTGCCCACCGCCCGGCCTTGTTTACCTGTGGCGCTCCTTCAGCTGTCCCAGCACGCCGGCGCGCAAGCTCGCGGTTCCGCGCCTCGGAAGCGCGTTCCTCGCGTCGGATCGACGAGTTCCGTGACGTCGTGCGCCGATGCAGTGTTGCGAGGGACGTCCTTGCGCCTCGATCGTGAAGCGCCGTTGAAGCTTATCGGCCACCGGCTTGGCAGAGACACACATGCTATATTTGGCGCCAGTTGCCATTTGCGTGCGCAGCGCTATCGCGACCATGTGCTCGAACGGGCAATGGCGCTCGCGCGTGAGGGCGGCCTGGACGCCTCGCAGAACCTCTTCACCATCACACGCCCAGCAGCCGTATCAATCATCATATTCCTACACACTTCACACTCCGCTTCTACACGCCGTCAAAAGCAACCCAGTTTCGAATTGAATCCCCAGGGGTATACAATATGCCTGCAAATATAGCTAAATCAAAGAGCGCCTGCATGCCCGCCAACACCTTTCGTCCATATTACACCAAGCTTTGTACCAAAATAAAGTCGAATTTCCTTCTTCAATCGAAGAGTCAAATGGAAGGCCAGTGTGGATCCTCAAAGTCGCCCGTCCTTCTTCGATCCGTTGATCTCGCCGAGAAGAACGTCTTTGAGCCATCCAAACCCCCTTTTGCCACGCAGCAGCTGTCGCGTGCACCGGGCACGCACCACAACTGCACGCCGGCAATTATACTATATAATCTCGTTGATCAAGTGTGTAACGCAGAAGAGAAAACATCCTGCCGAATCGACGGCGGCGCAAAACCTACCTGGCCATCAACCGAACCTCCACCTGGGCTTGTTATCGTCCGCCCAGTTGCCCTGCCGAGACGCTCCTCTGATACCAAAGCTGCTGAGTCGTCCGCCCGCTCTGCTGCCCGCCCGGCTGTCCGCCCTGGAGCTGCGCCCGCCATCCAGACTGGGACGGGGGACGTCGAGGCTCGGGCGCTCCTTGTTGGATCGGGGCGTCGACGGCTGCGGGAGCATGCTGGTGCGCCGGAGAGCCATTGCGCTGGCCGCCCGCGGGCTCTTGCGCATCGACACGGGGCTGCTGGCGTCCGAGTAGCCGGCATCGGTGAGAGCATCGTCCGCGCCCGGCGTCGTCGGCTCGAGAAACGCGCTGCGACGCCGGCTTGCCGCCGTGCTTGCCGTCACGGCGGACGACGACACGGCACGCGTATCCAGCCGTGAAAGAGCGTTGCGAGAAGGTGTGCGCGGCGCGATTATAGACGACCTCTTGTTAGGCGCAGGGGTGGTAGATGCGGGACGCTGGACATGATGAGCCCCCGGAGGAGGCGTGGGCGCAGCCTGGCGCGGAGGGCTGGGCCGCGGCAGGTTCGAGTACGAAGAGACACGGTGGAGGCGGCGGGGCTTCGGCGAAGCGTCCTTGGCGTAAGGGGAGGGGGTTGTGGCTGAAAGAGGCTTGAAGTTGTGCCCGCTGATGCCCTCCGCGTTCGTAGAGCCGTTCCAGCGGGGCTTGTTGGACGGAGGGGGAGTGGGTGCGGCGCGGCGAGGGACGGGGGGAGTCGGAGTGGCCATCGAGTAACGGTTGCTCGTGGGCGTCTTCTCTTCGGAGCGGGAGAACGAGAGCGGCGGTTTGCGAGGGGCTGAAGACGGGGCAGGGATGGCGGAATAGCGTTTGCTGGCCTTGACCGACGGGCCCGACTTGTTGCTGTTGAAGCTGCTCTGGCGGGACTTGTACCTGTCGTTGTCCTTACGGTTTAGCACCACCACGGACGAAGCCGGCGAGCTCCCGGGCGTGTCAATGCTGCTCGCGAAGGAGCGCTCGGTCGACAAGATTGTCGAGATAGAGTCCCGCAGCTGTTCGCTGTCTCTCATGTCGATCCCCTCGACGCGATCCTTCATTTCCCTCATCTCATCTTCCAGACCGGCCCACTCGCGCCTCATGTCGGACTGCAGCCTCAGAATCTCACCGTTCACCGTCAACCGGTCCTTTACTCCCTTGTCGATGATCATGAGAACCCGCTCGATGGCCGGGCCGTAGTGCATCCTCTTGGCCTCGAAGCTTTCAATCTTCTTGGCCGTCGCCGGCAAGTTGGTGATGTGTTGGCCTTCGTCCAAGGCCTCGCGCAGTTTTATCAAGCTCCTCTTCACGGATTCGCACATTTTCGCCGCTTGCCGGCCGGCATTCCTGAACACCAGCACCCACTTATCCTCCCCGAGCTCTCGCCTCAAAGACTCTGCGTCACGTTCCAGCCTCTGCCACTTGTCTTCCAGAGAAGTGCGCCGGTGATCCAACTCCGAGCACGCAGTCGGGAATACGGGTTGGGCGCGCATCTGAAACTGAGCGAGCCTCATCGGCAAAAAGTCCAGGGACGCGCGGAGCGGTTGCATGCGGGCGAAGAGAGCCAAAAGATTCGACTCTTCCTGGGCTGCCTCGTTGGATGCGAGTGGTGACGTATTCGGGTTGAAGGGTTGTGGGAGGCTGAAACGGTTGTGGGATATCCTCTTGTTGTTGGGCGGCGTTTCCTCGACGATCGTCTCCAAGGATTCGATATCGAGCCCGTTGCCGTTCTCGGTGATGCTCTCGGCCATGACGCTACGGTGGCGGCGTTCTTCCATCTCGAACACCAGCCTCCCGAGAGCCTCCACCTCGAGGCTAATGTCGCCCAGAACAGTGTTCCACAGCTCCTCCCACTCCATCGCTATCTCAACCTGCTCCTTGACCGCCCGCAGCTTGTTCTTGATGCCGGCCCAATCGTTCAGGATGTTTTCCATCTGGTCCACTAACCGCGTGAGGTCCGCCATGGATAGGCTTCCGATGTCCGGGCGGGTCTGGAGCTCTTCGATGGCGCTGACGAATACCCTGATCAACGTTTCGAACGTGTTGATCGCCGAATCGACCTCGTCCAACCCCTCTCTCCCGGCCGCGGATGCCCAGTCGACGTCGTCCTCCGCGTCCAAGCCGTTCAGCACGTCCGACGCCTTGGACATCCACACGCGAATCTGCCCGGCCGCATCGTTCAGGGCGCTCGAGGCGGCCTTGGAGGTTGGTATTGCCGAGATACTCGCCTGCAGGGACGAGGCATCGGGGAGTTTTATGGATGTGAGCTGCTGTATCTGGTTGGTGAAGGACACGCGAGAAAGCGTGTATATGGAGGCGGCCCGCGACAATCCCCCTGGGTTGAAATATGAAGCTTCTTCCTGTTCGTTCTGCTCCTCCTGCTCTTCCTGTATCTCGTCCAGCGATTCCGGCTCCTGGACGGGCTCGGGTGGCAGGTCCGGCGTATTGTCTACGGGCGGGTCCTTTGGTGGCGGCGTCGGAGGCGCCGAGTCTTCTGGCGAAGGGCCGCCCTCCGGTGCATCATTCGACATGGATTCTAAGCTATCCCGCGGCTGCTCGAGCACAGGCAAGCCGTATTTCAGCGTATCGTCCTCTGGTGCATCGAATTCGCTGTCGTCGTAGTCTGAGTGGAGCACGCGGTCGCTGGCGCTGATTATGCTCGAGTGATCGCTCTCCTGAGGCGCCGGGGGGCCGTCGAGGTAGTCCCTCTCGCTGCCGCCCGTCGTTTGCGCGGTGAGCCGCGGCGCACGCGGCCCACTCCAAGCCTGGCCACGGCGCTCGACCCGGATGTTGCGGTCACGCTGGTGCAGGAGGTCGAGCTGGCGCAGCTGGTCCTCCGGTATGCGGCCGATCTCGACGTCACTCTTGTCGCCGGCCTGTCTGCTCTTGTGGTGCAGGTCCAGCAATTTCATGCGCGCCAAAAGACCCGGGGCGGGTTTTCGCAGGGCGCGCCTGGCAGCAGCAGCAGCAGCAGCGGCAGTGTCGGACGATTCTGTGCTGAGCTCAGGTGGTGAGAGCGCCGGAACGGGTGGCAGTGGTCTGGTATCGGGCGAGGAGGGAGGGGACATGGGAGGCGGCGGGCAGGAGGGCGTGAGGTGAGGCGAAGCTGCTGTGCACGGTCAGCGCTGGGGGCGCGCGCGGGTGCTGTGTTGTTATTTCGATTGTTTTTGGCAGCCAGGCAAGGCTCGGAAAAGGTTGGGCTGTAGATGCAGTACAGGTGAGTTGTCGATGCCGGGCTGCAGCTCGCCTGCAACGTCGCCGGTTAGCGCGTCCGTCGGCCGGGGGTGAAGGGCGGCTGGCTGGCTGTCTTTGCCTCCCCGCCCACGGGGGCGCGGGATGAGTCAATCGGCGCATGTGACGGACTTACCCACTGTTCCTCGAGACTGCACGCGCGCTACAGCGGTCGAGCGCGCATGCCCGCCCGGCAACAGAGGAGACGCGCTCCGGTGCGGTTGATGGCTGACGGCGAATGGACACGAGGCCGTCGACCTGGGACTGGGACTGGGATCCGCGCTCAGTCAGGGTTCTGGCCGGGGGCCGGCGCGGCTGTGGCTGCGTAGCGCGAATCGGAACGGGGGCCTTGGGTCGGGATGAACGGCGGCGCGGCGGCGGACTGTCGTGAAGGCGGGTAGATGGTTGGTAGGACAGCACGCGTTCTACGGCGAGTTAGAGAAGTGTGGCCTGGAGGACAGCCCATCGTTTGATTAAGTGATTGTCCTGCGCGCCCGCTCCGGACGGCGAGATTGCAATTGGCCGCTGCGCTGCCCTCAGGCTGCGGCCGCGCCAGGGGCCGCGCGCGCCGCGAATTAATCCCCCCCACCCACTGGCACTGCCCGCCCTTGCCTCTCGCCCAGTTCCCGAGCCCGTGATGTTATTAAAAGACAGTTTCTTTACAAATTCGGGTATCTCTTGAAACGAGCTGTCTTGACCTCGGCGAAGCACACACCAACAGAACCATTAAATGCTTGTCCATCATCCAAAAACAAAAACAAACGCCTCGAGCCTACGCCATTGTTTCCGTGTCAATCTTCAGCATGGGCGGAATCGTCATCGTCTTCAACCGCGCCTGCTTCCACTCCGTAGTAATCTCCTCCCGTACCCCCTTGCACCATTTCATGAGAGCCCTGTCGAAGCTCTTCCACGCCTCGCTGCTCTCCCCGTGCACCACCTCCATCACGTCCAACTTGAGCTTGACCTCCCACCGTAGCTCCGCCGCCTTGACCCAATAGCGCAGGTTCTCCGCGCACCGGTATGGCAGCGACGTGTCCCTGTGGTACGACTTGATCTCTTCGAACTGCCGTTTCGACTTCCGCACGAGCGAGTTGTGCAGGCGGACGAGCTTAAGGCCGTCGTGCATCGCTTTGAGGAAGGGCGTGGGCAACTCGCTCGCGTCCTCCGGGGCCGTCCACGACGGTATTTCGTCCTCGGGATGGGGATCGAACGACTTGAGGAAGAGCCACTCTCTTTCACGCTCCTTGCCCGTCCAGTCACCCGAGATCCAGCTCCACTTCTCGCGGTCCAGCTGCTCCTGTTCTTCCTTTGCTTGCTCAGAGTCCAAAAGCTGCCCGATGTCGTTAATCCACCCGTTGATGCTCTGCCGCTCGTCGTCCCGGATGCCCCCCTCAAAGTCGCGTCCCGCCATCCGCTTCAGCACCTCCAGCGTTTGGTACAACTCCTTCCTGATGGTCTTCTCAGGCTTGATCGAGTACAGGCGTTCGGGTTGCTCGTGCGCGGTGTAGTAGTTCTTCGCGGCCCGGATCGCAAGGGTGACGCTGTCGAGGACGTGGAGACCTTGAATCTCCGTCCAGCCCTGCGGGACCGGCAGCGGCTCCTGCTCTGCTTCCGGCGAGATGTTGCCGGAAGCGTCGTCCTGCTTCCTCTTCTCCGCAGCCTCGGCCGCAATCTTCTCCGTCTCGGCCGCCTTGCGCTTGTACCTCGCAATCGTGTCGGGGCGCTCGGTGCCGGCAAGCACCCTCTTGGCATCTTCGAGGGCTTCTCTGAGCTCTCTCCGCAAAACGATAATGTCTGGCGGCGGCGGGGTGTACAAGACTTTGTTTTTATACGTGCTAACCGTCGGAGGCAGCATGGGCGCCGGTTCATATTCGTAGTGAGTTTCGAAGTCTTCGCCCACGGGACTTTCCACAAAGGGCACGTCCGTGGCAGATTCACTCAGATAGCCATCGTCAGAGATGGCGCACGACGAGCGCTTGTTGTCGTCCTGCGAGGACAGGAAGGATTCGTAGGCGCGGTCGGCGGTGGTGTGGAGTCCTTCAATCGCGTTGGAGCTCTTCTTGCGTTTGGTCTCTTTGGCAACGCGGCCGCCCTTGTCATCCAGCAGGCCAGTCCTCGCAAAGTAGTACTGCAGGTGGGCAATGGTGCCCAAGCTCATGACGCTCTCTCTGTTCTTCGCCGAGTCCGCAAACGAAGTGCCTTCGGGGCGCATGTATCCTCTCCGGCCGTTGGGCAAGCCGCCCCACGAGCGCCGCGACCCCGCCGACATGCCGGAGACCGAGGATGAGGAGGTCGACGAGTTATCGAGCCCCGGAACCTGGCCGGCGGGCAGGGTGGGCGAGGCCCAATCCTGCGGAGAGGCGGCGCGCGCGGGCTGCGTAGCTTCTTCCGCCATGTTCGTCGAGATGGTTTGGCGACGTGGTGGGACGGACGCACGAGGAAGGTGGGGTGCGGCGGTCTGCTGTGGATTGGGCGGGGGCTCCTGTACGGGGGATGGTCGTGAGCGCTCTTATCGCAGACGCATGAGAGGACAGGTACTGCAAGAGGGAGGACCGTCGTGATGATGGAGGACGCACAAGAATGTTTCTGGAAGCCAACGGTCACGGCGGGTGCGCTGATCCCGGCGGACGGAAATTAGTCGTTGCCTCACGAACGTGTCGTCAAGTGCCGCCGCGTCGTAAACAAATTGCTGGGCAGAGCGGCGACAGACCCCTCCGCGGCCCCAGTCGTCCTCGGCTGCCCTCTTGTCAGGCGAAGCTAGGGTTATTTCGAGAACCGACACGGCTCGAGAAGAAGAGACGGTCGTGGAGCCACGCAGCAGTCCGCAAGCTGCATCCCTGAACCGGTGCCGACTGCGGCCGGGCGGGAGCGGAGAGGGCGGACCCTTGCTGGATTCGAGCGCAACTCACGGCCCAGCGCGCCGCTCGCCGCTGGCGCTTCCTCTGCCCGTCTGCGAGAGTCGGGCTCGCGAGCCTCGTGAACATGGTGACCGCGCGGCCCGACGATGGAAGCGCTGCTGCGCCGCGTGGCATGTGACTCGGGGCTCGAGGGATGGTGCATCTTTGCGTGGTGTTGCCCCTCGCCCAACGCCCTGCACAGGAAGGCGCGCGCTCAACCGCGCGTATGCCGTGCGCCAAGAACGACGTCATGTGTGACGGCAGACTGAGGCATCCCAAGCTGGCGGTTCATCCAAGACTCACCTCCATCCACTGACTTATGTGGAGATTGTTTTCGACTTCAGCCGCCAACATGTCCAAGCGAGTACGGCGTTCCCATCCACGCGGTGATCACGCAACTAACGCATCCAATAGATTCAGTACAAGGTCGACGGCCAAGTCCAAGGTCAGCCTCACTGCACACGGACCCTCGCCTCATCCGGCGACTGACCACGCTATAGGCGTCTGTTTCAGAGCTTACACCGTCGAAGAAGCCAACAAGATCGGCGTCACCGGCTTCGTGAAGAATGCCTCGGACGGAACGGTGCGCGCACCCCTACCGTCTCGCTTGCAGTTGCTCGCTAATGTTGATCCCGCAGGTGACTGGTGAGGCCCAGGGCGACGACAACCAAATCCAGCAGTTCACCCAGTGGCTCAACAAGGGTCCGTCGGCCGCCAGGGTCACTGGCGTCGAGCAGTCAGAGATCGACCCCAAGCAGGGCGAGAGCGGTTTCAAGCAGTAAGAGCGGATTGGAAAACAAACATTCGGGCCCCTTTTCGCTGACTGGAAGTAAATTGTGTACGATAGAATTAGGAGATGATGACTTTGGCGTTCGGTGATGGAAATGCGAAGAAATACAATGCACCAAAGTTCCGAACGTCCTGTTTGCCAACGTCAGCAATTTCAATAGGGTATACGGTCACAGTATTGAACGACGGTCGCACAAAACTGTGTTAAAGCCGCTCGACGACTATACCCATGACAGTACTGGTAGTACCTGATGCTTGAGGTAATTCTCATGATGCACGCACACTCTGCAACGATTCTCGAAGCCTTCCTCGTATGGCGGTGAACGCTATCTTTAAAGTTTTCTCATTTCCCTCCGACCTCGTTTAGATCGATTAGCTTAAATCATAAGTACGAGTCCTTATTTCCGCAACAACATCTTTCTCTACTACTTTTACATCGCACGCGTTTCCATTTCCTTGGTTGGAGAGCTTTGATGTTTAGCGTTTGCTATGCTACGAGACACAACGGATGAAGGTCTTTTATTCCTAGCACGGTCTTTAGTGAACTCGTGTGTAAGGAGTTGAGATTAGGCTTTTCCATTCCATAATTGACGCACGGAAGACGACGTGGCCTTGTGTGAAAGAGACTCAAGTAGTATTGACAATAAGTGAGGTGATCCAGCAACATGGTTTTACCAGCCATGGGTTGCATTCCCGAAAAAGCGATTGTCGTGGGTTCAATATTGCCAAGTGACGATGTGCATCGTCCGTCGCATTGGTACAATTCAAACTTGCCATTATGTGTAAATGTGGTGGGCCTGGTTGATTCTTTTCTCGTGACCCTATATTTGTTGCTGTCATTTTTTCTACTGTCTGCTCACTCACCCCGCACTTCCAAACCCAAGATAAACCACGCTCGTTATGCACATCCCACACCAACCCGCTTATCCATGTACCTATAAAGCCAGATAATGAATGATAGGAATCATGACCATCTTCCCGGTGCTGCCTGATCTCGCCGGTCTTCAGTTTTCGGCATCTTCGGCATTCTCGGGTGCTGCCACCCCGTGACGATTCAAGAGGCTCTGTTTCAATTTATAAGTTGCATTAGTGGGATAGCCAAATCAGACCTTATCTCGTCCCACTTGCAGCGCATCTGGTAGATGCATGCCAATACCATTCGTCTTAGCAGGAAGAATTCAAAATTTGGGAGGCCAGCCATTGGGATAGCTGCATCGAGAACGTAGCATAACAACGTGAATGGTTGACTTCCACTAGTTCTGGAGCATAGCGTTGCCGTTGCTATGATAGTACGCAGCTTATCAATTGAATGACACGCGTGCTGCGCGTTTCACATGGTAATCAACGAGTTGATAGTTTCTGCCAGAATACTAAGGCCATCATATCAGTGTGGCGTCGTACTTTTCGTACTTCAATATCTTCTCATCGCAAATCACCAACCCATAGGGGGTATTGCAGTCTATACGATGTGACGTCCACAGAGCTGACTGCTCAGCCACATGCACTTCACTCAGAATGTCATAAGTCTCAGCGAAACTTCTTGGAATAGAATTAGTTTCTCCAAAGGCGTCCGAATTAACCCAATAGACCGCCTACGCCTAGCTACACAGGAAACACAACTTGATAGTACGTCAGAAGGCGCCAAAAAAGAACAAATCTTTCAGCCGTTACACGATTCAATTAGTGTGGTCGCTGGCAAAAGCGCACGAGCCCAGGTCCCTCTTCTCTGCAGGCTTGTCGGGCGAAATGTCAAAGTCGAACACATCAATCGGTAAGCCCAAAGTCGTGCAGGCGTTTGGAATCTACAGCCACATCAGCAACCATTAGCTGCGCAAAATCATTTCGGTCCCGTAGAGAAGAGACGGGGAACGATATCTGGAGACAGAAAGGGGAAAACAACTTACATCCACAATCCCCGCCACATGTCCCTGCACCGGCGCGCAGCTCAGCAGCAAGTAGATCTGATAATCACTGTACCCGTACCGACGCAGATACTCGATGCACCGGAGGGTCGTCTGACGGTACGCCACAGTGGCATCCATGTAGTGCTGCTTGCCATGCTGGTCGACACTGAAACCTTCGAAGTATATGTAACGTCCTGGTCCGAACTGGGGTTCAACGGGTCCCGGCAGGTAGATGGGCGACTTCATGCCCAGCTGCGCCATGCCGCCCTTCATGACGGTGAGCTTGAGCGTGATGACGCCCGGCATCTCAATGGCGCCACAGAAGGAGATTTCGCCGTCGCCCTCTGTTTTTCAGTCAATACCAGACGGCTATCGCTCGGAGATTGGTTGGCAGACTCACGGGAAAAGTGTAAATCGCCCACGCTGAACTTGGCGCCCTTGACATGCACGGGCAGGTACACCTTGCTCCCCCGGGACAGGTTCTTGATGTCACAGTTGCCGCCATGCTCCGGACGGCCAGGGATGGTGCGGGCGCCCTCCTTGCCGACCTTCTCCTTCAGCGCGGCGTCGGCGGCGCCGGCGTGCACGTTCTGGGGCTGCGGGGGCTGAGCGACGATGCGGCCGCAGCCGTCCATGGCCTGGATGAGCTCGCCCTCGCGCCTGTTCCATTCGGCCAGGATCTCGGCCGACGGCGCGCAGCCCAGTATGCCCGGGTGGATGAGGCCTGCGAAGCGGACGCCGGGGATGTGGCGCGAGGAGCAGAAGATTCCTTCAAAGTCCCAGATGGCCTTGGCGCTGTTTTGTCACTCGTCAGCCTCAGCGAGAAAGCGAGGGTACTTAATCCTTACGCCTTGGGGTAGATGTCGTCCAAGAAACCACCGCCGTTGTTCCTGTCGAAGACGCCGGTAAAGCCCCACGGTTGCTCCTCGAGCGGCTGGACGTCTTGAATTTCCACGAGAAGCACGTCGCCGGGCTCGGCGGTTTCAATTTCGAAGGGGCCGGTCAAGTAGTGAATCTTGGTCAAGTCGACGTTCTTCACGTCGTCTGCGCTGTCGTTGTTCTTGATCTGGCCGCCGGTCCAATCCACACACTCGATCTTCACCACCTCGCCATTCTTGATTGTGCCGGCGAACGGGACTGCGCATGGGTAAGTACAGGCAAGGGCAGGCGGGCTGTCGGGTCACGAACTGTCGGGGTGCCAGCGGTTCTGTCTCGGGTCAGCAGCAGCAATGCGGATCGGACGACAGCCGTACGTGAAGCTGTGGCTGATCAGCAGCATCTTTGTTCAGGTCAACCTTGGCCGCGTAACGAACGTGTTTGGCCATTGTGGATGCAGAAGCTCGACGAAGACAGAAATCACTGCGGAGAAGAAGGGTGGAGGAGCGAAAGGATAAGCATTGAGCTATGTTATATCTGCGGGGTTGGAGGCAGACAGATGAGCGGCCTATCCGATAGCTCAAGGGCCCATGGACAAACGGAGGTCGTCCGCAAACCAGGCGATTGGCAGCGATAAGGCGGAGATAAAGCGTTAGTCAAGGGAGCTCTGGGTGGGGTAGCTCTGCCTGCGCGCGTCATCGTGCCCCAAGCTCCACCTAGCGCCGACAGCATGCCCCGCTCGTGCTTTTGTAACGCCCTTGACAGATGCCTCTCCGCTTACCGTCGGCCTTCCGCTGCCTGAAGCCGACCCCCCACTTTACGAAAACCTCTTGCTGGGCGTCTCCGGGTTGATGGTCTCCTGCTTTGGAGCTTCCGTCTGCACGTTTTGCGCGTCGAGATTGGCCAATGGCAGTGCCAGAAACTCGTACTTGTTCTTCCACTTGATCTGGCTCGCGACGAAGTCCGTGGCCTCGGCCTCGGCGGGCGCTGGCGGCGGGTCGGTGATCTTGGTGATCAGATACGCCGTCGACGCTTCTGCGATGCCGTAGATCAGCACGCCGAGGAGCGGGATCTTGAGGAAGACGAAGAAGCCAACGCCGAATCCGAAAAGCACCCCCTCACGCTCCTTGAACCACGCCTTCTTCTGCTCCTTGTTGTACTTGATGCGGGCGAAGTACGGTTCGAGCTGGTCATCAGTCAGCGCCGCCGCCATGGCGTGGTTATCGGGTGTCATACCAGCTCTCTCATCAGGCTCCTCGACGAGAAATACGACTGCAGGAAGTGAACCAAGTATCGCCTCGGCAAGAAGATCGAGGTTCCGAATATAACCAGGGCAGGTTCAAGCCCGACGCCCTTTTTGAACGTGTAAAAACTGGCAGCGGGCAGGACGAACTGGCCAACGTACGGCAGGCCCGAGGCAAAATAGACCGCCAGTGAGATGCCGGCCCTCCTGCCATATCTCATGAGGAACGCTACAATGGCATCCATCGGTTTCTTCTTCTCGCTGGTATCGCCGCGCTTGGGGTACATGCGCATGGTGGGGTAGTACATTGCTCGGAGATTGCGCGGGTCGTCGGTCTTGTGCTTCTGGATGTACGTCTGGTCAACCCACTGGAGCGAGTTCATGAACCTAGAAGAGTCTCGGTCAGCCTGGCTGGGTCTTGCTACTCTGGGCCGGTGGAGAGAGATTACATGTCGTCCAAGGTTGGCGTGACGTAGCGCATCAGCGACATGAAGAAGAAAGGCACCTGCAGCACAGAGTGCTCGATGAACTCCAGGCCCTCAACGACATCTGTATCCCACGTAGATCCCTCGGTTTCCACAAACAGCGAGATGAACCCCACTATCAGTCTAACGCCTAGGGTCTGCAGGCAACAGCCGTTAGCCGGGTGCTGCGGTACGCGAGCTAGAAGGGCGTACGGGAATGGCAATGAGAAGGCGGATCAGGATTCCCGCGAGCACCGCGAGAGCCGCCTGGCGATAGTGGTCTGAGGTGAACAGCGCCGGGTTCTGGAGGGCGCGGTTGGCTGTGCGTGTTAGCCGTCGGACGAGCTGAAGCAGCGACGCGGAAGGACACACCGCCGACCAGAGTCAACTGGGCACCCCGAATGATGGCATTGGGCTCAAAGTTTGGCATGGCTGAGGCCTTCGTGGCGGCGGGGGTTGTAGAGGGGAAAGGTGATCACGGTGCTCAACTTTGATGGAAGCTTCCGCGATTCAGCTGGCGCGGCCCGTCGCTTATGTATGACGTACGCTCGTATCCTGCGGGGCAAGCGCACATTCTGCAATATATTTTCACTTCATCTATGCACATATCAGCGTTTGCACCGCTGGTCTCTGGCCTCGCACTACCATCTGGAGCTGCCCATCAGTAGCTCAATTCAGTTGTTTTCGGCTGTATTTGGATGCTCTTACGGACTGGTAGTGGTCAGTAAGTCTGCTGAGGGAAGATAAAAAAAAGAGAGAGAGAGAGAGCTGTGGCTGTGCTGGATTGCAGGCAGATGGTAGTTATACGGGACTACCCGCTGTTCAGCCACACTCCAAATCGGGGAATGCTCTGCATTCTACGGTGTCCGCGGGTTCAATCTTCGGATACTGCTCGGGAAAGTTGAACGAAGCTGTAGCATAAGGGCCTTGAGCGACTCACATGTACATTCGTGCGTGAAAACTATGCACGATTCAGGAGCGCACAGAAGCCGCGAGATTCCGTTGGGCCCGGAGACCGCGGCATGCGCTCGCAGTGGCACATAGCAAGGGTGGATATCGAAAGACAATCAAAACTTTGATCACGATGTGTATCGAAGGGATGCTTCGAATCTAAGACCAAGAAAATGCTACATAAACTGCGAATTAAGCAAAGGTGTATAAACTCTCACGATGTTGCTTCAAAAAAAAAAAAGGTAGTAAAACCCAAATGTAAATTGACTAAACAACGCCCGCCCTGATTAAACAGAACCACTTTACGAAAGCATACTTTTAGAAGTGATGATATTAAAGTCTAAGAAGGGACGTTGAACTCATTCTTATATGTGTTATCCTTAATAGAGGAGATTTTAACAGTAATAAGGTCTAATTACTTTACGTCTGCAGCAACTAAGTAAACGTAAGTATCTTAATTCGTCTGGTATAGAGATTGTATTTAGTCTAGGCGTCTGGTGTATAATGGTTTTCTCTAATGCGAGTTGTATAAAGATTTATCGGGTAGAATATAAACTTAAGCTTAATAATTAAAGGAAGCGAAAGACGTAATAAGGGTATCTCCTCCCCAACGCAGATCCGCTCCCACCTCTATAAACTCTTATCGAAGTTTATCCATTGGTTAAGAAATTCAACACCATGACTGGTTGGCTATTAGCGATGGATGTAATTTGCCACATTCCTAAATTCGGAAAGAATTAGACTGAGTGGAGGTGGGAGTAGAGGTAGGAGTGGATCTGCGTTGGGGAGGAGATGAAAGAAACAACGGTACCAACTACTACACTGTAAGATAATGTACCTAATTGAGTATTAATTTTGTTCCGGCATTGACGATATAATCAACTACGAGACACTGTTCAGGTTTAAACTTATTGTAGTCCTGATGCGAACTGGCTATGAGGCTTAACCGCACAGTCTTGAACGTATCTTGTAGCGTAGTCTCTACCCATCTGAGGGCCAATCCACTTACTTTTCAACATATAGATAGATGATTGATTTCGAAAATAGACTCTGTTGCTACCAATCGGAGAAAACATCGCCTCTGAGGGCGTTGTCCACATCTTCTGGTGAATCTGCACAACAGAAACAGAAGAGACCGAATAGTTGATGACGATAAGATATGTATCAGCGAGAAGCACGTCGCAATCAGTAAAGAGTGCTAGAATCCGCAAGGTGAGATGAAACCGAAGGGTACCAGTTACCTGTCAGGGCGGAGTATCTCACTTCATATTCATCAATGGTTGCATTGATACAGATATTCATTATAAACATGATCTGAATGCGCATGACGTCTAAAACTACATCATTTGTGCAGAAAACTCTTGAGCACGAAAAGGCAACAAACTCTGTTTGAAGCAGCAATTATGATACATTTGAATTCTACCCGCCGTTGCACGCATGCACAGCAGGAAGGTCTAAAAGTTTTGTCCGCCGCCGCACCAGCATCTATCACCCTCTCTTTCGACGTGGACGAATACATCCAGCTTCTTCTCGATGAGGAATGCAGTTGTCCTCTGACGAACGTCTTCGAGATCTGCCGTCTTCGAGGCAACGACGTGAATAACGCCCAAAATGTTCTGCTCCGTATGGTCGTGGTCGTGGTCGTGACCATCAGCATGGCTGTGACTGTGTTCATGGCCGTGGCTGTGCGAATGCGAATCGCCGTGGTCGTGCGAATGAGAGTGGTTGTGATCATGGTGATGGTCGTGGTTGTGGCTATGCTCGTGATTGTGGCCGTGGCTATGGTCGTGGTCGTGGTCATGACCGTGCCCACAGTCGTGTCCCCCTCCGTGAGCGTGCGAATGTCCGTGTCCCCTCTCGTGCGCAGCACCGATGTCCTCGATCCAGAAGCGGGGGGCACTGTAGCTAACAACACCGCGGATGGAGTTGAGGTCTCGAAGGACATCCTTTAGCGCATCTTCGACCTGCTGGTTGTTACAGAGCAATAACCGCATGCCAGCCCCAAGAGTGAGCGGTAGCGCAGAGAAGAAGATCAGCAGCGCGATAATGGACGACGCGAGAGGGTCCCAGCCGCTCCAGCCGTTCCATTTGGTAAGGAGTGTGGAAACTATCACGGCGACAGACCCGAGGGCGTCTGCCAGAATGTGCAGGAAAATACCTTGCATGTTCTCGTCGCCGTGATGGTGGTGGTCATGACCGCCGTGGCCATGCGCATGAGCGTGTCCCATCGCGGTGAGGCCGACAATGTTGACTACCAAACCAAGCACACTGACGACGAGAAGTTCGTCCAGGCGGCGAAGCTCGTGGCCCTCCCAAATGCGTTCGAACGCATCCAGAATGATTTCGAAACTCACGAGACTAGTGCGAGAGTCAGCAGGTGATGCTACAGAGGGAGGGGTTTCTCACATTAAAAATATGCCGTTGGCAAAGCCTGACAAGGTATCGACCTTGCCATAGCCGTACGGGAATCGTGCGTTCGGCGGCCATTTGCTCATTACAGCTGCGATGAGACCCACGGCGAGTCCGGCGCAATCGAAGAACATGTGGATGCTGTCGGTGAGCAGCCCTAGCGATCCGGTCACGAAGCCGTAGAAAAATTGGACTGCCATGAAGGCGAGATTCAGGCTGTGATAGTGTGAGTGTACGGCTAACTTGGTCAAAGCATCGGCCCAACGAATGTTCACAACTCACCATCCAAAATAGGCAATGCGGCGGGAATCCTTCTCCACAAGGATGCTGTGCACAAGGCCGCCGGCTTCGACGTTCTTCAGCAAAAGTCCCGTGAGTTTCGAATGCTTGTCATGGGCATGCGGTCCGTGTGCATGGTGGTGGTGATGACCTTTGTGGTCGTGGACATGGTCATGGTGGTGAGATGCGGGAGATAATGCGGCTCCTTTGGAGACTGTAAAATATGCAAGACCGGGGAAAAGTATGTCGGTGAAGGAGGCCATCCAGGAACCAGAAGAAAGGGTGAGCGCGGTCACGGCTGCAGAAGCGCAACCGGCAATGAGGGCCGATTTGTCAGAGGACCGCAAAGCTGCAGGCTGCGCAAAGACGTAGAAGCTCGCGGCAGAAGCCGCAGAAAGTACGGAGACGAACGCCGTTGAAGTAGCAAAGAATGGCGCCGTTTGGAAAGTCGAAAGAAAGAGTATGGTGAAAACGCTGAGAAGTGCACCTGAAACGAAAGTCGTCGTTATGTCATCCTGAGACAGGACGAGTGGGGAAGTCGTGATCGAAGTGGAGCTCAGTGCCATTGGAACCTTTTCCGGACTTTCGATCAGCGGCGAAAGCCCGCCATTGATGCCGTTGGCCTGCGGAGGCGGTGGAATCGTGTGGACGGAGATCGGCATCGGCGGTGGAAGTACCAAGATCGTCGTCGCAAGTGCCAGGTAGCCCGTCACAAGCTGCCATGCGCTCCTCGAAGTTGAGAACCCCATGATGTCGTAGACGAGGCCCAGACCGAGATAGGCGCAAAGCAGCTGCTTATCCTGGATCATGCGCCGAACGGCCAAGAGAGGCCGAGGCGCAGCATTCGTGCCACACAGACCATAAGCGATGGCGGTCAAGATGGCCACGCCTGCCCGAGCACCACCGAGCTGTGCGGCGGCATAAAATGGCAATCCGACGCTGAGAACGGTGGTGACCAATTTCTTAATCTGTCCCACAGCGCGCGCCGACTCTCCCTTCTCCGCATACTTTGCTCTTCTCCGGTCGAGACTTGGAGCATGCGGCCTGGCTTTGGCCAAGAGCGCGGTGAGCAGGAGCGTCCCGGAGGCGAGGATGCACGTTTCGAGAAGTGGTGAGCGATCCTGTGGCTGGGCAAGGTGTGCGGCGGGCTCCTCGTCCGACACTGCAGCGCGTAACCGGTCGAGAGCGGAATCGGACGGTGCGTCTGGGGAGGGGGATTCCGGGCGCGCGGCGAAGGCCAATGATGCCAGAATGTAGGGCAGAGGAACCAGCGCACCCGTGAGGATGGCAATGGCCTTGTTAGCGGGCCTAGAGATCCGTTAGCGAGCCCAAAGGCGCAATTGAGGCGCGGGATGGTCACGTACGCAGCGTCTTCGGCGTGCTTGCCCACGGGCGGAAAGCCATAGCCCGACGAGGTTTCCACAGAGCCGGCCGAGGCGGGGCGGCCAAGGTCGGACTCGCCGCGCGGGCGCAGACTCGGGCGACCTTTCATGAGGGCGGCGTCGGTGCTGGTGTTGGAGGATTGGGCGGGCGGCGCGAAGGGAGCGGGCGCAGGAGCTTGGAGGCTGCCGTGCGAGTGCGCCTTCTTCAAAGCAGCGCCGTTGTGGTTCGAGGACCAGCTGGGCGACCGGTCGGGCAGCAGGGAATTGCTATAGTGGTGGTGGTGGTGGGCACGTCCATGCTGAGGGTGGATGTGCAGGGAGGAGTCGAGAGGGAGCGCGTAGGTGGCGCTGGTGGATGCCATTCAGGCGTTGATGTTGGGGCGGTGGTCGTTATCGGAATGCGAGGTCGCAGCTGCCTCTGCGGAGAAGCTGCACCGACGCGACAGTCCCAGGGCAAGGACCGAATGCTGCGCAGTTCGTGAAAGAGACGGAAAGGCGTCCCGGGGGATGCAGCGCTCCATTCGCACGCTGCGCCTCAGGGGCGTCCCGAGCTCTCGACGCGCCCGCGGCCCTGGCTAAACCCTGCGCTAGTCCGTGGCGCGCGGGCCCAGGCGCGCGAAACACACATCAACGCTGCCTTCCGCCGCTTGCGCTCGCGCCTATCGGCGCCTCTTTGTCCGCCTCGATCCGGCAGTTGATCGCCCAGATAAGATACCCATTCATCACGTGCTGCTCCTCTCGTTCGACCACGTTACCACACCCGCTCCGGCCTGGCGATGATTTTGATCTGGCTCATTCTTGGCGCCCTTGCCTTGTTGGGCGTCTGCGGCGTGCTGCTCGCGCCCTCGCGCTATGCCCCGGTCTCGTCCGATGCCACCGTGCAGGTCGTCGTGCTGGGTGACATTGGCCGGAGCCCGCGCATGCAGTACCATGCCATCAGCCTTGCCAAACACGGACACAACGTTGACATAGTAGGATACAAAGGTTTGCCCCTCGTCCTGTCCTCTTGCCGTGGCGCCCGTGCTGACGACGGGCTCGAGAATCCGAACTGCACGCTTTCCTGGAATCCAGCCCCAAGGTCAAGGTGGTTGCAATCCCGCCATGGCCGAAACGCTATCAGACGGACAACAAGTTGCTGTTCCTGGGAATGGCCCCTCTTAAGGTCCTCTGGCAGACATGGGGCCTCTTTTCTGCGCTGGCATACCGCACAGTCCCCGCAAAGTTCACTTTGGTACAGGTATGCCAACTGCCGAGTCTTTCTCAGTAACGTCACTGACCAAGCATTTCTAGAACCCTCCGTCCATACCGACGCTGCTCGTCGCCCATGTTGTCTGTCTCTTGCGCAACACAACCCTGTGCATAGACTGGCACAACTTTGGGCACTCGATCCTGGCCCTGAAGCTTGGCTCCAAGCATCCTCTGGTTCGGATTTCCGAGACGTACGAGTATGCCGTCTCCCGCAGTGCTCCAGTCAACTTTACAGTTACTGAGGCAATGGCCCGCGTCCTTCGCGAGAAACACGGCAGACAGTACGTAGTGCCTCTGTACGATCGACCCCCGGCGCACTTCCAGCCCTGCCGCTCAGACGGAGCTCGCAAGGAAGGCTTCCGAGAGCTCTCGAAGCGTCTAGGCTGGCCAGAGCACGACGGGCCAACAAGACTCCTCGTTAGTTCCACTTCATGGACCGCAGACGAAGACTTTTCCATCCTGCTGGACGCTCTAGCAGGCTACTCGGTCGTCGCGACTGCACGGAACCTACCAACGATCCTTGCGGTGATCACCGGAAAGGGCCCGCAAAAGGATTACTACCTGTCCCGGATCGCCGCCATGGAATCCGAGAGGAAGCTCGAGCGCGTCCGCATACGCACCGCCTGGCTCAGCATGGAGGATTACGCCGCAATGCTCAGCTTTGCAGACCTGGGCGTGTCTTTGCATATGTCTTCTTCTGGAGTCGACTTGCCGATGAAGGTCGTCGACATGTTCGGCGCCGGTCTGCCAGTGGTGGGATGGAGCCAGTTCGAAGCTTGGTCGGAGCTTGTGAAGGAAGGTGTGAACGGAAAAGGCTTCGGCAGTTCCGCTGAATTGAGAGAGCTGCTGCTAGAGTTGTTCACTAATGATGAGGGGCTTGCAAGACTGAAAGAAGGCGCATTGAAGGAATGCGACAAGAGATGGGACGACGAGTGGGACGCAAAGGCCGGGAAGATCTTTTTGTAATCGGGTATCGCCGTAGAGAAGACCAACAAAACCCAGGCCTCCCTTTTTCTCTCGCTCGGTCTGCACTACAATGAGAAACTTCCGAGCCAGCACGACCATGGCCCTGGCTCCAACGAATGTTCTTTGATGTGGCGCCCGCCTGTTCCCGTCCGCAGCAACGGCTCGTTTGGTGCGGGAAGTGGCCATTTCATGTTTCACTAGTCTTTATTGGAGCCAGGGCATGCAGGTCCATGCAGGTCATCTCGGCAGATCCTCCAGGTACGATGTCGGCTCACAGAGTAGTGCGACAAGACTGTCATGCATAAGAGCGAATCAATTTTCGTTTTTAAGGTAAGGCGGGAAATTCACTCGCAACTGGGATTTCTGACGCCGTCGGCAATATTCTCTGCACTGGTGCAATCCTTCCGATTTCCATGAATAGAGCCAGCAGACATTCGCTCGTGTCGTCCCTCATCGACGTGCCGTCACAGTGTTCTCGAACCCCGGCATGTGCGCTTTGAGGGTCTGCAAGCATCATGTCTCACCCTATCGCTTACACAGTGTTATTGATGTGGGTCGCCGTGACGTTCTTGGATTGCTACGCACGGTCAAGCTTCGGGTACGTAACAGGGTTGTTGGCCTCACATTCGGAGCTATCCAGCTCCGTGGGACCGGCCTTAAATCTACTTCGATGACGAGAAGACTCACAAGTTGCTGTTATATCCTAACAGAGCCCGATTCGTTTCAGAAGCAAATGTTGAAGACCAAAATTCCGTCAGCCAACTCCCAGCCTCGAACGGCCGAGAATCTCGCCATCACCGCCGGACGTGCGCATCGTTTGCGCTATCCACGAGCGTGAGCACACAACGTCCAGCATCGTCGTGACCAGAGTACTTCCGTCGGCACGGTTGTCCTAATTGCCGTCAGACCATCAGGGACAAGATCAGCACGATAAAGCCGTTGCAATTGGTGGAAGTGGATCGGGGAACACGCCCAACCGCAGCCCGCCAAGACGCCAAGTCAAACAACATCCCCGCTACACTTACTGCAAGGAGCAAGAAACGGGGCAGGAGTTTCTTCATGCGAGAGAAAAGGGAACTCGAGGGTAATGTCTCCACCAGACGAATCGCAGAACATTCCAAATGGTTTCGTAGGGGCGGCAGGGGAAGCGAGAGCAATGAAAGGGTTCCCTTGAATTTCGCGTGCTCGGTGGCCGAGAGAATATAAATTCCAGCATCTCTCCAGAAGCTTCAGTGTTACTTGACAGAAGAGAAGCTCATACAACAGTCTTCAGATACAAGTGACGCCGGAACCATGCCTGCCAAGTCTTATATCAGCACCGCTGCCCTCCTGGCAGTCCTGCTCGGTGGCGCCCAAGCTGCCGATATTTACGTCTCTCCTACTGGTACCGGCACTGGCTCCATCACCGCACCTTACGGTTCCATCCAGTCGGCCGTCAACGCCGCGAAGGCTGGAGACACCATCCACCTCCGTGCCGGCACTTACTCGCCGACCTCCAACATTCAGATCACCAAGAGCGGCACTGTCACCTCCCCCATCACTCTTCGGTCGTACCAGGAGGAGAAGGTGATTCTGGACGGTGAAGGGTTGCCAGGGTATGTTGGAAGCCCTTGTAGGAAAATCAAATACTAATTTTCTCTCAGCACTCCGTACGGACTCGACGAGTCTCTTCCCAACAAGGAGAGAGGCATCCTTCACATCGAGAAGGGCAACTACTGGAAGTTCTACAACTTGGAGTATGGCTGCGCACCAATCTCATAGGCGTTGTACTCACATTTGGCTAGGCTGATCAACGGCCCTTACGGAGTCTACTCCCGTGATTCGTCCCACAACTACTACGAGAAACTCTCGACTCATGACAACTACGAGACCGGTACGATCCTCTTCTAAGAGCAACCCAAGACTGAGAACTTACCCCTAATTCACCATAGGCTTCCAACTGCAAGGTGCCGCCTCGAACAACACCGTCATCTATCTCGACTCCTACCGCAACCGCGACCCGCGCAAGAACGGCGAGTCGGCCGACGGTTTCGCGTGCAAGGAAGGCTCGGGCGAGGGCAATGTGCTGCGCAATGCGCGCCTGTGGGACAACGTCGACGACGGACTGGACCTGTGGCTGTTTGAGTCGCCGGTGACGATCGAGGAGGTGTACTCGTGGGGCAACGGCTACGACCGGTGGGGCTTCGACGACTTCCAGGGCGACGGCAACGGCTTCAAGCTCGGCGGCAGCGGCGACGAGAGCACCATTGTGCCCGCCGGCCACATTGTCCGCAACAGCATCGCCTTCGCCAACATGAAGAAGGGCTTCATCGACAACGGCAACCCCGGCGCCATGACCATCGAGCGCAACACCGCCTGGAACAACGGCGATACCGGCTTCGTCTTCAGGAGCTCCCCGAGCACCCTGTCCAAGAACATCGCTGCGTTGAACGCCGGCAGCGCGGGCCAGGCCACCGTGAACAGCGACGCCAAGGCGAGCGGCAACTCGTGGAACATTGGCGGCACTTGGTCGAACAGCACCTTCAAGAGCGTGGATGCGTCGACGCTGAAGGGCGCGAGAGACTCAACCGGCAGGGTCAAGGCGAGCGACTTCTTGCTGCCGACGTCTGGTAATGCCATTGGGGCTACGACGCGGGAGGATGTTTGAATGAGGGTCCGTCTGTCGTCTTACTCGCTTTCTTCTCTGTGAATATTTCCGTCTTGAAGACCTTGAACGAATGGCATTTGTAAATAAGAAATCTATGCTTGTATATGAAATAAGTTCCAGGCCGTGCTACATCGTGGTTTCTACTCTTTTCCGATGGCTAGCGCGAAGAATAGCAGGGCTCTAGAACATAGTGCAACTTTGCTCCAGCTCTGCCTTAGAAAAATTAACAAATGTGGGTAGTTGAAGCTATTGTCCGGACGTGTATGTGGAATTTTAAATTCGACATTCTTGTCCGGACGATAGCTTCAACGACCCATGAAATGAGCAAAAAACAAATCCACGTTAGCCATCGGCTGCGAGAGGGGACTGTAACTTACTGGTTTGAATCGATTAACCGATTAACCATGGGTTTACTCTATCGCTTTGTTAAAAATACTATCTGTACCCGTACTTTCTTAGTCTAAACATTCAATGCCGTGGCTGGGCTTAAAGGACTCGGTGACCTGGCCATCCATCAGTATTGACGAATATCCAGGATCTGAGAAAAATTGGAATTTTCACCGTGTTCGTTGCCTACACAGCAACGGATTCCGCAACCGCATTGGCATGTGCATGGCGTAAGTGTCAGTAAGACGTCGCATAAGGTCAGTAGCTGTACTCACAATCGATTCTGCTCCACTACCGACTGGGGTAAAGCCTGTTTATACTCAGCTTCAGAAGAGTACGCGGACGTTTTACGTTGTCAAGAGCAGTAGACATATCCAAGTCATGTAGCAGTTAAAATGTCCAACCACCACTCGAGGACCAGATCCAATATTTTCAACTATACAGATCAAGGATTCAAGATTCATATGTGTGAAATATTTGCTTCTATATTGACCAATATCTAATTAATAGTTATTTGAAAGCTATAGATTGGGATTAGAGTAGTATCTAGCTCGTAGTAATGGTTGGTCATTTTGAATGCGATGAGTCGGACTCTAATGAAACGGAATACTGTTAGATGAGGCACCTCCTTCGTTAACCGTATCGGCGCTGTCTTACTCTGCAGGTGACTTGAATTTACAAATACAGTCGGGATTGATCCTCCTCATGACTTGCGGTCAACTTCTAAAAATCAAAATTTTCCAAAGCGAGGTTTGCGACCACGCTTGGCCATATCTTTAACTTCCACAGCAACGTCTACAGGGTACTAAGCCCCTCAAAGTCCGCGAGCCCATACCTCCCATCTATCTACAGTATTCACTTCCTCTTCGAACCCCTTCCACCCCTCGCGCTCTTCTTCCCCTTGCCCTTATCCCCACCACCACCGCCTCCTCCTCCACCGCTCAGCATTACCCTCACCTTCCCCACGGGTACCACGCCGTAAACCTCCGTTTCCTTCCACGCCTTCACCAGCTCCGCCTCCTTCGGCCAAATCCTCTCCACGTCCTTGCTCTCCTTGTCAAACGCCCTCGGCTCCTTGAAGGCAGCGTCCCACCTCCCCAAGATCTCCTTGACCGCCTTGCCCTTCTTTTGAGCGCCGGGCTGCAGCTTGACCTTGTACTTGTACGTCGCGAGCGACGACCACGGCGCGCACACGGGCATGGCGGCGACGAGCTCGTCTCCGGGAAGCGGCCGGCCGGTGAAGGCGTCGATGCCGATCTGCTCGAAGAGCTGTTTCGCCTCCTCCTCGACCGCCGGATCGTTGTCCTCGCCGAGCGCGCCCTCGAGCGCCGCGCGCCGGCGCTCCTCGTCCGCCTTGCCCTTCTCTTGGGCGCGTTGGTGCTGTTCCCGACGGCGTTGCTTCTGAGCCTGTAACTCTTCTTCCTTGCTGACCTTGGGCGTCTCCGGCTCGCCGGATTCTGTGCCAGCAGGCTTCGCGCCGAGGAGGCGAAGGGCGAGTTCGCGCTCCTCTTCGTCTTGTTCGGCATACTTCTGCGCAGCCTTCTTCGCCTTGGCACGCTTTCCTCTGGGAAGAGGAGCTTGCTTTTGCTTTTGACTGGAAATCTGAGTGGTGGCTTCGGTAGGGGCTATCGAGACGGTGTCGCCTTCATCATCGCTGCCGTTGGTAGAACCGGCAGCGGGCGTGGTGAGCTCCGAGGGATTGATGCCCTTGCGAAGCAGTCTGCGCTCACGCGCAGAGAGATGACGCTTTCCAGTCGTTTTGCCCTGCTTTTCTTGCTTGCTCTCCGATTCGCCTTGGCGTTCGGTCTCCTCCCTCGGCTGAACCGTTTCAGCTACATTCTTGGATTCTTCCTCCTGCGCTGGGCTCGGGGATTCCTCCTGTTCGGCTTCCTCTTCCGATTCGGGGTCATTTCCTCCATCCGCTGCATTAGCACCGCCCGACTGCAACGGGTTGTCGCGGTTTTGCTGCTCGTCGTCGCTCTCGTCCGAGGCAGATCCTAGCTTTGCGTCTGGAAAGTCTTCGTCGCTATCCTCATCCTCATCCTGTCCTGCCGTCTCCTCGGGCTTCTCCTCCCATTCCAGGCTGGGTTGCGGTGCGGCAGGCTTAGGGGGAACGTTTCCTTCGGTCAGCCTGTGCTTGTTGTGGTTTTTCTTGCTTTCCTCGGTGATCTGAAAGAGGACTGCGAATCCGAGGAGCAGTTGAGCAGGCGGTAAAAAGTTCTTCTTGCCGTTGATGATGAAGCCACCGGCTTGAAGGTATTCGCCCGTCGGGGTGGTTTTGGAAACTTGATCCGCGTTGACCCACCATGCTGACATTACTGCCTTCGAGTCCCACGCCGAGGAGGTCGAAACGCAGAGGTTGCCGGCCTGTGACAGAGTCGACGGGGGGATCGGGTCGTCGGGAGTAGAAGGGTTGTTCTTGATGATGACGCTCGCCGCTCCGTTGAGGTCGGCATGAACGTAAACATCACCCTTTTTCAAATAACGCCTGTACAGTATCTCGTTCTGTTGGGCATCCTTGCCTCTGTTGATTGCGTGGTCAGCAGGATGTTCGTCCGCAGCGCTTCGTCGGGATGAGCTTACCCAAGAACCAGGTATCCGTCAGATGATATGAAGTACATGAACTTCTCGAACCAAAACTGTTTCCTTACTGGCCTGAGCAGCTCCTTCTCCTGCTTCAAGCCCTTCTTCAAGTCGGCCTCGATCTTCTTTTGTGTGCTCTTCAAAGCCCTTTGTGAGGCTTCCAAGGTCCTTTCCTCCTTCGCCGCTGCCGATTTCTTCTGATCAAAATACGTTTTCGCGTTGGCCCACGGAGTAAGACTCAAGTCGATATCGATGGGAAGCCGTTTATCCTCGGGCTTCGCGGCCGGCTTCTTGCGCTGCTGCTGCCCCTCCTCCTCTTCGTCATCTGAAGACTCGCTCTCGGTCTCGCTACCCTCGAAATCTTCGTCGTCATCTTCGAGACCTGGCTCGGCGAGGAGTAAAGTGACGGTATTCTCGCGAAGGTTGAGCGATTTGATCATCTCAGCGACGGGGTTGCCGTGCTTCCGTTCCCGCTCTATCAGACGTTCGATCTCGACCCAGTCCATGCCCTTTTCGATGAGCCCGTTGACCGCCATGGTTCCTTCTTGAACTCGGTCGACGTTTGCTTGGATGGCTTCTGCTTTGCGGATGTTGAGCTCCTGGGCTCTCTGTAGTCCCCCGAGACGCTTCAGGTGCTCCTGTTTGGCCTGTTCGAGCTTCCGCTTGGCATTTTCCTCCCGTTCCTGGAGGCGAGACTCCAACTTTTGGCCTTCGATTGAGGAGAAGAATTCATCGACCGTCTTGTTGAAGCCCTCGAACTCGAGGAAGGTTAGGGACTCGTCAGCCTCGAACTGTTTCGGCTTGAAGGGGTGGAAGTCTTCGTAGAGGAGTTTTTCCGCGGGCGCCTTCTCTTCTGCACCTTCTGTCGACTCCTTGTCGGCTGGCTGGCCGGTCTTCTTGGCGACTATATACCCCTTTGCGATTTCGGCGCTCGTGATTTCAGCGTCGACTCTTTTGGCCTCGGCGAGCGCCGCCATCAACCCGTCTAGCAACGAGCTGTCCTCCAGGACCTGCTCCGGCTTGACGGAGGTGTCGAAGCCGGTGCTGTGGAAGGCGTGGTCCACCAGCATCGGCGGTAGTTCTGTGATGGATACCGCCAACGCCTTTCGCAACGCATCCTTGCCCTTCTTTTTCGCTCGCTTGTCCGGCAATTCTTGTTGCCTTTCGACCGCCTTCTGCAAGCCTTCTCGCACGCGCTCCCTGGTCAACTCGGGCACGCCGTCGTAATTCTGCCTCTCCGTCAGGTTGTACTTGCTTCCCATTTTGACCCTCTCATGCTCGGCGCCTTCGTCCACGGTGCGCAGAAGCGAAAGGATGTTGAGTTCGCTGTCCGTGAGGATGACGTTGCCGCCGGCGTAGAACTCGAGATAGACGCGGTACAGGCCGTCGGAGAATTGGAACTCGATTATACGGTCGGTGCCTATTTGCTTGATGGATGTGACACGCCGAGTCTTGAGAAACTTGCGTAGCCTCACCACGAAGGGCGAGGGTGCGGCGGCAGTTGCGCGCGCGAAGCTCGTGAGGTGGCATCGGAAACCCGAGTCGACGAGGAGCTGCTCTCGATGGTTCGGCTTTTGGAACTTGAAGAGGAAGATGCGCTGGACTCGAGGTTCAGTACTCGCTTCCGCCAATTCGGCTGACGCGCGGGCAACGTACGGTGGACAGGTCGTAGATGTTAGCTACGCGCAACGAGCAGAGGCTGCTCGAGAGCTCGTGCGCGATGACCTGAGAGCTGTCAGCCGGGGCGGTGCGAGCAATGAGGCCTCCAGAGCCGTACCTTAACGTCCAAAGACGAATAACGCTGCTTCATCGTGGACGGACGGTGTGCGGTGGTGTTCGGCGAAGGTGGGTGACGGACGTTTTCAATGTGCGTCATTGCCAGAGACGCGCGCGCCAAGAAGCAGCCGATCGCGGGGCTGGCCGTAGGGCTGAGCTTGCGGCGGCAGTCAATCACCCGGTCTCCGTAAATGGTAGAGCGGCGTCCCCTGCAGAGGCGCCTCGTGTCGATGATTTATTGTATCTAAGCCCAAAAAGAAAATTACGCTCTTCAGCATTCGTAAACTTTGTTCAGCCCGCGCGCCCTCTGCAAGCTCTAGCCTGTCTGGCAGCCAACCCCCAGCCACTACCTCCGAATCCTCTTGACGGAAGGCAGGATCAACAAAAAGCGCTGCGGCCAGTCTCACGGCAGCCCTTTGATTCGCCCCAACGTCCCGATGCCGTGACTGGGCTTATGCCACGGGTAGGCCCAACATCACAACGCCAAAACATGCCAATGTAGCTCAGAGACCTTGCCTCAAGCGCTCGCCCAGCGTCCGCTTGCCAAACTCCCATGCGTTCAGCAGACCCTGTTCCGACAGGTCGATGTTCTTGGGGTTGAAGTCCTGCTGGGGCGGCCTGCTGACACGCGATGCGACGATGACCGGGTCGGTCTCGAGGATGATGCCATCGTCGACGATCTCGTCTATTGCGAGCGAAACGAGGTCGTAGTTCTCGATGATGGTGCGCTTGTCGGTGGAATTCCTACAATCTGGTTAGTACCGTGTCGGGGCCAATTGGGATGGTCTGGAGCGCAGCTTACTTGAGCAGGATGTTCAGGGAGTCGCGGAGGGCGAGGATGACGTTGTAGAGCAGGATTTCGTTCTCTTCGGCACCGCCAACGACGTACAGCATGACGTCCGACTCCATCTTGAACACGACGACGCGGTTGTCGTAGAGGATGACATCACTGGTCTGCTTGGCCGTCTTCTCGAGAAGGCCTTTCTCGAAGGCCTTCTGGTCCTTCAGGTTCGGGTAGGGGTTCGCGCCAGGATAGCTCGTAGCATTGGCGGGCGTGCCAACCGGCGGGTGCGGAGCATTGTAGTACTTGGCGAGGATGCGCGACGAGTCGTCCGTGGAAAGGATCAGGATTGCGTTGACGGAGAAGAGCGAAAGGGCCATGGTGGGCAATGTGGCCGCGAGTGCGGGTTCTTATGCGGCGCGAAAGTGGTTGCGAGTTGAGCAGCGCGGCCGGAGTTGCGACGGTGATTCCCCTTGCTACGTCGCGGCAACGCGCCTGAGCTCGGTGGCCTTTTTGAAGCCTCACCGCCTTCGCCGGCAAGGGTCCGCAGCACCACAGACACAAAAGTCCACCACCCGTGTGCAGCGGACTGATTTGAGAGCTTGGGAGATGCAAAAAATAGTATTCGAGAGCTCCGAGCGCACAGCGCGGGAGCGTTGCGGCCACGACTTTTCCGCCGCATCGTGCGCGTCTCCGGCAGGCGCGTCTCTAAAAACTTCCGTCCGATCGTCCACCAACCCATTCTGCATTGCTCGCGCTCACCATGTCGAGTTCGCGCCGCATAGCTGCTGCAATCTGCCCTTCCGCACCGTTCCTCGTTCCGCGCCGAGCCTGCGCGGTGCTCCGCCTTCCACACTTCAGTCCGGGCTCCGTTGCAGCAAAGCATGATGCCGCCCGTTCTCGATCCCGCCGCCCGCAGACGCAGTCGTCTTTCCTCAGGAAGGCGAAGGCTGACCAAGGTAGATTCGGTCCACCTCCGGTCTTGGACGAGCAGTCGAGAGAAGTATGCGCACAGCGCCCGCTTGGACGATTAATAAAGGCTGATTGCTAGACAGCTACTCTTGTACTTTCGTCAACAATGCACCAACAGAAACCTCGAAGACGTCATTCGCCTCTACCCAAACATGCTTGAGAGCGCTCTCCTCACACACAATGACATCCTCCACGTCGCCAAACTGATCCATAATTATTTTCGCAAGCTGGAAAAGACCAGGAGATCGGAAGCCATGCCTGTTTTGTTCGAATTCACAGACCGTGTCATCGAAGATCTCCGGACCGGTGCAGTTCCCCCGCACCATGCTGCGAATTTGCACCTGCTGTCCTTTCTCAAAGAAGCCGGACACTTTGACCGGGCCATCAAATTTTGGGAATGGCTCAAGCAAAAGAGCAACGACTTCGTGGACGCTGCTGTCTACGGAGCTGCAATTGAGCTCCTGACGACGCAGGGAAAAGCCGACCTGGCTGAACTGGAGGCTGTGTACGCCGAAGCTCTCCGTCGCTTCCCGGGAAATTTCGCCCAGTACCATCTCTCGCCGGAAGCAATGGTGCCAGACCGTGGCCAGCCCGTCGAGATCAAAGGACTTCCCACTTCGTTACTTCAAGGCATCACATCCGCAAGGATAGAACGAGGTGATTGGCGGAATGCATACCTCGGGTTCGATACTGCGCTGCGCCTGTTCCCGACCCAGGTTCCTGAGCGCTTTTTCGAGATGTTCGTATACAAGAGGCCGCTCGCCGAGTCGTACACCGTCTTCGCCATGGCCTGCCGGTCTGGTGTCTCCCTGAGGCCAGAAATTTTGACCGCCCTTCTGAAAAAGTTGGTCGGAATCCAGCCTCGTGCCTCCATGGAGGACAGAATCTTGGCCATCAAGGGTATGCTGAACGCTATACACGTTTACGCCGGTGTCGGCGGTTCTGTTACGTGTCACCACGTCAGTGTGCTCGTGAAGGGATTCGAAGACCTGCTTCCAAAAGCTCCGCAGGGAAACCCAGCCAGTGAAGCAGTCAATCGGCTCGTTGGTAACACTGCACGCGAAACCGTGCTGACCATATCGCAAGCTGGTGTTCCGCTCACCTCATCGACAGTTGCTAGCATGGCGGGCCTTGCAGGCAAGGCGCGGCTGCCTGAGCTCCTCGGCCGAACGATCCAGGACATGACCAGCGCGGGTATAGAACCAAATGAAGTCGCACACAGAGCCATGGTTCTTGCCGCCGGGCAGATCAAGCATCTCGAGCTGCTCGAACTGAGCTGGAAACGCCTCGTGGAAGCCGCCGAGGCATCCGGGACGCAGCTGGACGTGGTTGACTGGAAAGCTCTGGCGCGCGCGAGCGTCAGCGCTGGCCATGTCCGCTTCTTGCGGGAGCAGACCATTTCGCTCAGCCACACAATGACGGACGACATTAGGCACTCGATTGAATGCGAAGTGACCGAGGAGCAAACAGGGGAAACCTCGAAGCGTTCGCGTCGCACACAGGAGTTCCGTGGAGTGGAGTTCACAGAAGCGGACAATGCTCTCGTCAACGCTGCGATACCGGAAATCAAATCTCAGGTCAAGTCGACCGCTGCGCTCATGAAGTCTGACAAGCTGCTCAACTTCTACGAGCATGCTCCTGCAATGTCGTTGGTCGCCAGGCCAGCAATAGGGTCGGAAACGGCGTTGCGCACGGTCTACGATGAGCTCACGACAGACCCCCGTCTTCCTGCGACGAACCAGCCCCTCCGACCAGCGAAGAAGAGTGCTTTCGGCTACCCGTTGGATTCTTTGCGATACGCCAACTGGAAATCCATCAACGAGCTCCTCCTCGATGCCGAAGCTCACGAGGCGGAGCGGCAGCGAAGGATGGAAGAGGCTATGGAAGAAAGCGGAGATTCGACTGGACTGGAACCGTCCATTCGAAGATTTTTGCACTTAAAGCTCTCACCGCATGGATTCCGAAGGGACCGAAGCGGAATTGCCGCCGAGGACGATGCCGCCCATGCGTCTGATGAGATCGGGCGTGTGAGACGGGAGATACACCGGCTAAGGGCGCTGCAGGATCAGCCACGCTTTGCATTGGACCCCTGATGCAAAATAGACATGCTAATTGGTGCTCGGAGGGCTCTTGGGAAGATTTCACGAGGGAAAATGGGACTCGATCGCCGCTCTTCTAGAATCCTCGATATTCGAAATTGTGATGAACCGCGTTGCGTGCTCGTCGACGGCAAAATGAGCAACGGACAAAGATAGAAACGGAAGACGCAATGCCTCCGTACGATGGCGAAGCCGCCAGCGTAATTGATCTGCCTTGCGGAGGGGCAAGCTGGTGCGACTGTTGCAAGAGGATTTCCCCTCAATGTCACTGGAGCACAACAGCAGTTCACAATGCGTGTCTCTTCCTTCAGCGGTCTAAGATGCGAGTTTGAAAACAAAAAGGTGAATAGCGTATCCATCAGATCTTTTGCCCCATTCCCATTCCTCACACGCCGGGCTCGTAGGACTATCAAAACACCAAAAGACCCCCAAACCTTGAATCCGCCTCTGAAGAGTAACAATCCGTGAGAATGCACCAAAAATTCCAAAAGACTCCAGATATTTTCCCCGCTTTAACCCTAAGTTCCTGACGCACAGACGGAGAGAAGACGTATCAGAAAAAGACGCGCTGTACAACGTCAACGCACAACACGTTGGACAAGCAACAAGATTCATGCAGCGACGACGCCGGCCTCCTCGTCGAGCCGCCTTCTCGCGGCGGCCCACATGTCCTCGGCGGATTGCTGCGAGGGCTGGTGGAAGCCGTTGCGGCCGAAGTCGACGGGCGAGGGCGGCGGGGCCTCGAGCGTCTCCTGGACGGCCTTGGTGCGGGTGATGTCGAGCGGCGACGAGGCCTTGAGGGCGGCCGACACGTCGTGGCCGAGGGTGCTGTGGGTGAAGAGGGAGAGGCGCTCGCGCGGGTGGACCGGACGGGGCTGGGAGAGGAGAGACATTTTGTTGGTGATGTTTGGTTGGTTGGGGGGGGTCCCAAAGATGGTATCGGTCAATGTTGGTTTTGACGATTGCGGTGGTGTTGGTGTGGAGCCCAACGAGAGAAACCTGGGGCGGATCGTGTGGGGCAGTATTTATGGGCTGCGGCTCGCGTTGCACAGCTGGAACGACTGAAATTTTTGTTAGTTCAACATTTCCTGCCGGTCGCGCAACAATAAGCTTACAAGCTGGAACCCGGTGTGTTGGACGACGGGGCTTCCTGGGGTGGGGAGTGGGCCGGATCCGGAGGCTGGTCGGCGCGCGGAATGTCTGGACTGCTGCGGGCGGGCGTGGTGATTGATATACCTAGTCACGGCTCGAGGCGGAGAAGCAAGTAAGGGGTAACAAGGCTGAACACGTAGTATGTGGAGGTGGCTTGAGCGGGCGTCTCTAAATAATTTCAGCGCGCCTTGGGGCAGTCTTAGCGTGCTACGGATTATATTTATACACGCGAGCAGCATTCTTACAAATGTACGAGCGGCGGGCGACTTGGTTGGGTATTTGTACACCGCCATCCTGACTCGATGCGAGGCGGACGGAAAAGGCAAGTCCGCTGCACTCTGTGGGAGAAAGTGCCAGGGACAACAGGGCTGCAAGCTCTCCCCCACGCTCTAGTCCTCGCTAGCTCGCTTCCGTCTTCCACTTGTCTTCCAGAACGCCCCCAAAACAATCGGATACGCGACCGCCCTGTCCCTGCCGGCTGCCTGACTGTGACGGCGTTTGTTCACCTGGCAAATGAGGGCGCCCAGCCACGGGCTGAGAGATTCCGTCGTGTCCGAGACCAAACTGTCGTCAGCCCGGCTTCGTACCACGCAAAGCCTATCCATCCTTTTGCGTCCGCACGCCGCCTTCCCCGGATCCATTGAAATTGGGCCAAGCGACGCGGGTGATGAGATGGGTGGCTTGTTCTGCTCCCGGCGCCGCCTCATTTCACGTGTCCGACTACTACGAGGCCATCTGGAGACAGCCTCGCCTGCCAGCGCAGCGGAAATCAGACCGCCAGACCGCTGAATGCAAAGTCATGCACATCCCGGCCCCTTCGCACGTCGCCTATTCACGAACCCCAGCTTCCCCATATTCCGTGCAACCTGCTCTCCACCAGACCGGTAGAGACGACGCCCCCCTATTTGCCCGTTCGCGGCTATCGGCGGAGGCTGACGCGCTTCAACAACGGTGCACCCGCGCACAACAGCTTCCGCTAGCTGCGATCGTCTCTGGGTATCGGCGCCTACAGCAGTGGGACCTTCCGATAACCTAAAAACTCTATTGGGTGGACCAGGCGATGGTGGTGAGCGGATACGAGTAATGGCAGTAAAAGTACGATGATTCTCGATCCCGCCGCAGAGAATCCGGGAGGAGAAGAGGAGCGGTGAGATCGTCTTTACCTTGAGGCAAGAAGAATGCGGAGCCGGCCTTCATGCGTTATGCTTGCTCCGCTCGACAGCAACGGCCTTGCTTCGCTCTGCGCCTGCCGTGGCTCTTTCCGGGCGTCGGCATGCCGTGCGATGACACGCGGTGCGAAAAAGCTGCTCTCCCCCTGCAGCGTTGATTTGCTTTTGTCTTTTCTCTCTTCTCGGGATGCTCTGCGCCGATCTCATGCCACGGAGGGGCGGGAGCAGCGGGTATAGGCGCCTGCATGTCGTCCTTCTTCATTAAAGATTTACCAGGCTACACGGCCGCGCTGCGATGCCGCCCACAACTTCGTATGCGCGCAGCATGCATGTCTCACTCACACAGCATCCGCCAGCTAGTATCAAGGACCGCTGCATCCCAGTGGCGCTCTTGCAGCGGGCCAAACGGGTCTGCAGATCGCAGTGGGGCGGCGTCCAATGCCTGCAAGGCCGGCATGCAACCCGGGCCGTGTGGGTGCCAGAACGAATCGAGATAGCGACCCCCGCCCTCGCCTTTTAACCGTCGCTTTCATGGGCAACCTCATCGACTCGTCTCGCGCCAGATTCGGGCCGCATGGATTTCTGGGCCGGCGGGAAGGTATGTATCGCTACGACGACGTCAGTTGGCATTCCTCCGTCCAAAATCCTCCCATTCATCCTCGGATCTGCAGCAATCCGCCCACCCGTGTCGTAAAAGGTAGGGATATTGGCCGTATTGACAAGAAACAACGATGCTTCAGGAGAAGAAAAACAGGCAGGTTTGCTTATTTGTCAATCTCCATTTCGTAAATGATGAAACTTGAAGCTGACTGGCCGCCCAGCTTCGGGTATTTTTTTTTCTTCTGCATAGCACCTTATCGAGAACGGTGCTTGATCGTAAAGTTGTTGTATCATGAGTGGGCCTCTACTCATCTCGATTTTGCGCATGTCCTCTCTGCGGGATCTGCTTACATCTTTACTGTGGTACGCGCGGCAGAAAGGGATATGCGCGATCTCAACCTGCATCTGCGCCAGATCGCTCACATTTTTTCTCCCAGTGAAAACCGGGGGAAACAACGACAGGTACTTTCCCGACATCTTGCTCGTCTTTTTTTTTCTTTTTTCCTATTTTCCCTTTTTTTTTCCTATTCATATCTTGAATAGAACGTTCTGCCGCTTCTCCCCGGTCTCCTCGGGAACCGATAGTCGATGGTGGTACAAGAACGGGCAGCCACTTTTCTTTTCCCCTGCATGCGCGCGTACGGGGCCGACGGATGCTACTAAAACCTTCTCATGTTTCTATCCGGCGCGCACACCATGCTATTATCGTGCTTTTTCGCAGCCCCAGACCATTGACCGCTCGTATGTCATCCTATCTATCCATGACGCACGCCAGATTCCTGTCCAGCACGCGTCTCGAGCCGCCATGCTATGCAGGGTATCTGAAACATCGCTCCGCTCTCTTTTCTTTTTTCTCACTGCCGCATGCGCTCCGTCCATTCCTTCAACCGCACCGTGTTTCAAACTTGACCATCTTTCCTGTTTTACTTCTTCTTATACATTTCCTCGATGCAACCATTGTCGCGCATGAGCATACCTGCGTTGCCGGCACTACGCCGCCGTTGTGCACAGAAGGGTATTACATCCGAAAGCTAGCGTTATTTTGTTTTTCACTCATGTCATGGGTAGCTGAAGCTACCATCTAGACGAAATTGTCGAATTAAAAAGTCTACGTACACGTCCCGACGATATTCAACTCTTCATATTTTCTTTTCACTTTTTTTTGGCTGCTTAAAAAAAGCGCGAGGAATAGTTGCCCTAGATTCGAGGATTCTGTTAATCTTCGCGCTAGCCTTCAGCTGCAATACCCCTCTGAATACAGATGAAGCGAGCGCAGTGCAGGTATTACAAGTTTCAATCTGCAACGAAAGGACTCAACGGCTTGCCGGAGAATGCATCTTCCTTTTCCTCGCTCTAACATCAACTCAAAACACCCAACCATGCCTTGGTGCTTCGATAATATCGGCCTCACACCCCACCCAGCCATTCCATTTCTCAATTGCCTTTTCTTCCAACGCGGGACGCCGGAACCGCTGTAGTCTGTACAAGCATCGTCCAGTGCCTCTGCTTCCTGCTCCGCGTTTTCTTCCTGCCATCAACAGCCACCCCGCCTGCCATTGGCCACAAAACGGATGCCGATAAGCCAGCACTGCTTCCACATACATATGTAGGTGCATGCATCCAGCACGCAACGACCCCTGCGGCAACCCCCGCCCTCCCACGGCCTCCCTCGTCCGCAGGAAAGAAGAAATCCCGGCTGATGACGAGGCGCTCCATATAATAACCGAATACGCGCGGCCCGGTCCGGGCGACAGGAACGGTGCGCAGACTGGGAAGGGCCATCTTGTCAATGTGCTCGTTCTGCGAACCGTCGACGTTGATGCCGATCAGCTCGTGTCAGCACATCTGCTGTGCTGGGGAGACGGGTGGACCCGGCTGATCCCTACTGAAATCCCATCTCCGTACGGCGGCAGATTGGCATGCATTGCTGTAGTGCGGCGGCGGTTCCCACGCTGCAAACCGCCGTTCCTTGCTGCTTTGGTTTCTCCTATCTCTTCGACTTTTGGGTTTATCAACCATCACACGTTTGTGACACATACACGTACTCAACAATTTCAGTCTCTGCACTTGGGGAGCGCGGGCGAAATGCCCCGGCTGGTCGCCTTGCATTGCATGCGTGCGTATGTACGTGCGTGTGGATGTGTCCCTATGCGGGCATCAACGGGAATGTATGTACAATTCGTGCGAACGGTGGCAGGGTCTGGAATATACTCCGCTACGTATATATCCGAGAAGTATTACCGGTAGTACCCGCGATACGTGCACTCACGACGCGTTTCCCGGTCTCGTAAATGCTAGCCGCAGGATGCTCTTTTTTGGGGGGCTGCAAAATACTGCCACCACTAATCACCCAAAGAGCGATGGGGTCGAGAACGAGAGCGGTGGAACAATCAGGAGAGGAACAGGGATAAAGTGCTGATGGAGGTGCGGGTGCTTATCAGAGGGGTGCAGTAAATTGTGGCTTGGGGGATCTCGCCAAGTCTATACTTCGTATGTGGGTGACAGCTTACGTTTACCTGCATCCCCGCGGAGGTCCTCTTCAACTCCCAGAACGTTGTAGATGAATCCTTGCGGCTCCATAGACTGGCCTAGATTTGCGGTGCGGTTCTCGCCGCTGCGCAATACTCTCTTATCTGAAGAACTGCAACCCCATGTAATGAAGGCAATGTCACATGTAAATTTTTCTCAAGTATCGTTTCTTACCCTGCGTCGTCTAGTTGTATTTTCGTATCCGTAGTTAAAAGAAAAGAAATTTTGATGTCATAATGTACTCCGCTTCCGAGCTTTACTTCTTGGCCGGCATCTGCGCCAGGTACGCCTGCGGGCCAAGCTCAAGTAACTTGGCGTCTTTCTCCATGACCTCCTTCTTGCTGGCTTCAAAGTAGTTGTGTAGCTTCTCGCCAATGCTCGGGTCCTCAACGCTCAGGATCCTCGCCGCCAACAGCGCCGCATTGGTGGAGTTGTTGATGCCGACAGTGGCGACGGGCTCGCCGCGCGGCATTTGGACGATGCTGTACAGGCTGTCGACGCCATCGAGCACGCTGGCCTTGACGGGGATGCCGATTACAGGGAGCACGGTGAGAGCAGCGGCCATGCCGGGCAGATGAGCTGCGCCGCCCGCTGCTGCGATGATGGTCTTGAAGCCCCGCCCCTCTGCGCTCTTGACAAACTCGACCATCCACTCGGGCGTTCGGTGAGCTGACGTGATGCGGGTCTCGAAGGGAATGTCGAACTTGGCGAGGATGTCGAAACCGGCCTTCAGCACCGGCATGTCAGAGTCGGAGCCCATGATGACGGCAACCAGGGGCTTGCGCGCAGGCGCTGGGGTCGCTGCGGCGTCCTCGGGAAGCTTGCCAGACTGCTTGTCCACAGCATCGATCAACGGCTGGATGAGAGCCTCGGCCTCCTCCATGGTGCGGGCAGTCACGGTCAAGTGGCCCATCTTGCGGCCCGGACGGGCCTCTGCCTTGCCGTAGTCGTGAATGCGGATGCGAGGCGACTTCTTGGCCAGGTCGTAGATTTTGATGTGAGAGTCGGGCGTCTTGCCTCCAAGCACGTTGAGCATGATCGCAGCCGGCTGCATGAGGTGGATATCGTCCTGCGACAGGGGCTCCTCGGTGATGGCTCGCAGGTGGGCTTCGAACTGGGAAATAGAGCAGCCTTCGATGGTGTAGTGGCCGCTGTTGTGAGGACGAGGGGCGATCTCGTTCACGAGCAAGGTGTCATCCTGGAGGAGGAACATTTCGACGCCGAAGATGCCCTTGCCCTTGAAAGTCGCTACGGCTTTCCTGGCCAAAGCCTCTGCCTTTTGCCTGATCTCTCTCGAGACGCCACGGGCGGGCGTGTAGGTCAGCTTGCAGATGCTGTTCTCGTGGATGGTCTCGGTCGTGGGATAAGCGATGGTGCCATCCTTGGTCTTCACGGCCATGACCGCAAGCTCCATTTTGAACTCGGCCCACCTCTCTGCGTAAAGGGGCCTGTTTCCGAGCTGCTTCAAGGCCTCGGAAACGTCCGCTTCCGACTTTACGGGAAAGTTGCCTTTGCCATCGTACGCCTCGGTCTTGGACTTTAGCATGAAAGGGTAGCCAAACGAGACGCCGACGGCCTGGAGCTTCTCCTCTGTTGCGTCGTCGATGCTTCTCGACTCGGCGACATCGACGCCGTGCGAGCTGAGGTGGAGCTTCTGGGCGTATTTGTCTTGGATGGTCCTGACGGTACTCCAGTGAGGTTCGACTTCGACGGTGCCTTCAATCTCCTCGAGCGTAGAGGTGTTGATGTGCTCGATTTCGAAGGTGACGACGTCGCACGCCTTGGCCAGCTTCTTGATCGACTCTGGGTCCTTGAACGAGCCGTCGACATGACTGTCGTGCGCGCTGATCTGCTTTGCCGGCGCGCCTGGTGCATCCAGAATGTTGATTGGAATCTTCATCCTGTTGGCCGGCTCGACCATCATCCGGCCCAGCTGGCCGCCGCCCAGGACACCGACCGTCTTCGTCATGTTGAGGCTGAAGTCTCGGTTAGTCTCATCGAGATTGCCAGAGAAAATGCAGTGCAAGCCGGGACAAAGGGTAGTATGATTCAAAAGCACGTGAGATAGATGGTGGAATCAGCACTTGCTCACACGACCATATGAGTTTATTGTGCTGCATTCCAAGAGTGTGTCATAATCATGTTCAAAGCAACCACAGAAGAAGATGGTCGTGTGAAAACCAGACAATGGCAATGGTAAATCATCGGAAAGTTTAAGCGGTGGACTTACGTTTCACAGCGGAGATTGCGGGGCAGAGTAGTAGGGAGAAGCGGGCGAGATGGAGGGGCTGTCGTCGGGCTCGAGATTTTTTGGCAGGCGCCCCAGATTTCGGCGCCGTCACTGCGAGATCGGCGCGAGTCAGCCCGCCCGCATTTGGCTTTCACGCCGACTCGCCAAACTCAACACCATGGTTCCTTGTGGGACACTGATGCAATCTGCGCGACTCTTGCGCAAGCGCCCCGAGCAAATGCCATGCATGTGCACCCTTCGCCCACCTGCACAGGAATGGATGCACTTTGAGCTACAGCACCGCCGCTGTTTGCCCACTGCCGCCATCACCCCTCTCGGCGCCAAGCCTACGAGAACACGGTTCCAATTGATCAGAGGTAGCGTTCCTTATCATCGCGCTTGGCATTAGTGGTTGCCAAATCTTCCCCGCTGCCGTAAGTTCCCGGGACGGACGCCGAGGCAATGTGCCTCTCCCGGCTTCTCCCTTTGCAGAGGCTGAGGTAACGATAATAGACGAGGCCTATTAACGAGTCTGCATCTTTTAGTGCCGACAGCCGCCCGCCGAGTCTTTGCGGTACTTCTGCCTGGCGCTCGTGGCGGGGTATCTCGGCGAATGACGTACGGTGTTGGCCCGAAAGGCAGTGATCCCGCACTTTTCGCCTATAATCAAGATCGATGACTAACGGCGGCTCAGCAGCCCCAGACTAAGCGTGACGTGGTCGTGTACATCACCCAGCAACGGAATGGAGACAGCAGGACGGTGAGAGGTTAGTGGCGCACGCGACAGCGCCAGCTGATTGTAGAGCGGCGGGCGGGCGAGAGCCACTACAACGTGACCTTGCTTGACCGGGAGCATGCGACAGGAGGCGCCTGCGCAAGGCGGTGCAAGGGCCGGCCGGTGATTGGCGCGACGCGGCCGAGTCGCAACAGGAGTCGAGACATGACCCGGGGCCGCGCTGAAGAAGCTGCCGTCAGGAATGCGGGCATGCGCGTATTTAACGGGGCAGGGGCGCGCGGCGAGCAATTGCGATGCTGTGGATCATCGCCCGGGCGTTGAACAAAAACCAAAAGGCTCGTCCCGCAAACGAACGGAGATCTAGAAAACGAAGCCCTCGCCCAGACTAGGCCGAAAACAACCGCCTCCATCTAATCTCCACAGGGCCGACAAGGCCCACGCAGCGCCGCGATCCAAACGTCAGGGCGCGAGCTCCCCCACGGCAGCCAGGAACTGTCTTTGCATGGCCTCCGCACTCGTTGATCCTCCTGTGTCGCTCCCCTCTCCTTCTCCTTCGCTTCCCGCTTCCCGGACGCGCCGCACCGCGCATCCTCGATTGATGATCGCTGTTCCTCCCGCTCTCGAGCCTCGAGTCCTGCACCGGTAGGCATCGCCCAGCTTGCCTGCCGTCCGCGAGCTCTTCGCCCGCGCAGCGCGCCGTGTGGAATCGCCGCCCCAAATGTCGAGCCTCTCGGCGACAGAATCCAGCAAGGTGAGTCTGAGCTGAGTCGCGCCGCCCGCCCTCGCGCCCCCGCTGACCGCACCGCCCCTCCACCGCAGACCCCGGCGATCATGTCCTCACCCACCCCTCCGTCGCGCATGGTGCGCGCGCGCGAGTTCTTCTCACAGCCGGTCGCCGCCTCGTTCATCGCCGGAGGCGTCGCCGGAGCCGTCTCCAGGACCGTCGTGTCGCCGCTTGAGCGATTGAAAATCCTATTCCAGGTCCAGAGCCACGGACGCAACGAGTACAAGATGTCGATAGGCAAGGCTTTGGCCAAGATGTGGCGGGAAGAGGGCTGGCGAGGCTTCATGGCCGGCAATGGCACCAATTGCATCCGCATCGTGCCTTACTCGGCCATACAGTTCGGCGCCTTCAATTTCTACAAACGGGTGAGGCTGGCAAATCCGGGAGGGAGGGTGAGCATCGCTGACGCGTCGAGCAGTTCTTCGAAGACGCACCCGGAGTCCCTTTGAACCCCTACCAACGCCTCATCTGCGGCGGCTTCGCGGGCATTACTTCCGTCACGTTCACGTACCCTCTGGACATTGTCCGCACCCGCCTTTCCATCCAAACCGCATCCTTCGAGGGCCTCTCGAGCAAGGCGAAGAAAGAGCTTCCGGGGATGTGGGGCCTCATGATCTCCATGTACAAGAACGAGGGAGGATTCTTTGCCCTGTACCGCGGTATAATACCTACGGTTGCCGGAGTCGCACCTTACGTGAGCGGGAATCGGCCGAGGAGCGTGACCCGTACGCTAACAGGCGCATAGGTCGGTTTGAACTTTATGGTTTACGAGACGATGCGCAACATCTTCACGCCGGAGGGAGACCAGAATCCAGGCGTCTTTGGGAAGCTCGGTGCCGGTGCCGTCTCCGGTGCCGTCGCACAGACGTTCACGTATCCATTGTGAGTTTGCCGCATCCTCGAACAGCGTGGCTAGTGCTGATGCGTCACAGCGACGTCCTACGCCGCCGATTCCAGATCAACACCATGAGCGGAATGGGCTACCAGTATAAGTCGATCTGGGATGCCTTGACGACCATAATCAGGCAGGAAGGTTTCAGAGGACTGTACAAGGGAATCGCGCCGAACCTTCTCAAGGTCGCGCCAAGCATGGCGAGCAGTTGGCTCAGCTTCGAGCTGACGAGAGATTTCCTGATCTCTTGTAGGCCGGTGGAAGTATGAACGCATCCTTGACGGGGTTGGGTGAGCCACATTTGGATCCTTCTTTGCACCATTTATTGTCACAACAATTTACCACTTACTAGGCGCTCTGGGAGGAAGACCATGAGACGGCACTTAGCCGCTACAGAGGAAACATACAGCCGGTGGAGAGGAGTGTACAGGAGCAATGGTTATCAGCATTAGGCAGGGGAGGTAGGACTGTCTGCATCAATGGGACACGGAAGCGGGCGTTACTGGAATACAGCGGGCCGAATAAGGTACAGCGGATAGATCGCAACCAAAAATAAAGAATGTTTTCCCACCGACGACGTGCGGTCGTGGACACCAATCTTTGCGGGTGAAGCCGAGCGATGAACATGGCACGTCCCGAATTACGCTCGAAATACAGATCCCCAAAGCGCTCGCTGGCAGCAACCTGGCATCGTCGAACGTGTGGTTTCCGGAGCGGCAGGCGTGACGTAGGCGAGAGAAATTCGTCTCGCCGGGTCGAAACAGTCGCCGCAGACGTGTGGCCCAAGCAGTCCTTGGTGGCGATGGCACCACGTGCCTTGCAATCCGTGGCGACGCTGCGATGAGGAACGCGAGGGTCGGGTGGTCCGCGGCGTCGCGGTTGCCCGTTGGAGAGGCGTGAGGCGTGCCAAGACCCCAAGCGAGGCCACACGCTCCGTGCGCTCCAACCTGAAAATCGAAGTACAGGAAAACCGCGACTGCGACACCAACGACGACGGACGACCACCTCGACAACCGACAACCGCCGCCGCCACAATGGGTACGTGAAGCCCTCTTCGCACCGCGGAAGAGCACCCGCACGCTGCTACGGCACGATATTCGACACCGGCACGAGCGAGAGCGACCTGGCTGACACCGTTCGCTGTACAGGTATCGATTTGGACAAGCACCACGTGCGGAACACCCACCGCAAGGCTCCCAAGAGCGACAATGTCTACGTCAAGCTCTTGGTGAAGCTGTACCGCTTCCTTGCCCGTACGTGATTTCCCCCGGGGTCGAGAGGTGACAGGCCGGTTTTCGAGCGAGCGAAACAACCGCACCGAGAGAGAAAGGCAGCCGGGACTGGAACAACGCTCCTAACATGAATTTTCACGCAGGCCGCACGGATGCGGACTTCAACAAGGTCGTCCTCCGCCGCCTCTTCATGTCGCGCATCAACCGCCCCCCGATGTCCATCTCCCGCATCGTCGCGACCGCCGCCAACAAGAACTCCGGCAAGTCGCACGAGGGCAAGACCATCGTCATCGTTGGCACCGTCACCGATGACAACCGCCTGCTTGAGGTCCCCAAGCTCTCCGTCGCTGCTCTGCGCTTCACCGCCACCGCCCGTGCCAGGATCACCAAGGCTGGCGGCGAGTGCCTGACCCTCGACGAGCTCGCTCTCCGCGCCCCCACCGGCGCCAACACCCTCCTCCTCCGCGGCCCCAAGAACGCCCGTGAGGCCGTCAAGCACTTCGGCTTCGGTCCCCACTCGCACAAGGTAGGCAGCACAGGCTGGGGACTCTACCCCAGAGATTTTCTTTCGAATCGACCGGCCGCTGACTCGTACTACAGAAGCCTTACGTCGAGTCCAAGGGCAGGAAGTTCGAGCGTGCCCGTGGCCGCAGGAGGTCCAGGGGTTTCAAGGTGTAAGCGGTGGTCGGTGTCATGGTCGCTATTGCTGTTGGGGTCCCCTTCGGGCCTTGGTAGCAGTAGTAGAAGTGGGGAAACAACAACGGCGGGAGGTTATGGAAGGAGGAAAGGCCTTCCCTTTCTCTCGTCGTATCGGGGGCTCCGAAAAATTATGGCGATCATCCTGCGTGGTGCATGGTTACTGGGCTCCTTTTATGCTGGCTGGCGAAATCCAAACGATACTACTGCCTGCTTCCTTTACGGTTATTTGCATCTGGCTAAGGGAATACAAAAAATGTTAAGTCCATGCCGTTTTCGCCACCTCTCCCAAAGAAATCAGGAAGGAGATCGAGCCAAAAGTTTATACCCCAGGGAAGACAATTTCACGATTTCGCTATGCTTTACCACGTTGTCTTTGCGTACAGGGACCCACGACTGCCACGGGCGATTTCTGCTCTAACTAATGCCAGCGCTAATGCATAATTCCATCAGTGCCCCTCATTGCTCAGAAGCCAGCATCAGTGGCATAACTCCCTTTCGTTTTTCCACACGCCTATATCATCCCCTCGCAAAAACCATCACCGTCTCATTTCAGCATTCCATATGGATTTATGTGAAACAACGTCTGTCAACATCGCCCTCTCAAATAGTAGAACAAGATCAATACAACATTTGAATGCCTACCCGTTCTAACCCCCACACACTGACTGGACGTCACCTGGGAATTGACCTAATTACTGACACTTACGAAAATGAAAAGAAAGGGAAGAGAAGCAAGACAAAAACCCCCGCTGCCCATGCACAGATTATCTCGGCGCTGCAAAACAACAAGACTACACCTCGCTTTTGTCCTCTTTTTTATATTCGTTGGTTTGCTTACCTGAACAGAACGGCTCTGACAAGCTCTTCCACGTCGACGACCCAACAGACAACGACATGTGCGGACCTCATGGTCGTAAGAAACACATCCAACCTTATCCTTTCACTGGTGTGTCCTAACTAGAAAATGAGAAACTGCATTCGAACCATTCGCTTCGCCTTTTCACAGCGAGTCCCTCCCTCAAAATCAACCCCAGTAAGGCGTCCGCAAGCCAGTAAAAGTCGACGCCATCGAAGCCGAGTCGGTTGGATCTGCTTCCTTGGTCCGGTGGCCGGAGAGCTGTTTGAGCCGCGCGCAAGCCCGTTATTAAAAGTTTCAAAAAGACAGCCCGCGCAGGCGTGGTATAATAGGGAAAGGTTTTGTTCGTCTAGAATGAAGTGCGATGCGAGTGCGGGTCGAGCTTTATGTTTTGAAGGAAGAGGAAAATGAGAAAGTGGTATAATATGAAGGTACGGAGGGAGGAGGAGGGAGGAGGAGGGAGGGGTTTCAAGGGAATGTGAATGTCATAAACTTACCTCGAGCTGAATATTACGGTGCACGTGGACCAGCCAATCAACATAACTCTGTGCCTCTCCGTTCCGGTCCTCGTACAGCAGCCTGGCGAACTCGTACTCTGCACCATCGAGTCCTTGTCTTGCAAGTTGGAGAGTGACGGCCTTGCTGCCGCGAACCTGCTCGAGGTACTGCATGATGTTGCGAACTTGGGCGTTGAGGTGGGTTTCGAGGACGGGGAAGTTGTTCAGGAAGGGGTTGAGAGCCCGCAGGTCGTTGACACCAGGCCCGAACAGATCCTCGAGCAGGTTCGGCGACACGGCAGCGTGAAGCCAGAGGATGACTTGTTGCCCGTTGTCCACGAGGTAGGCACCGCCCTCTTCAATCTTGGAGTAGGTGGCGCGCACACCCGACGGCATGAGCAGCCGCCCGCTCTCGTTGGCAAAGCCTTCGGTGGGTTCGAGGTTGTGTAGAGAGTAGATGCGGGGATAGAGGTAGAGAGAGAGCTCGGTAGGGCCCATGGACTTGAGCATGCGTGCGTCGTACACGCGGCGATCCGTCGGCTCCTTGCCGCCCTTGAAAGCGCGAGACTTGATCAGGCCCAGCATGTACATGCTGAATTCCTTGAGATGCTCGGGCAGGACGAGCTGGCCTGGGGGGTGGCCGTGCGAGAAGTTCTTACGGTAGGCGGCCAGAATGTCAACCGTCTTCTCCGTAATGGCATTCCTGATGTCCTTGAGAGAGCGCTCCGCCATGCGCGACGCGGCTTCCTTGGCGATGATGTTGACGACGGCATCCTGGTCGACGCACTTCATCGTCTCGACGGGATTGTCGTTGACGCTAGCAACGAGATTGCAGCACCTCACTCTCCTCTCGCCACTCGCGGTCGTGTACAGCAGCGCGCTCTGGAAGTGGGCGTCAAGCTTGGGATCCAGCTTGCCATCGTAGCTGAACATGACACCGATCGACTTGTCCGCGTCGATGACGCCGAACTCGAGGTCGGCACCGAACGTGTGGTGGTAAAAGTTGCCGTGGTAGGCGGAGACTTGCAGACCGTTCGAGCAGCGGACCTTCATGAGAGCTTGGTATCCGGTTTCGCGAGTGACGGTATGTCTGATCTCCTGAGAGAGCTTGAGAGTATCCCGAGGGCTGTGGAAGTTGGGGTAGTAAAAGGTCTCGCCTCCGGTGACTTCTGCGACGTGGCCTATCGTAGCGACGTCGAGATACCCGCCGCTAGGCGCGGCCAGGAAGAAGTCGATACCGATGCCAGCCTCGCAAAGCTTCGCCCCGATCTTTTTGTAACCGGGATGCTCGGTGGTAAGCAGCTTCTTCTCTGCGTCCGTCCCGTGGCCCTTGCCGTCGTCGCGGAGGAACAGGCGACCGGGGCCCCATGTGGGCAGGGTTGCGAGCGAGCAGACAATCTTGCCGCCGGTCGCCTGCAATGCGTCCAAGGCGGAGTGAAGAGTCGAGAGCAGAGCAGGCTCCGGGTTCTTGATCTGCGAGAACATGGTGGGCAGTTGCGTCAACAACGCGGTGATGACGGACTTGGACTCTTCCGGATCGACGAAGAGGCCCTCGCTGAGCGGGACGAAGGGGTCCTCGATGTCCGGCATGACCATCATCTGCGCCTTGTCCAGGCTCGGGCTCAGATTGTAGAAGTGGATCTCCTTGTCGTAAGTCACGATTCCCACCTTGGCGCCCTTTGGCAGTTTCTTCGAGCCCGCTCCGTTCTGCTCTCCGCCCTCGCCTTCGCTCCCGTAGAGCGCGCTCATGATTCCCTCGCAGAAGCCGTCGAGGAAGCCCTTGTTCACGGCCTCGGCGCTGACATCGACCAGGAACAGCCAGCGGAGGCCCACGGGCTCCTTCGACCAGTATTCCTTCGGGACCATGAAGTCCACGGTTCCCAACGTAAGCTCCGGCCTCTGCAGACGGTCGACGCGAATGCCGGAGGGATCTGTCGGGGCAAAGTACTCGGGCGCCACGTCGTTGGGGAAGGTGCACATGTTGCAGACGAACTTGTTGCCTCCGGACCTGAAGGTCATGAAGGGATTGATGTACGCCCGGCATCTCCTGCACCTGGGCGGCCCCGACTCTCCAAAGTCCAGCACCGGGACGGCCTGTTCTCCTTCTTGCGGCGCCGCGAGCGGTTGTAGCACGAGGCCGAGGGGAAGAGCGGTCGAGGCGAGCGCATCCGCAGACTGGGGTATACTGTTCAAGGTGAGCCTGGCGAATCGCGGCGCCGAATTGCCCTGATCGAAGGCGACGAAAGGAATGGCGGCCGGCGGAGGCAGATGCTGCTCCATGGTCGGATACACGTTCTCTTGGTAGAACTGCGCTGGGACGTCGCGAGCCCGGGGGACACTGGGGATCTGTTCGGGATCCACCTTGCCCTGAGCAGAGGACGCAACGGAGCCATTGAAGGTGCCGCCGCGAGCGGCATGCTGCATGGGCGTGGCGGGGCTCCCGGGGACAAAGTTGCTGGCAGCGGCGGGGAACTGGTTCATGGCGGGGGTTATGGGCTGGTTGAGGAACTGCGACGGGGTGGTCGCGCCTCCTTGAGGGATCCCGCTGTAGGCCTGCGAGCTCCCAGCAGCGTCAAGCTGGTGGTAGGCGTGCCTGTCCTTCTTCTTGTGAGGCCTGTGTGCTTGCGCCTGGCCTTGAGCGTCCACACCGAGTCCCATGCCGCCCATCTGCTGCGTCAATCCCGACATGTCCGCCTGGCCGGGCGAAGGCTGCGCGGGAAAGTAGCCCTGCTCTTGCTGAGGGGTGCCGGCGTGGGGTTGTTGCGGTGTGCCGTACTGGTTCGGAGGGGCATTGGCGTACGACGAGCCAGATTGCTGGTAGCCGCTGGGGCTCGGAGCGACGGGCGGGCGGTATTGATTCTGGTTCTGCTGGGGGGACGGCTGCTGGCCGTTCGCGCCGGGCGAGTGCGCCCCGAGGGCGTGATACATGTTGAAGTCGGCCATGGCTGGCGCGACGATAGATTCGGCGGGCTAGGGTTGGTCCGGAGGGCAATGGGGTCTCTCTATGCGCGGGCGACGAGGCGGCAAAGCAGGCGGAGGCTTGCGGGGATCAAGCGAGCGTGAGGAGAAAGAGCATAGTCTTGTCGGCGCAGGAAATGGCCAGTTGGGCGGGGGTGGGAGCGTGGTTGCGGGCAAGTTTATGGCTTAGCTGTCCAGTGCATGGCGAGGATCACGGGCATGCGCGCTTTAGCGCGCCGCGAAAGGGAGCTGCGGCCACGCTAGACTCAGAGCCCCTGCTCCACTCCCGAACGTCCCACACCACTATTTCACTGACACTCGTCTCATCGCTCCGCGCGAGCTCGTTGCGGGCCAATTCTACAGCGGCGTTTGGTCGGTCGGCTTCATGATATTCATTTTGCAGTCCTAAACCAGGAGCCCCGAGGAGAGGGTGTTCCAGCATCCCTGCGTCTAAGATTAGAGACGAACATTCCCAAGAACGGAACACCTCTACGCTTTCCTAATGTGTGCTCCTGACTTACCGTTAAAAAAAATCAATTGAAAAGAAAATACATCCGAGACGCCATCAGAATTTCAATGGTTCGCCATGCGTTCATGAACCGTTTATGAAGACATTGGTCTGATTACGTCCTATCAGCAACTTTCCGCCATGTGCTCAACCTCTTTTCTCAATTGCCGGTCTCAATCGATCACACAACACACCAGCTAACCCCCATCCACACGAGCACCATCGTCCACCCAAAGAAAAGCACTCCAGTCCCGATCAAAACCGCAGTGCCGACTCTGGCGCCGCTCCCCCTGATCCCGTCAACCAGAGTCCCGGTGCCGAACAGGATCCAAAGCACGATTCCGGCCGCGGCGAGGAGCAGCACGAGTAGCACCGCCGTCAGGATCCTAGCAATGCTCCAGCCCTCGACGAACTCGAGCGTCGCAATGCTATGGCCGGGCGCTATGCCGCCGCCACCGCCACCGGCCAGCCCGAGTTCCGCCTGAGCGATGAAGAAGTCGCCCTTGGCATTGTCGTCGTCGCTGCTCGCGCCCGCAAACGCGGTGCTGGCGGTGCTCGGAGTGCGTCCGGCAGCTGCGGCCGCAGGCGTCGGCGGCAGCTCCCTGTCCCGCCAGGAGACGTCCTTCTGCCGCTGCTGCGCCCTCCAACTCGAGAGGTCCGGCTGCTCGTGCAACCCGGCCAGTCGACTCGCCCACAGCACCCACGCGAACCTGCTGCGACCCAGCCGCGGCTTGCGGAAGTGTGCAAGGAGATTCTCCTCCGAGAAGGTGTCCTTTAGGCCCTGGCTGGCTAGGTAGCGCGGGCTGCGGACGTGGTAAATGCCGCTGGGCGTAACCGCTGAGCAACCGCGTTGCTGCTGCTCCTGGTGCTGAATAAGGGCGTCGTTCCCGCCGTGGGCTGCTCGCGCAGCAGGACAGCAACGTCCGCCGCCACAGGCCGCCGGACCAGGACAGCTCTCGGTGGCGGACCATGCGGTAGTGTGGCCGACGGTGACACGGCGCAAAGAGCGGGCGCTGAAGAAGCGCCACCACCGACCCGCGAGGCTGGCATACTCGACACGGAGCTGCTCAAAGAAGGCGGCATCGTCGAACAGCGGCGGTGGCTGTTCGTCCGGGGCGATGTCGTCGCCGAATCCCCCGGCCGCGTACTTGCCCTCCAGGAGCTCGGCTGGGAGCGTGATTCGTGCGACACGGGACGAGAGTACGCCGCTACGCCGGCGTATGCTCAGAGTAAGAATGGTGTCCTGCGTGGGCGGCGGCGGAAACCCCGGGCTTCCGAGCGTCTTTGGAAATTTTCTGTGGTGGTGGAAGGGGTACGGGGTCCTGATCTTGCCCTCGCCCTTGCTCTTAGGTGGCCTGCTCGTATCGATCGGCGGTGGCACGAGGGAAACCCTCTTCGGCTGCTGAATCTGAGCCATTGGCGGTATCTCAGGGACAGGCGGTGGGAGAGATGTCGCCGAGTCTGACTTGCCCTGCAGCTTCAACAAGTCCCTCCGGCTGAACTCGGACGACGCGCTCTTCCGCCTCACTGAAGAAGCGCTCGCCTGAAGCCCATCCTCGTTCCGTAGCAACGCTTGTAGCGTAATGGCGTGCACTCCGAGTATGTTCTGATCAGTCTTGTCCTGCAGCGATTGCGTCTCCACGACCTCGTCGCCGTCCTTGTCGATTCCTTCCAGCACACCATCACCGCAGCTGACGCCGTTCACTCCAGCTGAGCACGACGCCGCCCTACCATTCAGACCCCCGCTCCTCCCATACCCCTCTGCCATCGATCCGTCCTCGTACTCGCTCGCCGAATACGGCAACACGCTGCTGCTCGCCCTCACCCTCAGGAACCTCTCCCTCTCCTTGTCCCTCGTCGCCTTCTTCTTCCTCCGCTGCTCGCTCAACACTCTCCTCGCCGCAACCGCCAAGTCCGGCGCTCCGAAAGGGACATGCTTTGGGCTGACGCCCTCACTCCTAAGCGTCTGCCTCTGCTGGTGGTGCTGCGAAATCGCTGTGCTCGGCACGTCGTACCTGCTGTAACCGTCGAGAAGCCCTCTGGCGGGACTGTGGGGCGGCGGGCTACGGGCGTCATCGTAATCATCATCCGGTAGCGTGGACGACGCCGGGTGTGTGCCGCACACGAAAGCGTACTCCTCCGGCCGCACGCCCAGGTAAAAAGCACCCTTGCGGTGCACACCGTGCGTTGTAGTAGTCGTGGTCGTCGGGCTCAGCGACGTCGTCGTCGAGTAGCGCGTGAGTGGTCGACCCCGGGCGCATTGCTCGTCCCCACTGCCTTGGTCGGGCATGGACGCCAGGCTGTGTCGTTGCGAGAACGCGAGCTCGTCAGCCGTCGACAGCTCTTCTTCCTCGTCGCTGCTATCATCGTCGAAGAAGTTCGTGCGACGGGTTGTCTTAATATCGTCTTTCAGTCGCGTCTGTATGGTACTGGCGTGATCGTCGGACGATGGCATCTGCGGAGAAGTGGGCGTTGCCTCGTCCATGTCGAGGTATACGGATTTGGTGGGGCTTGCGGGGGCGTCGACGATGCGTGGCGAGGTAGCAGGCGAGCTGGACAGGCGGAGACGGGTGAAGTCCATTTGTTATGGAGGGATAGGCTTGTTCCAGGTTCTCTGTTCTTCCTCCTTGAGGAATGAATCTTGTAGTGTTTTCAAGTGAGAATTTGACGAAGAGCGAATAATGACTGAAAAGAGCAGTGGTGGCACGAAATATCAGGGATGTGGCGACTTGTAGATATCAACGATGGGCTGAGTCAACGAGCGGTGGGAGTGATCCTGATGGCCCGAAGACACCATGTGAATCTCTTCTATCTTCCGACGTGCAAGCCTATGGGACAGAGTGGACAGAGTAGACAATGAAAAACGGCAGGGTGGTCATTTGTAATGGAAGCAGAATAAGAACGAGCGTGAGGAATTGCCTTTTGCAATGGTCATTCAACGTTGATCTCTCTGTTTTTGTCTCGCATCTGAAACCAGAAGGGTACCAAGAACAAAAGAGACGAGGGGGAGTCAAATAAAGCAGCACCGGGTGGGAAACGGCCGGGCAAACGCAAGTGTCGGCCTCTGAATTTTAAAAATAAGGCAGCTTGCCAAACCCAACCAACGGCAGCAAACGCAACGGTTGCAGCGCAGATGTGGTAACGAGTCGATCTCCAGGCAAACGAACTGCAAGGAGTGTTGGAGTTGGTCTTTTCGCATTTAAAAAAGAAGCCTTGGCGGAATGGAGGACTGCATTCCTGCAGAACTCAGCCGCTCCCGGGGAGGGAGGAGAAAGGACGGGGATACGTTACACATGGCAGACAACTCTCGTCTTGGTCCAATCGATGTGCCGCTTCCGCGCGCAGCCTCGTCCAAATCATCCGACGAATTTACCCCCGCAGTAAATGCATACATCACAGGCTGCGAAGAGGATGCGCGCCAACGTGATCGGCGACCGGCCGTAGTCAACCGCAGGTGCTCTATCCTGACCGGTACTTCCTCCTTGCTTGGATGATCCCTCACCGGCGGTCACGTTAGCTTCAGTCGAAGGGAGGATGCCTTCTTGTTGACCGCCATCAGCGTCTGGCATGACGACGTCCTGCTGACTGCTGTCACCGGATTGCCGGGCTTCCGCAGCTCCTGCCAGCTTGTCCGTCCGGACGACAAACTCCTCGTTCAAATAACGCTTGCCGCAAATTCCGCAAAGCTTGGAGATGCCGGGCGCCTGGATAGCGAGGAATGTGAGAGAACAGCGAACTGCGGGTACCCGCATTAGCCTTGACGAGCCAAGATGGATGTAGACCCTGTTCCCAGGTGAACTCACCAAACTCGTGGCCTTGGCCGCATCGCGCCCACGCAAAGCTCTCGAAACCAATGCTGTCGTCGCAGATCTCGCATTCTTCCACGTGCTTGTCCGTCGAGGTCTCCACAGCACCATCGTCCATACCGTCGGTCTCGGCGTCCGAAAGCCAAGGAAGCATGGACGAATAGACCGTCCTGATTTTGCGGCTCGCCTCGCTATCGTTGTAAGACGATCTCGGTAGCTTGAGCACTTCCGTGACCAGCTTCTGAATCGCCGGGGCGTCGTCTGATTGTGTCGTCCCTTTGGGGTCAAAAAACAAGGTCAAAAGGCGACCGTATCGCTGCTTGAGGATGCTCCTGTCGTTGTAGTATACCGCTCTCCTGAGAGCCTGGGCCAGTGATGTCCGTTCTTCGAGATCGAGTCCGTCCGCACGTGCTTCAGGGTACCCGACGACGGGGTCGTCGTCGTGATCGTTCGAGAGGCCCAGAGCCCTCCAGAACTGTTCCAGTATCGTACTACGCACGGCAGATTCGGCCCTGCTTTCTTCAGGCAATTCCTCCAACCAAGTCTTGGTGCAGTAAATCAGAGCCTCCGCGCTCAGGTCTATCAGACATGTTAGCAAGCGGACACCGAGCATGGATGGATCAAGAAACCTTCGACCGGGCACATGCCCCCGCTAGTAGGTAACCTAAAGGCGCCGGCCGTGTCATGAAAAGGCTGAATTCCGATATGAGTGCGTGATGTCGCAGCAATCGTGTACTCGACCATGTCTCCGGGGTGAAAGGAAACACCGGATGCTACCAAGTCGCCCATTGGCGAAGAGCACATAGCCCATGCTTTAGTGTGAGTGTGACCTGCGAGCTCGTTCTCAGCGCTAAAGAGTTTCTCGCTATCACGAATGCTCTGTTGGAAAGGGGGCGTCCGTGATTCGGTGGCTGGCGGGACAGGCAATTTCAGCTCTGATGTCGCTGCCACGGGCGCAGTGAGTTGCGAGAGAAATTGAACTTCCGGTTCGGTTTCGAAGAGGCCGTTGAATGCGCAACCTATTGAAGCGGATTTAGTGATCAGATAGCCAGCTTAAACTCGCTCCTGCAAACAGCCGCCGTTTCATCCAGCCGAGTTACTCACCGGACACGGTATCCCACCTCCCGTCGAGGTCATGCGTCGAGACTGTAGTCTTTGATGGATCCAGACACGGGACCTCGAAGCAGAATGCGCCGGCTTGGGAGAAGGCCACCAAGTAGAAAACGTCATCGCGAGCTTTGGGCATCCAGCGCAGTAAGTGCACGTTTCTCGTACCCGCAGACGAATCCGAGAAGACGTCGGTCTGGTCCAACGACACGTCGGCAGAGAAGGGCGGAATGCGTACGCGCCTCAGATGGACGCTACAGTTAGTCGTGTAAGCCAAGATGGCTGTTGGTACGCCATCAGGATCTATGGTCCAAGGGCTCCACGCAAGATTGCTAATGAAGCGCTGTTCGCTCAGCGTCTCGGCGAGCAAGAACAGGCGTGGACCCTGGTGCATGTCCAGCTTAGGTTCAAGGGAGAAGTGCGCCACTGCGCGAGCAGACCATTTTGCCGACGGAGGGCTGAAGAAACTATAAGGAGAGTCGATGCGCAGAATGACGACGTCATTGTTGTCGTTTGATACTGCAATGAAGCTACCGTTGATGGGGAACCGAGCTTCTTGGACGGAGTACTGTGATGGCGGAGGTGGGCGCAATTGGGGGCTCCACGCAAACGATCTGATGCGTCTCCGCAGCCTACGCCGAGTCTCGCAGTCCAGCTCGAGGCGAAACTCTTCATGAGCGTACAGCTCCTGGAAGTACATTTCCAGCTCATGGTTCAAGATCAACACACGCTTCCAGCTTCTGGTAACTTTGGGGTCCGAGTCCGAGACCCAGAGAGATAAGGTGAGGTTGGTGGTGAGCACGGCTAGGGCACACCTCGCATGCTTTGCGAGGCCAGGTGGAGACCATTCTATGAGGGAGGTATCGCTTGTGGATATCTCTTCGCCGACGGAGCTTGCGCGGAGAGGGAGAGGGTCGATGGGCGGGACTTCGGTCGAAGTGAATTGGTTGGTGCGGATGTGGACGTTGATCCAATGCTGCGTGCCTTGGAGGCCGGTATCTACATCATCACTGTCGGCGCTTAGGACCGGGATCTGCGACCTTGTCAGCGAGTTGGCGTGAAAGGTGGGATTCGGTGCTGACCAGCAATTCGACCGTCTCGCCTGCCGCGAGTGCGAGAATGCAATCGTGCGACCAGGCGAGGCTGTTGAGGCACGAAGGCCAATTGGCCAGGATGATGGCCTCGTGCATGTTGGCGCCTACGAATGCGCAGTTGTCGGCATCTGCGTTGCTGTGGGCGCGCGAAGTTTGACGCGTCGCGGGTGAGCAGCGCGATGACGTTGCCGCGGAAAGTCCTGGCCGCGGGAGGAAGTCACCACGCGTTCAGCCACGATCACTTCGAGGGCTTCACATCTTATTTTCTTAACTATGAAAACAAGAGACAGATGGAATGAGCGGCTTATATGTATTTGAAACGACCGACTACCGAAATCCAGCTCTTGGACTGTGTGGTTCAAAGTATTCTTTTTAATCTTCGTCGGTGTCTAGAGGCTTTACTACCATCGTGGTAATGTAAATAAGCTTGGATTTTCCTCTCGCCAAAGTGTCACGGCGCTTTTAGAATAATAGGTTTTAATGAGAGGGGTACGAAAACACAAGGCGCTGGGGTCGAATACCTGTACAATCTATGGAGGGCCGCGACTTGGCAGGCACGTCGATTGATAGATTGCAGATCCACTCCGTTCAAATCCTGTCCTCCGATGCACTTTCGCAGAGTCATTACTGGGGGCTAAAGGGCAAGTCTTTTATCCTTTTCTTAGAGAAAAGTATTGCGTAAAGTCTACACAGCTTCGTTCTAGTAAAGGCATGGTCAGCATTCCAAATGCTTATGTGATTACTTGGACAGGCTTAAATGCCAGGCAGACAAATTCTATGCGCAATCAGCTTCGTTGATGTATCTTGAACCTCTGGTGTGATCAGCGTTCGGCAAGCGAGTGTGGGATATCAAGCGCACGAGTACGTAGTCCAGATTCAATAGCGCAAAGAAGCTACCTTTTTCATGGCCTGCTATTGGCGGTTTCCCGTCTCGCTAAGCTGTCGGCAAAATGCGGTGGAGTTTGGATGAGATGCGCGGTGTGATACACAGGTGTTTATCATTGGATTACTAGATATGCCACCCTTCAGACATAATTCGATATCCTATGTTGATGGTCAGCCGATGTAATCTCAAGGAAACAAGTCAAGACGCTCACTCGATGAGGTTTCCATCGGGATCTCTGCAATAGACGCTGCGTAACTTGCCAACTGCACCAGTTCTGTCGACGATACCGCCGCCTTCCAAGACCTCGATGCCGCCGCCCTTGAGATCCGCGAGGACTTCCTCCACCTTGGTGTCGGTCAGAAAGCAGAGGTCTCCGCTGCCCGGCTGTACGCTCTGGGCCTTGGGCTCGAATTCACGACCGCTCTGATGCAAATTGATCTTCTGGCTGCCAAAGATGAGAGCATGGCTAGGCGAGACATTAGCCAGTGAGTACCACACACCAAACACGGAGATGAGAAGAACACGAAGTGCGAGAGCTGTGAAGAGGACGGCTGACTTACCGCTCGACCCCAGGATCTTTGGCAGATGTGAAAACCTCATGCTTCATGCCCAGTCTCGTGGTGTAAAAGTCAACGGTTGCGGGAATTGAGCGCACCGTTAAGACAACATGGTCAAGAGCTTTGACCGCGAAGCGGGAAGCCATGGTTCTCTCGAACGATTATTTCCTGATGGCCGAGGATGATGGTGTCAGGTTTCTCCGCATTCGCGTCACGAATCAGATTGCCCCAAATAGACTAGAGCCGGCGAGTGGGCGATCATTCCGGAACCTCAGGTATCAACGAATTCGAAGCAATTCAGATTACAGAGCGGCTATTTGAGACGATTGCGCATCATTCGTCCGAGCGAGAATCGAGTCCTGCGTATTGAGCAGTGTTTCAAAGAAGCAAGTGGTCGTATGCGCCATTTCAGTCGAAAAACAACCCTAACCAGCAAAGAAATGGTATTGTAGCCCTCGAATCTTTTGAGAAACCCGTCGATTTTTGTTTCGTCGTCCAAACCACAGCCACCCCAGAAGCCTCCCCCTCACGATTATTCTTGAGTCATGTAGTAGGACCACCTGAGAGCCCGAAGACGTAAGCTCCATTTGTAATGACCCGGACATACATGAAGAAACCGTGACCTCTGATGCCTGCAAATAAGTTGAATAAAGGGACTCCCGTTTTTGCCCTTTTCAGAAACCCACGCCAGACGTCACCTCTACCGTTCCGAAAGTCACTGCTTACTCCTCGGCCACAAGAGCCTGCCTCTTGGCCGAGACACGCTCCTGCCTCCTCTCGCGGGCAGCCTTGGTCTTGGCACGCTTGGCGTCCATCTCCTCCTTGAGGATCCTCTCACGCTGCTTCTCAGCCTTGGCCTTGTGGATCTGCAAAAAGTGTGAGCACGGGTGGTTGAACTAGAAATCTCGGGAAAACGTACGTGCTCAACGAGGGCGCGCTTGTGCTTGAAGGTGTTACCCTTGCTCAGGTGGTACAGCTCGTGGTAAAGGTGCTTGTCGATCTTGCCGCTGGCACGGTACTTGACGAGGAGACGGCGGAGGACACGGAGGCGGCGCATCCAAAGGACCTGGCTGTAATCCGACCACATCAGCATCCCGCTCAACCATATTTCTTCCGGTTTCCCAAGATCCATGCGACCAATTCGTCCCATCTCATCAAGACCGTCCGAACCGGGGGAGTGCGTGCCTACCTCGGCATACGAGCGTCCTTGGTACCCTTCCTCTTACCGTAGCCACGGTGACGACCGATGCGGCGAGCGGCGTTCAGCTCCCTAGCGCGGCTACGGGAGTGCATGGTAACCGGCTTGCGGATGATGAGGCCATCGGAAACCAGCTTGCGGATGGTCTGGCGGGAGTTGGCGTTGGAGATCTCGTTGACCTCGTTGGGGTCGAGCCAGATCTTGCGCTTGCCGCAGCCGACGACCTGGACGCTGTCAGCACTTGCGTCCGTGATATGCGAAAAACGCGGGAGCAAAAAAGGGTACTTGCAGCTGCCGCCAATCTCTTCTGAGTCTTGAGATCAACCCTACAAAGGAAATAAAGTCAGCGACGCTGTGCCTGGGGGTGTGTCGGGTGCCGCGGGCGGCGGTTGTGGGATTGCAGGTGTGGTGGCGAGGTGAGGATATGGATGAGCGCTGCAACGCATGTGCGACGGTGTTCGAGCATCTCGAGGGACGCAATTCGTGTTGACGGGCTCGCGAAATCGATATAACGGGGTGTTCTCACATTTTGGATGACTGTTGCCGGCTGGTCGATGTCCTGGGTGGTTAGTACGGTCGGGTTGAGGAGAGGAGTTTTGACGCTTCTGTGGGCATTAAGCGGAAGGCTTGGCACCGACACCGGGTCATCCCCGGCGAAACTTTAGGCCCGCCCGGACGAGCCGCCCGCGCCCCACCATTTTTTATCGCAGCCGATGCGCCGCTGGGCTACCTGCGCATTGAACGGCCAGAACAAACTTACTCCGCACTTGCAGCCTGCGCGCTTGGACGTCATGTTGAATCATTTCGAGTCATCTCCTCCATCTGCTCCCAAGAGTTCGTCAAGTGTATTATCTCGAGAGTGTAGCGATCTAGATTTCGGAAAAAAATTATTTTGACTGCTTGGTCTGGGGTATCATGCACAATTCTATCTATGAGCAATGGCTTCAACATCTCGTCGAGATCCATCACTCATCACGCCTGTCTTTGCGCCTGCTCGATCGGTGACTCTCCCGATCGTACCGATGCTCACGGCTCCTTCTCGAGCTATGATGTGACTCACGCCTCTCCCCATCCGGACTCCTGCTGCGTCGTGACCTGCGGCGCTCCCCATCTCGATTCCTGCTCCTGCTTCTGCTGCGGTGACTTCTGTGCTTCTTGTGATGCCTCGCTGACCTAGATTCATGATGCCTTTCATGCCGTGCCCCCTTTTCCCTGGAAGGCACATCCAGACTGAATCCTTCCAACTCGTCCGGGTCATGCTTACTTTTGGATTCTCTATGCGCTGCTGCGTCCATAGTGAGCATTTCTTGCTGTCTTTCGGCCAGCCAGCGCTTTCGATCCCGTTCCGCTTCCTTGAGCTGAACCTGCGCCTTTTTCATGAATGCCAGCGGGTCACTAGCCTCCATGCGCACCCGCTCACGATCCTTACGGCGCGGATCCTCGTTGCCCCACACGTCTTTACCCGGTTCCTCGAGTTCTTCCGCCCGTGATGCATGCTCAGAGCCTTTCGAGGCATTTGCGTACCACGGCTTACTCAGACCATCCCTCCCAGCAGCATTGGCAAAGCGCATGGTGTACTGATCCTCGAGCTCCCGCTTCTTCTTTGCCTCCTCCGCTTCACGCTCCGCATTCTTCTCTGCTTTGCGCGCGGCCTTGTGATCCACCGGAAACAAGTCAATGTGTCCGCTGTGGTCCATGAGAGGCGCATCGCTGGGCTGCTTGCTTTCGTTGCGCTTAAGCAGCTGTTCACGCGTCTCTCGGCCTTGATCAGCAATCTCTCGCGCTACGCGAATATCTCGGTCCGTGTCGTCCTCTCCTGCCAATCTTCTGCGTTTCGGCCCTCTGCTTGCGTCCTCACGGTGTGGTTTCTGCCCTTCCTCGATGAGGTCCGGGGGAGGCGAGGGGGGCTTTTCGCCGCGTAGTATCGCCATCCGACGCGCCGCGTCATATTCATCCATGCGGCGCTCGGCCTCCTCCTCGCGTGCTTGCGCGGCAGCTTCATCGCGGCGGACACGCTCGATGTTGGCAGGATTGTAGACGTTCCATGACTTCTTTCCGAGGAGATGGAGCGGCATCGTGAAGAAGAGGCGGTGGTCGTGCGCGCGTCGGTCACGCCGCGCAAATGGGTCGCAGAAGTGTAAATAAATGGCGATCCGAAGCCGGTAGGATGGTTGAGGCGCGAAGGTTGTCGCGCGAAGAAGATGCGGCGAGCGCTTGCTGGAGCTTGGATGATCGACGTTTGGGCCAACAGGGATGTGCGCCGCAGACCCCGCCTAGGGCCCGTGGGGCAGCAGTCGAATGCCGAACCAAGGCAACCCTATTCATCAATCCATCTTGCGTTCCACATTATTACTTCCTCAAACCCTCGAGACTTTTTGCGATCATACAACCCGCCATGCCGCCCCCTACTCTAGTGGTAAGGTCGCCGTCACCACCTTGGATAGCGACAAAGCTAACCAGCTCCGCAGTCCAGGCTGAAAGTACAGCTTAAGCTGTCGATATCACGCCTGCGCATGACGCAGCAGAAGGATACAGCGCTCGCAAAGCAATCGCGACGCCAGATGGCGCAACTGCTCGAAGTTCGTTCCCCCCATAAATCTACATTCCAGTCCAATCCGCCCGGCGCTACGTCACCAGCATCGTCCTACCACTGACGCGATTCCTTCCAATCCAGCAAGGCAAAATCGAATCCGCCAAAATCCGCATCGAGAACATCATCCAGCAAGACATCACGACCGAGCTGCACGAGATCCTCGAGCTGTACTGCGAGCTGCTGCTCGCGCGGTCCCAACTGCTCGACCCGCCGAGCTCGTCCTCGCCGCTGCTGCGCCCCACGTCGCCGTCACACTCGGCACAATGCGACCCGGGTCTCGAGGAGGCCGTCCGCAGCCTCATCTACGCCGCGCCGCGCACCGAGGTCAAGGAGCTACACTCGGCACGCGCGCTGCTGGTCGAAAAGTTTGGCAAGGAATTTTCGCTGAGCGCGATGGAAGGCGAGGGCGTCGCCGAGCGCGTGCTCAAGAAGCTCAAGGTCGAGACTCCCGCACCCGCCCTCGTCGACGCGTACATGCACGAGATCGCGCGCGCGTACGGCGTGCACATACCGGGCGAGCCTGAGGAGGCGGAGGAGGACGACGAAGGCGGCGCGGACGACGACGAACCGGGCGATGGGGAGAAGGTCAAGGCGCTGGAGGCGCCGCTCGAAGCGGAAGACTTGACCAAGGCCACGCCGCCGAAGAAGTTGGGTCCCGCAAGCCCGTTGAGGATTGCCCCGCCGAGTCCCAGCTCGGAGAATGTGGCGCCGAAAGTCAAACTTCCGGGGCCACCGGAGTTGAAGCCAGGTGGGAAGTTAAAGAAGGTGGAGGAGGAGGGTAAGAAAAAGAAAGACGAGGGGCCGGGGGGAAAGATACCCGATGTGGATGAGTTGGCGAAGAGATTTGCGGCGTTGAAGAGGTAGTAGTCCGATAGACCAGATGGCATGTGTTAGTGTATGGATGAAGCTCGGAGCAAAATGGAGTAAAGGAATTATATCATTTGTAAGATGTATGATTAACTACATCTAGAATATTGCAGAAGATGAACACCAAACCCAGCCGTGTGTCTGGCATTACCGCCAACGATGGGCTGAGTGGAGCATGTCCCGACAAAGCCAGGCTCTTCTGCTGGGCGATGGAGTCTCCGGTGTTCCACAGCTCTCAGGAGCTATGCAACGCTTGTACACATTTCACCACTCCATGGAGGCAAATACTCTGATTAAGTTTGAATGTGCAAGGCCGACGGCCGCCCAATTATGAGAATCGATTTTCATCGTAGTCAACAGCTAAACGTCCTACGTACTGAAGCCGAAAGCCTCCAAAGTTGCGTAGAAAAAAGTACTTCAGGAATGCTAAATTTTCCAGTAAAAAGGATATAGTTACCGAATCCCCCTCCAAAAAAAAAAGTCTCATATTATGCTCTCTGTCCCAGCTCACCCGCTGCGCAACCTTTATTAACCCCATGATTGTATGCGCAACAAGTTTGTTCTGACCGCGAGGTTCCAATGTATCATTATCGCATATAGCCGACCGCTGGATTCAGGTTATCAAGTGGAAGGAATAATTACAAAACACCATACTCCATCGAGAGCGCAGACTCCAAAACAAATGCCGCTCCTAACAATTGGTTGGAAAGAGGTCGAGATTAGTAGAATGAACGGAAAGCATTCAAACAGCTGTGCCTGGAAGGGGTGGTGGCATGGCCATCTCTTTCGCCTTGTCGTTTTCGAGTTTGCGGAGTTCTCTCAGGCTGCCAAGAGGTCAATATCGTCATGGAGAAGGCTTCGAGGAACCCAGGTCTTACCTTTTCGCCTTCTTGAGGGCACCGAAGCCGCTGAACCATTTCTTCACGCTTCTGCTCGTGGTTGGCCGCTGCTCGATGCTTTCCTCTTTTGTGGCGCTGCTCATGCTGGCGCTCTTCCCGCTCTTGTCGGCCCCCGGGCTTTCTTGGCTGTGTACTTGGACGACCGGGGCTTGTTCGTGGTTCAGGAGGCCATTTTCGGCGGGCGGCGGCAGCGCCTTGGAATGCCCGTTTCCGTTCGTCACGGCCAGGTCCCGCATATCCGCCTCTATGTCTCCGGTCAAGGACTCGTCGTCGTACTCTTCCTCGAAATACTCGTCCTCATCTTCGGAGACGGAGGGGGGGAGGCGCTCCGTGTCCTGGCACACGACGACGAACCAGCCGACCTTCTCCCCCGGAGCGATCTGGTCGCGCAGCTCGGTGATGGAGGCCCATTGCTCATTGGGCACGCCGCGGCCCATGATCTCGCCGACCTCGACGCCGAGCTTGATCTCCTCGACCACATCGGCCACGTAGGCGTAGGGCTGCACGTTGTCTCCCTTGTCGGCCGTCTCGACGTCGAACTGCTCGATGAATTGCAGGTCGGGCAGGCCTTGCATCGCGTTCCCGTACTTTTGCCTGAAGTTCTCCCGGATACAGGCCACCGTGGCGGGCGCCATGAGCCATTCGGCGGCGGCATCGTCGAGGTTCTGGAGGATGATGTGGATCCGGATCAGGTTGCGGGGCCAGCGGAAGCCGTGCAAAAGGTACGTTGGCATGGTCAACGGGAGGCGTGAGCAATTCGAGATGTGAGGGCGAGGCAGGTGGAGTGAGGTGAGCGGCGAGCGTCAATTATCAGGCGACGCTATAGGCGGCAGCTTATTGGATGTGGACGGCAGATGGGAGTGTCTCGTCTGGCGCAAGTGCTCCCGTCCCTCCTCCTCCAGCAGCGGGCAAGAGGCGCGTTGCACAGATTGACAAGATGGCTGCTTCTTCAGCGCATGAAGGTGCGGGAGCGCTGCATTTCGGGTCGTACGTATGACACTGGCGCCTCCCAGAGCGGAAGTGCGGCCACTCGCGATGGCCAGTCAATGGTGGCGGCGGGGCAGGCGGCGTGTGCAGGGCGAATTGGCGCGGCGGTCGAGGGCGTGGTGGGGAATTGAAGCACGAGAGCTGCGATGTCAGCGGGCCGGCCGTTGCTGGGATGGAGGAGATGCGATGCGAGGGAGGCGTCTACTCCGATCGATAAACTCTAGGAAGGCCGGCCCGGCTCCGCTTAGCTGCACGCGGCGTCAGTGCCCCTGCGCTTCCTTGGCCGGTGCGCGCTGATCTGCTTGCCCAGACCTCCGACGCCACCCCAACCCCTTCCCTTGCGCGCTCTCTCTCTCTCACTCATGACTTACGCCAAGCAGCCCGCAGCTCCAATTATCGAGAACAAGTCTCAGACAGGCAAATGTTCTCCGTGCTCTTGGAACCAGGAGATCCATCCCACCGTCTCCCACCCAGTCTTGCAAGCGATCCAAATATGCAAGTATACGTCTTGTCAGCCGTATTCAACTGCTCTTATTTGCTCGTCAAATTTACGCTCAAATTGAGGGAGAATCTGGTACGTGCACCCTTGGCGCAAAGCAGTGGTATGTGTATATCTGGGTGGGAGACGGTACATCTAAGGTGCTTTTCGGTTATAAAACGTATGCCCGCACCCGAACGACAGTCAACCTGGATCCTGGAGCGTCAACTGCAGCGAGAAACGAAGTTACCCATACAAACTTAAGGACCATCCGACCGCTAATAGTAGGCGTAGTCTTGTGCATTTTGAGAAAAGGCTGCAACTTGCTGTCTTGTTCGCCCTCAACACCTGGCATGGTTCATACATATACTGAGCCCGTCGCAAGTCTCGCATGCGAAAGGGCTCATGTGCTACAGCGTCATGCATCCTTCCTTTGCCTTTTTACCAAAACGAGCCGTCACCGCATGTACATGTCAAAGCCATCGCCCTTTTGACATGTAGCATTTCTGAGAGCAGTCCCTGCCTGCCAGAGCCAAAGGGAAACGGTGACGCCCGAGGTTGGATCAAGATTTCAACCACGCCCACAACCCTGCAACTCACCACAGAGCACTATCTCATCTCGCATCAGTGCAGAGACGGTCTGGACCCGCTTCGGCACTACCCTTACAAAAAAATTTCCGCATAGTGGACCGGCACAACATCGGCCGCCCTCTCTCCTCCGCACTCGCTCTCCCTCCGCCACAAAACGTTCTAGCCATGCATCCTCATGCAGACGCAAGGAGCAAAAGAGATGCGTCGGCCGGGAATCGAACCCGGGGCTGATCGAAGCTGGGTGTTGAGCTCCCGGGAGCACTCGTGGGATGAGATACTCCTGTGAGGACTGCAACTTCTTGGCAACGATCAATTTTACCACTAAACCACCAACGCTGGAAGCCATTGTACTGGCTGTTGAAGATATAGGATGGCCGGGAATCATTATGACAAGAAACCCAAAGCAAGACGACGCGCTGGCGGGTGATTTCTGCTCTCAGCAAGCAACGAACTCCTATTCCTCGTCCCCTTATTCGTTCCACGATAGACTACGTGTGCACTAGGAATATCTCTTGGCTTGCGGAGACCCTCGTTTCTTATTGCCGGGGAAGTGGGAGAGAAAGTCGCAGACAATTTTTGCCCAGGTTATCCAGGAGAGACGGTCGGGGACCAGGCCGTGTTCTCTTGCTATGCGCAGGTCGCATTCGTGGTTGATTAGCCAGGAGTATGACTACAGTAGGCCGCAAGCGCCTTTGTACAGCCTGTCGCTGTGGCATAGCTGCGTCTTCCACACGACGTAGTCTGGCAGAAATGAGGGGAGGTGCTTGATGCATATGTTGCTCTCTTCAAAGACGAGGTGAGAATTTGGATCCTCTATAAGGAGGATTGAGCGCTTCAGCAAAATTTGGACGTGCAGCGGATGAGCTGATCGGGAAACTCCTGCGAGCCAGAGATGCCTGCGGACAGTGTTGATTTTCGGAGTGAGCGGTTCCGTCTCGAATAATAGCAGGGCTCTAGAATATAGCGCAACTATGCCCCAGCTTTGCTTTGGAAAAATAACATATGTGGGTAGTTGAACCTATCGTCCGGACGTATTTGTAGAATTCTTAATTCGACATTCTCGTCGGGACGATAGCTTCAACTACCCATGACGTGAGCAAAATAAAAACAAATCCACGGTAGCCATCGGCTGCGAGAAGGGACTGTATTGGGTGACCTGACGTTTGTTGCTCAGCCTTGCGGCCCTGTCAAGTGGCCGATCTTGCTGCATCGAGGTGCTTATGCGCGTCGGGCTTTAATGCAAGCCTTCAGTCCTACAAGCCTTCAGTCCTACAAGCCTTCAGTCCTACAAGCCTTCAGCCCTACAAGCCTTCAGCCCTACAAGCCTTCAGCCCTACAAGCCACAGTGCGAATAAGACGTCAGCGTGTTCCCAGGTAAGCTATTATTTGGGCTTCACCTTGAAGCTGTCATGTACTCTTGTCCAGTGCAAGTCAGGTAGGCCATAGGACACACTTAGCGAGACTGTAGTCAGGTTATGCTGTTTTGCAAACTATAGCTACGATTCACCCCATTGACCCAATGTACAAAGATCGTCGTGTTATCGTAAATTCATGTAAGGTGTGTGCACTAGTTTTCCTTCGATCTGTAATCAGTACTGACCCTCCAGAGTAAAAGTTCCCGTCTTGGTGATGAGATATTCATTGATAGCAACATCCTTTCCAGACTCCTTTCCATAGCCCGACTCTTTGATGCCACCAAAAGGTGATTCGGCGGCGGAAGAGTTGCCTGCAAACTATGTCAGCGAGATTTAATAATTCCAAGGCGTTCAGCACTCACCAGTGTTCATCCCTATCATCCCGGCTTCCAGATTCTCCAGCATTCGCCACATGCGATCCACATTCTTGGTGAAGCAATACGACGCCAACCCCATACTCGTGTCGTTTGCCGCCTTCACCGCCTCCTCCTCGGTCTCGAAGCGGTAGATGGCTGCCACGGGGGCGAAAATTTCCTCGCACGAGACCAGCATATCCGGCTTCATGTCGGTCAGGATGGTCGGTTCGAAGAAATACCCGCCCTTGCCCTCGACCCGCTTTCCACCGGTGACGACCTTTGCCCCCTTGTTCGCCGCATCCTTGACTATCTGCTCGGCCTTGTCAAGGCCTCGAGGCGTCGTGACTGGGCCCATGCTCGTCCCGTCGGCAGCACCATGGCCAATCTTGAGTTTTGCCGTCTCGGCGTGGAAGCGCTTCACGAATTCATCGTAGATTCCGGATTGGACGTAGATACGATTGGCAGTGATGCAGGCCTGGCCAGCGTGGCGCCACTTGAGGGGGCAAAGCTGGGCCATTGTCTGGTCGAGCGAGGCGTCGTCGAAGACGAGGACGGGGCAATTGCCGCCTAGCTCGAGCGTGACCTTTTTCAGGCCGTCGGCAGCATTGCGTGCGACAATCTTGCCGACGCGCGTGCTGCCTGTAAAGGATATCTTCTTGATAAAAGGATGCCGGGTGAGTGCTTCGGACAGCTCGGGCGTCTTCTCGAGGTCGGTCGTCAGCACGTTAAAGGCGCCCGGTGGGAAGCCAGCCTTGGAAGCCAGGTGAGCGAGCGTCAGTGCTGTGAGCGGCGTCTCGGGCGAAGGTTTGACGATCATGGTGCAGCCAGCAGCCAGAGCAGCACTGGCCTTTCGCAACACCATGGCGATGGGAAAATTCCAGGGGACCAAGGCGGCAGCCACGCCGATGGGTTGCTTGACGGTGAAGACGCGGCGGTTGGGCAGAGCAGGGGAGAAGACGGTGCCCTGGATGCGCTCGGCCTCACCCGCAAACCACCAGGTGAAGCCGGTCGAGTAGTCCAGCTCCCCGTATGCCTCGGCCAGCGGCTTGCCCGTCTCGTACGTCAGCAGCGTGGCCAAGTCGTCGCGGTTCTCACGGATCAGCGAGTCCCACTTGAACAGCATTTGGGCCCGCTGGCGGGGCGTGAGCTTCTTGAAGCGTTCGAAGCATGAGTGCGCGCTCTGCACGGCTGCGTCGACATCGGAGGCGTCATTGGTGGGGCAACTCGTCCAGGGCTTGCCCGTGCCCGGATCTGTTTGGTTGGCAGCGGTTCTTTGGAGTTGAAAAGGCATAAATTCAAGCGGGGTACGAAACATGAAATCATTTGAAGCGAAAATGGATTCTCAAGCTCGCGTCCAAAAAGACGAGGTCAAAGTCTGCTTTGGGGATAATCACTCTAAGACTCGGGGTAGATAAGACACGAAATTGGGACTCACCGACGACTTCAAAGGTCGCCCCAGACTTTGAGTTCGTCCATTCGCCGTTGACGTAGGACTGGTTGTGGAAGAGGTCCGGATTCTTGAGCTGCACTCGGCGGGGCGCGTCAATCCCCCGCAGGCAAGCGGGCGGAGAGAAAGCAGAGACGAACCTTGAACGGGAGCTGGTGGGTAGAGCCCATTTTTATTGCCCTGGGGTTGTTTTGGTGGCGTGACGGAGGCAAGCGAGGGAGCTTTGGCGGGGAAGGTGGCTGCCACGGTGCTGCTTTATGACCATTGGAGCTGCGTTCCACGACCCCAATGCGGAGAAGGAGGGCCCGCTTCCAAGCACCCGATTCGGCCAAGGCAAGGCGGGGATATCGTTGGGGGCGGCGGGGTCGACAGCCGTTTAAGAAGTCGTGACCGGCATTTTGCTCGACCCCTCACCACGCCGCCAGCCACATCTGGATTTTAGTGGCCGCAAGCACATCGGTGCACCAAGACGTCGTTGGAGAACTCGTGAGGACTTGGTATGCGGCCGAGGTTACGCTATGCGGGGACTGCGGTTTATATTGCGACCGGACGACGCTTCAACTGTCAATGCACTGACAGACGTCTACACTAACAATGGGTCGGCTCGACGGCAAGGTAGCAATTGTGACAGGTCTGCCGCCTATACAGCTCATGAACATCAGACCCTGACAACTATACAGGCGGTGGTGCTGGGTTTGGAGCTGAAATATCCCGGCGTTTCGCTGCCGAAGGAGCCCGTGTGCTTGTCTGCGACATCAACCCCGATGGAGGCCAGAAGGTTGCTGCCGAGAATGCGTCGAGCATGACTTTTCACCAAACCGACGTCACCAAAGCCGCCGACTGGAAAGCTGCTGTTGACGCAGCAGTGGAAAAGTACGGCCATGTCGACATTCTGGTCAACAACGCGGGCACCACCTACAAGAATAAGCCAACCGTCGACGTCACTGAAGAAGAGTGGGAGAAGGTCTTCAATGTCAACGTCAAGAGCATCTTCCTGGGCAGCAACGCCTTCGTGCCATCCGTCATCGACCGCGGCCAGGGCGGCGTCATGATCAACATCGCCTCCGTCGGTGCCACCCGTCCGCGTCCAGGTCTCGTTTGGTACAATGCCTCCAAGGGAGCCGTCTGGAACGCCACCAAGGGCCTCGCCGCCGAGTACGGCTCCCACGGCATTCGAGTGAATTCAGTATGCCCGCTGTTGAGTGGCACCGCCCTGTTCGAGAGCTTCGCCGGCGTCCCTCCCACGCCCGAAAATATGCAGAAATTCCTGTTCAACGTGCCCATGGGGCGACTATGCGAGCCTCAGGATGTGGCAGCGGCTTGCACCTTCCTCGCAAGTGACGACGCCAAGTTCGTTACCGGGTGAGTCGTAGACGATTGAAAGTCGGGAGAAAGCTGACATGCCTAGGATCAACATGGAAGTGGATGGTGGAAGATGTATCTAATCATTCACCTGGAAATTGGTCATCATATTTTCACTATCCATGAGGGGGTATCAGACCTGTAGGCAGTTGACAATTATACATTCTCGTCCAGGCGGTAGCTTCAACTACCTGTGACATGAAACGTGGTACCCCTCTGAGTATGCTCGCTTGGGTTCTTGGACAACAGCGCTGACTTTGAATCACCTGCGTTTGTAACCATGGCTCGGCAATTTCTTTACGATGTAGGCAGTTGACTATCCGGATTGTTCAAGAAATGTAAAGCTCAGAATCACACAGGTAAATACCCTAGCGTAATTAGCAATTAAAGGTTGATATTCCCGCTCGCGGCACAGACAGCCACAGTCCCGCTTCGGAACAGATCAGCATCGTCGGAAATTGTGGCGGTGCCTGCAAGGAGGGAAGACTCGAACACGCAGCACCAGGCGGTCGTACAGAAGTGACGGCTGATGTCAGCCAAAGAAATGTTGGTGCCTGAAGTATGACGATACAGTGGTGGCGCAATGGGCGCTTGTTGGTTCGCCCGGCCATTGCGCGGCGCGCTGGATGCGGCGCTTTGGATGCAGCGTGCTGTACGTAGTAGACGATGGTCGGCGCTTTGGAGAAGGCGCGAAGAGGGAGATATACAGCAGGGTGTCGCAGCCGAAGGCTAGCGTGGCTTCTTCTTCCATCGCTCTTGCCATGGGTGGAGCTGTCGTGCGGACGTGAATGCACAATAATTGTTAATGTCACATTTACATCCGGACGACTGCCCACATCCGTTGTTCCTCATACCGCGGACATCCGGCGGCCTCGTACTCGCGTTGCAATGGGCTGGTGGCTTGGGCGGGGACCAGCAGGTTTTTCCCTGGGCTTCCGCGCGCCGCAGCGCTAGGCCGATCCTCATTCTGCCCCGCGATACGTCAGCCCCCCAGGCCTCCTGTGAACGCGCGCCCGACACCTAGCCCGACGGTCGACAGACAGACACCACTCTGCGACCTCTGCCACGCAATTCCAGGCAGCGGCCAAACTCATACAATACCCACCCCCCGCAGCGCCCGCACTCTTCCCTCACCTCACCTCCTGCTCGAATTCTCACCATGAACGTCATCAAGCTGCAGAGGAAGTATCCTCAGTTCGACCAGTCCGAGATCTTCGGCCTCACCGACGCCTTCCGCAAGCTCGACGTCGACGACAAGGGCTACCTCGAAGAGGCCGCCGTGATCAAGGCCACTCAGGCCTCGGAGCGCCAGCCGTACGATGTCGTCAGACAGGCCCTGAAGGAGGTCGAGCTGGACAGCTCGCGGCGCGTCGAGCTCGAGGACTACGTCGACGTGAGTGCGCCCCCGCTCGCGCCCATGCCACCACCCGACTGACCGACACCACAGCTCATTGCCAAACTGCGCCAATCATCCCCCGCCCAGCAGCGCATGCAGACGGGCCCCACGCGCCCACGAGGCCTCAGCGGCGCCCAGGCCCCGCAATCGCCCGTCTACGGCCACAAGTCGCAGGGCAGCCACGGCGGCGGCAGGATACAGGTCCAGGGCTCGTCCGCCAACGTCACCCACACCATCAACGAGGATGAGCGCGTCGCCTTCACCAGCCACATCAATGCCGTGCTCGCCGGCGATCCCGACATTGGCAACCGCCTGCCCTTCCCCACCGACACGTTCGAGATGTTCGACCAGTGCAGGGACGGCCTGCTGCTGGCCAAGCTGATCAACGACAGCGTGCCCGACACCATTGACGAGCGTGTCCTCAACCGCCCGGGCAAGAAGATTTCCAAGCTCAATGCTTTCCACATGACCGAGAACAACAACATTGTCATCGAGTCGGCCAAGGGTATCGGATGCTCCGTCGTCAACATCGGCAGCCAGGACATCGCCGAGGTCCGCGAGCACCTGATCCTCGGTCTGATCTGGCAGATCATTCGCCGCGGTCTGCTGGGCAAGATCGACATCAAGCTCCACCCCGAGCTGTACAGACTGCTGGAGGAGGACGAGACCCTGGAGCAGTTCCTGCGCCTGCCTCCGGAGCAGATTCTGCTCCGCTGGTTCAACTACCACTTGAAGAACGCAAAGTGGCACCGCACGTGAGTCGCCCGCCTGCCGCCCTTGGAATTTGACTGACCCCCGCAGCGTGTCCAACTTCTCCACCGACGTCAAGGACGGCGAGAACTACACCGTTTTGCTGAACCAGCTGAAGCCCGACATTTGCTCTCGCGCTCCTCTGCAGACCCCCGATCTCCTCCAGCGTGCCGAACAGGTCCTCGACAACGCCGACAAGCTCGACTGCCGCAAGTTCCTGACGCCCTCGTCCCTCGTCGCCGGAAACCCCAAGCTAAACCTGGCCTTCGTCGCCAACCTCTTCAATACGCACCCCGGCCTCGATGCCATCACCGAGGAGGAGAAGGCCGAGATTGAGGACTTTGATGCCGAGGGCGAGCGCGAAGCCCGCGTCTTCACCCTCTGGCTCAACTCGCTCGACGTCCAGCCGAGCGTCCAGAGCTTCTTCGACGATCTCCGCGACGGCCGCATCATCCTGCAGGCCTACGACAAGGTCATCCCTGGAAGTGTCAACTGGCGCCACGTCAACAAGCTGCCTCCCAGCGGCGGCGAGATGATGCGTTTCAAGGCCGTCGAGAACACCAACTACGCCGTGGAGCTCGGCAAGCACGTCGGATTCAGCTTGGTTGGAATCCAGGGTGCCGACATCACCGACGGCCAGCGTACTCTCACTCTGGGTTTGGTGTGGCAGCTGATGCGCAGGGACATTGTCAACACCATTGGCACTCTGGCACAGCGCTTGGGCAAGCGTGAGATTACGGATTCAGACATGGTCAAGTGGGCCAACGACATGTCCCGCGCCGGAGGCAAGACCAGCTCCATCCGCTCCTTCAAGGATTCGTCGCTGTCCAACGCCGTCTTCCTACTCGACGTTCTCAACGGAATGAAGAGTTCTTACGTCGACTACGACCTCGTCGCTCCTGGCCGCACCGAGGACGAGGCCTACGCCAACGCCAAGCTGGCCATCAGTATCGCGCGTAAGATGGGCGCCACCATTTGGCTCGTTCCCGAGGATATTTGCTCCGTGCGCAGCCGTCTCATTACGACTTTCATCGGTAGCTTGATGGCGACGCACGAGAAGATGCATTGAGCGGTTTTTCAACGGAGTACCCCCCAAAGTTTTATGATTGCGGATTGTTCTTGACGCGGTTTGAAGCAAGCCATGGCTTGTGAATGACGAAAAGAGACGAAGATTATTTTCCTTTGCTGTTCTAAGCTGCATTTTCCATTTTCAGTAGTACAGAGCGAAGACTCAAAATGAATATGAATTGGAAAATCGATACCCAGTAAACCAGCGTATGTTGAGCGATTTGGTTTTACCATTCTTAGTAAGGATGCTTGTGAGTGCAGTGAAATCTTAGTGATAGCAAACGAGCTATAACTACTAAGAGCTTTGCTAAGCGTATCATGACTGATCCAATGTCATCTAACGATAGGTATGACCATTTTCCTCTTGTACACACCGGAAGTGAGATCATGAGCGAGAAGGAGGAGGGGATTAAGAGGCTTTAATACGACATTTAGTAATAAATGCTGAACCCCGCGAACTCCACCTCGTCGAGCTCAAAGAGAATCTCTGGACCAATGGGAGCGGGGGATAAAATGGTGAGCTTGAGGGCTTAGGTGATGGACGTCAGGAAGTTGAAGGTTCGTCGAGGAGAAGGACATCAACCGTGAGGCAGGCATCCCATGAGCGAGAGAGAGTCTTAAAAGCGACGAATAAAAGTATTTGGCTTCTACAACTTAATAGCGGATGAACATATCTAGTCCTTTCGTTATGAAGTCCGCGATTTTCTCGGCTCATACCAGCGATACGTTTGTGCAGTTTCTTTTAGTTTCATTGTAGGTGGGAAAGAGCCATCTTTTTCAGAGAAAGACGACGATAAAAGACCACGGAGACCATCCACTATGTCACTGCCTTACCAAGCAGACCACGCTATTCCACTTATTAAGTAAGCTCACGTCTTGAATTGACCTTCAGGAGCTTCCCAAGATACAGGGTAAGCAGCTGAGTGGGCCGAGCCCATTACGAATCAGTTTCCGCTGTTACACGAGAATAACGCGGACAGTATTACTAAGGAATTGATTCAATCGTTGCTTTTAACAGGATTCAACCCTTCTGCTTAGCTCGGCCAACTGGCGAAAAGTGACAAGCACGCTAGACGAACATGTACCCAAGACGAACTAGAGGAAGTTGTAAACCGGAGACTAGAACCTGTCTATACTTTATATATCGTCCTCCTGTCAGAGGTAGTAGAAGTAATTGTTAGGGAATATGCGTAGAGTTAATATTTATCCACGTCCAGACGATAATTCATATTGCTTGTAGATGCCGAGGGTCCTCCATAAAGAGAGCTGGAAGGGAATTATTTATTCCGTAGTCTGCCATGGTAAAGAGGCATAATTTATGTTTGTATCTAGCCGAACGGTTTCCTCGGTGTGTTCCCTCTTTACGCTTAGTTCTCATCGATATATTTTCCACTTGCTGGCAGTAGCTGGCCCAGCAGTCGGTGCAAAACATGGACATAAAAGTAAATACAACTCGAATTATAGCTAACAGTTTTAAGTAAGACCAGGGCCTTGTACAGTGCATATAGGAAAAAAATCAATATAATGTTGACAAGGAATCATTGCGTATAAGATCTTATTTTTTTCTATAGTGCTAAGTGTAGCACATGGAAATTTTACCAACGTTCCTACCCCGCTTTTTCTATAACTTTATTCTTGTACTGAGTCTAATTCTATATGCGTATAAGGGTATTCCAGCATCGCTTCTAAATTTTAATGTTCTACTAGTTTTTTATCATGTCTTTGTGCCAGCTATTTTTAGGCTCTAGTACAAGCCCTGAAATTTATAGGCGCATTCTAATATAGTATGCAATTGAAATTCTACCTCTAGTATAATCTATATTTCTACGCTGTAACTGAGGCTCTTTAAGATTCCGGCTCTTCTTCTTAAGCTTAATTCCTGGGGCTGAGTAGCTACTAAACTACTTACGAATTTACGGACTATAAGCTTCTTACTCTAACTCGATGTCTGCAAAGAAGCCTGCTGGTGAGTATAGGTACACAGTTCCCCCAAGTTCGTCGTGTTTTTTTGTAGGCTTCTCTTCAGATACACGGTTGTTGTATAATTCAGACAAAGGCCCATCTGCAGTCAACATTTAGTTGCTTTATATGGACAACTAGTTGACTGGCTCTCCATCAACCTGAGAGAGACACTCGAGTAACATCGAGTAGATCAGCAACTTCCGTTGTGGTCTAGGGGCTAGGATTTGCCGCTCTCAGCTGCAGAGCACTCCTCGCATCAAGCGCCGGCAAGGCCCGGGTTCGATTCCCGGCGACGGAAAGGAAGTTCATTCTCATCTTTTTGCTTTTGTTTTGTGTCTATGGATGTCGTGGTGGGTGGTGGGTGGTGGGTGGTGGAGTTTCGTGATAGCCGGCCCAGCGGAGAACGCGAGCAACACCAACCACCATCTTTTTTTTCTGGCATTTGGAAAGGCAGAATGAGATGACCGAGGCCGAAGCAATATGCTTAACAGCGAGGCCGAGCGAAGCCTTATTTATGCAAGCTCCCACAAGTTGTGCACACGGCATAACGAAAAGACCGAAGATCAGATATGCTAGCGTTGAGCCGACGACCGAACGCCCGAGCAGCGCCGGCATCGGCGATCCGCCGGGGAAAAGCGATTGATAATTGGTGGTCATCAACGGCCCTCTGGTTGGCTCGTTCGGCCTCTCTACTGGGTTCTCCCTTGATAAGGAGTCGAGCGGGTCCTCAAGGTTTATCGCGACGACAGCTGAAAAACCAGCAGAGAGGGGGGTGGGCAAAGGCAGAGGGACAGCAAGCAACACACATCAGGACTCAACGCTCTCCAGCACGGAGATAAAGGCTGAATAAGCACAAGCGCTGTTTTTTTCTTGCAGCGCTAGTGTGGTTCGGACAACACATGCGTGGAGGCGCGTGCGCGTGCGAGAGAGGGAGGGAAGAAGTGAAAAAATTGAAGCAAGGCGTGCGGTTCCGGGACCCCCACCCTGCGCGCTGGGGAAGAGCTGTTTTCGGGTAGCGGGATCAGATATCCCACACTTCATGCCCGCCTTCCCCTCAAATCATATCAGATGGAAGATCCGCCCCCGGCACGTTAGACACTTCCGCTGGGCCAAAGTAGATAGTGAAAATGTGGCGTGACCATACCATCATGGTGTCAATCGTTTTCGCAGCTGAGCCCAGGCCCCCCCGGTTTGCTGCTTGTTTAAATAGTCCGTCAACGGCCTGCCGACCAGATGCTGATGGTTCCTCCCCTCGGTTCCCGCATCCCTTCGCCCAACGGCTGACCGCTTAACATGGCTCCTGGTGTTCTGGATCCAATCACATACGCACTCGGACCGCAAAACGGACTTTCAAAGAGAATATTTTCACTTTCTTCGTTGCTCGAATACAGTAACTACCAGGACTATCAATCATCGACCGGCTGCGCCTGTTTACACGGAAAAAAAAAACCCCCCACCGAAAACCCAAAGGAGAATCATGCTATGTAGTACATGATGCGGACTGAAAGAGGAAAGTATGTAAAAGGGTGGTGGGGAAGGAAAGAGCGTCCGTCATCTCGTTTCATTCTAGTGATGAAAAGAGAGCGCTCAAACTGCCGCCTTCAGGTAGGTGATATACACCTCTCTTCGTTTTCGGATACTTCTCCATGAAGTATTAACGAAAGTGCCATCGTCGAGATGGGAAACTTTCAAATCAAGCGCTTTTCTCGCATGTCCGGTTTTTTCACTTTCTTTTTTTTTTTCTTTGTTTGTCGTCATCAGTTCTTCCATCGTCCTTCCCTTACGCGGCAGCCGCCGTGTTGGGCGTCTCCGTGATGGTCTCAACCTCGACTTTGGGCAGCGAAGCGCCAGTGCCACCAAGATCCGTCACCCGTGCCTTGGGGTTCTTGGTGTAATAATTCGAGATAGCGCTCTTGATCGCATCCTCAGCCAACATAGAGCAATGAACTACAGCAAGAGAAGCCATGTTAGACGTATATCCATCAAGAAAAAAGCACGGGAAGAAAAAAAGGGGGGGGGGGGGGGGGGGGGGGGGGGGGGGGGGGGTGAACAACTCACGCTTCACGGGTGGCAGGCACAGCTCCTTGGCGATCTCGGTGTTCTTGATGCGAGCGGCCTGCTCGAGCGTCATGCCGCGCACCAGCTCCGTCAGGTAGCTGGAGCTGGCGATGGCGGAGCCGCAGCCGAACGTCTTGAACTTGACGTCGCTGATGGTGTTGTTGTTGGGGTCGACGCGGATCTGCAGCTTCATCACGTCGCCACACGCCGGCGCGCCAACCAGACCGGTGCCCACATCCGTGTCGGCCTTGCTCATCGATCCGACATTGCGAGGACGGTTGTAGTGGTCGAGCAGTGCTGCGGATGTTAGCTTGCGGGCTTGGGTGGATAACGGGGGCAGTGACGGGTGGTGGGGGGAGCGAGCGAACAACGGGGCGCACAGCGACTGTAGCCCTCACCGACGCGTGGAAGCGGCGCATGCAACGGGCAGCGAGTGGAGAGACTTATCTTTCTCGTGGTAGCTCCGCCTGGCGTTGACGGCGACGGCGGGAGTTGCTCTCCGCAGCGGCGATGCGATCTGGGGCCTGGCGGCGGAGGTGAGGAGCTTGCTGGCCTGGGCCGGCGCAGTGGCAACAGCTCTTCTGAACATGGTTGAGAGGGGTGTGAGGTGTGAGAGGATGGTTTAGGTCGAAGTGTGTCGCAGCGCAAGCGCGTGTGGTGATGGGAGGTCAATGGGAGCGTGCGGAGGGCTGCGTTGCAAGTGCAGATTCGAGGCGAAGATAGAGGTGCACGTCTTTGATTATTTGAGAATGACGCCCGGCGGCCGCTCGGCTCGCGGAGAAAGGCGGCCACTGCGGTCTCGGCCAGCGGGATTAAGTCATATCTCGGCTGTGGCGACTTATGCACGTGCACAACCACGACCCTCCCCCGCTGCACACCCAACCAATCGCCAAATCGGGTCCCATCCATTGCCCATGACGTCCCCGATCGGCGCACCTATCACGGCTGCATACCTCACGTATGCTTCTGCGGTGATGGAACTTTTAATTCTACTCCAATTTCAACCTCTGAATGCTGCACGTAACAATGCCGCCCTACGTCTTTGCCGCCCACTTTCCACCCGACCGTAACCATCATGCGCCGTATCTCATGCAATCATCAACCTTTTCCCCCGCCCTCACACGCGCCTGAAAAAGTAAACATACGCAAACTTCTTCATCTCGTCAATGTCGCCCGCCTTGGCCACCTTTTCATCGTTGAACAGCACCCAGGACGCCCCATCCTCGCCCGGGATCTGCTTCCGGATGAACGCAACGTAATGCCTGTAACACGTCAGTCCTGATCAACCAATCGCGCAATCGCCACCGATGACTTACCCTGCGTGGATCGAGCTGCCCTTGTGGCAGACAATCGACTGCAGCTGGAACTTCGCAGGCAGCTCGCCCGAGCCAGGCTCCGCCTTCTCCTTCGGGGCCGAGGCCTCGGCACCCTCATCCTCGCCGAAGTCGCCCGTTGCTTCGGGATGGTTGAAGAGCCAGTCGACTGCACGCTCCATATCTCCGCCCGTCTCCTTGAGCGCTTGACGTGCCTGTGGAGCCGCGAAGCCCATGGCGCCTAGCGACTCTATCTTTTCCGGGTCGATCGCTCCCGCTCCCGCTCCGCCATCGCCTCCGACGCTCAGCTCCACTGGCGTGTCGATATCCGGGTCCTCCATGTGCGCGAAGAGCCAGTTAGACGCGGCCTCAGGGTCGGCGTTGCCTGTCGCGTGCAGCGCCTTCTCGCAGCGTACCCGAGGGAAGCCCATCGCCTCGAGCATTCCCAAAGCAGCCTCGTTGGGGACGAACTTGTTCGGAGCGCCGGCGTCCGCATCTTCCGGTAGCAGCTCTTCGCCCTCCCGGAGACCATGCGACTTGTAGGCGTCGAAGGGGATCGCTTCGTCCCCAATGACCACCGGCACATCCAACTTCGTCGGGACCCAGTTGACGAGCTCGAAGCGGCGCGCGTTGACCGCGAGCACAGAAGGGAACGTCTTGAACAAACTTTGCTTCGTGAACCCATCCTTGCTGCCGCACGCGGCGCAAGTGAGCTCGACGACCTCGGAGGCGGTGAAGATGTCCAGACACTCCTTGAGGGTAACCGGCTCGAATTCTTCCTTCTCGACCTCCTTCCCCTTCGCGTCCACGGCTTCCATCTTGTCGTCCTTGGGGATCCTCCTGATGGGGACCGGGATGGAGATGTTCTCCATCTCGTCCGTCCTGTAGCGCACCTTTTTGCAGCTCAAACACTGCAGCTTCTGTTCCATGACAAAGCGGAAGGCGTCCACGGGGTCTTTGAGAGGCGCAGGGTGGGGTGTGCGGGTGACCAATTTCAGGAGATGCAGCAGAAGCTCAAACGAGTCCTGCTGCCTCATGGTAGAGAACTCGGGGTGGCCCCGGCCGATGAGGTGCTTGAGCATGGCAGGCGCGAGACCCTTCTGGTGGGGCACTTCAGGAGTGTCCTCCGACGCGACGACGTCGCTGTCGGGCTTCGAGTAACGGCCAGAGATGAGACCGTCTGCGATTTTGCGCAGCTGGGTCTCCAGGTCCTGGGCGGGATCGCTCGCCGGGGGAGGCGTGTCCTTGGGATGGTAGTAGCGTTCTTGGAACTCGGGCATGGAGAACAGAGCCTGCAGGACACTCGCGAGGTAGCAGCTGTTTCCGAGATTCTTCAGCCCCGTGAAGCCAGGGCCGAAGATGGGCTTCAGTTCCTTGCCGTCTTCCGTGGTCATGGAAAACTCCCACCGGAGATTCTGCTCAATCTGCATCTCGGTCAAGCTCTTCTCCGTCTTCTGCCGATCTGCAATGTTGATGCCCCAGTGCGACAGGTGAGCAGGCAGCTCAGGGTCGACGCGCTCCTCGTTGCAAGAGTAGCAGTAAATGTCCGCGGTGCCGTCGGCCGTCAGCGAGCCCAGCTTGACCGCCACCGGGTGGCCGGTGGCATCGCTGTGTGCCAACCCGTGCGAGTTTCCCCCCACGCCACCGTACTGTGCGCGTCCGCAACCGAGGTTGCCGCAGGTCAGACACAGCCAAAGGTTCTCCTTGAGGTCGCACATGGAGCAATGACCCAGGTCTTGCGACTCGATCTTCTTCGCAGGCTGTTGCTCCAAGCAGAGAGTGTGCTCGCAAGGAATCATCTCCTGCTCCCAAGCTTTAACTTCCTCCTGGCGCGCGAAGGTGTTGGCCTTGAGCACAGCGTCGACCACGCCAGACAGCTTACCGGCGGTCTTGTCGACGTCTACGCCGCACTCGAAACACCTGACCTGTGTAGTGGTATCGTAGCGGTCCTCTTCGGTTTCGGCGGCGATGGCGAGCTTCGTCATCTTCTGGGGCGGCTCGTCCCTCTTGACCTTTTTGCGGGTGCGGCGAATGTTGAGCACGAGAGGGTGCTTGCGGGACTCGTAGTGCAGGCGGGAATGGTTGCGATCGCTCGTGCAGCCGCCGTTGAAGCAGTAGAGGCAGACATCGAGGCCGGAGGGGTCATCCTGGTAGACACAGGTCAGGCAGAAGCTCGCATCGGGGGAGCCGTGGCGACTGCGAACTCACAATGGAGTCGAAGCACTGGGTGCAGTCCTCGCGGTAGACGGACTGGCTGGGTGCCGGAGCACGCAGCTCTGCGACGGTCAGTTTGGCGCTGGTATTTCGTGGCGCGGAGCTTACCCGGAGCGTTTACGTGCAGGCAAGCCATGTTGTTCACAGCTCGAGGCAGGGATGGAGCTGTCGTGAGCTTGGGAGTGTGAGGATGAGGCGTACGACTGCGGGACAGTGGTGCCTGCCGAAATCGCGGGCCGGCGTTTGCGGGGCGGCGACAGCAGCCTAAGGGAAGCTTCGCCGGCCTATGACCTCACGCCGTCCGGCCATCGCAAAGACACCACCCTCCGTCGAGCTTGCCCGCAACACCCATTCGCTTTGCAACCAGCGTTCCTTGGGGATTTACCACGTCTAAAAGAACGCCCTCCCGCATGACACGTGCCGTCGACCACCGTAGCGGTGCAGCGTAGTCTTTCGCAGCACGGTTCTGCTGTGGGGACTCCTGCCACCTCAGTAATGCCGTTTCCGCGGGTGACGTCCCGCCTGCCCGAAGCCCAGAGCCTTCCCAAGCCGGCGGTGTTTCCTCCGGATTAATATATCTCGAGACCTACACGTCCAGACTCCGCCATCACGCACAGTCCGTGGCACCTGGACGATCCTTTGACTCCTTCTGTATGACCTGGGCGCCGTTTCGATTTTTTCTTTTGCGTTCCATTGGGAATATCCCTTCTACCTTCCTAACCCAACCGACCTGTGAAAGATGATCTGGTGATAAGGTGCGGCGCAGTCCATGCTTCGCTGATGGCGTCAAATAGACCTCCACTGAAAAAAAAAGTTAGGATTGCGGCTTAAGCACCTTAAAAATGCCGTCGCCAAACCTATATGCGCCGTCGTCGAATCAGCGGCGGCGCTGCGTGGGGCGCAAATCCACCATCGCCCCTGATCAGTGTCTTTTTCACTGTGTGCCTTCTTGATTCGGACGTCTCCTTGATCACGCTAAAGGAAACGCGGGATCCCATCGGCCTTGGCAGGTGTTGGCGCTGCCTCGCCATGAGTCGCATGGACGAAACAGCTTCGTATTCTGTTGCAAGCGAGCCAAGCTGCTGTTTCTTGAAGCCGCGGAGACTTCCGGGGTGAAGTTGGGTGCTTCGTGGAGACAAACGAGAGCACAGCCCTGAGATTACCCTCCTTCTTGGCAGGGTGTTCGCCATGTTATACCACCAATCAGCCCTTTGCGAGCACGGCGGACTGACCATCGCTTACTCATGTTGGGCAGATTCAAGCCGTTCGCTCGCCGTGTCGACCAGGTTTTGCTGGCGCCGTCTTCGGGACCGCCGGAAATGGCAACAGGTGGTGTTGATATAAAGAGCACGTAGCCTGGCCAGTTCGTCCGCCAACCAACCTCAGGTCCACCCGTTCCTTTGCAGCATCTCAAACTCAGCTGCCGCCGCCATGGATTCGTCACGTTCTTTCAAGCGTTTGTTCGTCCAGTCACTCCTTCTCCTGGCTCCTGCGCTCGCTGCTGCGCAAGACTCCAAGGCCGCCGAGCTCCAGTCATGCTTGACCGCTGCCGGAATCGAGAATGTCATCGAAGGCGCTGACACTTGGACGGATGCTACCGCTGTGTTCCAGAAGCGCCTCACTCCTGACCCCGCCGCCGTTGCCTTTCCGCAGGACCGGGACCAGCTGGCCGCTTCTCTGGGTTGTGCCAGGAACGCTTCTGTTAAGGTCTCTCAACTGGGCGGCAGCCATTCCTTTGCAGGCTACGGTTTCGGCGACCCTGGTAACCTCGTGGTCAGCCTGGGTGCTTTCAACTCTGTCAGCTACGACGAGGCCAGCCAGGAATTGACGTTCGGAGGTGGTACCAGAGTCGGGCCTGTTGCGACCTACTTGTGGGAGAACTATGGCAGGCACTTTCCCCACGTCCGCTCAGGTCACGTCGGCCTCGTTGGTTCTTCCATTGGTGGCGGCTTCGGCACGACATCCCGCCATTTGGGAACTCCCTTGGATAATCTTGTTGGCGTCGAGTACATGCTCTACAACGGCACCGTCGTTAGCGGCCGCGAGGGTTCTGACCTGCTCTGGGCTGCGCAAGGTGCCGGCTCGTCATACGGAATCATACTGTCCCTGACGACCAAGACCTGGCAGCCCGTTTACGACAAGGCCGTCAACTTCACCCTGTCCCTCGGCAACGTCAGCCTCGATGTTGGCACCAAGGCTCTCATCTCCATCCAGGAGTACGCCATCAACGACGCCCCCGACGAGCTTGCTCTCCGCTGGGGTCTCACAGCTCCCCCATTCACCGGCACCGGCTACTTTTACGGCGACCCGGCCGAGTTCGACACTCTGATCCAACCCCTCCTCGACCGTCTTCCCGCCGAAGCCTCCCTCACGAAGTCTGAGTTCGATTTCTGGACCATGGAGCAGTTCGTGGCTGGCGGCATCGCAGCCCCCAACGGTGGCAGCCTCGGCGGCCGCGCCTTTTACACTCAGGCGCTGACCGTCACGACCGATGCGCCGCTGACGTACGATCTGGCCTACACGCTCTTCGAAAGCACCACCTTTGCCTTCAACCGCACCGATCTCCGCAAGTCGGGCTTCCTCGACCTCTGGGGCGGTGTGTCGCGTGACATCTCTGACACTGACACGTCCTACGCGCACGGCAAGAACCTCTGGCTCATCCGTTGGGACGCCAACGCCGCCGACCCCACCAACTGGCCGGCCGACGGCGTCGAGTACCTCAAGAACCAGATGCTTCCCTTTGAGGAGGAGCTCCAGGCCGCGGGCATCGCGCTCCGCGGCTTCGCCAACTACCGCGACACCGCCCTGACCGAGCCCGAGTGGAGTGCGCGCCTGTACGGCGAGAACTACGCTAGGCTGAAGGAGATCAAGGCCGCCGTCGACCCGGAGGGCCTGTTTACGTCGAACCCCCAGAGCATTCCTCTGCCCTGAGATGTTAGCCATGACGTTCTCTTCCATGTGAATAGTTCCTTTGCGACTCATAGTCCATGTGTATAGACCACGGAATTCATGATGATCAACTTGATACCTTCATTGAGTAATAGAGTGAATGTGTTGAAGCCCATGATGATCGACCAGGATAGAAAGTCTGATTGGGTTTACTCCCATTGAGTATACATGGCCCTTCAAGCGTCGATTAATTATGGTTCAAACACTGGTCTGAAGGTCCTTAATCTTTGAGTAGGTGTCATGGTAAGCGAGCCGATCCTTTCATATGAGATGTGATCCGGCAGAGTCATGCCTTAATCTCAACTATATGGGCAACACCTTTCCGCGTTGATTTCGTGTCTACTTAAGATATGCTGGTCAAGTGCCTCTCCACGACAGCACCACAGCTGCCTCAGAATCAAGGTTCCAAGGCAACAAGGGTGTTGTAGAGTTCAACTCCTCCGTGGCGCAATTGGCTAGCGCGTCTGACTGTTAACGGATTCCTCCATTGAATCCGACTGCAATCAGGAGGTTGACAGTTCAAGCCTGTCCGGGGGAGCTTCTTTTTTGCATTTTTCTTCCATTTTGTTCCTTGTACCATCCATCATCCATGTTCATGTGGGTCGATCAAACTCAGACCTCACCAGCTCCACAACACCCAAATCAAGCAAACTTTTGTTATTTCCGGCTCAGACCACCCAATATACCGTGCCCATCAAAGATACCAATTGACAAAAGTAATGGGATTCCTACAAAGCAAGAACCTCCCATATGACTACCTCGGCCGCTACTTGTTCTGCCTCGTAGCGACCGACCAGTTGATCCACTCGTTGAAGAAGGACGGGTGTACCTTCGACTTCGGGTCCGCATACCACTGCTTCTGCGTGCGCGTGTACAAATCGGCAATCTTCTCGTAGCTCTTCACCTTGCCCTTCTCACTCTTCAACACCAGGGCCTTGGCGACGAACAAACTCGCGCGGCTGCAGGCGCCAGCATGAAGCTTGGACGAGTCCTTGGCGACTTCGGTGTGGATGTCGCTCAGCAGCTGCCACACGCTGTCAATCTCTTCCTCTTCAAGCGCGGGCATGCCCTTCTTCGCAGCGTCAAAGTACTGCTTGAGCAGGTTCGTCGCCTTTTCCGCTAGTTGCTTGGCGGTCGTCTCGCGGATGAGCTGGAGGAGCGGCATGATGGTGTCCATAGCCAGAGGGTTGGCGTGTTGCTGCTTGACATAGATAAGGAGCAGATCAAGCACGCGGTTTTTGAAGTTGATCATCGTCGCCTTGGCGTCTTTGTTTTCCTTCTTCTTGCTCTTGTTCGCAGCCTCCTGGCGCTGTTTGAAAATCTTTGCGAGTGCCGGCTCCAGCGCCATCATTTCGTCGTCGTCCATGTCTGCGTCGTCGTCGTCTGAATCATCCTTGCCAGTAGGGATTGATGTGTTTAAGGCCTCGGCGAGCGCAGCGTCGAACTTTTCCAGCTCTTCTTCATTCTCTTCGCCGCTTTCTTCCTCCTCATCGTCGTCGTCAGAACTTTCGACTTCTTCCACGTCGGATGCGTCAGCCTCGACCATCTCGACATCCGAATCCATATCCCCATCTTCATCCTCTGTCGTTCCCTCTCCATCCTCATCCTCAGTTGTCCCCTCTCCATCTTCACTGCCCTGTTGATCGAACAGGTCTTGTTGACCAGACATGCTCTCTTTCTTGCTCAGGATTTCGATCATTGACTGGAGTCCGTCCGCCGTCAGTTCCGAGGCAAACACGTTAAACACTTGCTCAGACAGCTTCCTGAACAGGACCGACGGCTTCGCTGCAAAACTGAGTAGAACTTCGGTCAACAGCTGGAAGGCGTTCGCATCCGCATCCTTTTCAAAAGCGGACTCGTAGCAGACTGTCAACTCGTCTAGGATCGATACGGCGTCGGGGTCTCCGTTGTAGACCTGGATTATGGTTAAAGAGTACAAGAGTTTGAAGGCGCGTAGAGCAGGCTTCTTCTTGTCCTTGGTTTTGCCGAGCTTCTAAAAGTCAGCGAATAGATTCCGAAGGGGTCGTGACGGTCCACACCTTTTTTGAAATCTCCTTGGCCCGCTCCTGTGCGTTTTGAACGACCTTTGAGACCTCCTTGTCTGCCTCAAAAACGAGCTCCAGACCCTTCGATTTGTTCTTCTTGAGAATGTGAGAGACCACCACGAACGGGTACTCCATCTCGACGTCGAGCTTCGAAGATAGCAAGTGAGCGAGACAAGATGTTAACCGACCTTGGAACATGCTACGGGAGGCGTCGGAAATGCCAGGCAGGGGCAAATCATCGGGGGAGCATGCTGCAGTGGGCGTGAAGTAGGAGAGTTCCGTGAGGAAATTCAGAAGCTTCCGCAGCCACGAGTCATCGCTGCCGATTGGGTTCTCCTTGTTGCGAGACCTGACAATCGTGACCAGCATGTCTGCGATGGTGCGGCGCTGGGTCTCGGCCACCTTCTCATCTCGTTCCTCGGGGCTGTAGATGAGCCGTTTGAGGAGCGGCACAATCTCCCCAAGCGCGACGTCGTTGGCGTGACTGAGCACACCTTCCACCGTCTTGTTCTTGGTTATCTGGTCAAAGTTGAGCGAGCCGTGCTTGGTGATCAGATTTTCAATCATAGGCGCGGCACACTCGGGGTCTCTCTTCGCTCTAGCACGCATGTCATCTAGGGGAAGCTTTGCGGCATTATGGAGAATTCTTTCAGAATCATTCCGCTGGTTGATGAGGCATCTCATGAGGTTCGGACCGAATAATGCAGGTACTGCCCATGCGGGAGCATTTCCAAGCATTCTCGAGAAGAGCTGGAAGCCTTTCGACTTTTGCTCGGGAGATGCCGAAGCCGAGAATAGATTATCTTCGATCGGTCAGAAACATGTCTCTCGGTGCGTGGATCGGTCCAGAACTCACTGTCTACAATGTCAATCCAGAAATTGGCAAACTTGGGCCGAGCCTCCACATATTTCTGCAGGAAAGACGTGATGACAACATCCCAAGCAAAGTTGAGAGTCGTCTGCGAGCTGCCGGACTTGACCTTCTTGCCATTTTCAGTCGTGCCGTCGGCAGACTTGGCAAAATTCTCCTTCATGACGTTCGCCAACGCCTGCCTCTCCTTTGTCGACAACGGATCTTCCTTGTGCCACACGCCTTGGGGAAGCTCCATGTCCGGGAAAGCAGCCTGCACGGTGAGCCACACGGCGACTCCTTCCGGAGTCTTTGCCAAGCCGCCGGAGCAGGTACCGTCTACGATTTGCTTCGCGAGCCTTTGCTCTCCCTTCTCTTGCGCGATTGCCTTGACGGCCTCGCACAGGATGAGACCGCATTCTTCACGTAACCATGGCTTCTCGCGTGCGAGCTTGAACAGTTGTTCCAAGACATTCGCCCAGCATTCTTCGGCGTTCGGTTGCACGAGGATCGAGGACTGGATAATGGCCTTGTAACCGAAGACACGGCCGAGGAGGTGATCTCGTTTTTCCTGGACACCAGTTAGGGCGGCGTTTGGAATTGGTTCATGGCGCGGTTTCGTACCTGGCCGGTGGCCTTGCCCTCGACCGTCGTCAGCTCAGCCACGAGCTTGACGAGACCGTGGAGGTTGGGTTCCAGACCGGGAATCTCTTTGCTGGAGGGACCGTAGAGCAGACGGAGGATTTCTGTGAGCGCCACGAAGAATCCGAAACGCGCGGCTTTGCGGCTGCTATTTAGTCCTCTGATTAGTCGCACGATGATCTTGTTGGCCAGCTCGGCCGGCGGATCGGAAGAAAGCTTGAGGACGAGTTCTTTCGCCGCGCCCAACCGCACGTCGCGCGCCTCGTCTGCAAGACGGTCGAAGGCACGCGCGAGCTCAGCATCCTGCTCGGAGTACTGCTTGCGGCGCTTCTGGCCGTTCGCCGGCGCGGCGGGGTCGAGATTGCGCTTCCGGGACATTGGGGCGCGAAGCTCTTGTAGGTGTTGAAGCTGTCCAAGTCCGGGGAAATTTTTGGCTGAAAACGAACCAAGCTGCAAGCGGGCGCACTATTCGATGCACCGCTTATGCGCAGTCGACGTGCAGCCGTGCGACCAAAAATTTCCCAGCTGCGCGACTACGGGTGGCTGGGCGTCGGTCCAGCGAAAAGCGTCGGCCCTACGTTGTGCCGGGCCTACCCAAGCTAGTATCCACCGACTCGGCCCCTGGCCCTGGCTTGTGAGACCGCAAGCCCTCTATCTCAGCCGGCCGAGCCTGTTGCGGAAGAAACCTCGACACACGAAACGTAAACACCGTTGCCTGGAATCAAAAGTTGAATTAAAAAAAAGCCAGTGTGACAAACTGCGGGACAGGGTCTCGCGGGATGGGCCTCATCGTGGCTCTCTCAAGCGACGCCGTCCGTAGATCATTATCACCGCTTGACGGGCACGGCCAGCAAAATCTTCCAGAAAGCCCCGGCGGGCGGGGCACCCCACCACTCACGAGAAGGGTTTTCGACCCATGTGTGACGGAAGTCCGCGCGTTCGGGGCGTTTTGTGACGAGGGAGCGTGCGCGGTCATGAAGAGCATAACCAGCTGTGCACGGAGGAGAGGACAGACTGGCACCCATCTTGCCGAGAAGAGCAAAATGTAAACTCAACAATTTCCGCCGTCGCATGATTCCACGGTATACCATCGCACGGCTCCTTCTTACCACTGTCGACGTGGCGGTGACTCCCGCAAGACGCCGCACCCGGCCTCGACGAGCCGTGCTCATCGCCCGGCACCCAGGGGTAGCGTCCATTCCACGGGACCCTTGGAACGGCGACATACTACGTATTCTTGAATGTACGAGCTGGCGTGCGGCGGGCGGTGGCGTCGGCGGCGGCGGCGGCGGAGAGGAGCGCGATGGCCAAGGCGAGGTTGGGTCCCGCAGCGGAACCGACCATAGCTCGGCAGACGTGTCTCGGGTTGCGCTAGGTGCTTTTTTGCACCAGACCTGCACGCGCTCACGGGACCAGCGTGCCATTTAGGCAGTTTGTGATTGTTTACCTTTTGGACGGCGCGTCGCCCAGCAGCGCCGGTTCCTAGCGGCCACCCACGCCAGGCTGGCTGCATCCCTGCCCCGTCTCTGACACAGGCGCGACAGCAGCCTGTCAGCGCGCAGAGCATGTCTCTGTCTGTTTGTGGGGCCGTGGGGGTGGGCAGTCTCGATCGTTCGCGCGCAGATACCGGTCAGCTCGCCTCTCTCAGTCGTCGCGGCCGGAGCGGCCGGAGGGTGGGCAGTGCCCTGTGATGCCCTGGTGCCTTGTGTTTCCGTTGACGACACGAGTGTTTATTGCCTGATGAGCGTCCGACGTGGCAGCGGGGGACCAGCAGCTGTCGTGACTAGTCCTAGCATTGCCATCTCATCCGGCTTAAACGAGCTGCTGCCATGGTGCCCACGAGGAGATCTCGCAAATCTTGTGCAGCGGGACGGGCTTATGACGTCCTCTCACAAGCCGTGTGCTCGATCGCGACGTGTGCATACGATCCACGGCACAAGGCTGAACGGCCGGCCGCATCGTCATGGCTGCCTCCAAACCGGCTTGTGCAAGGCCTTCTCGAACGCTGCTATCGCCCGGGCCCTTCTTCAGCCAGCGCGCGTGAGCAAATCGGCAAATCAGGCCGCCTTTGGAGCAGGCCAATTCCCGGGCGATCCAATCGAGTGCGAGGCCGTTTCGCCTGCGCTGGGCTCGCCCGGGCAACACACCTAGCAGGATTCAGCCAGCCGTGGCTTACATCACTGGGGTGGCCCTGTTTCGCGTCGGACGGCCGGTCTGAAGCTAGGCGGGACGACAAATCAACGGGCGAGGGAGCCGGCGCCGCGGCTTCCCATCCGCAGCGGGCAGAGCAACGCAACGCCGGATCGGTGATAGGGCCGGGCTCCTGATCAAAGTCGCCGTGTTGGCGGCGCAGGAATGCGGGGACGCTGGTGGTGTTACAGGCGGCGCATGGGACGGGTGCTGCGTCTTTTGCGCACAGCATCGCGCGATGGAGCATGTCGACTTGTGCTGCGCGCGGTGGGCTGCTGCTGCTCCGCGCGGGAGAGGGAAGCGGGAGCAGTGCAGCTGGCGGCCAGGGCGCCGCGCCTGCCCGGGCAACGTCTGTGTACACTTGGCAAGCCGCAGCTCTTTGTTCCGCGCTGCGTCGACGCCTGCAAGGAGCTCTGACACGCGATGTAAGAGCCTCCACGCCGCGCCGGGGACGGTGATGCGCCAGTGAACAAACAATGCCGTGGGCGCGCGGCCGCTTTGGGAGTAAATAGCGTGATCGGCATGCGAGGCAACCCGGGCGGGCAGGGCGTGCGGGCACGGCGTTCAAGGTTGTTAACCGCCGTGCGTGCGGGTGTGCCAGGGCATAATTCCAGTGTTCGTGAGCTGCTACTCGCAAGCGATCATTAGCCCCCGCAGCAGCATCTCCCTGGTAACGCTGAGCTGCACAGCTGCGGCGGCTTCAACCTCCTCTTCAACCTCTGTGCCCCAACTCTTCTCTTTCTCCATCCGCGCCTGCCCTTCTCCGTCCCCAGAAGGCATCCCTCCCAGCAGACGAAGCTGCTCGGCGTCGGCCTCTGCATCCTCCTCCCCCAATCCATCTCCCTCCTACCCGCCGCCCAGTCCCATGCTTGGCCGCCCGTCAGCACGCCCGCCGACCTCCCGCATCCACTAGTCCGCCGCCTGCCCGACCGTATTCCAGCGGGACATCTTAGAGCGTCAATTGCCTTACTCGTCTTTGCATGCTTTGCGAGCGTCGACGACTGCCGCCGCCGCCCGCCGCCCACCCATCCATACGCCCGCAGCTCGGCCTGCAGCACCGCTAGACGGCCCGAGAGCCACACATACATCTCAATTGGCACACCACAGGAGCTCTGCCATCATGGAGTCATCGCCGCTCGCTGTGATGCAGCCGCCGCCCTCGCCTGGCACTTGGGGATACAGACGCGACCTTGCGTCGACACGGCCTCGCTTCAACCTTGGGGCCAACAACTTCAATTTCAAGGATCTGAGCATGAAGAAGGGTGGCTCCGACTACTTCGCTTCCAAGGCTGCAAGGGCCTCGTCGCCCACCGTCAGCCTTGCTGCGGACCTGGCCCAGAATTTTACCATCGACCAGAGGTGCGTCGCCGCCGCCCACCACCACCATCACCACCGATTTGGCTGACCCTCCGCTGCAGTCCCCAATTGCCGACGCCGCGCCGGTCGCTGTTCACGACAAACATTTTCCAGAGGGCAGAACAGAAGGGTAAGGCGGCCATTGATGGTCTTGATGATGAGAGGTTCCATGCTTAACTATGTCGGACTAGAAGGTGCCACTACGCCCGACATTTGGCGGGAAGGAATGACCACCCCTCCGATCCCGTCGTCTTCCCCAGGCTATGGTAACGACGGCATGGACATCTCGCCTCTCCCACACAAGGGCCCTTGCGGCTTCATCGCCCGCGGATCCGTGCAGTCGCCCACGCCTGAGCCGGCAGAAAATGGCATGGACCTCTCGTGCTCACCCCCGCCTAACCCTCTGCTGGACAGTCCCATGCCCCCGCCCGAGTAAGCAATTTCCGGCCCACACCGCGTCTCTTTTATCCTAACCTTTGCGCAGTCGCAAGAAGCCCACGTTCCCTCTGCGTCCGAGTCTGTCGCGGGCCAAGACTCACTACTCGACCCCCATTGCCCTACACGCAAAGGAGAACGTCGTCCCGTTTCAATTCAGCACCAGTCACAACAGCTCCGAGACGGACCTGAGCTCGTGCTTCAAGGCTTCGCCCGTGCAGGATCGCAAGATCCACTTTCACCTTCACGGAGGCCCTCGCTCCCGTCACGCTAACCTCTCTAACATGTTCAATCGTTGCAATGGCTCTCCTGTGCCCGGTGTTCGGAAGACGGCTCCTGCGGTTCGGCCCAGGAAACAGTTCCGCCGGTCGTTGAGCATGTTCGAGAACCCTGGCGATGTCATGAATGCTGAGAGTGAGCACGTGTCTAGTGGGCTGGCAGCCATAATGGACATTGATGAGACGCCGCGACTGAGCTTGCCGACCTTGCCCAGCAATGGCGAACCTAACAGCTTGCCGAGAATTGAGGCGAAGACGCTGGCGGACGTGCTTGATGGACAGTACAGTCACGTCTTCGAGGAGACGATGGTCATTGACTGCCGTTTTGAGTACGAATATGAGGGCGGTCACATTGACGGCGCGGTGAACCACTGTGAACGCGAGGCGCTGGCGGATAGGCTGTTCGATCCCTACACTGACCCCTCTTCGCACAAGAAGACTTTGCTCGTCTTCCACTGCGAGTACTCTGAGCTGCGTGCTCCTCGAATGTACGTCGGATTGCACCCCCTGTCCGTATGTTACGACCCGCTTAAACTGACGTCATCCGCAGGGCTGAATTCATTCGGAGCCGTGACCGTGCTGTCAATGAGGACAACTACCCCAGACTGACCTACCCCGAAGTGTACATCCTGCACGGAGGCTACTCCTCCTTTTATGAATCGTACAAACAACGCTGCTTCCCCCAAAACTACCTGCGCATGGAGTCGGAAGAGCATGAGCGGGCCTGCGAAGCGGGGTTACATAAACTTAAACAACGTGCCAAGTTGGGCCGCGCTCAGACGTTTGCCTTTGGCGAGGGTTGCGACATGGAAGACAGCCCCACCGCTCCCAGCAGATCGAGATCAACAGGCTCTGCACTGGAAGCCATGCATGACCCTAATCTGGGCCCTCGTGTGCGAGCGCACCGAATGGCCTCCTACTAATCCCCCTCATACGGCTGCGATGATTTTCGAACGTTATGGCGAAACGGATTCTCTACGGCGTCACTGATGACTTCTCGGATTAACTCTTGTCTCATTTTCACATTCCGACTGGCCAGTCGGCTTTTCATTCGATCGATACTTGGCGTTCCCGTGGGTTCGCTTCTAAGACGGCCAACCTCCCCCTTTTTTTTTACTCTTCTCTGGACGAGACGACTTTTCAAAAGCCTTTGGTGATTCCGGATTTTTTCTCCCTTCGATTCTGATACGGCCTTTTATTTTGGGATGATCCCATTCTCTTCTTCGACTGCTTCTATTGCGCCGGTGTCTTGCGGCGCACCAACGGATCATACCCCTCCAGACTTGACGCATTTCCTTTGTTTATTGCCGGATGACGGGGTTCCAGCGTTGGATTGGAATTCTCGTTCAAACCAAGCTGTACAGAATGGCAGCCAAACACCTTGGGCTCACCCGGCCCATCTCTTCACATACTCACCCGTTCTTCCGAGTCACGAATCCCTCTCCCCTTTAGGCCGTAACGACTCTCCTACCGATCGACTCAGCGCCGGAGTCTGCGTAGTCCGTATTCTCACCACACCTCATCCACAGATTGGTCACACCCAGTCTATCTTCTCGCGACCCATTCTTCAGTCCCAACAAACACTTCTATTCTGCTGTACTTTATTATTATCTCACATTGTTTTTTGACAGTGCACAAAGGAAAGAACGTTAGCCCAGATTGGCACTTTCTTCTTCCTGCTCGCTCAGCTCATGGCCCGTTGCACTACGGCATCTGGCTGGGCTTGTAGATGTTCAAGAGGGAAAGGCAACGCAACAGAAATTGTACATATAGCAACCGGGTCTCCAGCCTTTTTGCTGCTTGCGAAGGGAAAGTTTTTCTTGGGGACAAGGACCAGCAAACGAGGTTTTTTTTTGCATATTGGGCAGTATCAAAGGAGAAAGGAAGAGAGAAACAAATCCACGATGGTGGATTTTTGGTCGGCATAATTAGACGTGGATTTGGAAGGTCGACCGATTCTTGGTGGAAGTTGTGGGATACCTACTACGGCAGGAAATGTCCCCCGTTGTCGCTAGAAGATCAAATGCACAAAAACATTTGGAAACAGATCCTTCCGGTCCACACTGCACGTGATGGAATTGAAGTTTTGTTGCCTGATGGCTGAGGTGACACTTCTCCCGTGAGGTCCGCGCTTTGAGCGGAACGCGTCCGCCCCACCTCCGCTCGCGCCGCACCGTCGCGTCAGCCCCAGCGCGCGTCATTGCATGGTATCTCCCTCGCACTTTTCCCTTGGTCGCTCCCAATTGTGCCTGGCCACCCTGCATTCGCCCGGCCAGCATTATACCCCGGATCTACTGCATTTGTGGAGACAACACCGCGCAGATCTGTTGCCGCCTAAGCCAGCCGTTCGTCGTCCGTTGTCCGCCTTCGCCGCCCGCCTTCGCCGCCTTCGCCGCCTTCGCCCTTTGCCCGCCGCGCAGGGCGACCCTGATCCTGACTCCGGCTCCTGAGCCTTAGGAACGGTCGCAGTGGCAAACGCACCCACAAATTCCAAATCGAACCGTGGACGAACCGAACACAAAATTGTTGCAAGAAAAGCAGATTGTTGAAACCCGCAGACCATGGACATCGACGACATCCTTGCCGAGGTTTCGCGCGATTCGCCCGCGCAACAGCACGAGCAAGCGGCACGCGACCTGGAGGAATTGACCCGCCTCTGGGTCGCGGAGCGCGTGGCGCCGGAGATACTGCCGTACCCGGATGCGTTGATGGAACGAGTGTTGGACAGGGTGAGAAAGCAGGTATGTTCCTGCCTTTGTTCTTTTTTCCCCGTTCACCCATCGCTCGAACGTTTTCGGACGGTCGTTGCCAGGGGGATTCGCCTTTTGGGGTCAGCAGATGTTCAGTGAAACCCCCTTCGTTGAAGAGAGCGAACGAGGGAGGGAGGGTCCGTGTTGAGTCGCCGGGCTGGCAGGGCATATGGGGACCTGGTTTTCGGTCATTTCTTAACTCTAATAAAACTATATGGTGCGACTGGGAAACGGGAGACTAATCGCAAACGGCATTGCCGGTCGACAGATTGAACTCGTCGAGGAGCAAACGGGAAATATGGACCCGAAAACGAATTTTCGACTCATACTCTACCAAACTGAGCTGGAGCGGTTTAAATTCTTGGTGAGGTCATTCTTGCGCGCGAGGATAGCAAAGGTATGTTTTTTCTTTCTTACCTCGACAGAAAACGAGTGCGTGGATTGCTAAATTTGAATTGATAGATCGATAAGCACCCCATCCACATCCTCAACACGCCCGAAACGCTCGCCTATCTCTCCTTGCCTGAACGCCAATATCTAGAGCAGCATCATGCACTACTTTCGCGACACTACGACGCATCTTTCCTTTCATCCTTTCCGCCCCAATTACAACGCTTGGATGACAAGGCTGGCGGCATAAGTATGATAGATACGCCTGATCTAGACACTGCAGTATTTTGCAGAGCGCTGAGAGATGTTGGTGTCGTCAGTGTTGGCTCTGTCGAGGAGGATAGGGACTTTGAGATCAGGCGAGGCGATGTAGTAGTGGTGAGATGGAGGGTCGTAAGGGAGCGAGTGCTGGCAGGAGACGTGGAGTTGATATAAGAGGAAGGCTTGCTGACTCGTACGTTGGCCGGAAAGTAAAATTTGCATGGGCGGCGTCACGGTACGGACAAAGGAATTGTTAAATGGTGTGGGCTATCACGCTTTGGACAGCTGTTGTCAGGTTGCCAGCGCAACCGCATATTGATTTGCTCATCCATTCGTACAAGTTCAGTTGAGAACACAGCAGAAAGGAAAATCAGTAGAGGATAACGGATATCAAGCTCATGGGAAGTATTGACCCCAACCTCCATTAGTGTGTCTGGAGCCAGCCAAGCATCTGTCCATAGGCAATCTGTTGCTCCGAAGTGATCTTAGAGTCCTCATAATCTCCAAGCACGGCGAAGCCTGACATTATGGTTAGCATGGACGGGGAAAGGTCAGAGAATAGACGTACCGTGAGGGACGCCCGAGTAAGTCTTGATCTCGTGCTCGACACCGTTCTTTTCGAGCGCTTCTTTGCCCGCCGTCGCGAGCTCATCCGGGAACACGGGATCGTTCTCGACGAGAGCCAATGAGACAGGGACTGCGATGGCCGCCAACTCCTCCTTAGTCATCGTCGTGGCTGATGCCATTAGCGATAGTCGGTTGCAAGAGACTCGAACACTCACGGTGGGCGATAGCGCCAACTTTGATCTCTGGGCCTTTCTCCACTGCGCCGCTCTCCACATCTTCAGGCTTGCTCTGCTGGCCCCACGCGACCGTATCGGAATGCTTTCCAGCAAGAATGAGAATATATCTTGCACCGAAGCAGTACCCGGCTCCATATATGCCTCCCCCATTCGCGATGGCATCGGCGAACTCCTCTTTGACACCCTCGATCACTTTGTGCAAGATCGGGAGCACTTTCTCGGGGGTGTGCCGAGCCAGCCACATGTCCAGCATGAAAGCCTTGGTCGTCTGGGCGAAACCGAGCTTGAGCTGTTCGACGAAACTCGGCTGCTCGTTGGCAGGCATGGTTGCGTTCGGCGCCGGGTCACCCTCGAACCTGGCGTCAATTTAGTCAAGAGTCGCCCTGCACGTCAGCTAGTGTCGCGACGTACTGGTCCGGCATCACGACGAGGAAGCCCTCTTTCGCATACTTGTCCGCCTGAAGCTGGTTGTTTGTCGACTTGATGCCGGTTCCGCCCGTGAGCAGTAGGAGGAGCTTCGAGGGCGAATGCGGGTAGTCGCTGGGCTTCGCGATGTAGACCTAACTCATTTTCAGGTTTGCGCATACGAAGCATGGTTGTGGACGTACGTCTACGCCATTGAGCTTGGTGATCTCCTGCTATTGGTGAGCTCATGCGGGGGTCTTCTGGCCTCCGCAGAGACTTACTCCAGTCGAGACTTCCCCAGCAGCTGGCTTACAGTTAGCGCTTCTTTTCTCAGCCTGTATTCCGGGGCTACGTACGGGTGGGCCGATCACTGGCGCAGTGCTCCTGCCAAGCTGTGAGCGGCGTCGCGTGTGAGAGTGAGGGAAAACTTACGGTCATGGTGGGCTGCGAGGCGTCTTCTTGGACGTCGCTTTCGGGCGCTCTGGTTGCGACGTCTTGGTCAGCCATGGTTGGGGCGGATTTCAAGGAGTGAGGGATGCGAGAGACGACGGACGTCCGTGACGACAAGGGCAGTGACGACTGCGCTGCGCCCGCCAGGGTCCATGCGGCGGGGCGGAGCGGGGTCGGTGACCGGAGCTTGGCAGCTGCCTGGAAGCACGGACCCTAATCTCGCGCGCACACGCCGACGCGCCTCCGACGCGTCTGCCTCTTACCACGCGCTGCTCGTTTTATCCGCCAAACACCACCACCACCGAGCCCCGCCACCTCGCACTTTTCGCCCTCTCCACCCCCGATCGCCGCCAATTCTCAACGCCTTTCATCGCAATCAGAGACGAATCAACGCGAGCGCATCATGTCGGCCGAGGCAGACATTTCTCGCGGGTCTCTCCGCAACATCTTCGACCAAGGGCCCGAGGCCGTCGGCCACCCCATTCTGCAATGCGTGCAGATCAAGCACATGGACAACAAGGCTGGCGAGGAAAGATACCGCATCGTGCTCAGCGACATGGACAATTTCATCCAAAGCATGCTTGCCCAGCGTACGTTTTCCTCTTCGGCCACGCCGGCGGGCTAGGCTGACGTACGCTCCCCCAGAGATGAACACCGTCATCACCAGCGGCCAACTGAAGAAGGGAGTCATGGTGCGCCTCAAAGGCTTCCACCCCCAGATCATCAAGGACCGAAAGTAAGCATCTCTCTGCGATACGACGGCGCACCAGCTAATTTCCGTTCAGGATTCTCGTCGTCATCGAGCTGGAAGTCCTGCCCGAATACGGCGAGCTCGAGAAGCTGGGAAGCCCTGTCGCTCTCGAGCCCAACAACCCCGCTCCTAAGATTGAACCGAAGAATGAGCAGCCTGCGGAAATCGGCGGCGGTGCATTTTACGGCAACAACATCAACAACGTCAGCAAGCCTGCCATCAAGCGCGAGCAGCAGTCAACGGCGCTTGTGTCCCGCAACGGCCCCCCTGCAGGCCTCGCCCAACTATTCCCCATCGAGGCGCTTTCCCCGTACACGCATAAATGGACGATCAAGGCGCGCTGTGTGCACAAGAGTGAGGTCAAGACGTGGCACAACAAGAACGGCGAGGGAAAGCTGTTTAGTGTTAACCTGCTGGATGAGAGCGGCGAGATCAGGGCTACCGGCTTCAAGGAGCAGTGCGACCAGCTGTATGACCAGTTCAGAGAAGGTGGCGTCTACTACATCTCGAATTGCGCCGTCAAGTTGGCAAAGAAGCAGTTTTCAAACGTGAACAACGACTACGAACTCACGTTCCAAAACGACTCGATCGTCGAGCCCGTACGTTCACCACTAGTCCTTATGCTCTACGAGATGCTGACCATGGAGTAGGCCGACGATCCCGACAGTATTCCCCAAGTCCGCTACAACTTTACGAGCATCGGTGATCTGCAGAGCGTGGAACCCAACACGACTATTGACACCATTGGCGTCCTCAAGGATGTCGGCGAGGTCTCGGAAATCATCTCGAAGACTACGAGCAAGCCGTACCAGAAGAGAGAACTGACCATTGTAGACAACAGCATGCACTCGGTGCGCCTCACCATCTGGGGTCCCACCGCCCAGAACTTCGATGCCTCTCCCGAGTCCATTGTTGCATTCAAAGGCGTCAAAGTGTCAGACTTTGGCGGCCGCAGCCTGAGTCTGTTGAGCTCCGGCTCCATGAACGTCGACCCCGACATCGATGAGGCACACAACCTGAAGGGCTGGTACGATGCGAACGGCCGCACCGACAGCTACATGTCGCACCAGCAAGCCAATACCGGCGTCTCCAGGTCCAGGAAGTACAAGACGATCGCCCAGGTGAACGACGAGCAGATCGGCATGTCGGACCAGCCAGAGTACTTCAACCTGAAGGCCACGGTCGTGTACATCAAGCACGACAACTTTGCCTACCCGGCCTGCGCGAGCCAGGGTTGCAACAAGAAGGTCGTGGAGGTCAATCCGGACGAATGGAGGTGCGAGAAGTGCAACGTCACGCACTCGGCGCCCGAGTACCGTTACATCATGTCGTGCAACGTCAGCGACCACACGGGGCAGCTGTGGCTCAGCTGCTTCGACGAATCGGGTAGGACCATCATGGGCATGCCGGCGAACGAGCTGTGGGCGATGAAGGAAGACGAGGAGAATCCGGGCAAAGCCGAGCAGGCATTCCAGAATGCGACGTGCAAGACGTTGATCTTCAACGTCAAGGCGAAGATGGATACCTTCCAGGACCAGCAGAGGTATTTTCCCCTGATGATCCCACGCTGCCATTTTCGGCGTCTAACATGCACGCAGAGTCCGCTACCAGGTTACCAGCGTATCAGAGCTCAACTTCCAGAGGGAGTGCGCGACACTCATCGAAACGCTCAAGCAGTACCAACTCAACGACGACAGCCTGTTCGTCAACTAGCCGACTTTGCTAGCTTTGATGGCATTTGGCGACTTTTTTCCTTTCTGGCGGCATTCACCAATTTCTTTTTCTGGGGAAAATCTTACATGGCCTGGCGTTGGGAGGGGACATACACGAACGCGCTAGGAATGCACAAGACAAGACCGCGTGTGTGGTTAGGAATGGCTGGTATAGCTCGGTTGTCAATGCGCTTATACCGAGAAATGTGATTTTGCTTTGGAGGAGATGTTGAAACCATGGTGGATTAATGCACGGCGACTAGTAGACTATGTACACTCAGGGGTGGGGTTAGGCCTTCTGTTCTGGGTGAATACCATTGTCATGGACTATTTCTGCAGGTTGGTGACATATCAGGAAGGTCTGTGCCATACCCCATGCTAAAAATAGTGGCTCGTGCGCCCGGGCTAGCGGCAGATCCCCCGGTGTTCACTCAGCTTCGCCGAAACCTCTCTCCAGCGACAGCTTGCGTTGAATTTCCAAAGGGGTCAAGTGTGAGTATCAATGATCATACCTACTGTGTCACGTCGCCGATTAACTTTACAGTACGCTAGAACCCACGCATAGTTTTGTTTGGAGTCCAAAACACGTGGCCGGTTGCGACAACCCTTATCGAGGGGTATTCAAAAGCTTCAATAGGCCTGCAAAGATTCTTATCGAGAGGTATCACTTGCCAGCCTGGCCCACACATCTCTCTCCAGATAGGCCTCTGATTATTCCAGCATGGAAACGCCACACGCCCCTGCCAGGACGGTCACGCCCGCCTACGATGACTTCAGTGGAGTGGACATGAGTGCCTTTACCAATCCCTACGATGCCCTCATTGCTGCGTCGAAAGAAGATCCAGTACGCCTCCAGCATAAGACATGTGTGCTTGGTACACCTCGCTTACCGCCCACCGCAGAAAGAGATGCAAACGCGCTATTCGACGCACCGCGAAGCCCGCAATGCCGCACAGAAGGAGAAACTTCTCGCTCCTGACTTTGCAGGTGTCATGGTCGACCCGATTCTGCTACGCCTGGAGGACCCAAGCATTGAGCCAGGCTTCGTCGACACGAGGAACTGCTTGGTGTTCTGGGCGAGGCCACCAGAGAAGGTTAAGGCGCTGGTGAAGGCATGCCAGGAGAAGCTGAAGGATGTTGTTCCAAGTATGCTCTTCGATACCCAACGCCACAGGCGAATCAACCCGCCTTGTCCGTTTCATGCTGACCGCTGTCCTCGCCAGACCTCTGGCTCATGCCCCAGACTTCTCTCCACATGACCGCCCTCGAGATCACGCACTCGCGCACCGCCGAAGAGATCGCCACGCTCCTCGCGCAGCTCACGCCGGCGGTCCCCGCGCTGGCGAACCACCCGTCGTCCTCGCCGCACCACCGCGCCCGCCTCGTGCGGCCCCTGCTCGGCTTCGACGCCTCGGCCATCGCCCTCAGCTTCGTGCCCGCCGCGGACGGCGAGGGCCTGGTCGGTGGCGCTGCTGCTGCTGCTAACGGAGTGAAGCCGCTCGTCGACTCGGCCGGGCGCGAGAGGAGGCCCGAGGACGACGCGTACACGTACCACCACCTGCGCAGGGACCTGTTCGCAAAGGCGACCGAGGCCGGCGTCAAGGTCGATAGCAGGTACGTCGTGCCGAGCGCGCACCTGACGGTTGCGAGGTTCATCCGTGACGAGGACTTTTGGGTCGAGGGGGAGAAGGGGAAGGTCGATGGGGAGAAGGTGCGGAAGTTGGTGGAGAGGATCGAGGAGGTGAATGCGTGGTTGAAGGAGGAGTTTTGGCCGAGGGTGGAGGGACAGGGCATCAAGGAGGGTGGCGAGTGGGTGGTCGGGGAAGGGAAGGGGTTGGATTGCAGAAGGGGCACGCTGTGGTATGGGAGTGGTGGGGAGACGGTGATGCTTGGGGAGGGGTTCTGAGGGCCTAGCAGCTCATGTAGTAGTAGAGCGGATAGATGGTATAGACCTAGTAACGACAGAGCTCACACCGTTTACAACAATCCAGTCATTACGCCTCGGCTCTTTCTTTGAAAAATGACATATGTGGGTAGTTGAAGCTATCGTCCGGACGAGAACGTCGAATTAAAAATTCCACATACACGTCCGGATGATAGCTTCAACTGCCCATGACATGAGCAAAAAACAAATCCGCGCTAGCCGTCGGCTGTGAGAGGGGGCTGTACGTTGCAGCTTGCCTCTACAATACTCAATCAGAGTTAGGCATCATGGAACTGCTGGAATATCAGCGTTTAATGTGATCACCTGCAGTTTAGTTTGTCATATATCGACTAGAAGACTTTAGTTTAGGTTGTAATCAGAAATCTCGTCTAGTTTTTGGAGTTGAGTATTTATGCTGAATCCCAAGAAACAATTTACAGGATATCTCAAAAAAGAACCAATAACGAGGTCGTTCCAGACGGACCCTCTCATTATTTTGTTTCCAACGTCTATCAATCTTTTTCGTCATCTCGTCCGTCTGAGGTTGTTCAAATAGGACCGCTAAAATCATTAAAAGCAACTATTTTTTGTTTCCCAAAAGGACGAGAATCCCTCAAACCTTGACCTTCAACTTCAATCCCACCAATGCCGTCCTGCTGAACAGGATGAAGACGGCGCCGGCTATCTGCATGACGCCGCAAAAGATCTTCAGGCCGGTGAAGCTCCCGTTCTCGGCGGCAACAATGGCGCCGGCGATGGGGTTGGAGATGAGGGCAGCAATACTGATCACTGCAAACATCGCCCCCGTACGGACGCCGATTTTGCGCACGTCGGAGATCTGGGCGATGAGGGCGGGTGCCATGGAGACGAAGGCGCCGCTGCCGAAGCCATAGGCGGCGGCGAAGACGATGAGGGCGGCGTTTCCGGAGGCCGGGATCCACAGCGCCAGGTCGAGCACGGCGGTCAGCGAGCAGAGAACTAGCATCACGTTGTAGCGGCCGACCTTGTCGCCAACGTAGCCCGGCAGAATTCGGCCGAAGAGAGACAGGGCGTTGAGGATGGGGATGAGGTAGCCGGCCAGCCGAGCAGACATGCCTTCGGCTGTGGCTTGCACAATCAGGTAGTTGATGGGAAGGAACATGCCCATGAAGAAGAGGAAGGATCCGATCGTTAAGAAGAGATAAGGGAGCTCCTTGAACGGCAGCAGGAATTCGATAGGGGCCAGCGGCTTCGGCATGGGCGGGATGCGCGACTTAATCGTAAGATTTCCAATGCCCATAAGGAAGAGGATCAGGAAGGCGCAGATGCGCATGGTCCAGGGAAATCCGACCTGGGGGATGAGGTGCGAGACGAGAAGGGGAAAACACACACCGCCGATGGACGAGCCGGCGGCCATCAAGCCAAAGGCGAGGGCGCGCCGGCGGAAGAACCAGGTGGCGTTGGTGGACATGGCCGGGTAGAAGATGGCGCTCGCCCCCATGGAAGAGACGATACCTTGCGCTAGGATGAACTGGTAGTATTTTTCAGAAAGGCTCGTCATCATTAAGCCGAAAACGTGCAGGAAAGTTCCGACGAGGAGGATCCAGCGCGGCCCGTAGTTGTCGTAAAGTTTACCGATTACGGGGCCCTAGATGTGAGGTTAGCGAGCGAGGTTGGTGGTGGTGTTTTGGGGGGGCGGGGGCGGAGGTCACTTACGCCAAAGAACATCATGAACGCTTCACACGACGGAATCCAGGAGATGGTGCTCGCCGAGTACTGGCTCAATTGATGGGTTTGGTAGTACTCCTGGAAGACGCCGATGCAATTGATCCAACCAAAGCTGCAGAAGAGAGCGCAGAAGCCGCCCAGCACGCACAACCACGCATCGAGCCCGCCATCGGGGAAACTCTTGGGGTCCATCATCGGGTTCGGCGGCGCCTGGGGCGGGCCGGCCTTCTCTGCGTCGCCATTGGGCATCTTCTCGCCTTGCGGCTCATTCTCGACCTGGGGCAGGGTGTTTGCCTCGGTGTGATTGGTCGCGGGCTCGGCGTCATGCAAGTGATTGCTCTTTTCGGCAAGGTCGCTGGGCCGGGACTCGCGTTCCATGGCCTTGACCGACGAGGCGGCGGACTGGGAACGCGATGTTGATGAAGACATTTTGGCGGGGGCGAGGAATGTGTGCGGTTGGAACAAAGGCAAGGGTGGCCGCTTGCGTGCCCGGATCAAACAGCGGGGTGGATATGCTTGATAAGAGATGCGTGATCTACGGCACGGGCGGGCATGTGGTCTTATAGAGCAGACGGCTTGGAGGACCGTCGCACTGGTGGCGTGCCCTCCAGCCGCCTGAGAGGATGCACCGAGCGAGGGTCCTCAGGCTAGATCCGTTAACGCCGAATGACAAGCTTCGCTACAGAAGAAGCAGCTCTGCTCGGCCGCGGCCCGTGCCTGCTTATGCAGCAGCATGGCTGTCACGAGCCCGAGCCGGGGTCGGAGCTGAGATGCGGTGTGGTGGTGGTGTGGGATGTGGTTGGCGCGTGGTGTTGGCCTGGTGCCTTCCGCCCTCGCTCGTCTTCGGACTCTGGAAAGGGCGAGGCCGAAGCCGCAATCCTTCACACTCGGCCATGCACAACTCCAAGTCGGCCATCCTTATCTGACCGAGCCACGCAGGTACCGGAACGCCTTTGCGCGTCGCTGTGCAGCTGCACGCCGCTGAAACGCTCTGAAACCTGGCTCACCATACACTGCTGCGGCTCGCTCGCCCCTCGTTCCTCCGGAGCCCCCTCCTCATCACCCTTTGCGGACAGCCGCAGTATCATCTGTGTGACGCAATCGCAGCCTGCGTCACGCTCACCCCGCTCGCGCAGAAAGACTGGCTGGCTGCTAGTCGCACTCGACGCGCACGCCCGCTTTCCCACAGGAACAGAGCCTCGATCGGATCTGTTATGCGTCAACGAGCGTGCCGCGCTATTCTTGCCTGCTGCGCTATTCTCGCTTGCTGCGCTGTTCTTGCCTCGCTATCCTTGCCTGCTTGTTGCAAGGCACTATTCTTGCTTGCTTGCTGACGTTCCTTTCTCTTCCTGCCGGATCCCCCGTTTCCGTTTACGCTCTCAATGTTTACCTGCCACGCTTCCCAGCGCTCTGGTAAAGACATCAGGCCATTGACTCCCCATGTCGCATTAGGGCGTCCTGTTCGTCAGCTGGGCGGGCTGAAACCTGGTCCGCAGTGTTTCTTTTCCAGAATCTCCCAATCCAAGCGTGCTGTGGCCGGTGCGACCCCACCCAAACTTCTTTTCTCGGGAGAACCTCTCAACTGGAACATGCTATCGAATCGCCTGGGTTTTTCGTCCTCGGTATTTTTCCTTCTGCTCTTATACGGGCCCAGTCTCCCAGTAATGGCTAAGCGGCTCCGTGGCACGAGCGACATCAATTCCTGCACATTCCCCTGATATACGACGCAATGGAGATTGGAGGCACGTTCAACCCCGGGATTGTCTTTTTTCCGCTTTTTCGAGCAAGTCATATTGGCTTTCCGTCATCTGACGTCTTCCCAGCTAACCATCAATCGTAAATCTTTCTCTCACTGGACGGATAATCCTTGAACCCAAATCCGCCCGGATGGACCACCCTCTCAATGGCCAATTCTCCCCTGTAGGCGATTTCTACATTACAGCTCCAGCGAACTTCCGTAGGTATCGCTAACGTACTGCGCGGGGAGCAGGCCGCTGTCCTTTTTCTCGCGCCAGTAGAGCTCATCCACAAACCGATGCCTGACGATGGCCTCGTCCCAATCAGCGTACTCGTGCTCCCTGCCCTCTTCCGCAAATGCCTCGTACAGCCTCGCGACGTTCCTCGAAGGCCACGGATATTCCTTCTGGTCCCACTCGTCTTCCGCGTCGATGCTGATCGTTTCGACCTGGCCAGTCTTTTGATCGTGGACTTGAAGCGTCTGTCCAGGACCTCCGATGTGAATCGATGCCGACGCCGTGGTTACCCTGATCTCTCCGGTAGAACCGTAAATAGACCATACGGAGGCGGGGGCGCCTGGGAATTCCAGTCCACCGCGCAAGTGGTAAGAAATCAGCGCACCGGACGCCAAGCGTCCTTGGATGAGGATCTGGTCGGCCGTGTCACGCGAAATCGTCTCGACGACCTTGGCAGGTGGATCAGAAGGACCGGGCGTGTAGGACAAAGGCTTGTCCCGTAGGTTGACAGTCGGCCTTTTAGTCTCTAGAATCGAGGAAAAGGACGAGAGTTGCCCGACAGCCTGGGTTACCGTGTCGAAATCTAGCAACAGGGGTAAGCATCCACAGTCAATACAGGGAGGCACAGTCATACAGTGTGAGAAATGAATCGTCACCATGTTCCCTCCAACTTTCTTGTCGTTCACGTAGGCCAGATTCACCCAATCGTCAGCGCCGAAATTGTAGGCAGTCCCCGTCACGTTGACGCTGAGCACCTCGCCGATCCTGCCTGAATCAATCACCTCCTTCACCTTCTGCAGCACAGGCGTGCGGCGGCCCTGCAAGCCCACCAGCGTCCGGATGCCGCGCGACTTGGCCAGGGCGGCCAGCTCCTCGGCCTCGGCCAGGTTCCCGCCCAGCGGCCACTCGCAGTAGACGGCCTTGACGCTCTTGCTGCTCTGCAGGATGGGGCGGAGGAGGGGGAAGTGCTTGTCGACGCGCACGCTGCAGACGACCAGGTCGATGTCCGGGTCGGCCGCCAGGTCGGCGGGCGAGCCGTAGGCTTTGGTCGTGGCCGGGTCGAGGCCGTGCGCCGCGATGGCCGCCTCGGCGGACGCGACGCTGGAGTTGAGCAGCGCCGTGATCTGATACTTTTGAGAGGATTTCAAGTATGGCAAATGGGCCGAGCTGCCCCAGCTACCGGTGGCGCTGAGGCCGATGAAGCCGATGCGGATGGGAGCCATTGCAGTAAGATGGGCAATTGGGTGGTTTCAAGGATGAGTTTGATTTCAAGACAAGTGGATGGGATACTGAAAGTGAGAATGGTGCTTCAAATTCGAAAACTATATATGATGAGGAACGGACCAAAAGCAGCGGCAGTTGCTGACCGCGCGAGCAGCGAGGGATAGTAAAGCAGCGGCAGCTTCTGACGGAGCAGAGGCGTAAGCAGTGTGCAGTCGTAAAAGCAGCGGGGGAATTCAAACAATTTCGAGCACGATGCTTTGAAATAGCAGGTGCGATTGCATCAAATGGGACGAGTGTTAGAAATCAAGGCTGCCCTAATCGCAATAGCGTCGAGGAGTGGTGTGCTATTCGCTGGCTGCGTTGCGGGGCAGCCGTGCGGAGTGACGCAGCCACCACTCGTCTTTGATCTGTGCGCGAGGGGCCGAAAACTTCACCGCGGCGTAGCAATGTTGTCAATGATGGCCGAGTGATGCGCAGCGGAGCCGGAAAGTGGATGCAAAGGCGAAAACGTGCACGAGCGGCGGGCGTGATTCGCCGCGAGAGCTTGGGCCCAAGTGATGCACCGCACCCTTCGCCCAGAGCTCTTAGCGGCTGCTGGATGGCTCGACTGCGCATCAAAACTCTCTTTCCTCGTCCGACCCGTTGCGTTGTGCCGTCGTCGCCCATTGCCGCGTTCCCTGCGAAACCCGTCGCCGTCCAGAGCCTCAAGCCGTCAAGATGAGGTAGGCTTCGCGCCCTGCACCATCCCAGTTCTCGCCAATCGCCGTTGCGCCGACATTTGACTGACCGCCCGCGCACCCCAGGTTCGGCCAGCAGTTGCGCACCTCCCTCATCAAGGACTGGTACTACTACTACATTTCCTACGACGACCTCAAGGAGAGCCTCAAGAAGGCTGGCGACGGCTCCACCACCGCCAAGACCGGCTCGCGACGCGTCGAGTGGACCGAGAAGGACGAGCAGCGTTTCGTGCACGAGCTGGAGCAGGAGCTCGACAAAGTCCACACCTTCCAGCAGGTCAAGAGCGGCGAGATTGTGCGCCGCATCAAGGTCTCGGAGAAGGAGGTCAACGACGTGATCCAGCGCGCCGAACAGGCCAACAATGGGAACCAGAACGTCGATGCGCCCTCCGAGGAGGACTTTGAGGCTCTCGAGGAGGACTTGAGCGACATCATCGCCGACGTGCACGACCTGGCCAAGTTCACCCAGCTGAACTACACCGGCTTCCAGAAGATTATCAAGAAGCATGATGTAGGTTGCCTTTCGACTCCGACATGGACATGCATCACTCCGCAATTTTAATCTTGTTGGGTTGCAGTCGGCTGCCGACGGCTTGGGCACCGTAGGATTGCTGCTAACGAACTAGTAGAAACTCACTTCATGGCACCTCAAGCCCGTATTCGCTGCCCGTCTGCGCGCCAAGCCCTTCTTCAAGGACAACTACGATGCCTTCATCGTCAAGCTCTCCAAGCTCTACGACCTCGTCCGCACTCGCGGGAGCCCGGCCACGGGTGACTCGGCTGCCGGTGGATCTCAGCAGAACTTCGTCCGTCAAACGACCAAATACTGGGTGCACCAGGACAACATCACGGAACTGAAGCTCATCATCTTGAAGCACCTGCCCGTCTTGGTCTTCAACGCCAGCAAGGAGTTCGAGCCCAAAGACTCGGCCATTTCCTCCATCTACTATGACAATACGGACACGTGGGAGCTCTACACCGGCCGCTTGAAGAAGACCGAGGGCGCCGAGGCAATTCGTCTCCGTTGGTATGGCGGCATGGAAACGGACACCATCTTCGTAGAAAGGAAAACCCACCGGGAGGATTGGACCGGCGAAAAGTCCGTCAAGGCGCGTTTCGCTCTGAAAGAGAAGAATGTCAACGCTTTCTTGTCCGGCAAGATGACTGTCGATCAGGTCTTTGAAAAGATGCGCAAGGAGGGCAAGAAGAGCCCAAAAGAGATTGCGGATCTGGAACAGCTCGCACGCGAGATCCAGTACCGCGTCATCACGCGCAAGCTGGTACCCGTCACTAGATCCTTCTACAACCGCACGGCCTTCCAGCTCCCCGGAGACGCTCGTGTGCGCATCTCTCTGGATACGGAGCTGACCATGACCCGCGAGGACAACCTCGACGGCCGGAACCGCGCGGGCAAGAACTGGCGCAGGATGGACATTGGTATCGACTATCCCTTCTCGCAGCTGCCTCCCGAGGATGTGGAACGCTTCCCCTATGCGGTCCTGGAGGTCAAGCTTCAGACGCAGATGGGACAGGAGCCTCCGCAGTGGATTCGAGAACTCACGGCCAGCCACTTGGTGGAGGCTGTGCCCAAGTTCAGCAAGTTCATTCACGGAACCGCCAAGCTGCAGCCGGAACGTATCCACCTGCTGCCCTTTTGGATGCCGCAGATGGACGTGGACATCCGCAAGCCCATCAGCCATCGCTTTGGCATCGAGCGTCCGGGACAGAGTGCCGACATCTCGACCAGCGGCGCCGGCTACGACGACGAGAGCGACGAGGAAGATGATCTCGCCTTGCCGGAGGGTACGCCGGAAGACGACGAGGGCCTCCGCCGTCTGCGTGAAGCTCGTGATGCCATGGAGCAGCATGACCTGGACCAGAGGCGCGACTACGGAGCCACCGTCAATGGAGACAACAACGGGGCCCCCGGTAACAATCTCGATATCGAGGAGCGCATCTCAGCGCGCCCTCGACCTGAGGACGACTACCCACTGTACGATTCTGAAGATGAAGACAGCGATGATCTTGAGGAGGCTCGCCGTGTTGGCGGTTGGCACTACCGCCGCAAGCAGCTCGAGCACGCCGTCTCCACGGCCGGCGAGAAGATCCTGTCCGCGCTCCAGCGCGCCAAGCCCGTCCCGCGCAGTACACCGCTGCCTGAGTCCGGGGATAGCTTGGGCGTGCCAAAGGCAACAGGCGAGGTGAAGCGGTTCAAGGCGCCCAAGGGCAAGAGGATCCACGTGCCCGTCCGCGTGGAGCCAAAGGTGTACTTTGCTGCCGAACGCACGTTCCTGAGCTGGCTCGAGTTCTCCATCATCCTGGGAAGTATTGCGGCTACGCTGCTCAACTTTGGTAAGCTACTCTCATTGTTTTCTCGCTCTCTCCTATCATAAATCCTGCTAACATGGACACGCAGGTGACGGTATCGCTCTCGCCTCGGCATGGGCCTTCACCATCATCGCCTGTTTCTCGCTGTTCTATTCCATGGGCCTGTACCTGTGGCGCGTCGACAAGATTCGCAACCGGCGCGCCGTGCGCTACCACGACAAGTACGGTCCGACGGCGCTGTGTCTGGGACTGTTGGTCGCGGTTTTCATTAGTTTCGGTCTGAGGTTCACGAATCCCGAAGGTTGGAAGGGCGGCTTGAAGGATGGAGGGATGAAGGGCCATTGAGGTGGTGTTGTGATGAAAGAGGATGGAGGTAGGTCGTATGGCAGGTGAGTGTAGTTGTTATTGTCGTCATTACTGATTCTGTACATGTGTTTTTCGTCGTCTACCGCGTGGTTCTGTTTGTTTGAAAATGTGCATTTGGTACGTGATATGGAGGATAGGTGTAAGATACGTATCTTCTTGTAAGCGCATCGGGTCTGAAAAAAATAGCCGCGAGATTATTCCCTGTACCTATAAACAAAGGGCAACTGCAAGAATATATAATTACACTAACCGTCGATACCATTGGAACAAACAACTCGGCCAATCCAGCCTAAAGGTACGCTTGAAGCGTCCTGCTGGATGAGAGCGGTTCTCCTTCTTGCCTTCTTCGTCTCATCCTCGCGATAGCCCCTTCTGATATCACTTCTATTCCACTCCGCAAATGCCCACTTTGACTTGTGATTCTCCAGCCAAGAGTAAGGAATAAATGTTCCATAACTTTTGCATCTATACAGACAGTATTGAAACAGCCTTCGAGCACAACTCGATAAGGAGCATTGAAGAGTAAATTATACCCAGCAAGGATTAGTTATACTTGACGGCAGGTTTAGATGATCACTGCTCCCCGTTGGTGTCACGGTATGCATGGTTTTGCGAATATGTCACTTCTTGCGGACTAGATGCAACGAGAACTGGGGAAGCTGGACAATGATGGGTGGGACAGTCTCTTGCCGTCTCGTAGATGCTGCGCAGTAACCGATGTATCGCATGTTATTCAACAGCCTTGTCTACTGAAGCGGTGGCGAAGGTTGCGGTGACCGTTGGACCCTGCCCACGGCGTGGTCGTAGCGTGGAAGAAAAAGAGGGCGTGGTGGGGGAAATGTGTTGGCTCGGGATGGGGTTTCCTCCGGCGAGGACGTGCGTAGGTTGGTGGGCCGTCGCAGCTTTGCGGCTGGAGGGGCTGAAAGTGGGAAATTTACATTTCGATGTGCGTAGTGGAGAAAAAAAAAGGAGCAGAATGTGTCGATATTGGTTAATGTTTCAGTTGTCCAGCTTTCTACCTTTACAGGGCATGGTAGGTTGCGAAAAGAGGCACCCGTATTCTCGTCCAAAGCGAAAGACAGCAAGGGCTGTGATGGAATGGGGGAAGCCATGCTTGAAAGCGCCGACACTTAACATGCATATTTCACGGTCCTTCGGCACATTGCAAAGCTCCATCCGAAACGGTGGACAGACAATCCGTACTCCGTACCCCAGCAACGGAGGCCGGTCTCTCCTGAGGCGCCGGTCAGATAGGTGGTACGGCAACGGAGGACCGGAAACAAGGCCGGGGCGCGGCTTATGTCCGGTCGATCGAGCGCGGTGAGGACGAGATTGGGAGACGAGCGTGGCTGCGAGGTGCCCCTGTCGGGACGTGCGGGTAGAGGTGCTGGCCAGCACTCTAAAGTCCAGGGTAAAGCTTGTTCCTGCGGGAAGCGGACCGTCCGAAAGCGCCGTTCCGCAGCCCAGATTGGCGAGAGGCGTGGAGATAACGGCGATTAACAAACATCACATTTTGGCTCTCACGGAGGTCCGGCGGAGAGGCTTCTCGAAGAGAGGTGATCATTTGCCCGGTGCAGTATGCCGACCGTTGTTGACCGGCGACGGTGAAAGATCCACTGATGCTGCGAAGCTTGGTTGCCGCCAGCGCTCGAAATAGTGGGCGGCCCGGCTTCCTGCAGCAGATTGGCGATGTCGTCAACCCTCGTTCACGGTCCCCGCTACGTCCCCCCACTGACAAATCCGAGACGCAACCGACGCTCCACCATGGAGGGGCAGCGAGATAAATGAAGGGCGCCTGCCGACCCCTCTCCAAGCTCGCATCTCCCCCGTCATCGTTCCCAGAACTCAATCCGCTACAATGGCCTCCAACCCGCCCGGAAAGTGCTGCACCACCGGCTTCAAGCACGAAGGTGCTTCTGCTGGCAAGATTGAGAAGGTCGCTGGCAGTACGTCACCGTGCACCAAGCTGCAAGCCCGCCAGCTCGCTCACGCTCCTCGCAGTCAACACCTACGTCGTCTACCCTGAGAACAAGAGCACCGAGAATGCCGTCCTGATCATCACCGACATCTTCGGCCACGAGTTTATCAACGTCCAGCTGTAAGCTTCTCTCCTGGCTCTGCGCTCCGTCCAGGCCTTGCTGACGTCGGATTTGCACAGATTGGCCGACCAATTTGCCGCAAACGGCTACTTCGTCGCCATCCCCGACCTTTTCAACGGCGATGCCGCCCCGGTCGACATGCCCCCCAGCTTCGAGCTGCCCAAGTGGCTCGCCAGTCACGGCAAGGACCAGGTCGACCCCATCGTCGACACCGTCATCAAGGAGCTCAAGGGCAAGCTGGGTGTCAAGCGCCTGGGCGCCGCCGGCTACTGCTTCGGCGCCAAGTACGTCGTCCGCTTCCTCAAGGACAACCAGATCGACGTCGGCTACATCGCCCACCCCTCGTTCGTCGATGCCGACGAGCTCAAGGCCACCCAGGGCCCCTTGAGCATCTCGGCTGCCGGTGAGTGACATTCCCCGACAATGGCGTTTCCAGAGGGGCTGACGCGCGTGCAGAGACCGACTCCATCTTCCCCGCCCCCAAGCGTCGCGAGTCCGAGGACATCCTCCTCGACATCAAGGCTACCTACCAGATCAACCTCTTCTCCGGCGTCTCGCACGGCTTCGCCGTCCGTGGCGACCTGTCCCAGAGGCAGATCAAATGGGCCAAGGAGCAGGCATTTTACCAGGCCGTCGCTTGGTTCGACGAGCACGTCAAGGCTTAAGAAAGGAATAGACCGGGGTGGATGAATGATACCAATGAACGGAATGTGAATTAGCGTCAATTCCGGTGTATGATTGTTTTGGTGTGCTCTACGATAGTACTGTAGGGTTTAGGTATTGATCGAAACACCTTGCTCGAATTTGCCTTATGTTCTCTGCCATCCCTTGTTGAGTCGGAGGATTCAAGAGACAAAAACAGCTTCCATCCGAACCATGTGCTTTCGTCCGATTCATGGCAGGCCAAAAGAATTGCGCCCAGCCAATCACAAGCCTCCTGAAAGACTCGTGCAACTGCCGGTCTGTTGAGCCGCAAAGGTTCTTGCCGCCCTTGCAGCACTGGCCACTTGCGGACCCCTGATGCAGCCCGCCATTGGCAGGCTACAGCCAATCATCAGACTCGCGCTAACGAGTCCCCGTCATGTGACCAAGCCCGCTACCGGAGGACTGAAAGTATAAAAGCCAGTCGTCTCCCAGTCCCCAGCGAATCCTTTTCCTTTTCTCTTTAGCTCTCTTTGCCTTTTGGCTTAGATCAAGTGTAGTATCTGTTCTTTTCAGTTTAATCTCTGAAACGTCTCTACGGAGACATTCGTGATTAATCTTGTTTTTGGACCGGGGAAGACGGCCGCTGAGCTTGCTCATGTCGCCTTCCACAGTGTCGCCCGTATTGCACTGTCTCGGGCTGACGCGAAAGTTGCTGCATCTTTTCGTTGAGACACTCGCCTTGCGCGGGTGCTTGAGGAAGAGTAGAAGGGAGAATCGTTTCGCAGCAACTGCAAATTGCCTTGACCTGATGTTGTATGATGCTCACGATGGAGGAGGGTTGGGGCGTTGTGCAGAAATTCCGTGGGCGCGCGCGACCGGTGGCGAACGCCTTGCAACGCCGAACGCTCCTTCCCCCAACATCGAAAGCCGACGTGTCCGGTAAGCCTCGTTTCTGCCTCTTCCTACCTAGGTGCCTAGACAAGCAGGAGCTCGGTTTCCAGAAACACGTCGGTTCAGACGCCAGCGCAGCGCCAGCAATGAAGGCTGATCGCCAGTTTCAGAGGCTCTCCACAGCGGCGCTTCGCTGGCGGCAGCTGTTTCTATCCTCAACAGGCGCCAAGGACAAAGGCTATCCTGAGGCTCGGCGGGCGCTCTAGGCACGGGCTCGCCCGTCGCATCTCGCCCGTCGAATGGCGCGCGCTTGCCCAAGGACGCTTCTAGTTCGCGACAATGGCCCCGTATCTCCCGCTATCTCGCTATTTTGAGCCGCGCGCTATCGACTATGGCTGCCACAAGATGGAAAATGTGGATATGAGAGCGGAACTCGAAGACTGAGAGGCGTATTTCAACTCGTCCTTCCCCCGCCAACTTAGTCTATCTCCAAGTCCAACTCCTATTCCAGCCGTCATCTTGATATTTCTGTCGTTTCGCATTTATTTGTCTATTTCTCGACATCTCTCGCCATCTTTACTTTCTGCTCTGCCCAGATTTTCCTGGAGGCAGAACCGGTTTTTGCTGCAGGTCGTATCTTGAGGCTATTCCGTACCTGGCAGACGTCATCGACATCCAACCATTTCACTCGCATATACAGCCTACGTCCTGCAACTTGTGCGAAGTTGCTTTAATACCCCAATTACTACCGTAATCCCTGTATCAACATCAACAATTACACAATGCGCAACTCGCTTCTTTACGCAGCACTCGCCGCTGCTCCCCTGGCCGCCGCTCAAGCCGGCACCGTCTCTTCCAAGCGTGGACTGGTCTACGTAGCAACGGACGACAACGCCTCGGACGACAAGATCTGGGTAGAGGCGGCGAACGCCGACCAGCTCACGTGGTACTACAACTACGCGGTGCAGCCGACAACATCGTTAAAGGGGACGGACCTGAACTTCGTGCCGATGATGTGGGGCACGTCGGACGAAGACGACGCGAAGCAGAGTACGGCATTCCGGGACGGTGTGCGGGCGCTGGTGCAGAGTGGTGTTAACATCACGCACGTCCTGGGCTTCAACGAGCCCGACGGCAGCACCGACACGGGCGGCAGCAACATCCCCGCGGACCTGGCCGCCAGCACCTGGAAGAGGGAGATCGAGCCGCTGCGCGACGACGGCATCAAGGTCGGTGCCCCGGCCGTCACGGGTAGCCCCACGGGCTTCCAGTGGCTGCAGAATTTCTTCACCGCGTGCGACGGCGGCTGCAACCCGGACTTCATCCCCGTGCATTGGTACGGCAACTGGGAGGGCTTCGCAAGCCATCTGGGCCAAGTAGGGAGCACATACCAAAACATGTCAGAGATATGGGTCACCGAGTTTGCCTATTCGGACGCCGGCTTGACCGACAGCGAGTGGTTCTTCAACACGACGATGGACTATTTGGATACCAAGATGGAGTAGGTTTTTCTGCTCCCTTGTTGCCTTCTTGTTACTAACATGTCTACGTGCAGGAACGTCACGCGTTACTCGTGGTTCGGGTCTTTCCGCAGCTCGGTCAGCAATGTTGGAGAGAACGCGGCCATGCTCAACTCGAAGGGCAAGCTTACGGATCTGGGGGCCTGGTACTTGGGCCAGTCGGCAACGGGCGTGGAGCCAGACAGCGCGGCTGGCAAGCGCGAGGTGTTTGCCGGGTGGACGGTGGTGGTTTGCCTGGCAAGCCTGTACGCTCTGTGGTAATGAGGGATGTAAAGACATGCATGATGTACGGCGCAGTTTCTTGGGATAGATATTGGCGTTTTCTTATTCACGACATGCACATCAACTTTCGTCACAACGTCCAGACTCGACTGGGGCATTCTGCCGGACCTTGGGATGATCGCGGAGATTTCCCTGGGGAAATGCCGGCGCGGCTCCCTGTCCCAGGTTAAGCGTCGGCGCAATATGTCTTGTCGATGAGCGGCATGTTTCTCCGATTGCTGGGCATTGGTTTCCTGCAGGGCTCAACACCATCACCACTGGCGGCTGCAGTGACGTCCTTGGTCGACAGCAAGTCCTTAGGACAGACAGCACGAACTTCCATGGACAGATATGCCTCTCCCAAAGCAGAATTTCGCCGCGGCTGAAGAAAAAAGACTTGGGTGCTGCTGATCTCAAAACCTTGCTCTTGCTTCAAATCGGCCAGCTACACCAATCGGCCGCGTCAGACTCGGGAGCTCCGATCTTGGCCTTTTCTTGGAACGTGGTATGGTTACATCACGTCTGACCATCCCTGAATCGAAGGTTCGAAAGTCCTTCGACGCGAGTCATAGCTGCATCCACTGTCTTCTCTTCACGGCCACCCACCCGCTCAGCGAAGAAGAAGGAGGCACAGAATAAGCAGGGTTCGCCGCCACCCGTCCGCCCGAGCCATCTCTCTTTACACACATGCGCCTCGGCTCATCTCCCGCCGAGCGTGCAGGCCCAAGATGGAGACGAGGCGCGTGGATCCCACCTATCCCCCCATGGGGTTTTACCCCGCGCGCGCCACCCGGAGCCTGCACGTCCCTGGTCCAAAAAGTCTCGGCATGCGTCGTCTCCGCCAGCGGACGGAGCTTACTACTCGTTTGATCTGCTCGTCTACCGGGAAACATGCATTGCGACGACAAATCCCGGGCAACGGAACGCGAGGATGATCTTATTCGAGAGGGCGGTACATGCGTCCCTGGCCGGCGGTGGGGCGAGCGATATGGCAGTGCTTGACGGTCTTGCCAGTGCTTCGAGTCCTCGAGCGGGATGCCTTGCGAAAAAGCTTGGCGACGCCGCCAAGCGAGCGCGAGAGTGGGTTTGGTCTTACGGACGCTGCTGCCCCGCCAGCCGCCATGCATCTGATTGGGGGCTTGTGGAGCGGCTCCCCGGCAGTCTGGCTTTGCAGTGCGGCATTTGAGTATTAAAAGCGCGGGCTCCTTCTCGTCGGCCAGAGACCGCCACCTCGTCGCTCTCCTCGATATCACCATGGGCGCATTTTTCCAGAAGCTCATGGCCAACCGGTCCGGCCTCAAGGCCGGGAACCAGAAGACCAAGGCGTCGGAGCTCACCGTCAGGGAATCGCTGTTGCCGCTGTTCCTCGTCACCATCCTGTACTTCCTCTGGGTACGTGCCCTCCATTTCTCGACCGAATCGCAACCGCTGACTGCTTCCCCAGGGATTTGCCTACGGTCTGCTGGACACGCTAAACAAGCACTTTCAAGTCACCCTCGACATCACGCGTGCCAGGTCTGCCGGTCTGCAGGGCGCATACTTCGGGTACATCTACTCCAGTCCATCTTTTGAAGCCTGCAAACTGACGAGAATCCCAGCGCCTATCCCCTCGCCTCTCTCGGCTTCGCCAACTGGACCCTCCGCCATTATGGTTACAAGGCCACCTTCATGCTGGGCCTGATCCTCTACGGCATTGGCGCGCTGTGCATGTGGCCCGCCGGGCTCAACCGCTCCTTTGGCGGCTTCTGCGGCGCCACGGTCGTCATCGGCTCGGGCCTGGGCTCGCTGGAGACGGCCGCGAACCCCTTCATGGCCGTCGTCGGCCCGCCCAAGTACTCGGAGCTGCGTATCAACCTGGCCCAGGCCGTCCAGGCCGTCGGCACCGTCGTCGGCCCCGTCCTGGGCTCCTACGTCTTCTTCAAAAACACGGGCGACGACGTCGACTCGCTCGAGAGCGTGCAGTGGGTCTACCTTGCCATCGGCATCTTCGTCTTCCTGCTCGCCGGCGTTTTCTTCTTCGTCTACATCCCCGAGGTCACCGATGCCGACATGGCCGCCCAGGTCGAGGACACGCATACGGGCTCCAGCGACAAGCCCTTCCGCAAGCAGTACCGTCTCTTCCACGCCGCCGCCGCCCAGTGGTGCTACACCGGCGCTCAAGGTGCGTCTTGCGAACCTTCTCTCCCAAACCATCTACTGATCCCCTCACAGTCGCCATCGCCACCTACTTCATCAACTACGTCACCGAAAAGCGCGACAACACGGGTGCCGCCGCCGGCGCCAACTTCCTGGCCGGCGCCCAGGGCTGCTTCGCCGTCGGCCGCTTCTCCGGCGCCATCCTCATGCGCTGGGTCAAGCCGCGCTGGGTCTTCCTCGCCTACCTGACGGGCGTCGTCGCCTTCAACGCCGCCTCCATCGACACGGTCGGCAACACGGGCCTGGCCATGCTGATGCTGACCCTCTTCTTCGAGAGCGTCTGCTTCCCCACCATCGTCGCCCTGGGCATCAGGGGCTTGGGCAGGCACACCAAGAGAGGCGCCGGCCTGATCATTGCTGGTGTGAGCGGCGGTGCTGCTGGTGAGTTCTCTCTCTCTCTCTTCATCTTAAACCAACAGAGAGATTTCATTACTGACACAAAAAAAAAAAACAGTCCCCGCCATCATGGGCGCTGTTGCCGATTCACGCGACGACACGGGCTTCGCCATGATCGTCCCCGTCATGTTCTTCGTCCTCTCCTGGTCCTACGCTCTCTGCGTCAACTTCGTCCCGGCCTACCGCGACCCCGCCGACAAGATCGGCGCCAGCAAGATCGGCCTCGAGCCCAAGAAGGACGACGAAGAGGCCGCTGCTGCTGGCTTTGACACTGCTGACGTACTCAAGGCCGATGCCAAGGAAATCGAGGTCGTCGGCGAGGGTTTGTCGGGTAAGGCTTGATGAGGCGCTCGGAGGTTCTTCTGTTAGTTTTTTGCTATACCCCTGATCTGAAGCTCAATGAATGAATATGTGGGATGAACCCATTTTGATCACCATGAACTCCGTGTATATGTCTGTCAATAAATGTCTACCACTCAATACAGTTCGTGAGATGGATAAATTAAGGCTCTTATGCTTGAGATGATTCGTCTGTAGTGATAAACCATTAAACTTAAAATTTATTTGAAGCTTATCGCACTTTAAAAGTATAAAGTTTAGCATAGGTTATGTGAGTTATAGCTACGTATTATGTACAGTATAAGCTAATTTAGGTTTTACCCTCTTCTGCTTTAACGGCGGCGTTTATTTCAGATTGTATACCCACAAATCCAGCCAGATTCTTGCATTGGAGGGGATCTCCGAGTCACATGAACTATGTTTTTGCGTTAGCTAAAGTAAAGACCCAAGAAACCTGATTTTTGGAAACAGCTGGCTGGAAGAATGTGCTTTGCCGTTGGGCAATTGTGGGGGAAAGTAGATGCTAAATACCGCGGGAAACAGCAGCTTCCTTCACAATGCTTACATCTAGGTTGGTTTCGCTGATAACCCTTTCCATCCTGGCTTAAGAGCCTACAGTTAGATTTTCCATGATTGTCATTCCATCGACGCTGCTCTGACAGGACACGGGCTGTCTTGAAATAAGCCCCGCCCCCCAAACAAAAGAAATCCCTCTCTTGATCATGTATATACCCGATACAGAGACAGATAGGCCACCGGCTGCCTTCGGGGGCTTCATTGGCGTCCTCCCCGAGACCAAAGTTGACGGAGGATGACGATAGCTTATTCCAACGCATCCGACAACAGCGTGGCTTCATCCCAATGCTCAACTACTCCAGCTCGCCTCTTCCAAGACCTACATACTCATACCCTTAGGAGCGATGACGAAATCGAAAGGAGCGTTGGATGTCGGGATGTCGTGCTGAGAAATGTTCGCGGCTTGAACTAGAGTCTCTCTGCCTCTATATGAAGAATCCCATTTGCTACCTATTTGACCCCCCTCGATCGTGTCAAATTCATGGCACCCCCAATAATCGGCATTCTTTTGTTGGATTGGTTCACGCCCGTTGTCCTTATTTAGGGCCAGCTTGGTGTGTCACGGGGGGACTGCTTCTCGACAGAGACACTCAAAAGCAAGTAGGCAGAATTTCCTTTGGCAACAGTCCTGTCAGGTTTCATCGCTCAGGTACTTGACTGTCATAGTTGATTAAATTTATATGCTGACTGAATTAAAAGGGCTTCGGTCAAACCTTTGCAAAAGTGTGCAGAGCTGGTTATACGTCTTGTGCAGAGCTGGTTATACGTCTTGTGCATCGTGACTATTAATATTTAGGCAATTACTCGTTTACAAGGAAAGGGCCCTGGTTTGTCTAGTCACTGTTAACGAATAATATTGCACCACCTAGATCAAGTGTATGCAACGGTTTGCTCCTTCAGCCAATGTACGCCATCCGATACGGACTCGCTTTGATTAGACCCAAAGGCAACCGTTTCGTCTCGAGCAGGTATCAAAGTCGTTCAAAAGTCTATTCCATGTCTAAAATAATCGTCCATTTCTCATGAAACGGCGCCAATCGCCCCGTACTCGACAGCTAGAAAAGCGCCCTCATCATTTTATTCCTCAAACCGTCGTGAAACTGCCTTGCCTGTTGTGCGGCGCCTATAAAAACATGAAGCCATAAAGCCGAGAAACAACGAGGTTGCATCTCAATGACGATCGTGTATTTACGGCTTGATGGCCTCAAGCATGGCCTTGGGGTCGCGAATACCGGCGTTGTTGCCCTCTGCGACACGCTTGAGCGTCAGAGCAGCAATGAGCGCGGCACCGACACCGGAACCGTCCTCGGCAGGGACAATCTCGATGGGGTCGCGCTTGCCCTTGGGCCAGTCAAAGATCTCGCGCAGGGCCTGGGCGCCACGAGCCTTGAAGTGCGGGTACTTGTTGAAGACGGAACCGTCAGCGCCGACGTGGCACTCGGTCCAGCCCTTCTTCTTGCAGATGGCGGCGACACCGCAGGCGGAGAGGCGGGCGGCGCGGGTACCAATCAGCTCGGCCAGACGGCGGCAGAGCTCAAGCTCCGGCTTGGAGAGGACGAGGCCCAGCGTGTTCGCGAACAGATCGGCAGTCTCCTGCAAGTTCTCCCAAGGATCCCTGTATCTAGCTTAATATCGTAGCATTTCTGATAAAGCAGGGGAGGGACAATGACTTACTCCTCAATAGTGGCAAGGAACGAGGAATCCATGGTGTAGGGTTTCTTGAGCTTGGTGACATCCTGACCCTCGAACAGGTGGCAGTGAGGGTCCTCGTGCAGGTCGAGGATGACCAAACGGAAGACCTCGCCCAGGTACAGACCGGCAATCATCTTCTCGAACGACTGCTGGCCGGGACGAGGAGACTCCTTGTCGATGATGATGTCATACTTGGTGCGGGGCAGAACGACGTGCTCGTTGTCGAACGCGCCCCACTCGCAGTTGATTCCCATGAGGTCCTTGGGGTTGAGGTCCAAGTGGTCGAGCTTGGGGATGGAGCCGCAGTCCTCCATGTACGCGGCGTTGCAGCCGGTGCCGAAGATGCAGCCAATCTTCATGCGGGGGTCGGTGTAAGCCGAGGCGATGAGGGTACCGGTGGTATCGTTGACGAGCGCGGTAACGTTGATCGGGACGCCCTAGATTGCATCGTCAGCTGTGCTGCCGGGTCGGACGGCCGAGAGGGCAAACATACCCTCTCCTTGAGCGCCGCGGCGAAAGGCGGAACGACGTCCTTGCCCTCGACGCCGTCAATGTCGAAGCCCTTGGTCCAGCGCTGCAGGACACCGTGGTCGATGAAGTCCTGGCTGGCGGGGTAGGAGAAGGTGAAGCCCAGAGGGAGCGACTTGATGTCCTCGCCCTCGTGGTGGTACTCGACGAACTGCTGCAAGCAGTCGGCGATGTAGTCCCACAGCTCCTCGGCGGTGCCGGTCTTCAGCTCCTGAGGCATCCTGTACTTGGACTGGATGATGTCAAACTCTCCCTTCTCCTCGGTCAGGGTGACCTCGCAGACACGAAGGTTGGTGCCGCCCATGTCCAGCGCGAGGTAGGTGCCGGTTTCATCGCCGGTAGGGAAGTTCATGACCCAGGTGGGGATCATGGGGATGCTGCCGCCCTCCTTGGACAGGCCCTTCTCGAGCTCCTTGACGAAGTGGTCGGTGATCTCCTTGAGCTTGGCCTGGGGGACGGTGAACTGCTCCTCCAGGCGCTTCATGGTCTCCAGGAGATCCTTGGGCACATCGGCCATGGAGCCCTTGCGGGACGGCGGCTTCCTGGGACCGAGACCGACCATTGTGGCGGGTTGCTGTTATCGGAGGGGACGGGGTGCGGGGTATGTAGGTCGGGAGAGGCGCAGAAGAGTTGGCTCCCACGCTCCGGTCTCGGACTGTTCGAGGGTTGCGGTGGTGTGGACGAGGAGGCGGGACTTTAAATAGCGCGAGTTAGCAGCGTGATCTCAGAGTTTGCGATGTGTGCGTGAGCTCAGCTGAGCGGGTGCAACTCGCCGAACAGCTTCCGCAACAAGCGATGTCGCAGCAGGAGCGAGCAGCGGGGCTTTTGAAGGGACGGGTGCATGGAGGAGAGGTCGACACTAGTGGACGCAGTCGAGCTGATTAAGTGCTCGAAGCTGCTTCCGTCACCCCGCTGCTGCCCCACGCAGCCATTGGGAGCGGGCGGAGGGGCTCGCCGCGGCCATTGGGCGGGCGGGAGTGGCCGGGATGACCAGGGCGGGCGGGGGGATGCGGGACGAAGGGTACTTACAGAGGCGGGTGGTGTTGGCAGTGGCTGGTGGGCGGAGGATGGACGAGGAAATTTGTCGACGGCGCGTGGAGGAGGGCTGTAGTTATGACGCGCGCTCCCCTGGCAGCCGCGACCTTCACGGCGGAAGAAGGTTCCTGCGACCGGCCGTGGACTTCCTCCCGCTGCGCGAGGCTCCACTCCAACGTCACTCGCACGCTCTTGGCCGGCAACCGGCCGCCGCTCGGTACTGATAGCGGCGGTTTGCTGATGTTGTTCGATCAAGGCGCCCGTAGCACCGCCCGCGCTGTGCAACTCTGATCCTGCACGCTGCATGTTGAGATTGCATTAGATTTGAAGAACATGGGTTCCATTTCCGCCGCTTCCATGCGTGTCAGTTGCATTCGCTCCCAGTAAAATGTTCAAAAAAAGAAAAAAGAAAGAAGAAAAAAGCCACCGGCCATGACGATGCGCCAGAATTTATCGTGTCACGCTTCATCGAGCAGAAAGGGGTGCTAACCGGAAAGCGCACGCAAACACCAGGCAGGTGTACTACCCACCATCGTTTTGGATTGCGAACCGAATCCAGGTAGTGACGCGTACAGAATTCAATGTCATACACTGACAGAAATGGCAAGATGTTGGCAGTTGCAAGCGGCGATCGTGCGCGGGTGGGCAGCTGCCTTTCCTGGAGCCATGCACCACGAGACCACAGCACCCCGCCGAACACCTGGCCAGCTCCAACGAACGACACAGACTCGAGATTCTCACCCGCTGAACGACAGCCAGCCCTTTACAAATCTCCCAGGTCGAGGCGCGGGAGCGAGTTCGAGTGCGGGCGTGCATAGCTCCATGCACTCACACCAATCTGCGATTCCCGCAGGCTTGTCGACTTTCTCCTACACACGCCTCGGCCGAGACGAGTCTCAACGTGCTGCCTGTCTTTCCTGTCGCACCTGCTGCACGTGGTCGTGGTCGTACGAAGAAGTGTGTGTCTCGGCCCGTGGGTCGGCCTCGCAGGCATGCCGATTTCCACCCGGCACCCTGCGAGCACCCATTTACTTGGCCGCAGCATCAGGCAGGCCTGGACCGAAAGGCTTGGCAATGCCTGTAGGCTGCCGCCTGCTCGTCGCTGCAGCATCGTTGGGGCGCAGCCCGAAGCTATCCCGTTGTCCATCTTGCGACATCAACAACCTTGCACCACGCGCCATCACCACAAAGACGCGACTTGCTCCGCTGACGCTCGGCCGCTCGACCATAAGTCCCTAGCTGCTGTTCGCCCACGCGTTGCCGGTCACGCTACACGCCACGCGCACCAGGTCATGGCATACGCCCCGACACTTCTTCAAAAGCCGACTTGATCTTCTCCGCCATGTCTAGCAAACCCAACCTTACGCTGGCGAATGTGCTCGCCATGCCCGTCGCTCAAGCAGAACGCGAACAGGAAAAGCCAGCAACGGTACTTGCCAAAAATCGCTGCTCCATGCTTTTCACGACTACTGATCCCGCCGTTGGCTCGTCTAGTGGTCAGCACGAGCCTTCTACGAAGCTCCCTATGTGCATCGGCGATGTCATTCGCAGCAACCTTGACGTCGAGGATCTACTGAACGTCCGCCTCGTCAACAAGGACATGAAGGCTTGGATTGAGGGTGACGACTTTGAGTTTACGGCCAAAGCCTTCAACACCTTGCACATGAACCGTCGCCTCTGGAACAGCGTCGAAGAGCAGCTAGCCATCAGTGCGCTCCAAAATGTCGCTTGCTTCTGCAACCACTTTTACATTCATTTAGACAACATGCTTGATCCGATGCTCCCGATGGTCCACGAGGGAGTCTCCGTCTTCGACCCCAAGAAGAAATCCATCTGGATGCAAGTCTTCGCTGCTCTCGGATCCATTCTCACGCTCTCAATCTCCGCGCCTGGCCAGCCTGACTGGCATAAGTTTGGCTCAGGAGAGTCGATCCTTGAATCCATCCGCGTCGCTCTGGAGAATAACCTGCCTGCCGGACTGCATGATGTCACGCTGTCTCCGATCAACGCTACCGGTCTGCTGCACTTCCGCTGGCGTGGGGCTGCTTTCAAGGAAACCACCTGGCTAGCTGAGGCATTCTGGCGTAGTCTCACGACCCTCACCCTTGACCTTTACAATCCTCTACCCGATTACAACAGGTGCAACCAGAAGGACTTCATCAAGACTCTACACGACTACCTCGACAGCTTCTCTCGCTCTCTGAAGGTCATCCGCTTCTCTTGGATCGGACCTGCGGGACCCAACCCTCTGCTGCTCGATATCCGCTACGGCGGCCACAACTTCAGCTCTCCGGCGATCGTGTGGACCGCGCTTGTCGAGGCTCACCTCAAGAACGTCTTTGCCCATGATGGAGACCTGGTAGCTCTGAGAAAGGATCGCTGTCCTCGTCTCGAGAACTTCAAGCTGACGGATGAAGAGACGGTGAACAATCATGAGACGGTCGTCTGGGAGGAGGACAAGGAGAGCGATGGCGGACTGGAGCACGTGAACTCCAATGAGATCAGCCCTCTCCCCTTTCCCTTTTCTTTGAAATAGACGCGAGAATGATTACGATACTGCATACGGGATGAATTAATTGGATGCGTTGCCACGAGCACGCCAAAGGGATAGGAATTCAATCATATTAGAGATGTCAAGCATGGCATCGTCATGAGCCCTATTTGAGAAATCGTGAACGACGCTTTGTGGAATGCTATGAAAATCGTGGATCACGAGGCCTTTTCCGAAATGGCTTCGCCGGCGTGTAACGGTTCGATTCCCAGTTTGATTACCAGCACAGCCCGCCCTTTACGCTCTAAGTCTATTTCATTCGCCAAAGCGATTCCGTGGTTGACGTGCGTCATCACGCGTTCGCTGGTGCCCTCCGGTGTTTTAGTGTCCGTGGTCAGGCAAGGACGCTTATCTTCAGGGCTCTGGCACGCTGCTTCCTCCCTCACTTCAGGCATTTTCGCCACATCTGGCCCAGGTGATCGTCAAGCCCCGACAGTCTGGTTGCGCGGAGACCACCGCGGGACGGTCCGTTTCACAGTCGACGACAGCCCTTCTATGGCTGGACCTATATTATTGCTATTGACGAGAACCCGCTTCCAGCTTTCATACCGGTCTCTGACGTGAATTGGTGTGATGAGGTAGTGGAAGCCATGAACATCTCGCTTTGCTCCAGCTATGCATGGCATAAAAAAGCGTGACTGGTTACTGCCCTAACCACATTCAATTCTCATTTCCGTCCTCTTATTGGACGAGGGGTGAGAAGCCTTCTACGATTGCACGAGCGCAACAGTCGTCACAGGCGCAGGCGTGAGTTGTGAATAAAGGCTTTGTCGAAGTCTGAGTGCAACAGTCTAGAGCGCTGGTTATTCCTGGGGCCATTCACATGAAATATTACCTTACACATACGCTTTCCTGGGAAAGTTGCATAAATAATAATTTTATTGCTGCGTCAGTGCCGGCTCCCCTCCCGGGACCCTGTTTGACGCAACTTCGGGTAAGCCGAACCGTCGCCCGCAACACCACAGCCTCAATCCTCCGTTCTCCGACAACCCCTCCATTCCGCATCCTCGCACATCCTCGTTCCCCGCCGAGACCCGAGCTGTAAAGCGAGCATTTCATTGGGAAACTCGATGACGCTTTTGCTTTCTTTCGGTCTTCTCGGTGTATACCAGGATGCCGACGGGCGAGCTGCCCCTCCCCCGCAATGCATATAAGCGTGGCTGACCGACGCCGTCCGGCTCTGACATCTCTGAACTGTTTGCTTGCTTACCTCTCTGCTCGTTTCTACGTCGACCAAGCCACCGCGTGTTTCGCCAATTCTTGGTCTCAGCCTGAGCATCATTCCTACGAGGATCGTGACGAAAAGGATAATAGAAAAACATGGCCGCTCCGGGTGGAAAGTACCTCATTCAGGACAAGTTGAAGACTCCCGCCGCACATCACGAGTCCTTTGCTAAGCTATGGGAGACGAAGTGGAAGAAGCCGGTCAGTTGCACCTCCCATTCCACGGTTGCCACCCTCCAACTAACACACGGCGCAGGCTGAGATGGGCGTGTACCCATTCATGTTCGGCACTGCAAAAGACTTTGAGCCCATAGTTGAAGAGATGACCAAGGTCAGCACCAAACCCTTGCATTAGTTCCCGCCGTATGGTCCCCTAAAATTAGAGTTTGGGAGAGACTAACGAACCCACGCTTCTTTCAGCTGAACATGCGTGAACCATACAATTGGGACGACTACGCCTCCGTCTTCAGGCCCCAGGCCGAGAAGCTGACGCGCATCGCCGAGGAGGCCGAGGCAAAAGGCGAGCGCGAAAAGGCATCCGAGTACTACCTGCGGGCGTCGGCTGTGTGGCGCATCTCGCGCTTCCCTGCGCCGCGGTCCGACAAGCAGCGGTACGCGTGGGAGGAGGGCAAGAAGGTCTGCCTGAAGGGCTTGCAGCTGCGTGAACACCCGGTGCAAGAGGTGCTCATCCCCCACCGGCACGCTGTCAAGGGCGAGGGCAGCCACATTCCCGTCTACCACCTGCTACCCGCCGGCGCGTCCAAGGAGAAGCCGGCACCTGTCGTGGTCATCATCACTGGCTTGGACGGCTACCGTACCGAGCTTGCCGTGTGGATGGAGGGCTGGCGCCAGCAGGGGGTCGGTACCGTCGTCGTCGAGATTCCCGGCACCGCCGATTCGCCCGTCCTCAAGGAGGACCCCGAAGGCCCAGACAGGCAATGGTCGAGCTTGCTAGACTGGCTCGACGAACAGGAGGCCGTGGACCACGACAGGGTCGCCGTCTGGGCCTTTTCCACTGGCGGCTTCTACGCCATCAGGCTAGCGTACACTCACCCTCATCGCGTGGCAGGAATCGTCTCTCTCGGCGGTGGCTGTCACCACATGTTCGACAAGGAGTGGCTGGATGAAGTGAACCATCTCGAATACCCCTTTGAGTAAGCGCATCCCGTTACGGAGAGGAGCACAAGGTGACGACTGACGACCAATAGCGAGGCGAACTCATTGGCTTACAAGTTTGGCTACGGGGATGACGTGGAAAGGTTCAAGAAAGAAGCCCACAAATACTCGCTCTTGAACGACGGAACGCTGGACAAGCCCGACTGCACTCGCATGTTGCTGGTGAACGTAAGACTAACCCGCCGAGTTCTCTGCGACTCTCGACGTCTGACAAAGTGTAGGGTACGCACGACGAAATCTTCCCGATTGACGACTACTATGTCGCTCTCCAGCATGGTCCCCCGAAGGAGGCAAGGTGCGTTTTTTGAGGTGCAGCTAAAACAATCATGCGCTGATCCGCGTGACAGATTCGTTCCGGGCACCAAGCACATGGGCGAACCAGAGTCGTTCTTCATCATCATGAATTGGATTTACAAACTCTTCGGCATCAAAGGCAACGCCGGCCAGCAACTGTCGACGATGCCGTTCAAGCCCAAGTACTGATTGGCGTGGTTCGCATTGGCATCTTCCGTCTGGAAGCGGGGTAAGCGGCGGTGATGGTGAGCTGGCAGCGAAGGAAGCAAGGATGGTGGCGTAGAAGTGGCGTGGACTGGACGGCAGCGATGTCTTTTCGACACGGCATGTTGAGAATATTAGCCTTTTGTTTTCCATCAGGAATCCCTGCACTTCCGGGATCGGTTGGACGAGAAACGCTCAGACCGGACGTGAACCGCTAGAGGTCGGTTATCTTGCTTGTGTTTGTGTTGCAGCATCGACGGCAGCCGAACGGTGCCGGGCGCCTCACCAGCCCCAAAACCTGGGCTGTCAATCCGTCGTAACGGCTCTTGGTACCGGACGGACGACCGAGCGTCTGAACGTGGGCGGTGGGGCGTGAGCTCCACTGGTGCGGCAGCGTTCGCCTCGACGCGTCCGCAAGGCGAGTGCTCCTCGCGATAACCAGGCGGCTGGCGGTGAGCAAGGCGAGTGCGCTTGCAGGCCTGGCGCCCGTTCGGCCTGGACTGGTGGGCTGGTGATCTCCTCGGGCGGCTGCCGTCGTTTTTCGCCTCTGCACATCCGTGGTGCCGGCGGGGCTCAAGGATGATCCTGTGATCACCAGCCGTAGAACCCACCCGTTAGCGCGGCCTTGCAGCCTCAGGAACAGCGCAGCTGTCGAATTTTTTTCACCATGTGAGAACCCTGCGCGACGGCCGAGGGATGCGAATTGGCGGTCAGTCGTGCGCATGAAGTCGTTTCCGGGGTTGCGAGCGGTCGAAATTGCCTCACCTTGGCAGCCTGCAGCGGTTCATGATGCTGCATTGACGTGAGCTGCTGTGGGTCCGTGGCGAACATCACAACATTCCCTTTTAGGCAGCGTCAAAACATGCTGCTCCAGCCTCGTCGTCGTCCGATCGTCGATCGTCCACCGCGGCCCAAACGACGGCCATTTGTGACCTGTGCACGGTGTCTGTATCTTCGAATCGATGCTTTCTGCAATGCGCTGCCCGTCTGCGGCGCAGGTTGAGCTGTCGTTGCGCCTCAGTCTGGCATAGCGCCATGCGCAACCCGCATCCGCATCCTGGCGTCGTCGCAGGTCCCACCTCCGGCCTGCGGGGGAAAGGCGTGATGCTTCCGTCAGAATGCGTCGCTATCTGCAAATAGTCCTATCTGCGAGCCGTCGCCGGCATTCCAAGGAAGCGCGCGCGCAGCACCTCGGCGCCGGTATCCCTGCCATCACGCGGCCAGTCTTCAGGCGCCGTCGGGCACTTTGGTCCTACAGAGGTCCCGCCGGCCACGGCTGTGTTGGTTTGGACGCGCGAGCCTGGAGGAGGTCCTGAGGTCGGGCCAGCGCGCTGCCACGACAAAGATTAGCGCCGCCAATTGTCCCGGTAGGGCTATTTGGCGCTGAAGATCCCACGCCGCAGCTACTGAAACACTGACTTCAAGAATGCTCGATATGCATGGCAAAAAGGAGGGGGTTTCGGAGGTTCCAAAGATCGCGAGGACCCTGGCGCCCCTTGTTTGTGCCTGTTCGACTGCTGCTTGCCGTCCCGACGCAGGCACGCGAGACGTGGTTGGCTGCTGATCGCGCTGCCCTACCCGCCACCTCCAACGTGTGGCTGGTCCTGCGCCACCGCGTAACGCTCAACGCCGCAGTTGACGCACAGCATGGGCCGGGAAATCATTGGTCTGCTGCACGGCGTTGCCAACCGCAACGCGACGTGGGTGCGTGATCGTCGTTCTGTGCCATTGTACCCAAAGGGCCTCAGCGGGGCTCCGTGTGACTTTCAGGCTGGGCGGCCTCGCTCGAGGCAGTCGATTGTGCTCGTCGTGGTCCTATGTTCGTCATTGACCTGTGCTCGTCAATGACATGTGCTCATTGACCGAGCGCTGGAGAGCACGTAGAGCTGGGAGAAACCCCACGTCTGCCAACACATCACCAGCCGCCTGCGCAGCCCCGCTTGCTTACCACTGCAGCGAGGGAGGCCGACTCTATTCCGGGCCGTCGCACAGCAGCGGGATTGGCTGCGCCTATCTGGCGAACGTGGCAGGCCGAGTATGCAGGGCCCAGCTGAGCTTACGTGCCGCAATGGGTTCCCTGCTCATGATTCCGCGGCCAACGCAGCCCAACGTCCAGAAGTTGACGTCTCCAGACATTCGAAAAATGGTGGGATGATCAGCCGCGCGCCGTAGCGGGAGGAGGGCGGGCTGATTGGGCGGCGCAGACATCGCAATGCAGAATTGCATTATGAAGGAGGAGATAATGCCATTATCGGCATGCGAAGAATGCAAGTGCTCGGAACAATGCCCCCTGTTGGACAGGGCGGGCTGGGTACTGCCGCCCGTCAGGCTGCGCGTGCGGCGGCCGGGGCAGGCTGCGAGCCACCTAACGGCTATGGCGCCCGAAGGCGCTGGCTGATGATACAATACCATGAACAATAGGCACCGTGCAGCAATTTGCGGGTGCGCGACGCGTGCTCCGCCGCGCGCGCGGCAGAGGGACCATCCTGGCCGGCGATGAATGATGACGAAGGGGCGGGTGGGCAATGCGCTGGGGAAGCCGGAGGCAGATCTGCCCGAAAGGGAAGGGCGCGATGGTAAACAAACAAAAACACGGAGCTGACCTGGTCGGCGGCGAGCGCGCAAGGCTAGCTGGCTGGCAAGAAGTGGCGGGCAGAGCGGCTGGTGCTGACGCTCGTCCGCAGCACCTGCGCAATCGCTCGACGCAGCCTGCACCTCAGGAGTCGCCGTGTCGCATCGCCAGACGCACTTCCCGCACGGTTCGCCGCTGTCGTCGGCGGAGACTAAAGCGCTCCGTGCGGCAGCGGATCACGAGGAGTCAGGGGGTTGTGGCTTTCGGTCAGGGATCCGGAAGCGAGGACGCTTGCCAGCAAACGACGCGATCCCAAGACACGCGCCGGGCCCGCCGCACTCCCGCCTCTCCCTCACCCTAGCGATCGAGCGCTTGTCGGCCACCACCACCACCGCCTGCGCGCGCGCTCTCAGCTCAGGCGCTCCCGCCCGGACGACTGCTCCACCTCGCCCTGTCCGCATTCTTTGTCCGACGAAACCCGCCGCATCCTCTCTCCGCTCCCCTCCGACGCGCCCGCTGCTCGTCGCGGTCGCACGCTGTGACGCGCCTATTGTTTACTCGGTCGCACCGCATTCCACGCGCTCCGCACGTCACCATCCTCGAGTCGCCGCCCAAAAACACGCCTCGCCCCAGCTGAGGACCCCATCCCCGCCCGATTGACACGCTTCCGCCCGCGTATTCCGGCCCGCGCACGTTGAGCGTTGGATGGCGCTGAGACGGGCGGTGTAGCCAGGTTCGAGCGAAGGGGAAGGAATTCGACTATCGCGCATCCAGAATCGACTCTGTTGAACGTAAACACCACCTACATTCCTAGCCGCAGGCTCGCAAGCGCGCGGCACTCGCCTTAACTGCCTGCCATCGCGATTGCCCCGCCGCCTCCTGGACACACTCATATGCGACATCCATCGCAAAGGCCGCCTGCCACCTAATTTGCGACTCCAGCCCGGGAATCGCCATCTTCAGCGCCTCTGTCAGGAGTTTGACGGCTGTCGTCATCGCGAGGACGCGCGACGCGTATCGGTGGTATCGTCGCGACTGACCGCAGTTCTTCCGCAAGCATGGACTTCGCCTACTCCCCACATCGCGAGGTCGGCGGAACTCTGCACCTCCACTCACCCACCCACCCGCATTCGTACCGCGTCGACGGCTTTCCATCCATCAAGCAGATTAGGCGTTCCCTCTCGCGCTCCCCCTCCAAGGTTTCTCGGTTCACCCTGCACAACAACTCGCCGTCCGGCTCCCCCAAGTCCCCGCTGTCCCCCCTGGCTCTGGCGAGAGTCTGCAGCCCAAAGTCCAAGGACCAACATGTTCAGGAACTTTTCCCGTTCTCCCCTCTGCAGGACACTCCCGCCGCCACTACAACAACAAAGAAGAAGTCCGCCTTCCGCCGCCTTGGGCCCCTCCGCACTTCGCCTCGCAAGCGACCAACGCCGCGCAGAGTCCTCAGCGACACCTTGAACCAGGCCAATAAGTCACCCACGTCGAGACGCCGCAGCACCGCAGAGGAGGACAACATGGACGAGGACACCGAGGACCCCAAGTCCGACACGGAATCCAAGGCGTCGAGCGCCCGCCTCGAGTTCATGGACGACCCGATCAAGTTTGAGTTTGCCAAGCCAAAGGCCGAGGCCAGCGACCCCGTCGCGAGGTGTCTCCAACCAGCAAAGTCGAGCCCGCTGAAGCGGAGCGACGGCATCATGAACCTCGACCAGGCCAGCCTCGGCAGTCCCGTGGCGAAGAGGAGGAGCCTGCACGGCGGACCGTTCGACGACGTGGACAGCTTCTCGCTCTCCGCCCAGGCCGAGGAGCGCGGAAGCAACGACCACCACGACAGGGAAACGACGAACTACTCGTTCACGCCGGCGTCCTCTTCCCCGCTCGGACCGCGGCGCGCCTCCCCGATCAGGAAGCAATCACTCAGACGGTCGACGCTCAACCGGTACAGCACCGCCGGCGGACGTTCGCGCCTCTTCGAGGGACACGAATTTCTATCCGCGAGCCCGGCCGTGCCCAAGTCCAAACCTCGCATTTCCCTGGATAGCGGCGTCGCCATGAGCCCATCGCCGGCCGAATCGCCCTTCCGTAAGAACGCCAAGTTCGGCGCATCCCATCTTCAAAAGCGTTCGGTCTCGGGCCCGGCCATCACCCACCAGCCACATCCTCTGTCAAACGCCCTTACTCCGTCTTCTTCGTGCTCGAGCCTCAGCGACGATGACGCTTCTCCCTCCCATATGCCCCCGCCGGCGCCGGCCCCTCAGCGCCAGACTATCGCTGAAATGTCGAGGCCTCCGATCAGCTTCTCCCGATCTCTTCCCATCGGTGCCGCCCGCCCGGCTGGCCGCGCGGCGTACGCGCCGTCCGACTCCTTTGCTACTCCCGACCACTTCAGAATGGCCAGGCCTCTGCCGTCTGCCTTCATGTCGACCGGCCTCATCTCCAAGAAGAACCGCAACGTGGAGGCACCCGCGGCCGGAGGCGCTGAGAACTACACCATGCCCGACACGCCGTCGAAGAGGGTGTCTTTCCCGCCGCCCCTCGCAAGCTCGACGCCGTTCCAGCGGAGCGCGTTCGGCAAGTCGACCATGTCCCGGCCGGAGTTTGGCACACCGTCCACGCCGGTCAGCTCCCACGCCGTAAAGGCGACGCCCATCTCGTTCGGTCAGAACGTTAGCATTTTCGGCTCCCGGTGCCAGAAGCCCGACCTCGAACGCAGGAGCAGCTTCGTGAGCATCGACGGCGACGACAACCTGCAGTCGCCCTCGGGCACCGGGGATAACGACGAATTCCCTCCCACCCCCACCAAGCAGAACAGCGGCAGGAACTCCAAGAACAACAGCTTGAGGAGCAACCTATTCGGCCGGCGAGCCTCGGTGGGCCCGGACACGTTCGCTCCACCCACCCCCGAAGAGATTCCCTCTCCGAAGTTCTCCAAGAGTAAGTCTTTCCCGCGTGGGTCTGCCGAGGCCGGTGCGGGCACCAAGAAGGGCCTCTTCGAGCGCTCTCCGAACCCGTTCCGGAACTCTCAAGACATCGACGCGTCTTCTCCTTTCGGCAGGCGGACGTCGATCCCATCCTGCACGTCACCGCTCTTGAGCCACTCTCTCAAATCTCTTTCCACTCCATCGCCTGCGGATGGTGCTGAGCAAATGACCTCTTCAGTCGCTCCTACTCCCACCCTTGACCGATCAAAGTCGCCTCACACTCCGCAAGGGAGCTACACCCCGCCGGACGCCAGCCGGCTCTCCATCTCAGGCCAGGCCAATCGCAGAGGCTCGGTTCCGTTCTACGCCAGCATCAACGGCGGGCTGGCCTTCCCTCCGGCCACTCCGACCACATCCAGGGACCAGGTCTTCGTCTTCGGCAACGCTCAGCCCGTGGCGCCGATCACCGGCCTCACCAAGAACGACGTCGACACCAGCCTCACGGCCTGCTTCCAGAACGTTAAGCTCCTTCCGGGTGATGGCGAATTCTCCCAGGTCTTCCTCGTCGACCAGTCCGCGCACGATTCGATGACCCAGTCTCCGTCGTCGAATTCACTCACCAAGCGGTGGGTCGTCAAAAAGTCAAAGAAGCCCTTCACCGGCCCAAGAGACAGGGACCGGAAGATGCTGGAAGTGGAGATCCTCAAGTCCCTGCGCGGTAACGAGCACATCATCGAGTTCACCAACTGCTGGGAGGCGAACCAGCACCTCTACATCCAGACGGAGTACTGCGAAAATGGAAACCTCAAGACTTTCCTGAGCGAGACCGGCGATAAGGCCCGACTAGACGACTTCAGAATCTGGAAGATTTTGCTGGAGCTTTCATCGGTGAGTTCTTAAGTAGGAGCCCTTGCGCCGCGAGAACAGACTATACTGATTTGAATTTTCAGGGCGTCAAGCACATCCACGACTCCGGCTTTATCCACCTCGATCTCAAACCGGCCAACGTCTTCATAGACTGGGAAGGCGTGCTGAAGATTGGCGATTTCGGCCTCGCGAGCACGTGGCCGGCGCCGGACGGCATCGATGGCGAGGGCGATCGCGAGTACATCGGACCCGAGATCCTCCGCGGTCAGTTCGACAAGCCCGCCGACGTCTTCGCGCTTGGCATGATCATGGTTGAGATTGCGGGCAACATCATTCTGCCCGACAACGGTGCTTCGTGGCAGCGTCTCCGGAACGGCGACCTGAGCGATCTTCCCAGCCTCACCTTCAGCTCGGATACCACGCTGGAGCGGGACGAGTCCGGCGACCCCATCCTCGACGAGGAGGTCGTCGTGGCCCCGTCCCACGAGCCTCTCTTCGGCTCTGACCACGACGACGAGACCTCCCAGACGCTTCGCAAACTCTCGCCCAGGAGGTACCTCACCGACACTCTCGTCGAGCCCCCTCAGTTCATGGTGGATCCCGAAGACGAAGGTGCCTTGGACAGGGTCGTCCAATGGATGATTTCTCCCGATCCGCACATGCGCCCGATCATCGATCAGATCTACCACCTTGACGGTGTCCAATGGGTTTACAGGCGCAGGCGCGCCGGTGCCACCATCTACGAAGGCAACTGGGGGCCTGCGGACTATGTTCTCAACCCCGAGCAGGACGTCGACATGATGGACATGAACTGAGCAATCGTACATTTCCAGGGCCAGCGGTGGTGCCTGGATACTACTACTCCCCCCCCCCAGTCTGCACTTGGAAAGGCGTTTTCCGAGGCATATAAAAAAACATGTGGTGTTAAGGTGCACGGGTGAATGGGCGTTTGATTTCTCCACGGGCTTTATGGACGGCGCGACATGTGGCTGCTTGCTCCTGCTTTGCTTTTCTGCTCTTCCGCTTTCGATATCCCATCGTTTTCTGCGACCTGCTGTTTGGACTTAGCGCTTACGAGGCCGCACTCATCGGCCGATACCTCGACGACGACGACAACAACACTGTATACCATTCTTTGCGGATCACCTCTACGACTTTACGACACACGGATGATCCAAACGATTCGATTCGTCACGGCGGGCAAAAACGCATTCGATCACACTACCTCTTTTCTTCTTTTACACATTGTATTACCACACGTTGTCACGGCCAGTCCAGGGTCGACGGTTCTTTGCAGCGGACTCGTCCTTTTGCGCACCGGGGAAAAGAAACGGGCAGTCTTTTCTTTTTACTTATAGCCAAGCGTCCGACGGACGCGCACTTGTAATTGTACACCAACCTCGGGGAAATACCATTTGCGTTGCACGGCCGCGATCCCGCACGGAGGGGTCGACGGCGTGGGGAAGGGTGTCTGTGAAAGTGGCGGGGAGAGGGTTTTTTCCTTTGTTTTTCTCCTTTGTGCCCTTCACGACTGGACGATGCCCGGGGTTGGGTAGATAAGCACTATGCTGTGCAAAAGTTTCTGGGAGACATTTTGGCCGGGGTGCAGGGCAGAGCGGGCACCGGCAAGAGTAGCTAGCGAAATTCAAAAAAGAGATAATCGCAAGAGAGGCGGTGACGGATCCAAGGTGCTGCTGGCGCCGGCGTGGTGAGCTGGCGGCGCGGTCGCACCGTCCGCCGAGACATGTGATGAGACGGTGCGACCGGAAGAGGGCGAGCAGACAGCACGGGCCTGGGGGCGACGATCGGGCGCGCTGCGTTGGGGCTGTCGAGCAAGGCAGCGACGGGGCGTCAGCACCTGAGGTCGAGGCGGCAGCGGGCCTTGGGCTGGGAAGCTGGCAGTTGGCGTAACGTCGTCGCGGGTAGGGCCAGCGCGTCGATGGAAGCGGCATAGCAGGGCGGCCGGAGGGGAGCGCAGCCTGTCAACGCATCGTCATCCAGCCCGTGACCGTTGACGTCCGACGCTCATGCTCCTGCTGCTGCTGCTCATGCCGCGCTGAGCTGCGTGGCCTCTGCATGCTCCGCGAACCGCCGCTTGCCGCGTGCTCTCGGGTGGACTCTGCGAGCGCGACGGCCCTCCAGCTCGCCTAGCGCAGCAATCAATGACAGCGAACTGCCCATTGCTCCACCGCAACCTCAACCGCTCCCGCCCCGACGCCCAGCACCTTGCAATGACCCCACGCACTCCCCGAGCCCACCATGACCGACCACGACGAAGGCTTCCGCTCCGTCACTGGCCTGCCCGAGACCGCAGACCCGGCGTCGGCAGCTGAAGACAGCGCGCCGCCCGCTGCGAACACGCCCGGTGCTACCGGTGCCACAACAAACCCAATCACGCCCGCCCACACCTCGCTGCGCTCGTCCAGTGGCGCCCCCCCACGGCCGACCGCGACGCACTCGCAGACGAACTCGCCCATGTCCTCGCGCGACCCCTCGCCCTCGCGCTCGTCCCAGCCCCACCGCCAGACGCCCGCCATGGCCGGCCCTGCCCGCCGCGTCCAGAGGTCGAGGAAGAACAGCAACCAGGACGGCAGTCCGAACCGTCCCTCCGCCCTCGCCAACCAGACCACCACCGCCCCGTCCGCTGCCGCCATCCAGCGGGCCCTTGCGTCTGCAAACACACCCCAGCTCCAGCCGACCCCGGCGGACTCGACCCGTGTCCCGAGACCGCATAAGTCGAACAACCACGGCGACAGCACACCCCACTGGCCCGTCTCGCCGCGTCTCAAGTCACCTCCCCCCTCCCACAGTCGCTCTCGCCGCAATTCACTACGCTCCCAGCAGCAGCAGCAACAACAGCAACAGCAGCTGCAACCACCTCACCAGGCTCGGCCCCAAAGACCGGACCCGCCCCAGTCAACCCAGTCCGCCCCCAACATCGTCGTCGAGCGCACCGCTACGCCGCCCAGCGCTCCGGCGAAGCAGAAGAATGAGCCGCCGCCTAGCGATTCGGAAGACCAAGACGGCACCAACATGGTCCGGAAGGGCTCCGGAAGGACCGTGAGCGGCGCTCCTCCGGCGCTGGAGACCGTGCAGGAGGCCAGTCTCCCGACATCGCCGGGGTTCGACGTTTTCCAAGCACACAGGTACGTTGGTAATCAAGCTAGAGAGTGTGGTCGGCGCAACGTCGGCGGCTGTCAGGACTATTACATGGGGATATTGGGCGTTTCGCGTTGACGAAGGCTCGAGTCCCCGTGTATGCGTCATGCTGACAAAATGTCGATGCGCCGAACCTCGTTCTACGCTCGGCCACCTCGCCGAAATCCGCTGAAAGCGGTGGACGTCAGCGATGCGGAGTCTAACTATTCCTCGCAGTAACAATCCCGCCAAATCGTCCAGTGACGACACCGTTGTCGCTAACTCAACAGAATCGGTGAAAGAAAATTCAAAAGCTCGGGAAAGTGGAAGCGAGAGCGGGGGGAACAACAGATCCGAAGACCGCGGTAGACGAACGGAACAGAAGAAAGCCAGCAGCGCGCGACCCTCTGCGACGTCGAGAGGCTCGTTCACCGGCCTCGTCCCTGGCAAATCCAGATCCGTCACGGAACCGTCGAAGAACATGACCGTCGAAACCGAAACCGTGCGCTCGGTTCCTCAAGGGGTCATGGGCCAACCGCAAGGCGGTCCTGCGCCAGGCCGCGGAGAGCCCAGCGGCAGCCTCCGGTTGAAGCTGAGCAACGAGACCATCCGACCGAGGAGGGAGAAGAGGAGGACAGTACGGAAAGCGCCGTCGATTACTTCCGGCACGGGTAGGTATCCACCGCAGCTAGTCCGCAATCCATTCAGCCACCATCATGTTCCCGTCGTCGATCCCGTCAGCCCCGTCAGACCAGACCTGCAGGTCCGATCCAACACCATTCCACCACTCAGCACGACAGACTCCAACATCCAGTCCTTCCGCTCTTTGGGCTTCCCGAGCCCTGGCGACCTTTCACAGTTCACCCAAACCCCTTCGACGACTGTCAGCAAACAGATGAGCTCAAAATATACTAACGACTCTCCACGCAAAGCATCTTCAAAAGCAGACATATTCGAAGCCAAGGTGGCGAGTGCCGTTGACGAAGCGAATTCATCCGATTCCGACGAGACGTTTGTGTACGAATCGAACCCGCCCGACACGCAACCCCGAGCGAGCCGACACCATTCTCGCACGCCGAGTGCGACTTCGATGGCGAGCATGGTGGACCACCCCCGTCTCGGTGGCGGCCTTCGATCCATCAACAACGTCCTCGAGGGACACCGCAGCGTCGCGGGCAAGAGAAGTATGAAATTCGCTAACAACCCCTACGGCAATTCGAGCCTCGATGAAGACGTGAGCGAACGCTTCGACGGCACGCTTCGAGGCAACCATTCCCGGCCGAGCGGGAGCCACAGCAATTACCACCACCATATAGGCCGATACGGCCGTAACGCCGCCGTCAACTCCCTGTTCGAGGACGGGCCGGCGCCTCCGGGCTCAAAGTCGAGGAGCGTATCCGGTTACGGTTCTCGACACGGGTCTGCGCCCAGCAGCCCAAAGTTCCCGCACTATAGCTCCCGGACGAGTAACCCTTCGAGCAGGAAGATGGGAGAGCTGTCTGCGTACGACATGGATGGCGAGGGGGCAGATGACGAGAGGACGCCGCTGATGGGGACCGTGCGGACCCGGAGAGCTCCTGCACGAGGGCCGAGGCCGACGAGCGCGAGCTTGCACTATCACGATCACTACGAACGACGCAGGCGAGGCTGTCTTCGAAGATTTGCGGGCTGCTTCGTGCTCACCATCATGGTGCTCCTGCTCGCGTTCGGTGCGGTGGGCTTTTTGTTCGCCACGACAAAGCCGCTCTACAAGGTGGAGGTCGTCGAGATACAAAACGTCCTCGCCAGCGAGCAGGAAATCATGCTGGACCTGCTCGTCGAGGCCGTTAACCCTAACATCGTCGCGGTCAGCATCGGAGAGATGGACGTCAACATCTTCGCGAAGAGCAAGCACGTCGGCACCGAGAAGTTCTGGCGCGACCAGCAGCCTGACGGAGTCGTCGGCCCCCGCGAGCTTGGACGCCGACGTCCTCGGGCGCCCTCGCACGAAGATGACGAGGCGTTCCACACCTTGGATGACGACCCGCACGACCCGGTCGAGGATCCGGAAGGCGATTCGCAGACGATGCTCCTCGGCCGCATATTCCACTTCGATTCGCCGCTGAACTTCGACGGTGACCCTCTCAAGCGCCGCCCTCACTACTCGATCGGCGAGCTGCGTCTACAAAAGCCCGGCAACAAGACCGAGGCCGGTGGAACGGAACGGTGGGAGCGCGTCATTCAATATCCGTTCGAACTGATTGTGCGCGGTATTCTGAGATACCAGCTGCCGCTCAGCAGCAGCACCCACACCGCGCCGATCGGAAGGAGTGTTCTTGTGAATCCGGAAAAGGGCGTTAATGCGGAAGGCGCGATGTGGATAGAGCAAATTCGGAGAAGTCTCGTCGGCGAAGCTGGCGAGGACGAAGAGTAGATTACTACTCTCAAGTAACGAATGTATTCAGCGGGTCTTTTTCTCACGTGGTTCCGACGAGCATTTTCATGTCCTTCGTCATTTGATGCGCATACCCAAGCCCTCCTGAGCGAAAGTGTTTCCTTTCTTCCAAGCAACGGACAATAGATCCCTCTGCTTCTTTTTAATCTTTATTCCTCCTATGGCATCGGCGAGCACATTCCCAGCCTGGAGGTTTCTGTTCTTCTACTGTACGCTATATATGAAGCCATGGCCGATAGGACCTCTCGTGGACAGACTACAAAATAAGCAAGGTTGGCAGTGGAGGGATGTTCCGTTTATCTTCCGATGGCACACGGCATTGCGCTGGTCTTGGAGTCGCTGGATCAGGAGGCTTGTCTTTTTTTTCTCTCTGTAGGAATGGATTGAGGGTGTCTACCCTGCTTCCCGGCCTTGTGTTCCTCCCGAATCCAGAAGGTAGCAGTTACCACTGATCGTCGAGACATTATCGTAGAGGCAAGGCCTGAGAATGGCTGAGCAGCAGCATTCCGATCGACTAAAACAGCACCAGCGGCCCGTATCCCTGGCGGAGACCCTGCTTCGACTCTAAAGGTCTAGTCGATGCCGAGGTACAGCTGCAAAGCGATGGAACTCTACGCCCCTCACGTCCTCGAACTTGACGAGTACCGGTTGCCAAGAAGGTAAAAAGCCGACGCTTTCCCTGCGTGTCTCACCTCTTAACATACACGATGGGCTTGGTTTCAGTGTGGAGGGAGGATATATCGTTACTTTCGCGCACACGCCCTGGATTGCAGTCAAACGTGTGATTCCTGCCACAGCGAGAAGAGAGTGCGTTAGAGTGGCGATTGAGACACCGTATCCACGATTACGGAGCTATTGGAATCCGACGTTGATATCACCTGTCTTAGAGACTCCTCGTCGGCGCATGAACGACTCTTTTCTCACTGAACTGCATACTCACATTATCGTCGGCGCCACATTTGACGCTATGGAAATAGTCATCTTGATTTCTCGACGCCACGGCGTCCGGGGGGGGTTGGCACGGATACGTGGGTATAAATGCCCGCAGTCAGTGGTGTTTCCGCGGAGATCTCTCATCACCAACATCACTTATTCGCTCTCTGAAGGTGACTTTCGTTTCCACAACGTCTGCACGCTCGTTACTCTCAGCTGCTAATCTGGCTTGACCACTCCACCGCTCATTCTGCGAACAATCCGACCGAATCCTGTCCTTCCCCTTTCCGCTTCCCGTGATGTTCCAATCCACGCACAACCGTCCCTACCACAACGGCCTCCTCTCCTTATTCCTCCTCTGTCACTCTTTTACTGCACTTGCCTCCCCGCCCAGCCGTGCCTCAGTCCCAGTCTATTCTCCTTCTCCGCCAGTGTATTCCGCCAACTTCCTCGAACTTGGCACCAACAAGCCATCTCCCCCGGTTGCTGCAGCAGAGGCGCTACCGACGACGCAGGGACCAATGCCAGTGATGCTACCGACCAACGGCGCGGCGACCGGAGCCCTCGTCCCCTCGGCGCCCTTCCCAGAGGAACCGGCTACGATGGAAGAATCAGCCCTCTCCAACCTGCGCGAAGTCGTCTCGCCCACTGCCTCCGAGCAGCAAGATCAAGCGTGGGGCGCGACGAGGACCGAAGGCGTTAACAGCTTCATCCGGCAGCAACCAACCTACACCCCCGAAGTGGATGGTGGTCAGGAGTGCCCAGTCACAGAATGCAAGGATTACATGAATATGTCTTGCTTCAGCAGATATGGCGGGTAAGTCTTTCTTTCCCGTGTTCCGTCCTTGAATTATTGCAATTCCTCTTTTCGTTTTTTTTTTCATCTTTCAATTTGACTTAAATAATGTTTATTTTTTACATTTTTCATGTCATTGAAATTTTATTGATCGTTATCTTTTTCTTCTATCATTCTTGTTTTCAATCGTCTCTCGGTCTTTTCTGTTATTTCTATCCATTCTTTATACCTTTTCTTCTCTCTCTCCTTCCCCCCCCCCCCCCCCCCCCCCCCCCCCCTACTTCTGCCTTCTCTCTGTTGTCATAATCACTCTCTTTCTTCTAACCCCCCTCAGCCCAAGACTAACAAGATGGGGCCACAGCTGCTGGGACATGTGCGCCGAGAACCGCAAATACCTGCCTCCTGATTGCGCCGCGCCGACGGCTCATGCAGCGAATGTTATTGTCTCAAAGCCAACAGTGGCTCCGACGACCTCTGCAGTCCCGACGACAGCGTAAAAGATGATAAAGGGGTGATTGAAGCATTGAAGACCGGGGAAGAAAGCGTAGGGTGAAAAATATCGAATTCACGAGCTCTGCAGGAACGAAAACGGTTCGATCAAGGATACATTCGTTAGTCTCCAACATTTCCTTGATTTTCTTTTTGTGATCACTGGATTATATCACTATCAATGAAGTTCTTGCGCTAGGTGAATGGATCAAGCGATTTAGATTTTCTATACCTAAGCAATGGTAAATTGATGCTGTTCGCTCTCGTAGCATTGACTGTTATACCAGCCCCCGAAAGCACAGCTGATGCACCAAAGAGGATTGATTCATTCCACGGGTGACCCATTCAAGCTCGGGCCATACCTCTTCGTATGACAGCCACCTCCTTGGAGCTCACCTCTTTTCTAATATGTTGGCTTTTACAGAAGCGACCGGGTAATGTGCCATGATGAGCCATTTCACAGAAAAAGTAAGCTCCGACAAGCGTCCTGGGAGGCGGACCGGGTGGAGATAAGCTTGTTCCACGCGTCAGCTACTCTCCTTGCGTTCAGAGTAGTATCGCAGCCGAAGGCCAGCGTGAATTTAGTTTTCCTAGGTATAGGTAGTTTCTATATTTATATTTAGTGATAGCTTCACCTGACCATATATGTTGTTTTTGTTTTTCAAGCAAAAGCCGAGGCATAGTCACACTGGATTCGAGGGACCTGCTATTCTTTGCGCTAGCCATCGACTGCAATACCCTCTGTATTCGAACCAATCCCGATTAATCCTCTCGGTTCGTTCATGACCAAAACTCCTGATTAGTGCCATCATTCATCCCATGCCTTTGGGTATCTAACTGTCTCTACCAGAGATGTAACCGAAGAAAACGCCAAGAGACGCCATTGTTGCCGGGATGATCAAATCTGCCTTGGGTTAGCGCGCATTGCCGACGTCGTAGCGTCAAACTTACAAGTTTCAGCGTCGTGCGCTGGAGAAGGCCGGTAAAGTTGAGCATGGCCCTGCTCTTCGGCGGAGTTCTCTGCAGGCGTCTGAAAGCCTCCCTGACGTGGCTGGGGCCGACGGGCTCGCGGGCCTCCTCCGGAGGGTCGAACAAGCCGGACTCCCGCTTGCGCTTCCTGCTCTGGCCGCCGCTGGCGTCGCCACCCACGGCCTTGCGGTAGGAGTCCTCGGTCTGCTTGACCCTGAGGGCCTCCTCGGTGAGGGTCTGGACGATCTCGAAGGTCAAGAAGCCGAGGATGTCGATGATGTCGTCGTTGGGCTTGCTGTCGGTGATGGTGCCGAAGCCGGCCCACTCGCGGAAGCGCTTGCCCTTGCGGAAGGTGAAGGAAGCCTGGCGGCAGTCGGACCAGTGGACGTACTCCTCGCGGGTCATGTTCTTGGTGCGCTCATCGGCATTGCGCAGGCGTTGGATGGTGGCGTAGTTCATCTCCGTCTCCTCCTCGTCCTCTTCCTCCTCGCGGGCGGGGGGAGCTTCGGAAAAGTACGACTGCACGTCCCACACCAGATCGACGGCCTTCTTGGAGCCTCCGGGCTTCGCGGTCTTGGTGGCCGGGTTCGGGGCGGTGGCGGTGATGTCGACGCCAATGTCGTCGGCAGCGAGGTCGTCGGCACCAGGGTTCTTCTCGTCCGAGTCCTTGGCCGTCTTGCGAACATCCTTCCACTGGAGGAAGGTGCGGAGACGACTGATCTTGGCGCGGTCATGGCGGATGAGCATCATCAGGTCGTCGGTGGAAATGCTGCGGCTACCACGACGGGTGGCGAGAACGGTGCACTCGCGCAGCATTTCCTGGACCTGCTGCTGGACAATCAGTTCAATGAGGGTCGTCGTCTCAGCAGATGGTTCGGCCGTCTCGCCAGAGACGAACATCATCTGCTGGATCTCAGTCCGGTACTTGACACTTTTGTCCGTCATGATGGCTACAGTCCGGTCACGCGTCTGGTGCGGTGAGTGAAGGTAGGAGAGATGGATCGCGAGGAGACGTGGAGTTGGGGTGGGACCGACGTTGGTCCGAGCGTGACCAGCGTGCCGGGTCAGCAGCAGAATGACAAGCAATTTTGTCGGAGCTGCACTTATGTATACCTATGTAATGAGAAGTCAGGAGTCTAACGGAGAAGGCGAAGCTACGGAGCTTCCGAGTCTTGTGGTGCAGTTACGTAGGGCGCTGCGCTGAGACTCGGTTCAGGGAAGAACGCTCTACTACTATATTCCTCAAAAAAAAAAGTAAAACAACATGGATAGTTGAAGCTGGCGTCCGGACGAGAATGCCGAATTAAAAGTCCTAAATACACGGCTTCAAGTGCCTATGACACATTCACGCTAGCCTTCGGATGCAATAGGCACCCCTCTGTAAGAGCCAAGACTTTGAGCACGGGCCTTCAGCCCTACGGGGCGATGGTGGGGTCAAGGCGATAATTTCGACGCCCGTTGCTGCTGCTCATCGATCTACACCACGTCTGAACAGCACTCCCGCAGCCATGCTCCACTTCATCGGCCTGGGTCTCGCCGACGAAAAGGACGTCACCGTCCGCGGCCTCGAGATCATCAAACGCGCCGAGCGCGTCTACCTCGAGGCGTATACCGCCGTCCTACTGGTTGACAAGGAGACATTGGTGAGTTTGCTGCCGCCAATTCCGCCCTCTAGCTCGTGGGGGCTGACGAGCATGCTGCGTGATAGTAGGAAGCATTCTATGGCCGCTCTGTCATCATCGCCGACCGCGAAATGGTCGAGTCGTCTAGCGACGACATCTTGGCCGATGCCGACAAGGTCGACGTCGCCTTTCTCGTCGTCGGTGATCCCTTCGGGTACGTTTGTTTCCTGCCTTCACCGGAACAGACGCTTGCTGACTGCTCCGAAGCGCTACCACTCACACCGACCTCGTCCTTCGCGCGCGCGAGCTCAACATCCCCACCAACACGGTGCCGAACGCCAGCATCCTGACCGGTGTCGGCTGCACCGGTCTGCAGCTGTACAACTTCGGCCAGACCATCAGCATGGTATTCTTCACCGACAATTGGCGCCCCGCCTCCTGGTACGACAAGATCCTCGAGAACGACGCCATCGGCCTGCACACCCTCGTTCTGTTGGACATCAAGGTCAAGGAGCCGAATCTGGAGGCTCTGGCTCGCGGCAAGATCATCTACGAGCCGCCGAGGTTCATGTCCGTCGCCCAGTGCGCACAGCAGATGATTGAGATCGAAGAGGAGAAGGGCAACGGCATCTGCGGAAAGGACGCCCTTGCAGTTGGTGTCGCCCGCGTCGGTGCTCCCGACCAGACGATCGTGGCGGGCACGCTCGAGCAGCTCAGCCAGTCTGATCTCGGCAAACCCCTCCACAGCCTGGTCCTGATTGGCAAGAACACGCACGACTTGGAGAGAGACTATCTCAGGGCATACGCCGTGGACCCGCAGACATTTGATGATGCGTGGGCAAAGAAGAATGAGCGTAAATGAGTTGGCAAGGATTTTTCAAATAGCGAGGTTCGAAGCAGCCCGCCGAAAAGTGTAGGCAATCGCCCAATTCGGTCTGCAAGGACGCCTGAGATAAACAGGAACGACAGCGGGTCAAATGGAAAGGAAAATACATTACAATGCGGCCTGGCTGAGCCGCATACTTCACGTTCTGTCCAACTACACTGAAACACCCATCTAACCAGAGCTATTCCGTGCAAGATTCGGTGACATCATGCTGCAGAGTCTACATGGCCCCTGGTCACATTTTCCCGTCTTCGATCGCCGAGCAACGACGAAGTGTGAGCATGCGGGGCTGGGAAAGTCGTAGGATGCCTTTACCCATGTCCAAATTCGCAATCGCCGTTAAGAAGGCAATTGGTAAGCTGCCGCGCGTGACAATGAGCGAGATCCAACGGCTCGGGAGAAGCCTTTCCGCTAGTCCCGGAAAGAAGCCAAGATGGCTGTGATGGACGTAGCCTCCCTTGACCCCGCATAAGCCGTTTGGTAGCCAGTAATTAACCCCGAGACAGGTTCCACTTTCTGTGAGGAGATATTTAAGGCCCGGGTATGTTTCATTGCGTTCTTCTCGAACCACGCACGCGATGGCGAACATACAGCAGATCCAGTCGAAAGGCATATATCACGGCCTCCCGGTCTTCTCGGATGCGGCCGATAAGAAGGACCTCACGGCCATAGTCACCGGCGCCAACGGCATCTCCGGACAGCACATGCTCCGCGTTCTCGCGCAGAGCCCGCAACGCTGGTCCAAAATATACTGTCTTTCGCGGCGGCCCCCGACGATCCCAGATGGCTTGCCGCAGGTCGAGTTCATATCTGTCGACTTTCTCAAGTCACCCGACTTCATCGCGAAGCTGCTGAAATCGCATCGCGTGCGCGCCGACTACGTCTTCTTCTACTCGTACATCCAGGTGCCGCCCAAGGACGGGCAGGGGTTGTGGTCCAACGCCGAAGAGATGGCGATCGTGAACACCGAACTACTCTCGAATTTCCTGGCGGCGCTGAGCCTGGCGGACATCAAGCCGCGCCGTGTCCTGCTCCAGACGGGAGCAAAGCACTACGGCGTGCACCTTGGCCCAGCGAAGGTGCCGCAGGAGGAGAGCGACCCACGGGTGACGATAGAGCCCAATTTCTACTACCCCCAGGAGGACTATCTGGTGGACTGGTGCGAAGAGCTGACCGGCGTCGGGTGGAATGTCATTCGTCCAAGCTTCATACTCGGTGCCGTTCCGGACGCAGCGATGAACTTGGTCTTTCCGATTGCAGCATACGCTGCTGTGTGCAAGCATCTCGGCCAAAAACTCGAGTTTCCCGGCAACCTGGAGGCTTGGGAACGCCCGCTGGATTTGAGCAGTGCCATGCTGAACGGATACCAGGCGGAGTGGGCCGTCCTGGACGATGGAGCAGCGAACGAGGCGTTCAACGCGGCGGATGGAAGCACGTTTACGTGGGGGCAGATTTGGCCGAGGCTGGCGGCACGTTACGGCGTCGAGTGGAGCGGGCCGGAGCTGGATGAGACTACGTACGAGATCATGACGATACCCAGAGATGAGACTCCTAGAGGGTGGGTGTTTACCTTTGCTTGAGACTTCGGAACGGGGCGACCGCTCATACGACTTCGTTCTCTAGTTACGGTCCACAGGCCACGATCCGACGCCGTTTCGCGTTGACGGACTGGGCAAAGAAGCTGGAAACCCAGCAGGCTTGGAAAGAGCTGGCCCAGAAGCACGACCTGCTGGACAAGGAACTGCGGGACGTTGACCGCATTTTTGCTTTTGCGGACGCCGCTCTGGCCAACGCCGTGCAGGTTGCTTTTAGGTGGGCACCCCGGTCGTTCTCCAGATTTCATTTCGCGTGCTAATAAGCTGCTCTGACAGCATGGATAAATCTCGCCGTTTCGGGTGGTTTGGCACCGTCAGCTCTTCGGATTGCATAATGGAAGTTATCGAAAACTTCGAAAAGCAGAGGATGGTACCCCCGATCCGGGGCAGCGAATCTTTGTAGGCTGGATGGGCCAACCGGTAGGTGCCGCTCTTTCTACATGGTTCGAAGCAAAATAAAATGGAAATTGAGCAAAGGATTCAGGGTCAATATGTCAATATCCGGTGAGACATGTAAAACCCCGATGGAGAAATGTGATCCAGCAATTGCGCAACGTACGGCACTCTCTTGCAGCTGACGTAGACTATTATTTTTTTTTTTTTTAGAAAAGGAGAACCAGGGTTCGTAACCTGGGAAGGAGCACGAACCCACGGGTTTGACCTATCATATCACCAGAGTCCCTTGTAATGATTTCCGCTGCAAGAGGATGCTGTACTCCCTTTCACATCCGATAGCTAGCGTGAAGTGCTTTTTCTTCGTTTCGACTACTCAATGCAACAATTGAACGAATCACAACGACGAGGTGGCTCACTTGGCTCCTACCAGTGCCTTCATGCTGGCCTCTGTACAGAGGGGTGATGCAGGCTGCCTTTGCAATATTGTCTACGCCCCGATTGGTGGGTACGTCACCGATTCCAAGGATACAGCATAACGACAAGTATAGGAATTCATGGCGCATGACGCTTTACAAGAAAATTCAGGCTCCCGTACCCGTGGCTTGGATCTAGCAATGAGCTATAACGAATCAGTGACTTCTGAAGCAGTGAATCATATGCCGCTTGTGACGTGTCTCCAAGCTCTCGGAAGCGAGGAATGCTGATTCGGAATCCATGCTGATAGGCCCGTCTCCTGAAGTTCTGATGCAAGCCGCTGAGAAAGCTGGGCTCGCAGCACGTATGGTCAATTCAGAGGTTCTGCCTAGTGTGGGCCCGAGATTGCTTGCTTGACTGAAGGCTAATGCGGTACGACCTGAACTGCGTCTGTCCCTGGGCGCAAGCACGTCAATACGCGCGTCGGACGCGAAGGGTGGGTGCTGCAGCCTACGGCGCAGGCAGAGGCACTGCTCCCCCACGCAGACAGCTGCCTGGAGCAAGTGTGCAAAGGGCCTAAGGCACGTCCTAGCGCACGTGGCACCAGAGCCCGCGTGCTTCTGGGCTGGCGATCGACGGAGGCTAGCGGCACCCTCAGCTCTCGCCGCGGCTGCTGCTGCTTGCGCCGGCGGCTGTGCAGCGCGGTCACAGCAGCACTGCTCGACGCGCAGAGAGCAAGTAGAGCGCGGGAACGTGGCGGTGTGCCGGGCGGGCAGCACTGGGTGGATGCAGCTGCGACGCACCCCTGCCCGGCTGCATGACTCGCTTCTGGCCTTCCCCAGAGAGCCTCACGCCCCCGATAACGATAGAGCTCTCAGGTCACAGCCCAGCTTCCCGTGAGACATGGCCGCCCGCCCGTCCCATGTGAGCCTCCTCGCAAGCTGCGCCTGACGCGACTACGCCCAGACCCTCGACGCGCCCGCGCTTCCGAGCTGCCGGCCGCAGCTGCACGAACCCTGGACCTCACCACCGCCCACCCGGTTCGAGGCGCCTGCCTTCCCACCATCCACAAGCCATGGCCTCCGAAGTCAACATACGGGACCGCTGGTCCCCCAGGCGCTCCCGCGTCCCCCGCAAGTCCTTCGAGATCCCCGAGCGCCTCCGCCATGGTGAGGACGAGGACGAGGACGTCACCGCGCCCAAGACCAACGACCCTCGATTCACCCACCGTTCCGTCTTCGACCTGATAACCCACGCCGGCTCTGTCGCCAACCTGCGCACCCGCTTCACCCACGACGAGCTCAGCGAAAGCGAAGAGGAAGGCGACCATGCTGCCGTGACCCAGTCCCTCGGGCCCTCAGCCATCGCCGCCGCTGCCGCTGCCCAGAGCTCGAAGCAGCCAGGAGAGAAACCCGCAAAGCATCGTCGCAGCCTTTCCAACCACAGGATAGTCCGCACCCTCCAGAAGCTCCACGTCAAGTCCTCCAAGGAGCGCGCCGACGCTCCGTCCGACGACACCATGTCCTCCTCGCAGATCCTCGCGCCCAAGCCCGCACACACGGAACAAGAAGGGACGGACCAGGCCGAAGGCCACTCCGTGCGAGGGCAGCTGAAGGCCAAGGCTGAAATGGAGGCTTCCGCCTTCGGGTCGGACCTCCGTGCAGCCCACGATGCTTTCGGCGTCGGCCATCCCCCGATCAAAGATCAGGATGACCTCTCGCAGAGACTTATGGAGATTTTCGGTTTCGAGGAGGAAGAAAAGGTTGTATCCGGTACGTGCGACTCGGCGCCCCGCCGCTCGGTGCGAGCTAACTGATGCAGAATACCCCTGCTGGTTGCTGCAGACCGTCCTCCTCCAGGGCTATCTGTACATCACTCAGAAACACATTTGCTTCTACGCCTACCTGCCCAAGAAGACGGTAGGCTCCCCGAATGACTCCACGCTCGAGTCCGGCTTCTAATGCGCAACAGAAGGAAATCACCAAGTCGGGTTATTTGTCCAAGCGGGGCCGTACCATGTGGAACCGATCGTGGTTCATCCTCAAAGGCGACGTTTTGGCGTACTACAACGACCCAACCGACCTCTACTTTCCCCGCGGCCGAATCAACCTGCGCTACGCCATTTCCGCAGTTCTGGCGGAACCAAAGGACAAGACCCGCGAGCCTACGGATCTTTCCATCACCACCAACCAAAAGACCTACGTGTTGCGGGCGGAGAGCGCCGCCAGCGCCAAGGAATGGGTCAAATTGCTGCAGAAAGTCATCTTCAAGTCCCACAACGACGGGGACAGCGTCAAGATTTCCATTCCGCTCGCCAATGTCATGGAGATCGAGGACAACCCCGTGCTAGACTATGCCGAGACTATCAAGGTCGGCGTCGTCGATAATGATGATTCGTACGCGGTCGACGAGTACTTCTTTTCATTTTTCGGGTTCGGAGAAGAAGCGATGAACCTCATGAAGGTCATGTGGGATGGCTGCAGGCGGCCCGAGACCGAGCGCCCAACGACGCCTGCGGGCGACCGACGCCTCAAGACACCCGCGAGTCCCCCGTCTCGTAAATCCGGCAGCCCGGTGCGATCGACTATCTTTCAGCCCGCTCCCGGGACGCTGTCACCGACTTCGCCGTCTTTCCGCCGACGGTCAGGCGAGTCCGCGAGATCCAGTTTCGACCGTAGACGCAGTGCCGATCGTGGACGCTCCAGCTTCGACCGGGGACGACGGAGTCTCAGCAGAGGGCAGGAACAGCCGCAAAGCGAGAGGTCGGCCATGTCCCCGGTTTCCTTGAGGATACGAGATTCTTCCGAGTCGGCCTGCCTTTCGATGGAGCCTGACACGTCGTCGTCCGCCGCCATTCAGTCGATCAACGAGACGGATGCATCCGCCAGCCAGATCTTGAGCCGCAGCGACGTCTTCCACAGACCGGCGGTGGAACTCACTGAATCGGAAGTCAATCCGAGAGCCTCCCAGGACACCGCTCGCTCGACGAAGAAACATCCTTACCCCAGGACAGAGCAGACCATCAGCACCCGGTCGCGAACACCGGTTCAAAGTTCGAGAGAGATTGGAAACGATAGCGAGTTTCAGGATGACAGACTGCAGGCTTCGGCGTCCGGTTACTATTCTGGACTCGTCAACGCTGGCGCGAAGCCGTTCACGAAGGCCTCCGGATTGGTTGGCTCTCTTCGGCGGGGAACGCTGGCCCTCGGCAGCAGGCTGACAACAGATACCATGAGCGTCTACGACAAGGTCTCAGGCATGTGGGCTGGAGGACGGAAGCACTACGGGGAGGACGGCCAGATTTTCGACGAGGAGGCGCGTGACGTCGTCGACGATTCGGACGCCGTCTCCCACAACGAGCGCTTCCGCCAGCACTTCGCCCTGCCCGACAACGAGAACTTGCGAGCAACGTTCTTTTGTAACTTGTGGAGAGTGCTTCCGCAGTATGGAAAAATCTACATGAGCGACAGGTACTTCTGTTTCAGGAGCCTCCTGCCTGGTACTCGGACCAAGGTATGCCACGCATTCACTTGTCGTGACGTCGATTTGCTAATGCGTACCTCTAGCTAGTACTGCCCCTCCGCGACATCGAGAATGTGATGAAGGAAAAAAGCTTCCGGCTGACCCACCAAGCCCTCGTTGTCGTCGTCCGTGGCCATGAAGAGCTGTTCTTCGACTTTTCGCGAGCCGACGTCAGGGATGACTGTGCAGTCACCATTCACCAAAAGCTTGAGCAGGTTCGCTACCTGCATTCCTCGGGCCTCCTCAGCGAAGAGAACCTGCTGCAGGCCGAGGAGGCAAAGGCGGAGAATGATCTGCTCCAGCACGCTCGGGACCCAGAGAAGCTGCCGGGACTGCCGGCGCGCATCGACGAGCTCGAGCAGTCCGGAGCCGCCGTCATATTCGATGACCCTCAAGCCTCCTTGGTAGACTTCACGCCGCGCGAGCCCATGAGGATCACCTGCTTGACGATCGGCTCCCGCGGGGACGTCCAACCCTACATCGCGTTGTGTAAACGGCTGATGATGGAAGGGCACAAGACGAAGATTGCGTCTCACGAGGAGTTTGGTGATTGGGTTCGCAGTCACGGCATCGAATTCGAGTCCGTGGCGGGTAACCCGGCCGAGCTCATGCAGCTTTGCGTCGAGTCCGGCATGTTCACCGCCACCTTTCTGGCGAAGGCGCACTTCACCTTCCGCGGCTGGCTGAGCGCGCTCCTGGAGACCGCTTGGAAGGCTTGTCAGGATTCCGACGTTTTGATCGAGAGCCCCAGCACCATGGCCGGCATCCACATCGCCGAAGCGCTGGAGATCCCCTACTTCCGCGCCTTCACCATGCCCTGGACCCGGACGCGCGCCTACCCGCACGCTTTCGCCGTGCAGGAGAAAAAGATGGGCGGCACGTACAATTTCCTCAGCTACGTGCTGTTCGAAGAAGTCTTTTGGAAGGCGACCGCGAGCCAGGTAAACACGTGGAGGAAGAAGACGCTCAACCTCGCGCCGACGAGCTTGAAGAAGCTGCAGATCAACAAGATCCCCTTCATGTACAACTTCAGCCCCTCGGTCGTCGCACCGCCTCTCGACTTTAGCGACTGGGTTCGCGTCACCGGTTATTGGTTCCTAGACGAGTCCCAAAACTACAAGCCGCCAAAGGATCTCCTCGACTTCATCGACCGGGCTCGCTGCGACGGGAAGAAGCTCGTGTACATCGGCTTCGGCTCGATCGTCGTTGAAGACCCCAAAGCGATGGAAAAGTCCATCATCGAAGCTGTGCTGAAGGCGGACGTCCGTTGCATCCTGTCCAAGGGTTGGTCTGACCGGTTGGGCAAGGATGAGAAACCCAAGGTGGAGGTGCCTCTTCCCCCAGAGGTCCACCAGATCAATTCCGCTCCGCACGACTGGCTCTTCAAGCAGATCGACGCAGCCGCGCACCACGGAGGTGCCGGCACCACCGGCGCCTCTCTCCGCGCCGGCATCCCGACAATCATCAAGCCCTTCTTTGGGGATCAGTACTTCTTCGCATCTCGAGTCGAGGATCTCGGCGTCGGAGTCCACATCAAGAAGCTGAACGTCAGCGCTCTCTCCCGTGCGCTGTGGACCGCCACGCACGACGACCGCATGATCACGAGGGCGCGTTTGATCGGCGAGAGAATCCGCCAGGTAAAGTTCACTCTTGAACCTTTTTGAACCTAACTGACTCGGGTACAGGAGGATGGCGTCGGCGAAGCAGTTAAGACCATCTATCGTGACCTCGAGTACGCGAGGTCTCTCATCAAATGGCGCAACCGGCCGCTCACCGAAGACGACTTGGGCGACGACGCGGAAGAGGAGTGGACCTTTGTCGACGACGATAGCGATCCCGAAATGCGGCGCAACACGGAGCAAGGTCAAGCGGTTGCGCAGATTCAAGCTCAGCTCAAACAGTTGCGCGAAGAAAAGTTTGAGCAAGAAGGCATGGGTGCATGAGCGTTGCCCCCGGTAACATCATAAGCTACGAGTGTAGACAACTCCCCTCTATTCTCCATTCCTATAGGGTACTATGTTTTCTCCCAGTTTTGGCGTAAGCGGCATCACCTCAACTCTTTATTTTCCTTCCATTCAGGGCTCCGATGCGCTTTCGGCTTTGGTTTATTTCAGAAGGATTTGGCAGACTTATATTTGGGGGGTACGACGCTAATATGGAGAGGGGTTACAGAGTTTTTGGATTGATATGTTACATTTGCGTCCTGGGATTTTAATGGATTTGTTTGGGGGAATTGGGAGGGCAGCCAGGCGCCGCACAAGGGGATTATGACTTGATGATACACCAAACCATTGATACGCGCGTAGGATAGGGAAGTTGTCTGTGCGTTTGATTTTGATTCCTTTATCTTTGAAGACTTCTATTGTTTTCGTCGCTGGCTCAGTCATTTTGGCGCGGATGGATTTGTGAGTACGCATGCAACATCTTTAGGTAGAGTGTTGGTTTGTGAAAGATTGAATTAGAGGTTCGAGGGCGCTTGGGAAGCTTGAATGTCTGTCGAGTGCTGGGAGTCAAGTTAATATCTGTCAAGAGTTCAAGGAAACTATTCGTAATGTTGACCTGTGTTCTCAAGCTCAAGTAACGCGGCATTAAGGAAACGTTCCTAAAGACGTGCAGGATCTATAGAATTTCAAACTAACGAAAAGACAAGTTTTTTTTCCAATTTCGCACCTCAAGATATTAAAATGAAATTTTTTTATAGTAAATGTACGATCTTTTAGAAAAGATAAACTTTGACCTTTACAAGTAAATTTGATCCTCTAGATCGTGCATTTCAAGATTCTATACAAGAATTTTCATTTTATTCTAGTCCGTATTTAGAAGCTTAGTATCATGGGAATAAGATAAGCTTATTTCTATTTTCGTTGACGCTATGTGGCGCTTTGAAAGTTGTAGTTTGTTTCAGATACGACACAAGTTGATGATGTGTTGAACGCTTGCTTTTTTTTTAAAAAAAAATAAGAAATTTATTTAAAAGTTGAATTGCGTCTTAGCCGGTGTTTAGGTATTTAAGTCCGATGAGTTGAGTTTTATTTTTTTCTTTGACCCATACAAAATATACACTGCCAGGTGGCTGACTACGGCAAACAGCAAAGGGCGGAAAGAGGGGAACGTCATATTAATTTTGCTTCTCTTCGGTAAACGACTTCCGCTCTTCGTTCTCCGGTGCCGACGATAAGACGAGTGAGGCTTGTCCATACGGGAAGAGCCGGTGGCATTGAGTTCAGCTGTATGCATGGTGTAAGAGATACGGGGACGGGAGCGGAGGATCAATAAATTGAGACAGAGCAACGAAAGGCCGAGGGCAAGAATACCGCGGTGCTGGCACGTCAGCCCGTGTGTGCATGATCTGAGTAATGATGATGTGTGCGCGTTGGACTCCGATAGGAGTGACGGAAACCGACTCGAGAAAGAGGCGGAGAATCCGGGGTAGCGGTACAGATGGGCAGGCTGGCGTGAATTTGTCATTCGCCCACGACATGGGCAATTGTCCGGTCGATAGCTTCTACTGCTTATACGCCGTGTCTCGTAAAGAAATTGCTGGGGCATCGTTACGAGGGGGGGCCTCGGCGGCAATGCCCCTCTGAAGGCAGTCGCTCGGGGCTTTTGTTGAGACTTGCGGAGAGTTGTGCGTGGGAGCGGCGTGCTGACGTCGGGACACACTCCGGACCACGACTTCCTTCGGCTCCCCATTTGGGACAGAAACAATCATTCAGCCCGGAGAGTATTCTAAACATGGCGCCATTGCGGGTTCACCCGTCCAACCTTTCTGCACTCCACTGTTGACCAAGCGAGGGTGCTCACATGCGACAAGCTTTCGCGCCGCAACGGCCAGAAAAAATGTCGATAGGCAGTCGGAAACCTCCAGAACCCCCGCAATCCTTTTCCGATCCCTAAAACACCCGACCGGTGAAACGGTTGTCGCCTTCTGACTTGGCCAAAGACAGCAAAGCCTCCCGCCCCCCGACCCATGTTCCCTTTTCATTTTTTCTTTGGTCGCTCTACATGCTTTCTTCGGCAAAACCACCAAGGGGGCAACGAATCATCTTCATGGCGTATGTAATTTGGGTTCCACTTTGAGTCAACGATTGCGGAGCCCCCATCCCACTTGGTGAGGTACTTTCGGTGCCCCTGCGGCGGGCCACATCGTCAACCCGACATTTTTCTCCTCGCCGTCCTTTGGGCACCTCGTCTGGCCATGTCCTGCCCTTTTTCGCTCTTCGCACATGAAATGCAAAAGCGGAGCGAATGTACACACGCAGCGCGCCCGAGGTTATCACATCCGGCGCCCCAAATTTCCCCGCAAAGCTGCTCCCCTCAACACCAACAAAAGCAGACGTCGCTGCGGGGAAGTGGCAGAGTTCTGGACCCCGAATCGAATAAATTTGATGGTGGAGATGATGCCTCACTGCGGGGCTGTGGGGTGGGGAATGTTTCTTTGGGCACAGAAAACATGTCCGTGTGTTCACGAGCGTGGCGGCCTGTTACGGATCGGCGGTTGCGATATCGGACCTGTACCATTTATTACCAATTTGGGACTACTTTTGGCTGTCGCGCGTGGGGGAGCGCCTGTCCAACCCGCGCTCCTTGACCAGACTGACTCTGAAAATGCTGTCGTCCGAGAATGTGCATGGCACCCGCCGTCGAACGTTCGTGTGTGTACGCCAGACTAATCCGCTCCGACGCGCACACCAAACTACCAATCACCTCCCGGTCATTGCATCATGTTTCTCGTGTGCGTATCAAAGATCTCGTTCCGCCATCCGTCCTCTCTGTACTCGTCGATTCTCTCGGCAGCCTGGGCAGCCTCTTCCTCCCAGAGCTTGACCACGCTCCCCGGCGCGTAGACACCCTTGAAGATGCCCTTGCCCGGCTCCGCCACGCCGACGCGCGTGTACATGTCAGGGTCCTCCTCCGGGGTCAGCCTTGCAGCAACGGCCTTGAAGAACGTGCGCAGATCCTCCGGACTGGAGATCTGCGTGGCGCGGAGGCGTTCGCGCGCAAAGACCACTTCACGGTTAGCTGCATGCAGCGCGTCGGCAATGGCGTTAGCGAGCTGCTTTTCAACCGCCTTGCGGATGATTGGGCGGAGCAGGGGTTTGAAGAGCCAGCCGAAAATGGAAAGCTTGCTTTTGCGTAGCGTGTAGTTGAGCTTGTGGATGTGGACACGGACGGCTTTGAGGGAGAGGATCTTCTCGAGACGATCACGCCCGACTTCAATGTCCATGTGGACGTCAAGGCCGCGCTCGTCGAGTGCGAAAGACGCGATGCCGGCGTCGGCAAGGCGGAATATGCCCGAGTGGGCACGCAGCCAGAAGCCTACTTCATCAGCCCGCACCGAGAGTCCGTCTATCTTGACGGTGACTTGAGAAGACACCGACGACGTCGTTCGGAAGCGAGCCTTGCGAATCTCAAGGTCGTTGTACGTCTCCACCCGAAACTTGTAGGGGAAAAACGACGTGTGGTTGACCGTCTTTCCCGGTTCCACGATCAAGTTCTCCAGCAGCAAATCTATCTCGGGAGTGGAAACCTCCAGCCGCGGGATCGGCACGTACTGCACCGCCTGGACGAGCAGAGGCACGAAAACGTTGATGGAATCTGCCACCAGCTCCCCGTTGGTGTACTGGTACTTTGGAGAGAGTATGTGGACAATCTGCATGGACGTCCGGACGAGCTTGGCGATATCCTCATCGTGCGAGACGGCCTCGAGGGTGGCTTGGGCCTGGCCGAGGAAATCATCCACGTCTTTGCGCAAGGACGAGTCGGTGCCGACGCCACGAGCCTTCTTCCGAAGGGCCTGGAACTTTTCGTCTGCGTGTTCCAAGAATTCAGGGTCGGTCAGCAGCTTCTGAAGAGAATTTCCCATGTCAAGCATCAGATCTTCAAACTCCGGATCGTTCTTGCTGTGTTCCATGACTTTTTGGAACTTGTCTTCCAAGTCTTCCCAGGCTTTCCTGTCTCCAAAGGAGGTCAGGAATAGCCAAAAGTTCTTGATTGCGCGGTCCATGGCGTCATTTTCATGTAAGTCATCCTGAGCGATGTTCACGGTTTCTTGCACAGCACGAGAGTACACCATTGCATAGCGCTGGACCAGCAGCGAGAGCGTCGACACCGAGTCGGAATAGTCATTCCGTTTTCTCAGCTTCAGCACCGCTTGCTTCAGGCGGTAGAGCAGCGTGTCCTTTTCTTCGCCGCCGACGTGGTCGGCGAGGCTGTGCCCCGCTTCTTTGGCCACCTGGGTAGCACCGTTGCCGACAACCTTGGAGAAGTCGGCAACATCTTGCTCGAGCTCTTGCTCGGTGGGCGCAGGGCCGGCATCGGCACCCGGCTCCTTCAAGGACAGTTGCTCCTGCTCCGAAGGCGCAAGCTTCTTCCCTGCCTCCTCTGCTACATCGGACAGCTTGAACGCCGTGTCCTTGAACACTTCGCGTCCGATGACATTGATGTCAGAGAGGAAGAGGCGGAAGTCCGAGTTCGTGAGCAGCAGCGAGCCGACAGTTTGAAGGCTCCTGTAGGCTAGGTGACGGGTTCAGCTGCTGCGCCAGTCGCGCGGGGAGCGAAGACTTACCTGCGGCCGTGTTCGCCTGGGACTTGGCCTTGCTTGCCCTGGAAGCGATGTCGTCGACGTCGACCGAGATCTTGGACTTGGACAGGAACCAGATGAAGTCCTGAATCTGATCGCTGGCGTTTTTATGCTGCAGCAGTTCGAGGAATTCGGTGAGCCATTGCTTCGTGAACTTAACCAGAAGACGGCCAGAGTTGCTCAGATCGTGCTCGCCCGGGTTGAGGACGTCGGAAGCCAGCAGGGTGCGGATGTTGACGATGAGCTGCTCGTTCGAGGGCATGTACCCTTTCGAGAGGGCCCTTATCATCTGATATGAATGCAGCTTCTGGTGCAGCTCCCTCTGCAGGACCGTGTCGTCGCGGTACCGAGGCAGCAGCGGCTGGCGCTCGTCGGCGCTCGACCTGCGGAAACCGAAGCAGGACAGCATTCTGGCGGTGTTGTTGCGGACAGAGGGCGTTGGGGCATGGCGGTGGAGTTGGCGTGGAGCTGGCGTTTGCGGAAGGCGCCAAGGCAAGCTTCGTCGCGTCGTTGTGACGGAAGGAGGTCTAGGTCTGGGTCTGGGCGGTTGACATCATCTGCGGCTGGTGTGTGTGGCTGGTGATGGTGACGGCGCAGCTTGGCGGCCGATCTCATCAGCATCTGCTGGATTTTGCGGGGAGCGCTACGACCCGCAGCTCCAGCCCAGAGCCCGGCGCCCGGGCGACGCATCGATTCATGGCGGCGGCGCGTCGACCTGCTGCTTCCTTCCCCACGACATTGCAAGGACCATCCGCATAGCGCTGCCACGCGGGAGGAGGCGAGGCTCCCGTCTGGACGCGTTTGACCTGAATCATGCCTGTCATCCACGTCAATGCGCCGACTGCCGTCCGTACAATCAATCGACCGCGGCGCATGTACAGACCGGCGCATCGCCCCTACAGACCGCGGCGCATCGAACACCCCCTCAGTCTGGTCTCTGCGACAGTCCGATGCTCGCCCGCTGCTCTCCTACCTGCGCGCTCAGGGATGCGCTGCCCACCACGGCTATTGGCTCGCGCGCGCGTGCTCGTTTTCCGCTTTGGGCCTGCGGACTGCACTCCTTGAACGCTCCTGATGACGAGGTATTTTTTTGCCTGCCATCGCGCCGTGTTGCGGCGGAGCGCACATTTGATCGGCCTGGCCGTTTGCGATCCGTTTCTTTTTTTGCAACGAAAAAAAGTCGCAATATTCCGAAGGGGTGCCGCGTGTTGGGCGCTTGCTGAGCATCTCATCATGCCTGATGGCCAGCCCCTGTCAGCGCCGGGGGCTCAGGGCGGCAGGGCGGCGGCGCCGCGAACCTTCGCTCAACGCATTCCACACGCGTCAATTAGTTTGTGGCGCTGCTACATCGGCCGCCCTCACGCGCCCCGAGCATGACGGGCCACCAATTCCGACAGTGAGTCAACCACAGCGGTCGGCTAAAGAGTTTTCAGGGCGCCGGCGCGATTGCCAGGCCCACAGCCCACATCTCCACGAAAACTTCGGGCACGACGTGCCGTTGCTTGCGCTTCGTCTCGCTGCCAAGGAGCGGAGGAGTGGAGTCGGCGACGGGCAGCGAAAGGCGGCGTCGGAGCATGTCGGAAACGCAGGCGGCGCTTGGGGCCTGCAGACGGCCCCGGCTTCCACGCGCAACCAGACCTGCGGCCCGCACCCTGGCCACAAGCTGAAGCTCACGAAATGCGGGCTGCAATTGTGAGACGGCCTGCCCAACAGCTCAAATTGCTGATTCGCACACGCGATTTCGCCCGGCCAGCCCTGCTCGCGGACGGCTCCCCTCATCCAAGCTCTGAGGCGGCCCGTGTCGGACTGCCGCTGTCTTGGGCAACCTCTTCCGCACCATCTCGCGCTTCCTTTCGCATACCCACCGGCAGTTGCGTGACTGCTGGTCCCTCCGTTGCCTCCTGATGCTTCCCTCCGCGCTTTTTAAATCCCGCCTGCTGCCCTCCAGAGCAATGGCGACCAAGTTCTCCATTCCCTCCCGTTCTCGTGCAATGGCTTCCACCATGGCTGCTGTCCAAGACTACCCCTCCGCCAACGTCAAGCAGGCGCAACACAGCCTGCCCACCCGCCACCTCACCACGACGTGCGCTTGCTCCCCGCCTCTGTCGTGCCTCTCAGAACTGACCTGTGCTAAAGGAGCGGCGACTACGACACCTCGTACCCGCCGGAGGCCCGCCGCTACCTCCGTACCTACGGCCTCACTCCCCCGGCCCGTGAGACATACGAGATCCAGGCGCAAAGATGTAAGACGCTCCCCAATTGCTCTCCTGACCCGTCCGAGCACCGCAAATTAATCGCGCCGCAGGTCTGAGGCTGCTCGCTTCCAAGCACGCGCCGATTGACAAGTACCAATACCTGACTCATCTCCGCGCAACCAACGCCCACCTCTTCTACCGCCTCCTCTCCGAGAACATCAAGGTTCGTGGCATTGTGCAGTCTGCACGTCTGGAGACTCACACAGTTCACAGGACCTCACTCCCTTGATCTACACTCCCACCGTCGGCGAGGCCTGTCTCAAATGGCACGAAATCTACACCCAGCCCGAGGGCATGTACCTCTCCTACGCGGACCGCGGCAACCTGCACAACATCTTGCAGAACTGGCCCCACAACGTTGAGATTACCGTCCTCACCGACGGCTCGAGGATATTGGGTCTCGGCGACCTTGGTGTGAACGGCATGGGCATTCCCGTCGGCAAGCTCGCGCTGTACACCGCGTGCGCCGGCATCAGGCCCGACGCCACCCTGCCGCTCACCCTGGACCTCGGTACCAACAACAAGGCCCTGAGGGAAGACCCGCTCTACATGGGCAGCAGGAGGGAGAAGATCACTCCCGAGGAGGAGCGGGAGTTCTTGGACGAGCTCATGGCTGCTCTTACCGAGAGGTGGCCTGGGTACGTACAGATCTGAACTCGCAGGCTGGTCCGGAAGCTAACGGCGTGCAGCATCGTCATCCAGTTTGAGGATTTCAAGAACCCCTTCCCCGCTCTCGAGCGCTACCAGAACACCTACACCATGTTCAACGACGACGTCCAGGGAACCGGCGCCGTCATCGTGGGTGGTTTCATCAACGCCGTCAAGGCCGCCGGAATCCCCGTCAAGGACCACCGCGCCATCTTCCTCGGCGCCGGCAGCGCCGGTACCGGCGTCGCCAAGCAGATCGTCGAGTTCTTCATCAAGGAGGGCTTGACCGAGGACGAGGCGCGCAGGAAGTTCTGGTTCGTCGACTCGAACGTAAGTCAACAGCAAACGGCCCCGCAGCTGCACGCGAACTGACCGACGACAGGGTCTCGTCACCAACGACCGCGGCGACAAGCTGGCGGAGCACAAGGTCTACTTCGCCCGTGACGACAACGACGGCAAGCAGATCCACTCGCTCTCCCGTCTGATCGAGTATGTCAAGCCGACCATCCTCATGGGTCTGTCGACCATCGGCGGTGCTTTCACCAAGGAGATCATCACCCGCATGGCCGAGCTCAACAAGCACCCCATCATCTTCCCGCTCTCCAACCCCTCTTCCAAGTCCGAGTGCAACTTCGAGGACGCCGTCAAGTACACCGACGGCCGTGTCCTCTTTGCCAGCGGCAGTCCTTTCCCCAGCGTCGATTTCGGCGGCAAGTCGCTCGTTCCCGGCCAGGGCAACAACATGTACGTCTTCCCCGGTATCGGTCTCGGTGCGATCCTGTCCAAGGCCGTCAACGTCACCCAAGACATGATCTACGAGTCCGCCGTCGCCCTTTCGGAGTCCCTCACTCCCGAGGAGAGGGAACAGGGCTGGCTCTACCCCGACATCCGCCGCATTCGTGAGGTCAGCGTCGTCGTCACTCGCGGTGTCATCCGTGCTGCGCAAGCCAACGGCGTCGACCGCGAGCTTGCTCTCCGCAACTTGGATGATGCGGCGTTGGAGACGTACATCAAGGAGAGGATGTACGACCCGTTCCACGAGGTCGACAGGGTGGAAGAGGAGATCAAGGCGCTGGCGCACTTGGCCGAGAGGACGCATGGCAGCCACTTGTAAACTGGGATTTGTACGGGATGGGCAAAAGGTTTTACAGTTGGGAGCGTGCTTAGACGGTTCAGGATACCCGGTGGTTAGAGAAAATTAATTTGAGCGTATATGTTTTGGGTTTTGATCACACTATTGGAAATCGAACCGCGCGCAAACGGAAAGCAGCCAGGTCTATCGGACCGCTAGATAGCCTGAATACAGTCACTATGGAAATCACTCCAAATACTTTTGGCTGTACCACCCAAGCTCAGGGAGCATTCATGTGTGAGCGAGTTCTTTGCATGTTAATCATGTGTTTGGGCACTTTCAAACACGTCTCGGACGAAAGCGGAAGCTAGTTGGATTTACAACTGTTGAAAATTATTAACATGACACGAGGCGCTTAAGCTTCACCAACAAGCCTTGGGGCGGGCATCTAAACATTGTAGCAAAGTAACGTTCTACTGCAGTTCATGACGACGCGTTCCCCACCACCATCTCAACAACCGCGGGCGCAAGTCGACTGGTCAGTCGGGGCAATATAGATAAGCACGAAGTGCCAGAAAAGGTAGGACTATCGCGAAGCTAAGAAGCGGGGAAACCCCGCGTCTCAACGACCCAGAGACTCGGCGATCTTGATGCCCTCTCCACGCACGAGAATGGCGGGTGCAGGCCGGGACGTAAGGGACAAAGATCTGACGGCGTCGAAAAGATTAAAAAAAGGAACAGAGAGAAAGCTTAATCGCAACGCTCGGGTTCCTAAACCTCCCGGCAAGGCCACCGACAGTATTGAACCACCCGACGCCCCGAGCGGAGAAAGGAATACGCCATCGTCTTGATCGAGCTCGAGAGCCAGTCAGTGTTGCCTCGCCCTTGCCTTTGGCTTTGCTTTTCTCCTGCCTGCCTTGTTCGTCGTGTCTTTGTTTTGCCTCAGCAATTCTTTGCAAGGAATACATGTACGTGTTGTTAATTCGACGTTTGCGTTGCTTCTTCAATAACGAGCGAAAAACACATGCTACATCAGTGACGTATTCTCTGCGCTTCACCTTTGAGCCGAGACATCGACAACGAGACAGGGGCTCACAGTCGTGCGGTCAGCCGTCGACTTCCGTATAGGTGCGTGACCTCACTGTCTGATAAATCCCCAGGGCCTCGATCGCACGGGCTGCAGCGGCCGGACCAATGGTCAGCGAGACATAGAAAGACAAGCCTCAGGCCGGACGTGCGGGCGGGGAGGGGCGTCGGATCATCCGCTGCACTTGCCTGATGTGTACCTTAGCTTGACCCCAGACTCTTCGGCCCTGCCCATCAATCCCCGCAAAAAGAAAGGAATTGACCTGCAGCGTTACGACAGCTCTGGTGTTTTTCGAGCTCTGCGCTGTTCCGCCCGCTGGCCAGCCCGCACTCGTCTGTCATCAGCGACGCTACTACTGACGCACGAAGCTAAAGACGCTCGGCATCCTTCCTGAGCGCCAGCGACAATCCCACCAGATCCGAGCGATCACCCCGCACTTTCTCCGCAACCCGCTACATTCGTGCCTCCGCAGCACGCCCCGGTCGCCTGCCGTCGCAGCTGCTGCTTTAGCCACCTGTCATGCTTGATCTCTGACTTCATAAGAGTTTGACTCTGCTTGCGTCGTTTCCCCTCAGCACCTCCGACCTACTTTTCCCACCCCATTTCTTTTCTTTCCTTGACCACCCCGCCGTGCCGTGTCTCGTGAAAGTCCGTCTACCCAAGATTTCCTCTAGTGATCCTGCGTCTTTGATTTAGATCATTGCCCAGATACCCGTCCTTTTTGTTGTTCTTCATTTGCGCCATCACAGCAAAGAACGAGCTCTAGACGATACAACTCCTTAGAGCATCCCTCCGACCGCGCTCCCGTTTTGACCGAATCGAAGGATAATTAGGATTCCTACGCGGAGCAACAACAGCGTTACGCGCGCTCGCGCTCGACGGTTTCCCGAACCCCGCTTTTCGGCCTGCATCTTCTCCACCAACAGTTCGCTAGGGACGAGTGACCAAAGCGCGCAAAACCATGAACGGCGACGCAATGGGCGAGTCGCGTCTGTCACTGCTGGGCCTGCCTGCCGAGATTCGCAATCTCATCTGGGAATACACCTTCCCTCCGCCGAATTCGCGATACACGACGCTCTCGTCCGCCCGGAGCAGCAGGGCTCAATCGCGGAAGAGCAGAAACCCATCGCCGTCATCCTCGACGTCATCGGCCTCTTGTGCGACCTCAAGCTCAGACACGGGCTCAATCGCGATCCCCGCAGACGATGAACATGGCTCCGTCAGCGTCGTCGGCAGCGGCAAGCAGGACGCGGCGCGCGCCGCGGCGTTGGGCACGTACCCGAGCCTGGCTCTGCTGTTGACCTGCCGTCAGATCCGCGCGGAGACATTGCTGCTGGCGTTTTCACGCACGCCGTTCCGCACGAAGCTGTGCCGGCCGGCGGCGCTGACGACACGGCTGGCGGTGCTGTCACCGGCGCAGGTGCGGGCCATCCGCTCGCTCACCTTCACGGCGAGCGCGGCGTGGTCGCAGCACCCCAAGCAGTGGGAAGGCGACCTACGGCCGGTGCTGTTCCCCGTCTACGTCCAGTGCCGCAAGCTGCTGTACGAGTCCGTGCGGCTGCTGCCCGGCGTGCGCTTCGTCGACTTTGTGCTCGGCGAGGAGCGAGCCGGCCAGTTTGGCAAAGGTGGACCGGGTGGGACAATCGGGAGAGGTAGGACGGTGGGTGGGCCCAAGTTCTTCTTCGACACGGTGGTGGGGATTGGGCTGCGAGAGAGGAACGATAGGGGTGAGACACACGCATGGGGTGACCGGTGGCAGGTGATACCGGGATCGGAAGGAGAGGACAGGTGCATCTGGTTGGTGGAGGACAGGCAGGGCTGCGGTGAGGAAAGGAGGCTGACCGAAAGGGACGAGGCCAAGAGGTGGGTTAGGGTTGAGATCGTGAGACTGCCGCTTGGTGGTTGACGCCCGGGCCCGTCATCGCTCCTGCAGGGTCTCGCCGCCGTGGCGTGTACCACAGGGCTCGGAAATTGGACATGAGTATAGCTGCTCCGGCAACGGCGTCTCCTGTCCGGAATGAGTCTCTCGTGCGGCTGCGCGTGGCGAGACTGAGATGGGAAGCCGGTTTGCTGGACCGACGCCGCGAAGCTGGTTCGTCGGCGCCGGGTACACGTACGCGGTGTTATCGGGGCGAAGCGGACATTACTCTTTCTTGTTTCCTCACGAGTGCGATGGATCTCCTGTTCCTCTGGGAAATTCTGGGTCCTGGGATGCTTTTGCGCAATCGGCAGGATGATCCTCTTTTTCTTCGCACGCCCAGCCAGGGTGTTTGGATGCCCGTCGGATTCCGTTTCATTTTCGTGGGGAGGATTCGTTCACTTTTTTTTTTTCTTGCGTGGTGTTTCAGCAGTGGGTGGCTTGACGTGAGGGTCGCTCGAGTCTCAGGAGAGTTGTCGGCGGCAATCTGCAATGACGCAAGGAGGCGGCTGCAGGCCGTGCGGCACGATCGATCTTTTCTTCTAGACGAGTTCTTCGAGAAAGGCGACGCTGGCCGCGGATAAAAGCCCACGCCGTCGGTACGAACAATTGAAGCTTTCTGCGAGCCGTCAGCACGTGTGGTTAGTGATAGTAACGGACGGTCTGAGTATGCCACGCCACGCGCGTTCGCTGCGGCGTATGTCGGCGTGCTGGAGTGAATGGACGGCACACGCAGCGTGTTCTCCCAGCCGCCATGACGGCAACCGTGATGGTGTTGTGTGGTCGAGGCCAACGCCTTGGCGAGAGCAGCACATGATGGTGGCAGCCATCTGGCACCCTGCCTCCGGCAACCTTAAGCTGAGACGCTGCACACGCGCCCTGCGCTCGGGTCGGCTGCAGTCCGCTTCGAGCAGCCACGGCACGACGGAAAGGGGAGGACGGCGCATTCTGACCCTTCCAGCGCAGCGTGGGCACGGCGGGAGGATGGCCAGGCTTCCCCGCAAAACCGGATCGCGCGCGCACCAAACGGGCTATGAGGTAACTCGGCGTCCCTGGCTAGCCCGGGCTGTGCAAGTGTGCTCGCCGCCCGATGACGGGCACGTGTGACATGGCACCCGCGCGACGGCCCACGGCACCTCGAGAGCACCGGTCGGTGCGAGTCTGGGCGGGCGCGCGAACAGCAGCTGCGTCTGGGGAGTGTGGAGGATCCGCCGGCTGATCAAAAAGATCGGGCGCGTCGGGCGTGGCGCGCCGAGCGACTAGTCGTGGCCGCCAGGGTCGCGTTCCAAGTCCGGTTCGGGCGGCAGCGACTTGTGTCGCCCAGACCCCTGCTGCTTGGACCTGGATCGTCCGGACGCTCAGATGACGGGGCTGGATTGAGAGTGCTGCTCTACTGCTGCTGTGCCCTCATGGACTCCCGCTATGCCCAACTCCAAACACACGGGCTCCCCCATCCCCCAGACATCGCTCTCGCCGCCCCCGTCGGCCACCGCATCCGCCATTCCGCTGGCCACCTTCGCTTCACCGCAAGATCCGCCGCCCCTGGCCCATAGCCCCCAGCAGCTCCTCCACCACGACCGCCCGCTACCCTCTCCGCACCGCTCCGGCGCCTTCACCATGGAGGGTTCGTCGTCGAACCACTCCCGCCGCCGGAGCACCTCGCTCATCGGCACCCAGGCTCTGGGAATCGGCCGCTCCAACTCGCTGCGCTCCCAGCGCGGCCACCGGCGAGCCGTGTCCGAGCACATCCCTGAGGCCGCCGAGGACAAGCGCGAGCTCGATCCCGACCGCGACTCCAGCAGCCCCTCTGGCTACGAGGACACCGATGACGACGACATCACCGACGAGGAGGCCGCCCTCACCGGCAAGGACCGCCGGAGGCGCAGGAAGCGCAAGCGCCGCAACACCCAGCTTGACAACCGCATAGCCTCCGAAGTCACCATTTCCGAAGAGGAGGAGAAGGTCGCGACCGCCGCCCTGGTGAAATCGTCGCTCATCAACGTCTGCCTGATCGGCCTATGGTACGGCGTCCAACCCGCCTCGTAATTTTTTTCCCTGGAGCTTTACTGACTGCTCGCGTGCAGGTACCTCTTTTCCATATCTATCTCAATCGTGAGCCCCCCTTTCCTGGCTTTCCTTCAAAACCGCAGAGCTCTGACAACCGTGTCCAGTACAACAAGTGGATGTTCGCAAAAAGCGATGACAAAAATCAAAATCTCAACTTCCCCTTTCCGCTCTTTACAACGTGTCTGCACATGATCGTGCAGTTCACGCTCGCATCTCTCGTTCTCTACTTTCTTCCCCAATTCCGTCCGCGGCACGACTCTATAAGCGCACACGATGGACCTGCGGGCCGTTCGCCGCCGCAACGGCAAGATAACGTGGATCCGAATAAGCCGCTTATGACCAAATGGTTCTACCTGAGCAGGATCGGGCCGTGCGGCGCCGCCACGGGCTTGGACATTGGTTTGGGCAACATGAGTCTCAAGTTCATCTCACTCACATTTTTCAGTAAGCTTCCTTCCGGTCCTGTGATTTTGAGCTCGTGCTAATGAACTTTTAGCAATGTGCAAGTCGTCGGTGCTTGGCTTCGTGCTCATTTTTGCTTTCCTCTTCCGGCTGGAGAAGCCCTCGTGGAAGCTGGGAGCCATCATTCTCACAATGACAATCGGAGTGGTCATGATGGTCGCCGGAGAGACTGCTTTCAATGCTCTCGGCTTCATCCTAATCATGTCGTCCGCCCTTTCGTCCGGATTCCGGTGGTCGCTGACTCAGATTCTGCTCCTTCGGAACCCCGCGACGTCCAATCCTTTCTCTTCGATCTTCTTCCTTGCCCCTGTCATGTTCATCAGCCTTCTCGTAATCGCTATCCCCGTCGAAGGATTCCTCGAGCTGTTGGACGGCTTCAACAAACTCCGGGAAATCAAGGGCACGATTATGAGCTGCCTGATCTTAATCTTCCCCGGAACACTCGCTTTCCTCATGACGGCTTCTGAGTTCGCTCTGCTGAAGCGCACTAGCGTCGTCACTCTCAGCGTTTGTGGTATTTTTAAGGAAATTGTCACTATCACTGCGGCGTCCATCGTCTTTGACGACAGGCTCACCACCATCAACTTGTCGGGTCTCATCGTCACGATCGGCAGTATCGCGGCGTATAACTGGATGAAGTTCAAGCGGATGCGGGAGGAGGCAAGGATGGAAGCGCACCTGCAAAAGGAGGACTACCAGCCCGTGTTGAATTCGGAGCCTACGGATGATGAACGGGCGGGACGCCCCAGCACTAGCAACCTGATCCGGAATAGCCTGAGCATCCAGCCCGTCTCAGACCGGGATCGACTCCTGGTCAACGACATGCCGCCACGGCAAAGCCCTGTCAAACGACCAGAAGATTTGGATTAAAGCAACAAAGGGGTAATCACGGCGCACTTTGACGATCAACTGGCTTCTTTTGGAGATTCGATACGGATGGCTAAATTCTTTCGCTTGCACGAATGTCTTTTTACACCTTTCGTTTCACGAGACAAGGACGACCCCTCATCGACATTATCATCACCACTCTTAGGGGAAGCGAATCATTCCTCTTTTACTGTGTATTTGGATTCGGTCAACGGTTTTTTTTTCTGTTTTTTTTTTTCGTGGGGTTCGTATGAGCATTTACGGCGGCACAATCAATTCACCCATAGTGTTGATAGACACTGGAAGGAACGGCAAGGCTCCTATCCATTGCAAGAGTTTCATCTCTTTTGTTCACACGGAGAGATTGGGTTTGGAGGACAGTAAAGAATGGAGAGGAAACGAAATAAATACCATGATGGGAGGAGAGCGCGTCGGAAAAAGAGAAAAGAAATGAAAATCAAGCAACTCTGCCCATGCCATTGTCATCTTTTGTATGAGTTTTGACTTTTAGTTTACTCGTTTCAGCTTATCGCAATTCGTGGCTGCGAGATTGATTCATGCATCTGCATGAAAGATCCATTACTGACTTTTTCAGCATACTTGTCATTGATGATGAGATTGCTGTCTGGTATTGATTGTCGAGGGCGGTGATGCATTACTTGCGGTCTACATTTGACATCCTTTTCCTCGCTTGAAGCTTTGCACTTCTAACGTTCCGCGTTCTGTGACAGAGGAAGGAATGGTGCATTATGGGAATCTAGCCATGAGCTCGTATTCTGATACCCTCGCTGAATAAAATGAATGCATTTGCGTATATATATGGGCGTTGAGGCCGTTGGCTGGCTTGAATTTGTAATTCGTTCGTGTCATGTTAGTCGAATCAACTATTCAAATGTAAGCGTAGTATGAGCAATTATGTATCTTCGCCCAGGCGTAGCTCTACCCCAGGTCTTAGAAAAATAACATACGTGGGTAGTTGAAGCTATCGTCCGGACGAAAATGTCGAATTAAAAATTCTACCACGTCCGGACGATAGCTTCAACTACCTACATAAGAAAAACAAATACACGCTATCCATCGGCCGCAAGAGGGGACTGTAATAAAGTATAATTTGTTTTTGAGATTTATCTCGATCTGTGGGCTTTAGGACTTCCGTCACTGATGACATCAAAGGGCCAGCTCACTTTCCGCCTTTCCTTTGTTCCATCACTCTCAACACATCCGCAGCACTGTCCTTATCCCCCTTCCTCTTCTTTGGACCCCGCTTCCTCTGCTTTCCACCCCTTTCCCTCGCGCCTTCTTCATTATCATCATCATCACCACCAGCACCCTTCCACTCGCTGAGCTTGATTTTGGTATCCTCGTCCATGTCCTCCGCATCGTCGAAGCGGCTGGATCCGAAACCCATGTCCATATCCTCCATGTCGCGGTCTTGCAAGGACAGCATTTGAGCACGCTTCTTGAGCCGCGCCTCTTCTTCCGGATCCTTTTTTGAGGTACCGTCGTTGTTGTCTTCGCCCCTGAGCCTTTCGGGGTTGATGTCACGAGCTTTTCGGATGGCAGCGAGGATGGTGGGATCTGTGAGTGGATTCGATGGCGCCTGAGCGGTGGTGGATGTGTCTTTAGAAGGTGTATCTTTGAAGTAGTTCGTTTTGGGAATCGCTGTAGGCTCTGAAGGTTTCTGTGGAGGTGGCATAGCCTTTTCAGATGTCGAAGATGGCGATTTGGCCTTTTCCTTTTCAGACGTCGAATCATCCTCATCCGACGAGTCGCCGTCACCGATGCCCGCCAGGGGGTCGTAATCATCTCCAACACCCTCGAAGATGTCGCTGTCGTCATCTTCTTCCTCGACCGGCGCCTTTGCGTATTCCGGGACCTCCATGCCCAATGGTTTCGCGTCCTTGTCCGGCATGAGCAAGCCCGAAGACGCGCTCTCCTCCGGCTCAGTATCCGCCTTGACCTTCCGGACCTTTCTCTTGACATTGCCATCCTCATCTAGGGTCAGCAGCACCTCCCTTCCCTTCTCGTCGCGTTCTATCCTCGGAAAAGTCTCGTTGTTGTGGCCTATTTTCCGGAATTTCGAGCCCAGGGTGGGTTGTGCGGCAGCTTTCGCGTCGGCGGCAGCCTTCCGTTGGGCCTTCAGCTCGGCCAGGATCTCGTTTCTCGTCCGCTTCGTTCCTGCCAGGGCAGTCTGGCCCTTCTTTTCCTTCTTCTCCCTCATCACCGGAGCGACCTCCTTCTCCTCGAGCCGCTCGAACTCATCGTCCACATCGGGCTCCGGTTCCCTCTCCACGGGCTTGCTCCCTCCACCAACGCCCAGTACATCCTCACCTCTCCGCACGCGCTCGAGCAGTTTCCGATCCAGGCCTTTGACTAGGTGGGTGGCGGTGACATCGCCGGCGGTGATCTCGTCGCGGAGCTTCTCGAAAGTTGTCTGGTCGATTTGGCCGAGCTTGAAGCTCTCCTCGAGCGCCTTGATGCGGCGGGCGCGGTCGTCGCCGGCACCAGCATCGTTGTCGTCGTCGTCGTCCTCCACACGCGCCTTGGCGCGGTCCGTGTAGCCGGCGGCGAGCCTCGAGCCCTTGGGCGCGGCGGATGACTTGAACTTCTTGACCGGTCGTTGCTCACCGGCGCGCTGCTCGGCGAGCTGCCGCTGAAAGTCGAGGCCCGGGCCACCGCCCCTCACCGTACGGCTGGGCGGGTCGTTAGCATGGCTGACAGGAGCGGCGGACGCGGCGGGCGCGGGTAGGAAGCTTACGGAGTCATGGGGATGCTGGAGCGCTGGCGCGAGCCCAGCGAGGCCCGAGCGGCAGGCGTGGCGGCAGCAGCGCGCGGGGTGGCATCCTGCGACGAGGAACTCCGTAGCAAGTTCTTGAAGTCCTGGTTGTTCATGGTTGCGGCGGAAAGTTGGGGTGGGAGCCAAGCGAGAGGGCAGTCGACGATGTCACCTCCCGCAGCCGACGTCGCACAGGCACCCACTAGCGTTAATTTGTTTCGCTCATGTTATGGGTAGGTGAAGCTACCGTCCGGACGTGTATGTAAAATTTTTAATTCGACACTCTCGTCCGGACGATAGCTTCACCTACCCATGTGCTTTTTTTTTTTGAGAGAGAAAAAAAGATGAGGCATGGTTTCCCTCGAGAATCCCGCTATTCTTCGGGCTGGCCTTCGGCTGTAGTACACATTTCCGTAACAGGTCGGTGCTCGCTCTTCCCCGCAAATTGGCAGCAGATCGGTCAGCCATTCCGCCGCCGTGGCTGACCCCGGCTTGTACCCAGGAATCCTTCCTGCGTGGCTTAAAAGGGCGACATGACCGCGCCGCAGTGCACCTCCCCCTCTTCCCCCTCGTCCCCCTTTCTCCGGAGAATTGCCATGGCCATTCTTTTGCTCCTCGTGCCGCTCCTCGCGAGCTACGTGGCTGCCCAGTACAGAGGCTCGTTCGACGGCTCCGCATCGCTGGTCCGAGCTCGGCAGGCCACAAACACCAGCGGCTCCACCTTCACCAACCCCGTTCTGGACGACGTCGGCGCCGACCCTTGGGTGTTCCGCTACAATGACTACTACTACCTCACTTACACGACCTCCTCGGATATCACGCTTCTGCGCAGTCCCGTCTTGACCGACTGGAACAATGCCGAGAGGAAGCTGTTGTACCAGCCGCCAAAGGGTACCAACTACTCGACCAATCTCTGGGCTCCTGAGCTACACAACCTCGACGGCAATTGGTATGTCATTTTTACTGCCGATCCCAACAACGACAGCCCGCCTCCGGAGGTCGACATGCTCTGCGAGTTCAACTGTCCGGCTGTATATCATCGTGTAGGTTCACTCAGTGTTGCTCAACAAGCCCTCATACTTATCACATTCAAAGATGTACGTCCTCGAGGGTCTAGGAGACGACCCCTGGGACGCCACCTTTACTTTCAAGGCCCAGCTGGATACATATGACCAGTTTGCCATAGACGGAACGTATTTTCAGCACAGTACTGGTCTGTATCACATCTATTCGTGCTGGTACCGTCAATACGACGCCTGGCCGGCCAATCTGTGCATCACCAAAATGGAAAACCCGTGGACCGTGGCGTCCAACTTCTCCGAGCGCCAGATCATCAGCGTTCCCAGCAATCCGTGGGAAAAGACGCCCTACGGCCGGCCGTTCAACGACCGGATGAGCTCGAACGAGGGGCCGCAGCAGCTGACGAACCCAACCACAAATCAGACATTTCTTATCTATTCCGCTGCCCGCTCCGACAATCGCAACTACTGCCTCGGCCAGCTGGAGCTGGTGGGCGACGACCCGATGAACCCGCAGGACTGGCGCAAGAACAACGAGGGCTGCGTCTTCTACCAGGACGCGCGCGCCGAGGCCTACGGCGTCGGCCACGCCAGCTTCGTCAAAAGCCCGGACGGCTCCGAGGACTGGATCGTCTACCACGGCATGCGCAATCCCATCACCGGCTGGGCTGCCCGCACCATCCGCGCCCAGAAGTTCGAGTGGAACGAGGATGGTTCTCCCGCCTTCCCGCGCCCGGGCTACGGCCCGTATCCTGTGCCGGCGGGCCAGTCTTGAAAGAGCGTAGAGGACTCATGCTACAGCATCGTAAGCGCATTGGACTCTTTAGCCTCTAGACTTTTTCTTTTTGCGAGTATCATGGAAAACGCACGGATGCCGCTCTGGTTCGCATAGCATATTTTGACATGCCTACAATACAGTCATCGACAGATTTTGATCCTTTGTGGCGAGACTTGTGCAAGATGAGACGCAATAAGGTGGACACTTCTTTTGGCTTGCAGGAGACCGCGAGATCATTCGTGGTTTTGTTTGTGCCTTTCCGTCCGGACAGTAACTTCCGGTACCCGTATACGAGCTTAATGCGTGTGGGAACGGCTTGTCACGGCCCGAATCTTGTAGCACTCGCCGATGAAGAACGGAGCAAACATGTCAGAGCACCGTGCCACTACTACTGTTTGATAATACGGTAGCATTCCAAAGCCAAAGCTGTGGCGGTGCATTTGCGCAGAAACCCGCAGAGGTCGTCAAGCAAGGGTTTCTGGGAAATGTGGGACAGGCATGGGCCACACGTGGCGTTCTACTCAGGGGGGATGGTTACACCCTAGAAGGGTGCACACAGACAACATGCAGGTCCAGTGGAGCGTGACTAGTCCTGGAGGTAAGACAGTCTCAAGAGATAGGACCCTAAATGTGGCTAAATTTCATGAAGTGCGTGTTGGAAATTGTAGAACAAGTAAGCTCTGGCTGGCCGTTGACGATTGCGAAGGATTGTTGGGTGGTTTTGTCTTAAGAAGTGTGTTAGAGATTATGTTTAGGACGAATAAGATAGGAGTGCTTATTGATGTCGTGAACGATTATTTTTGGGTGTTTGGCTACACAGAGGCAAAGAGGATTGGGGTTTTAAGTACTTATTGGTTGTGGATATGAAGTCGAAGCCTGAGGACAATAGTGTCTGTTCCAATTCACATGCAGCGGGCGAAAAGCGCAACGCCCTGAGAAAAGGTCCAAACTTTGAAATCGTTGGCGCATGCATGAATAGCCTGGGAGAAGGGAGCCTGGAGGTTAAGATGGTGCTGCACATTGCATTCTAGTCCAGGGGCATTTTTTGATGGAAGTATGCATCTGACAAGAATTGCTGGCGCGCAGTGGTCTTGAATTTCTATACTGCCAGGTGCAATATTCTCGTTCAAGCGAGATATTGTCTCGGCGTTGATAAGGCTGGGGTGATGGGGCGCCGTTGTCCATTTGTGGAGATAAGGATCAACACTGGAACACGAGCTTGGTGCACCTAAAGCCTTCTAGCCGAACAACCGGCATAGCGACGCAAATTAAGTGGCATATAATAGCGAATCTTTATTTTGAGTAGAAGGCCGGGAATAAAAGTATCTGAACGCCGAAATAGTAGCTCTAAAGGGTCATGCCGCTCTCGATAAGGTAGTTGCCTCCGGTGGCTGATTGGCTCAGCGCGAGCGTCCGCACTTGATTCGCTACATCCTGTACGTGGGTCAGCCCTGTTCGGGTAATAACGTCGACGAGCCTATCCCTACCTCAACCGTAGCCAAACGCTTCAACTTGGTGTTCTCGATTGACTTTTTGATTTTGGCCTCGGGGAACTTGGCGCCCCATTCCTGCACAGCAATTAGGCCAAAGATCATGGCGGTGCTAGGAAGCTGCTTACCGTCATCAGCAAGCCCGGGCTGACGGAGTTTACGCGAATCTTCGGAGCGCAGATGACAGCGAGCGTCTTCGCCAGGTGAATCTGCGCTGCTTTGGTCACACCGTAGGGCTTTTCTCGTTAGCATCAACGCAGCTAGTGGATCAGGATCACCTTACCAAAGAGCTGCCGCTCGGCTTGACACCGGCCACGGAAGCGGTGGTGATGAAAGCACCTTCGGTCTCGTCGAGGTGTTTCTTGGCAGCGTATGCCAGCCACATGTGGGTCTTGACGTTGTAGACGAAGCACTTATCCCAGTCCTCCTCGACCACGCCCTCGTCAAAGTTCAGAAGGTTCGTAATGCGCGTCCAGCCCACGTTTGAGACAACGACGTCCAGGCGGCCCATGGTCTTGACCGTCTCGGCGACAAGCTCCTGGACCGAAGCCTTGTCGCCGGCGTCGGCTTGGATGGCATGGAAACGCGGTGTGGCGGCAGACGCGGCGGGGACACTGGTGGCCAGCGGAATGTTGTGGAGCTCTTGCAGCAGGGCCTGTGCGCGATCGGCGTTGTTGGCGTAGTTGATGACCTGCGGCTGAGGGTCAGCACAACGGCTGGAGGGCCCGAGTACAAGGTACTCACAACTCTGAAGTCAGGTGCGAATACGCGGGCGATCTGGGCGCCGAGACCGGCTGAGCCGGCGGTGATGAGGGCGACTTTCTGGGTGGTCATGGCAGGTCCGCGCGCAGTCAATGGGCCGAGACAGTGGTTCGGAGACGGTTGTTCAAAGCCAGGTGCCAGAGACACGCTTCGAGGGAGCACGGCGCTTTTGACATGGCGCTCTCGAGCATCAATGGTGGGGTGCTGCGCGGGGCTCCCGCGGTGAGCTGGAGAGCTTCCGCCCGTCGAGAGCTCGGCTGTCCACACTCGGCCCGCAGGGTGGGCGGAAGCATTCCGTACGCAACAAGCTGCTGTGGTGCGCAGCGCAGAATCCTGCAGCGTCTCAGCCCAGCGGGCGTGGCGGTTTCACCGCGCGTGGGGCGCGCAAAAATAGACGGGACGGCGCCGGTGCGAACAAGCAATTTGGCCCTGCGCAGCACTGGGGAGCGCCTGCTCCGTGAGCGGCCAGCTCGCGCGCCCCAGGGTCTGCCGCCATCTGCGTAGGGCTGTCTCTCACCAACGCTGCGGTAGGGCTGGCTGGCTGCTGAGCACAAGATCTTGCTGCCAGGCACCCGCTCCACATCTGCGCAAGGGCTGCGGCGCCCCGGCGGCACGACCCTCGTTGGCTGCGGCGACCCGTACCTATTTTCATCTCAGCCTCCAGCTGCATGACTTGCTGCGCATGACGACAGCCTGGCCCCGGCGCAGCACGTCGCTACACGGCGCTTTGATGAGCTGGCGCCAGAGCCAGGAGAGCGAGCATACTACTTGAAGCCCGCCGGGCCGCAGCTGGGCCACTTGCGACATCGAGACAGCAAACGGCGGCGCCAAGTGAGTGTGGCTTCGTAGCTCCCGCGCGCAGCTAAGGCCAATCTCCGATTTGCCATCACCCTGGCCGCACGACACACGATCAAAAGCGACCTCCCAGCCTGCAGTACCACCCCCCTTTTCCCAGCCCCAAGCACCCGCAAAACCACCATGCTGCCGCATGCGCTCGCTCAACCTCCGCCGCCTGCTAACTCGACCGCGCCCCTCGCCCAGTCCCGCCACTCCATGCCCGCCCTGCCCGCCGTTTAGACCCAGTCCTCCCCCCCGGGGCCGCCCTCCCGAACACCTCATCTCCCCGCAATCAATCGCGTTTCATCGCTGTTAACGCGGCGCCATGAACAATGGGGCGGGGAATCCCCAGCCCGCCGCCAGGGCGCCGCCCTTCTTCCACCTGCCGCGCCGGCCCTCTGTGACGCCTCCATCGCAAAAGCCCTCCAGGCCCCGCCCGTCCTCGCCAACCTCACCCGTCTCTCCCACCTCTCCTGCGCGTCCGTCATCGTCTCGCTCTTCATGGTTCCACCCCTCCACGCGCCGCCCGCGCACCTCCCCCGGCCCGCGACCCTCGCCTTTCAAGTCGCGCGCGAGCCAGCCCTTCCCCGACGAGCTGAAGCGCGACTCCGGCTTCGCGCCCTCCATCGCCAGCCCCTCGCACGACGGCGACCACAGCGTGCCCCGCGTCCCCAGCCTGCCTACCATCGTGGTCCACGACGAGCCCCCGCGCCCCTTGACGGCCAACAATGCGGGCGAGGTCAACCGCAGCAGGCTGGTCGGCACCGACATCCCGAAGGCCGACTTCGACGATCTCGCCGACAACAAGATTGCCTTTTCCAAGAGAGGTACTTTGCTCCTGAATGGAAAGAGGATGAACGAAATGATGCGCGGGCCCACGGACAAGGATGGCGCTGCGCATGGCTCAAGAGGTGAACACGGCGTTGAGGCTGGTAGCAGTACGAGGGACAGAAAACCGGCAGATGACGAGGCTTCGGCACCTCGAGAAGGATCGGCGCCGGAGGCGGCAAACGCAGTATCGGAGACGGGATCGACGCAGGAAAAGATACCGGACCTCGTAATCCCTCGCCCGCACCCGCACCTGGACGGTCCCCGTGCCGTGAGCATGAGCGCTGCGACTGCCGACGGCCGAGCCTCGACTGCGGTGTCCGCAGCACCTTCGAGGAGAGCCAGGTCTCTCGCTCCGCGCCGAAGCATCCCAGGCACGCGCGTATTGTCCGCGGACGAGACGATGCTGTCGAAGAAGGTCCGCTTCATGTACGAGTACGGCGACGAGAGAGCCGCGGATTGGGCCGTGGAAGAGAGCATCCGGGAGGACGCGTCGATCGAAGAAGAGAACCCACCCGACCTGCCCGGGGAAGGTGACAGCTTGCAGATTACGAAGTCACGAAACAACGGAGATGCCCTGCGCAGCGCGAGCATTGTGAGCAAACCGGCCAGTTTGATATCAAAAGAACCGAACGAGCTGGCAGGTGGCATAGAAGATTGGGAGGACATCGAAGGTTGCGAGGTCGATCGATACGGGTTCATCGTCGCCAAGAAGTCCGCTCCCACAGAGCAGCGCGAGTCTACGGTCACCTTCGACACGCCCAAGCTCCAGCGCGTGTCCACGCAGCTGCAGCTTGCGTCCGAGGCCCCGAGACGGAAGCGCACCCTCCGCCGCCAAGGATCGATCGCCAGGTCTTCGCGGACGAATTTCAGCGCCCAGCCCAAGCGAATGTCTTCCAGCAGATCCCTTCGCCCGGCGGAATCCATTTACTCCACCCGGAGCACAGCGTCCGTCCGTTCGAACATCTTCCGGACCGCGGCCAACAGGCTGCCGCATAACCGCAGCAGGAGACTTGTTGACGAAGCCAGCGATATGCTCACGCTACCCCCTGGCCTCGCTGCTATAGCCGAAGAAAAGGATGGCGGGAGGACCGTGGAGATGATGAAGCGGAAGGAATGGCAGAGAGAGGAGAAGTGGCGGAAGATGGGGAAGCTCGTGGGCAAGTCGCCGAGCGGAGGTGGAATGCTCTTCGAATTCGACACCAGAAACCCCAAGCTCATCGAGCGCACGTGGAAAGGAATTCCGGACAGGTGGCGGTCCACCGCGTGGTACGCGTTTCTCGCGGCGAGCGCGAAGAAGGACCCGAACAGCGCTCCGGACGAAGAGCTCATCGAGGCATTCTACGAACTCCAGGACGACGATTCCGCAGAAGACATGCAGATCGACATGGACGTGCCCCGGACCATCAGTCACCACATCATGTTCAGGAGACGCTACCGCGGCGGCCAGCGCTTGCTGTTCCGCGTGCTTCACGCCTTTTCGCTCTATCTCCCCGATACCGGCTACGTTCAGGGAATGGCCGCGCTCGCGGCGACCCTGCTCTGCTACTACGATGAGGAGAGGGCGTTCGTCATGCTGGTGCGGCTTTGGAAGCTGAGAGGCCTGGAACGCCTGTACCAACACGGGTTTGAAGGTCTCATGGAAGCGTTGGGCGACTTCGAGAAGTATTGGCTCGGCGGAGGCGAGGTGGCTCAGAAATTGGTAAGTCTCGGCAACCACTGGTCGCACAGCGCTTTGTGGAACCGGTCCGCCTCGTTTGGCACCGAGCTGAACGCAAAGTCCGGTCTGGACTGCTCGTGGCTCCCTGTTCCGAAGCCTTGCTATACCACAGCCTCACGTTTTGATTCGCTGGCGCTGACCGACATTATAGGAGGAGCTTGGCGTGCACTGTACCGCTTACGGGACGCGTTGGTACCTCACGCTCTTCAACTACTCGATTCCGTTCCCGGCGCAGCTCCGTGTCTGGGACGTGTTCATGCTGCTCGGAGACGCTTCTATGTCCTGCGACCCAAACAATTCCTTCCACGCCGATCTCGACGTGCTGCACGCCACCTCGGCCGCTCTCATCGACGCGACGCGCGAGATTCTGTTGGATTCGGACTTTGAGAACGCGATGAAGACGCTAACCTCGTGGGTTCCGGTCAAGGACGAGGATCTGCTCATGCGCGTGGCAAGGGCAGAGTGGAAGCAGAGAAAGAAGCGAGCCAAGGCAAATCCTACGACCGGGTAATGCTGCGTCCCACCTGTCGCCCGAGCCCAAAAGAGGTGGACTGCGTCGTCCGACCGGCAAGATTAAACTGTTCGCATTCGCACTCGAGCCTGCTGCAGAACCTCGCGGCAAAGGTTGCATCGATGGCGTAGAGGGCTGCCGAGGCTAGGCTCAAAGTGCTGGCTAGGGGGCTGCGCCTTTTAGCGAACCACTTCCGCGCTTCCACCTACCTACCTTTTCCGGTATCACCACCCGGAGAATACCTTTCCACACTCCTGCATCATCTTTCGGACGAAAACCCAAAGATGGGGCGATATCGAGCAGGGCTGCCGCGTGGCTTTAGCGTGGCACTTTGCCTCCTGATTAGGCGTTCTGTCGTTACTTTTGTTTTTGTTTTCCTGCTCGCTTGTGTGTTTTTCCACGGAGGTCTTTCACAAATCACCTTCCAATCACCTTCACAACCGAATACCCCGATTGGAAGTCTCTTGTTTGCAATCTTTCTCTCATTTTTGTTCGTTTTTTGATTCCCATTGCTTTTGCGCGCGAAGATCTGTTCCACCGGCGGCAATCTGCAGGATCGTTTGCGGCCAATCACGATGTTGTTCTCGTTGCGCTGTCTTATTTTCTTGTTAGCTTGCACTTATCGCGTCGGAGGTCTTTTCCGACACTGTATTCTCCAAGTCGGCTTGGGGCCGTACGACACGCAGATGACCTGTTCGCCTTCCTTTTGCGTAAGAAAAGAGCTACCCCGACGTCACGAACGACGGGTGTTTCCGCCATTGCAACTTTAACTGGTTTTCCACTCTGTCGATCATTTACCATTTTCGTTGCTCACCTCTTCTTTCACTTCATGGGCGGCTAATATGCAGCCAGTCGATCGCGTCTCCCGGAGCTGGGGCCGAAGACTGCGCAGGCTTTTTGACCTGTCCATGCTTTTTTTTCTCCATCCAATCATTTTTCGTTTTCGCTTTGTTTTTGTCTCGAATGAAGTTGTTGATATCCATCATGTTTGCCAAGGTTCAGCCCGCGGCGGGGGTGGTAGAAAAGAGGTTCCTCTCCGACGGGCCGGCAGCAGATACATACCTACAGGTCTTTTTTGTGTTTGATAGGATAGAAAGCATCAGGTGGGGAGGGGTTATCGAAAGGAAAGAGGGCATCAAAAGGGCAAAAAGAGATCGTTATTATTGTAGTAGTAATCGCTAATGATTGGCTAAGACAAACAAGCCCCCCAAAGACCGTTCCTCCGCCATGTGACCAAGTCATCGACGAATCAGAATCGATGGACCCCTACGCTTAATGAGTGGTGCGCCTCTTCATTGAGCGGTCCTTTGTCTCGATGTTCAGAGGGTATCGCAGCCGAAGGCTAGCGAGAATTTGTTTTTCGCTCATGTCGTGGGTAGTTGAAGCTACCTATATCCGGACCTGAATGTGGCATTAACAACCATACATTCTCGTCCGGACGATAGCTTCCACTGCTCACATACTCGTAAGAAACTGCTGAGGCGCAATTACCCCATGCTCCGGGGCCCTGTTATCCTTTGCGCTAGCCTTCGGCTGCGATACCCCTCTGCACTACAAACGATCCCCTGAAGATGCGCTCTTGAACTCGTCTCGCGGATACGCGGCACGGCTGGTTGGCGTGAGAGGGGCATACGAATCTGATCGTAGTGTCACGGCGTTACCCGTAGAGCGGATTGTTGACCCGGACAGCATGCTTTTTTAGTGCATTCAATCTCCTTCCTTTTTTTTTTCTTTCGCTTTTTTTTTTCGCGGTGAAGCTTCACTACAGAACCGGTCATAGCGCGAATGGAACTCGGTTGTTATCAAGTTCGCGAGCACTATCCGCGTAAGATTTTGGGTCCGGATGTCGCCGGGGTGGCTGAGAGATTGCAATGACTTGGCTTGCTGAACTTGGAAGATGGACAGGGTGAAGGGGGGTGCGCCATGGATATTACTGCATTATTCATGTTTCCGACCATCGTTTTCTTGCTTCGTGCAACGGGGACCGTCAGATATGCTGTGCGGTACTGTTTTGCGGAGAAACCTCGGCGATGAAGGACGTGATGGCTCTTTCCGTCCCACCTCTCGCAAGCCCGCTGCAGTGGGAAGAACAGCGAGGGTCCGAGACAGAAGGGGCACGGTACTTCTCACGAGCAGAGGAGAGAAAGGAAGGGGTGTGAATCCTAAGCCAGGGTCTACGCGCCATGTTCCGTCCCGCCCACGACGCGAAGCGTACCCAAGATGGGGCCCTAGGAAATAAAATTTCCCGATAACCCACCCGCTCATGTGCGTGTACCATGTACAGAGCGCGGGATGCGATCCCTGGCGCTGGCGCTGGCGCCCTGGGACCACGGCTCAACAATATGTACCTTCTTGTTAGAGGATTGGAGGGATTTGGCAGCTTATGCTAGTGTGCACGGAGATATTCCCATAAGCATCTGCGTATGAGAGCTTGTGAGAGGAGAGGTACAAAGGTTCCTCGACGAAGAGTAGCTTATTGCCGGAAAATCCGAATGCACCTCCGAGGCCCACCGTCCTACCCCCCTATTGTAAACGGAGAATTGCGTCTACTCTACAATCAGGGCGAACGAGCGAGGAAGGGGAGGAGGCAACGTTTGGTCGTGCGTTCACGGGCACGTGCGCGTCCGGTGTTTGCGCGTACGTGCGCGTGTGTGTGGATTCTTGCCGCGGTCTCTCGTGAGAGCAGCATCAGACTCGGTACTCGATTGTTGACAGGCCAGAATCCGGTCCGCTTTTTGCCCCCCACCATCTACGTGAATCTCGAACGATCCAAGCTGATCAATCTTGTCAATCTGCACGAGAGCACCAATGAAAACCGGTCGAGTGTTCTTTTCCGAGAAGCGGGTTCTTCCATGATGGAGAGTGAGGGCCGCCTGCTGGAGTGATGATCGGCGGCCGAAGTGTCTCCATTTTATTTCCCAAGCAAGTAGAGTCTGGGAACGAGGCACTGCAAGGAACACGAGATCTGGAGGAAATGTCTCCGTAGCGGTCTGAGCTCGGTGCCGGCCGTCTGGCATGCTTTCTCCGCTTTTTCGATTGTTCTCCCCCCCGTCTACCTCGGCGTTGAGGGCGAGAGGGGACGCCAGCGCAACGCAGCCACGGTGATCGGGGCGATGGGATTCGAGACAGTGCGGTGAGGTATCGGGATTGCAAAAAGCGGTAAGTGAATGCGGGCGGCAGTGCCGCAGGTCCCGGCAGTTGCCCTCGTCTCCTACATGCATCCACGGCGGACGAGGCAATGCGGTTTAGCTGGGTTACAAAAGTCGAGCCAGAAAGGCGGCGTGCGGGTGCCAGCGAAGCGCCTGATAGGCCGAGTGGTGGCATTTATTTTTTTTTCCTCGACCTTATGCCGCGTGCCAGCCTTGGTCGAGGTAAGGACGACTGCGATTCGTGCATTAGCTGCACGCGACTCAGATGGAGTAGCAAGGCAGACGCGACAAGGCATTCGCCGGTCGGAGAAAGAGGAGGCGGCGGGAGTGGCAGTTGCGGGCGGCTATGCAGGTGGAGCTTGCGTGAGGATTGTTGATGGTGTCTGACTGATGTGACAGGGAAGGCCGGCTCCTGGCGAAGGAGCAGGGTCCGCGTCCCGGGGGGAAAGACGCAATCTTGCCAGATTGAGGGGCCGCTCGTAGATCATCACACCACTTTTCGCTCATCGCTGCATCTCGCGCTGCTCTCGAATCGCTGGAAAAAGAGGCGCACGCGCGGAACTGGAAACCGGGAACCACAGCGCGCGCTGAGATCTGTCGGAGCCCCAGCCATCGCCGCCGCCGCCGACACCACGCCGCAGATGTGGCACGCGCCGCCGTGGTCCCCGCCTCACATCCTGGCCGCTGGGATCTGCTGTGCGCCCTGCCGATGCGCGGCTGTGCAGAGAAGGGGAAAAGTCGACGTCGCCGCAACAAGCACGCACGCGCGGGCTAACGGCGTCGCCACGAGTTGCCGCGCCCGCCTAGGGCTGATGACGGGGCTCGAGTTGGCGATTGGCGATAGGCGACGGCGAAGATCTCGCCTGCGCCTGCCCGGGCTGCCGCTCCTCGCCACCAGCTGCTCCGCCGGCTTGCCCGCTTCTGGCCACGACGTCCTCGTTCGAGCAATCGGCATGCCGGCCTCATCGGCACGACGCACCTCTCCCACCCCCTCTCCGGAGCATGCCTTTGGGGCTCCTTCCCGGCCGCACTTGCTCCCGCCGCCTCCACCGTCAACGACACCGGCTGGCTAGCACGCAGCTGGCCCCGCCGATTATTGCCCGCCTCGCGTATCCGGCCGCGAAGCTACTGCTCGGTCGAGGTCGGTAGCGCTGCGCTCTTTCATCTCGCCAAGCGGCATCCGAGTGTCTTAGATGAGTGAAGGGAAAGTGGCTTGCAGAAAACGCACGTAATCTGGGAGTCGCGGGCGTGTCTCAGCATCAAACCGGCCAGGAGGGCATAGCACTGCTCTTTTATTTTTCCGCTTTCTGCACCGGCCCTCCTCCTTTTGACTTCGCCGGCGTTTGAGCAGCGCGCGTTTGGCTGCCGACGTCTTGAGCACGTTTGGGAGCCGGGATACGGGGCCAGGGTACGGCGGCGCCATCAACAATTACGCTTAACCCGCTCCCGCGCGCCCTCGAGGGAGACGGCGCCGGCAGGGGTGCGCCCGCCGTTGCGAAAGAAGGTCGACGCTGGTGGCCCGAGCCAGGCCGGGGAACCCTCGCGCGCCGCTTTGGGGGTGTCGGATGTTCCGCGTTTGTATCATCCGCACATTCGTCAGCAATTGGCCGCTCAGTCGCTGCATGACATCGCTCTAGCTCGGGGGGTCCAGCGGCTCTCTGCTCGCGGCGCGTCGATTGGCGGGCGTGCGGCGTCTAGATCCCGATGCGAGCAGATCTCGTCGCCTGATCGGGAGCGCCACGGTGTTTCAGCTGGGCTGGCCAGGCCGAAAGGGAGCAGTGACGGAGATGAGGCGGCTGCGGGAGCTGGGCGATGACGAGCAGCGCGCGCGCGTCACGGGCAGCCGCGCCTGGCGGCGGCGGCGGAGGAGGAGGAGGTTCTGGCAGGCGGAATGTCACTGTAACGTCGCGGCGGAGATCATTGCCGACTTATCGATTGCATGCCGTCCGCCTTGCGGTGTCGATCGCGGGAGGAGTGCGAGCTAGGCGCATCTTCTTTCAGCCCTGGCGCCCATGGCAGATGCCGGCGCCGCGGCCGTTTCGCATAGAGGCGCTCATCAGGGCCAAATTGCTGGAGAAGCGCGCGCGGTCCTTCATTTTCTGGACAGCGCTCGCGACGAAATTGGGCGGTGGGACTTGGGGCTCCTGGCGAAATGACGCTTCGGGCTGAGTCTGGGGGCTGATAGGCTTGGGGCGGCGCGCCTGAGCGCGTCGAATCGGGCGCGATGCGACGAGGATGGACTGCGCTAGCATCGTGCCCGCGCGCTGTGCATTTGCCGCTGCGCGCCACACGCTCTGCGCCTGCCGTTGAAGCCGAGCGACACCAGACACCGCCCAGGCCTACGTGATCGCCGCCCTTCACGCGAGCGCTGGATCGACCGCGCAGCCATCCAGCCCGTTAGCCTTACGGCATGCGGCAGGCGAATCTCCCACCCGGCCGGTAAGGTTCCTGGTCCACCGGCCCAGCCATGCCTCTAAATAAGGTAGCCCTCCCCAAGCCAGCTCCGCGCGCCTCGACGGCCTCAAAAAGCTGCCATCATCGCAAAAGAGCTTTCCTTTCTTTTTCTTTTCTCCTTCTTCTTCCTCTCTTCTCTTCTCAGATGTCGGTCGTTGCCGCCCGCGCCCAAAGAAATTAAAAGACCTCTTTCCCCCCCAATGTTACTCACGCTGTCCCAACCGACCAGATCGGACTTTGAGTTCAAGCATCCCCATGATTACCCTCCGCCCAAGGCCTACTCGCCGACCGCTCGACTTTCGCCCCAGGTGACCAGCGGCCCCAGCCCGCTCTCGCAGTCACTGCCGGCCAGTGCCCCCAGCACGATGAGCACCTCTCATCGCGGCCTCCCGCCGCCCGCAGCCATGACCCTGCCGGACCCCAGCCGCACCGCCCCGCCGCCCATGTCCGTCTCGCAGTCGCTGGGCCAGATGCCCGCCCCGCCCGCCCAGTGGCAGGGCGCCGAGGAGTCGATGCGCAACTGGCTGTCGGCCAAGGCCGAGGAGGACAAGAGGAAGCAGGAGGAGGAGAGGACCCGCCAGGAATCGCTGCGCCTGGAGCAGCGCAAGATCGAGCAGTCGATGCTGCGCGAGTCGATGCAGGGCGGCGTGCCGCCGCACCTCGTGCCCATCATCTTCGCGGGCATCGGCGGCGGCAGCTCCGCCGGCGTCACTGTCGACTGGCTGCAGCAGTACTCGGTCCAGCTCCAGGCCCAGCAGCAGCAGGCCCTCGCCCAGGCCCAGGTGTCGCCGGACATGCGGAGGGGAGAGCAGCGCGTCATCAATCCCGCCCCGCCGGCCGTCTACGCGGGCGCGCCGCCCGTCGTGGGAGCACTCCCAGGCCAGGCCCCGCCGGCCCAGCCTGCCGCCGGGCCCTTCTCAGCGCCCACGTACGCGCCGGTGGGCGGCATGTCGCCGCGAGCGCGGGCGGCGTCCAACTACCCCCAGCACCCCAAGCCGCCGGCGCACTCGCAGCTGCCCCGGCTCACGACGAACGAGATGCAGATCCAGCCGCCGCCGCAGGCGCAGACGCTCAGCACGATCCAGCAATCGCAGCAGGAACAACCGCAGACGTCATCGCCCTCGATCTACTTTCACCACTGGGTGCCCCCCACCACCCAGTCCAGCTCCGGTACGAATCCTTCCGCGACGCCGTCAGGTAAACACCACAAATAGGGAGCGTCCACACAAGTCTGACAGCTTACGAATGCGGTGTAGACTACGCGAGCTCGCCCAAGAAGCGTAAGGCGCAGGGAGCGCACCAGGCAGCACCGGCGCCCACCTCTGCGCCGCAATATACCTCGCCCTCGTTCTCGCATGTCTCGGGCTCATCAACGTCAACGCCAGGCCGGCGAGGTCACGCACGGACCCGCAGCGACCAGTCGTCGCGAGGGTACGCAACTGAGCAGACGCAGTACACCGGCCGGAGCAGGGCCGGCACGCACACGGGTGCCGAATCGAGCTCATATTCCGACCGGCATGCAAGCCACGATGCTCACCGACGAGGGGAGCAGCAGCAGCAGCAACCGCTCCAGGCGCCGCACGGCGCCGAGGAGCGTGGGAACCATGGCAGCGACGGCGAGGGCTCGGAGAGGTCCTCGCTAGTCCAGCGTGAAACGCGGCCGTCAGTACAAGCGTCCCAGGGCTCGCGTCCCAGCACGCCGAAGCGGGAAGCGGGGGCTGGCCGGCCATGATTGTCGCTCGTTTGGGCGGTGGGGCTGAAGGGACGGGCGCAGGAGGAGAAAGCCGCGGCACGGGCTTGTGCGATCGCTGACGTTGACCATTTCTGCGCAGGTCACCACTCCCGTTCGGACTTTGGGCTGGGGGGAGATTGCGGATTACGGCGACAGTCTGCTGGGACCCGAAGCGAGATTGGCCGGCCTCCTCGATCACACTGCGCTGTTTCAGCGTGCTCAAACCCACCAAAAATTTCCTATCGCGGGCTCGACGGAGGACTCGGCCGACTACACGTCCTGGACGACGGCTCCATGTTTTGCTTGCTCCATTCGTTATACCCGGACGCCATGGTAGAGACACGGTTTCTGGAACCGCTCGTTCATTGCTGCTTTCAGATTCCCCAGCGCGGCTTCTTACCCCGCCGCCACGCGGCTGCCCATGTTTTTGCCTCTCCAGCTGCCGCGGCTCCTCGCACCGCATTGCGCCGGCGATCCTTTGTGACGCGCAATCTGCATCATCGCCGACGTTTGGAACAAGTCCCGTTGGTGTTGTTGGCCCTACTGCACTGCAAGCCATCGCGAGTCTTGGCAGCTCACCGGGTCCCCAGGCGGAGATCCTACGGTTCCCGGACGCACCCAACGAATGCCGGGGAAAGCTTGCGCGGCTTGTCCCTCGCCCCGTACTTTTCGTCTTCTTTCATGCTTACACGCGCTTCTATCTTTGGCCGGGCGGCGATCTGATTTTTGCCTGCAGATCACGCAGCTTCTTTCTTCGTCCTTTCACGCGTGCCACGCCGGTCCCACCGTTGGCTTCTGTCTCTCTGCATTTTCCTGGCGCCATCTTTTTTTTTTTTCTTGAACTCGTTTGCGTACATGTGTCATACTTTTTTGTGAGACGAAAAATCTAGGGTATCGGGCTTGCATTGGCGCGAGTTGGGCGGGTGCATGGGGTTTCCCTCTTCTTCCATCTTCTTCTCATATAGGGCCAGGTTTTGCATTTCCACCTTTCACTCATCCTTTCCGTTTGCCAGCGTTCAGCGAGAACACGGCCGCGAGGCAGATGGCGGGGACATCCCCTTGGGCTCTGTGTATACTTTCGAGCCATCACTGTGCGACTTTTTCCACCACCTTTCGATTCTCTGTAAATAAGATACTTTTTTACGAATGAGCCGCGCCCAGATCACATGGGGACAGTACAGGCTTTGGAACAGCGCAATGTCGCCTTTTCTCGTTGTACAGGTGACGCGGTGTGCATGTCACGGCCCGTCATTCGCCGGAAAGTGAGTACTTGATCCATGATGCTGGCCGTTGCTGACCGATTCGGGGCATGTCCACACGAGCAGATACGCGGCTCCACGTGAAGCACACTTCACTCGGGTTAAATACGAGCCACGAGGTTTTCGTGAAGCTTCCTTCAAGGGCAATAGAGATCGACTACGAGTCAGTGTTGGTGCCAATCAGGTGGCGCGTTCAAGATTGTTCCTCGTATTACTTTATCCAGAAGTGGTGCTAAAAGTCTTCGAAGCCGGCTACATAAGATGCGGCTTTCCTTCGTATGAGATGTATACCGTATGTACATTGTGTTGGCCTTGCCAATCTCTTCTGCGACCCGCCGAGACCGGCAATACATGCCCGAATAGGGAGCATCCGACGGCTACAAAGTATCGAGGCGCCGAGGCCCGTTGGAAGCACTTCACGTGTGGCATCCCTGCTTCTCTCGGCGCGCAGGGCCCGAGACGGCCGCAGCCGCGCAACGCGGTCGGGATGCGCCGTTCTAGATTCGGGGGGATTGTTTAAGCAGAGCAGCATGCTCCCCCTGCCCTGGAAAACGGAGCATGTGAGGGCCAGGTCAGCGGAAGAGGTGAAACATGGCCGGCCCTGTCAGCGGGTGTGCAGGCCTACGTGGAGTTGCAGCAGCCAAACGATGTGTCACTTCTCTCGTCTTTGCTGTTGTGGAAAAATAAATTGGGGCATGCATCAAAGAAGACTGGTCTCCGCTGTACGCGCGGGCTATCATTTCCGACCCATGTCAAACCTATTACACTCTACACAGCGCCTCTTATATAACCCGCAACCTGATAGGACGCCATTATACACGCAGCGCTTCGCATTGGCTCTCCTGCAGCTTTCCATATCAGAAGATGCCGTCGGATGATCCGGCGGATGCATACACTCGTCCGCTACCGTGGGTCTCGCTCCGGGTAAAAAGGCTCTCCTCTTGGCATAATAACATGGATGGATGCGTGGCAAGCGCCGCTATCAAACTTTCCGTGCCACTAATATTCCGGCTCCTTTGAGGATTGAGGACAAAACCATTTCGAGCAGGTCTACAAACATGTCACTTCGGCGCTACTTACCAACCTTTGGCCAGGCCGAGGATTCCTTTGTCAGACCAGCAACGTCATCGGTTCCGATCATGGCTTCTGCACTTTGCCTCTCCAAAAGCAAGAAGCGCGGGCGGGGTTTGCAACGTTTGTCATCCTTTCGAGGCAGACATCTCTTCCACAGCCTCCGGGCTATGTTGGTTGTGTAGTCTGCCGTAAGCACGCGCAGTACGACAGTGTCTGCCTTCTTCTCTCGGACGCGGCCAATCGACGGCCAAGGGCGTTCGTCATACTTGCTCTCCGCGCAGCGTTAGTGCTTACCGTTGTGGAGCCTTTACGCGCAACACCGCCTTTCGACACATTCCCCAGAAGGAGTATGCCGTCTGTCATCTGTTACACCGGGTTGAAAACGAATATGGGTCCCTCTTCACCGTCGAGGTCGAGTTGGTTTCACTACAGCTGTGTCCGCGAGGCTGTGTTTCTCGGGACTGAGCTCGACTGCGGGAGCCTGGAATTAGCCTTGGTCGAATTCAAGTTCGGACGTCCATAGGGTGAGCGGGTCTCTGTTCTGCTCATGAGGCGTAGACCTAGATGAGACGATACCGCAGAAGACAAGATGGGATGGGTAAAACCGGACGTCATCCAGCGGTGACGAATGTGACGGAATGATTAATAAACGCATGTAGTGTCGAGACGGGAGGCGGGGCAAGCTTACGATTACCCCTCTATACAATACTCTTGTAGACAGCTGAATCCAAGTCCAGATGTATTTGTACAGACTACAACTACGCCGGGGTCGTTGGAACAAAGCCCAGGGAGGCCAACGATGGGCCGGAAAGCAGCGGAAGGAACCATGGCAAGGAGTGCCCTCTTCCCTAGACGAGGGAGGCCGAAGGTTCCCAAAGCGTGGTTCGCGCCAGCAGCATGAAATACGAGCGGGCTACTTTTCCGTTCTTGGAAGTGTCTCACAGGAGAACCAGGAACCGACCTAGAGTCCCGCAACCCCGAAGAAGAGACTCGGGAACTCTAATTCACAGTTGACCCCGCGGGAGGACCCAAAGGAGACGATCCGCGTGACTAGCGATGACGACTCGGTCTGATCAGATCGCCGAAGACCGACAGAAACAGCATCCAAACTAACTCAAGTCTAGTAGGATCTTTGGAAACGGGATCAGTTGACCGTTCCGGAAGATTGCGGCACCAAATTATACCATCCACTCTTTTCCCTTCATCGCGGTTTTCCTCGCCCATCGAAGTCCTCGCCACGTTCACTAGTACCTTATGGGAGTTAGCGTATTCTTGAGGAATAAACCGCTCTAATATAACTACGTCAAGGAAAGTAGACGCGTCGGTAGATGTAGCAATGGACCTTGGCAAGCGAGAACATGTGGCTAGTTGGGATTCGCGAATTCTTTTTTTTAGGCTTGCAGCGATGCCGCACCATGGTGAATGTAGAGTGCTAGGAAAGCCGTAAAAGTCTTGAGAAAACCGTCCTCTCTTGTCATCCGCTGTAGTAACTCCGGCGATCAAAGATCATAGGTTATCTTAAATGTCTTAGGAAACATGTAGTAATTTCTCAAGGATAATTAACAGCATGAAGTTTTAACTTGCACTGGTAGGATGGGTAAGCCGCCGTTCCTGTTGCCAACGACCATATGCAGGGTACCTGCTGAGTAAGAGAAGGCAAATGGTTCCGCCATTTAACCACACTCGATACGCAACACCGACTCAACACGACCGCCCCCACGACTATAGGCCAACCTGTAATAAGATTACAAGGGATAGCTGTTTTAACCTCTACTTGAGTAAAAATGCGTAACTAATGAAGCTTGTACTAACTCCCCCTTCGGTACCTTTCATTTAGTCAGTATTTGAAGGGATTTAGGAATAATCCAGAAACTTGTAACGGCTATAACGCAGTATGCTCTCTACATTTTATATCGTACTTGGTTCCCGGTTCGTTGAGGATGATGCTTTTGAGAGAGTTCATCTTCTTGGAGGACTGCTGAGCGAAGCATCCACCTTCAACGGACGTGAATCAAAAAGTCATATTCCCAAACTCCTCGCTAGCCTTAAACAACCGCGGCCAGCTGGGCTCTCCCAACGGGGGCGGCTAGATGAGGGGTATAGGGTATGTGAGCGAGCATGTGCAGATTCTGACGGGATCCGAGGGACGGGTCAGGGAAGATGCCGGATTGCGTGGCGCTGTTCTTGGCGGAGAAGACTTGGGGTTCGTATGGGGATAAGGTGAGCTTGAATTCCTGTTAATGACGTTATGGCTTGGTAGACTGACGGGAAAAAAAGTGTATTAGTACCATACATGTGCTGCCGACGCGGAAGGGAAGGCGCTATAGTGGGGGTTGTGGTAGTTGTGCTCGCGCGTAGACTTTTGAGGGAGATGCCCATCGACCAAGAACTACTTGGGCTACTCGTGAAATCTAGATGCACCACGGCCTCTCAACTTGCATCAAGAGAAAGTTTACTTATTCTCATCCTGCGACGCTTTGTTCTATTGCAAAGGAAACAAATTATACCCATGCCGTTGAATCTGTCAGTGTGTCATTTTGACTGAGTTGACTTTATGAATGAAGCTATTGAGCTCCTTTACGGACATGAAGGCGATGCCGCTTATGTACCTCTCGCTTCGATCGCCACACCTGGTGACCTCTATCATTTTCCTGAGCAGCCACCAGATCTCAACGGCATGCATCGTAAATGCCGGTGGCTGCACTTTGGCAGTTGCATCCTTCTTTAAAGTAGCATCCCACAAGATCTTCCATCTGTTTGTTGCGCGGAGAATCTCTTCCGAAACCGAGTTAGCAGCAAAACTCATTCTCGAAGAGAAATACACCGAGTTGAGTGCTAAAAAAAAAAGTAAGTGTCGGCCTGTGATTTCGAGCGGTGGGCAACTCACAGCATATCAGCAATAACAGATGAGGGACTGAGATAGAGTCCCATTGAGGGCCTTGCAGCCCTCCCCATGAGTCCTGACAAAGCCAGGTCCTCAGCTCCAGCAATGCCGGGGTAAAAACGCCTTGGGGTTTCAAATAGACCAAATGCTGGTACTCAGCGTCCGTTTCTGCTTCGAAAAGCAGTTCACAGCACGGCATGTTCCCGATCATCTCCGACAGCGCTATCCGGGAAGGATCGTTGAAGAAGAAGGTCATGTGGCAATCGGACAGATACATCCAAGACCAAAGCCTGCGGTTCCAGTCAGTCGACGTTGGCTGCGGCCGCTCGTATGAGCCTCATACCTGATTTTAACCTCGGTATCTACAAAAGACTTCCATGATTCTCCACGCTCGCGCTGCTCGTGTCTGACATGGGGAAGACTAAATAGCCGCATTTTAGCAATAAGGCACGGATGACGTTCGTTGCGGAGCCTTTGGCGTGTCTGCACGTCATCGTCGTGGATGAGGAGCAGGTGCACAAGCATCGCAGCCTGCAAAATCTCCATGGGTTCACCATTTTCTTCGGTAAAAGTCCTTTGGCTGAATACGTATTCCTCAATGGCCCTGGAGAACTGGCGGGCTTGTATGACTTGGTCGCGTGGCGCAGAATGCTTGGCGCCGGCGAGGAAGATGGCGAGAAGGAGCGGAACGCTCGCTTTCCCAAGGTCGAACGTGGGCCGGTGGATGACTGGTGTTATTCGATGCACCCGGTCGAAGTAGACTGAAGCGAAGTCTGTGAGGGTTTCTGCCGTGAATACGGTGCGGACCAGCGCTGCATCTACGCGGAAGTGGTGTTTTTGGACCGACATGTCCAAGGCAGCCGATGCTTGAAGGATTGCTTCGGACATGGCGGCTTCAAGAGCCCTCGCCCTTTCGTATGACAGCCACAGGTATCCACGGCGTATCTCATTGTCCCTGGGAATCAACTCTGGTGATGGGTTCCTTGAGAGTGCATCAGACATGGCGTACAAGGTATCCCCAAGTTCAACTTCATGTGAGTTGTCGGATTGTCTGAGAGTTTCTTCGGCAATGGCGATACTGGAGTCGCATAGTAACGTATCTGTAAGCCTTCGCAGAATGGGCACGTGGTCTCCCTCTTCAGCAAGCTGGCTAGGAGCTACTTCGTATAAGCAGGCCAGACCACTTTTGCTGCAGCGCTGGCAAGGGACACGGGCGTCACATGCGACCTTTTTCCGCCAGCAGTTGCCGCACGAATGCCGTTTTCTTCCGGGCTTGCCGTGTTCTGGGGATGGCCTGTTTGCCTTTTTGGCACAGGCCTTGGCATGTCGCCGCGTCACTTCGCTGATGATTGTCAATTGATATTTAGAGATGGCGATTACTGGAACGTACTTCTTGATAAAGGCCTTGCCGCAGAACGGACACTGTGAGGCGGGTCTGTCACTGTCTGTTCTCATAAGCAGATGCGCGTAGAACGAAGCTGCATATTGAGCTCTTACGCGTGGCCTTGTGTCGATTCAGATGATTTTTAGTCGAGTAAGCCTTGCTGCATGTGGTGCATCTGAAGGTCCCAGTTGCATGTGGGGCCATTGAATAGCGAGTTTTGGTGTTTGGGGAATTCTGACTGGAAGTTGATGTAGGCGCCGGGTTCAGCCGACGGTAGGGTTGACCGAGAAAATTGTAGGTGTTTTCCTAGCGGTTGTGGGGGTTTCCCGGTGCTAGTCATCAGGCGCTATTTGTTTTGATTGGAGCAATCGCCTCGCTGCTACAGCTGGTACCGCTTTGGGACTAGCGGCCCTGCTCCGCTACTTCTTGGTACTCATCGTTATTATAATTTACACATTGCGGCTCGGATGAAAAACCATCCTTTCTCGTAGTCTGAAAACAAGGTGTACACGTTCTCCTGTACTCACGGGTGTTGCCGAGCACAATTCGCCCTGCGTTTACGCGTTTTGAACGTCACTGGTGTACTGTACATCCGAAATACTGTATCAGTATTTAAAGTGCATTGGGAGGTCCCTATGTTAACTCACCCCGAGAAGTTATCGCAGCCCCACTCAGGGTGAGCCAGTCAGGAAATACGCAGATGGCTTACGATGCCAGTGATTTTTCATATGTTGCACGGAGGCTCTTACTGGCAATCTTCTTCGCAAACCATCTCCTCTCCACACAATATCCCCTTGACTGGTCAGCAATATGCTCTCGAAAACGAGGTCGACGTTTTCAATGGCGCTGCGAGGTTCGTCGCCATCCTACAACAACTCCCAATCGAAATCTAAACTTTGAGACAGCCAGACCGTCGACCGCGCTACTGCCGTACCTTTCAGCATCCGCAGCATATCTCTCATCAACGACCTCGAACCTTAGCAATTCTCAAACACGCCTGATGGGGAAGCCGCTCGAGGGACAGAAAGGAGTTGTGCAGTATGCACTGTAAGTACATACATATGCACCCGACAGTAGCCCCGCTCACGTATCCAACAGAACCACTCTCGACCAAATCGTCAACTGGACCAACCAAGGGTCCATGTGGCCCATGACGTTCGGTCTCGCGTGCTGCGCCATCGAAATGATGCACCTCTCGATGCCCCGCTACGACCAGGACCGGCTCGGCATATTCTTCCGCGCCTCGCCGCGGCAGTCGGACGTCCTCATCGTGGCGGGCACGCTTACGAACAAGATGGCGCCGGCTTTCCGGCAGGTGTACGACCAGATGCCGACGCCGAAATGGGTGATATCGATGGGTAGCTGTGCGAATGGGGGAGGGTACTACCACTATAGTTACTCGGTGGTAAGGGGGTGCGATCGGGTTGTGCCGGTGGATATATACGTTCCAGGCTGCCCGCCTACGGCTGAGGCGTTGATGTATGGCGTGTTCCAGCTGCATAAGAAGATCAGGCGAACGAAGATAACTAGGATGTGGTACAGGAAGTGAAGAGGGCAACATATACGTCAGCACGGTAGGGTGCAACTCTGATCTACACCTTTTCGTCTATTTCATTTTAACAATTCATGAGCTCAATGCGAGGCTAGCATGTTGTAGTATCTCGGTGACCGGGAGAGAGCCTTGTTTTAACCCAACAGAATTCCCATTCCAACATCTCAAGCCCATTTCTGAGACCATTTAGCCCAGAAATCGGCTTCGGTAAACCAACGAAAGTGTAGTGCAGAGCTGCCCTAGCTGGGAAGGGCTATGAACTCATCATCATCTAACAATCCAGATTGGCATGCCCTCGAAAGCCCTGAAGCTTTCATCATCTGAGACGGCCGGCTCGCGTACCCGTTTCGGAAAGTGGTACGTGCGTTTTCCTCGAATTGGCAAGAGGATGTGGAGAGCGCCGAGACTCTGGATGACCGAACCACTGGAGCTGATCCTAATCAGTTCGACGCGCAACCGTGGTTCAACGCAGCCATAGTTGCATTGCCTTGATCTTCTTAGCTAAGGTAGACATCTAGACGCAAATGTCTAATTTTCACTGTACATACAAATAGTCCGGACACTGGATTGAACTGCCCACGTGTGTTCGATTCAAAGTGTATCTAGTGTAACCTAATGCGCAAGGTTGAGGAAGTCTACTATGTCAAGCGCACCCTTTACTCGGCTAAAATTCAACGCAAGGATGGCTCCAGCATCGCTTGTTTCAACAGCTTCTTGCACCCGTTTTGCTCAATAACGTAATAAGGGTTGACAGGAAAGCCGAATTGTCCCGTTACTCATCATGTCGAGCGTCAAAGAGGTGTGATAATGGCACACAAAAAAAATCACGATCGAAACTGCCTCTCGAGGGAACGCCGTGTTCTCTTCGCTAAAACAGCAAGTGACAAGATACAAGGATAATTAGGCATACAGCTCGTTTGGCACAATCTCGCCGACTTCACCCTCGGAAAGACCGGCATGGCGCCACTGGCTGGTCTCATTCGTCCCCACTGTAATTGGCTGGTCAGAACTGGAGGAAAGCGTGAGGTGACGGTCAACTTACAGTCTCCCCAGTGGATTCCTTCCATGGGGAAATCGCTGAGATTGCTGGTGGAGGCGCAAAGGGCGCGGATGGAGCCGAACATCTGCGGTATGAAGCCCTCGCGCCTGTACGTGTAAGCCCACCAACAGGCGCTGGTCATGGCAAGAAGGAGGGCGCAAGAGCCCCAGACGCCGTCGGGAACGGTTACAATCTGGAGCGGTCAGTCACGGGCACGACAGGGGCGAGGATCGACTTACGTTGTAGCGAGAGTATATGACGAAGCCGTCGTCGACAATCTCCTCCTTGGCGAGGATGGCAAGACCCAGCAGCCAGTGCATGAGGACCGAGTAGACCATGATGGGAAACAGGATCTTCTTGGGGAGCTGCAGGAAATACGACTCGTCGAAGCGCTCGCTCTTGACGATGGTGCAGCGCAGGCGCTGGCGGCCCTTTTCGAACTTGCCCCACTGGTGCTCCATGCAGATGAGGGTGACGTTGTAGATCAACAGCAGGTACAGGCACGAGTAGAGCAGCTGGGCGCCGTTGGAGATGAGGAAGGCGGCAATCTCGCCCCACAGGCTGTCGACGGCCATGGAGGCGAAGGTCTGGGGCGCGGCGAACTGCTCGTTATACGTGGTCCAGCGCACGCACACGGCGTAGGCGTACTGCGAGGTGAAGATGATGGCAATGAAGATGGAGGCGGCCACCATGCCCACCGAGCAGAAGCTCAGCGTCAGCATCTGCGTGAGGGCCGTCTGGCCGAGGTTGGTGATGAGCGACTTCTTGCGCTTGGTTGACAGCGACGGCCACGGCAGGCCCGGGCAGTTGTTGACCGTGTTGTGCTTCTTGCACTTCTGGCAGTGGCCCAGCTCCTCGCCCGTGTCGGACAGCTGGGTGGATTTGCAGTGCTTGTGGCAGGTGTGCGACACGGCACGCCGGTGGAAGTCGCCGCCGTTGACCATCGACTCGCTGGGGATGCGCAGGTCGGCGTCGAAGTTGGAGGCCACCAGGACGTCGCCGAAGGTCAGGCAGTGGGTTTTGATCTGGTGGCGGTTGCGCACGTTGACGGCGACCATGTAGGCGGCTTTGATGGAGATGCAGACGGCGAGGATGATGGCAGCCTGCATGCGCAACACCAGCCGCACATGGTGCCCCTGCCGGTCTCCACCCTCGACCGTCGAGTTGCCGCTGTAGTGGCAAGTGAAGTTGCGTCCGGAACAGCCCCCAAAGTACGTGTAGTTGTTGGAGTAGTCGCCGCTTTCCCACTCGTCCCAGACTTCATCATGCGGCACCGACTGATTGACCAGGTCGCTGCACGCCGACCCCGGCTCGTAGTAGACGGTGATGTCAGTGTAGACCGTCTCTTCGGAATTGGACGCGTCAAAGGGGTTATTTGGGTCCGAGTGGTTGGCGGGACACAGGGAGGCCGAAGTGTAGTAGTTGTCGGCGTACGACGATCCGGGAAGCGCATCCTCCCACATGGTCGGATCGAGTCGCGCTTGGCCCGTCCGCAACGCAGAGTAGCAGTCGAAGCCGCCGAAGCTGTAGCTGGAGTTCGAAGTGGCATTGTCCTCGGGATGGTAGTGGACGTTCAACCTCACTCCGTAGTAGTCTGAGACGCCGATGACCGAGTTTGCCAGAAGATGCACCGGCATGGACGTACAGATCAGCAAAATCCACGCAAGCCAGGCGCGCAGGCGTCCGTCCCGCTTGTGCTTGATCGAGAAGGGCGAATTCGTCCCCACTCGGGCGTCGCCGTACTTGTAGAGGGCGTGCTTCAGGTCGTCGACGGTCAGGGCGGTGAGAAGCTGCTGGTACGTGTTGGACATGCCCAGGATCATGGTTGCCGCGACGTTGATGAGGAACTTGTACGCCTCGGCCTTGCGATCCGAGTCGCTGCCCGAAGAAATCGTCACTGACGTCGAGTTGGGCAGACTCTCCATGTGCTTGGTGAAGTCCTTGGCGTAAACGACGCAAATGACAATCATGACGACGGCGAAGGTGCTCGTGAGCGCAGCCATGCCTCGCAGCGTGCGGTCGACGAGCATGAGCTCGCTCCAAAGGCCGTGGCCTGGTCGCGTGTTCTCTCGCTCATTGCGCGACACATTTTTCGAGATGCCAAACGTGCTTCTGGCGCGGTCGAGGAAAGCTTTGCCTTTTGATTTGAGTGTCCAGTCGCTTGCGGCTGACAATGACGAGATGGACCGCGCTTTTGAGGCGCGGCTCGACCCTCGGTACGGATCGTAGGCGGTGGCGGAGAGAAGGTGTGTGTTGGAGAGGTCCCCAAGCTCCAGCTTGTCGTAGCTTCCCCGGTCGTCGCCGTTGCTGCGTGTTTGCGTTAGCCCGTCGCTAACCATCTGGAACACGAGAACAACACCTTTTGGTAGAATACGCTCCCAGGCTGTAGCGCGACACAGCGCTGGACGGAGATTCCAGCGATTTCCGATGCGACATGGTGGACGGCAGTCCCGCGAGGAGCCACCGATTCTGGAGAGAAATCAAGTTTCTCGGGGCTGGGGAATCCGGAATGAAAGGGACTGTGGCGTGCAGTTCGTAGGATCCATATCCTTCCCGGCCCCCAACCCCCAAAAAGCCGAGACCAACGCGCCGTCTCAGAAGCACAGATTGAATTGCATCTCCCGCTCCGTTCTGGCGAATGATCGGGTGTCGACACCTCAGCGGGCCGACGACCGGCTTCCCCTGCAGCTCACCTTCATATTGCCGCCTGTCGAGCATGACGCCATGGTTGATTTGTCGCCGCCTATTTTTAGTGATCAGCTTAGCTTGTGCCAGGAACAGACCTCCAACTCGCCGATCCCTGTCGGTGTAGGTAGCCACGCTGATCCAGAACACCCAGCGAGAGAGAATATCGACCTCACATAGGTAGCTGAAGCTAATGTCCGGATGCATTTGTTTGATTTTGAAATTAACATCTGCGTCCAGACAATAGCTCCAGCTACTCTCGAATGTAGCCGCCATTTCTTGTCCTGCATGTAGTAGGTGACCACAATGCCCTTGGCCATTTCTTCGTACCTTTGGATCATCTCCTGGTCTTCGATTGCAAACGTGTTAGGTCGTTGTTCCTTTTTAACCTCGGCCTTATCAGATTCCTTAGCCTTGGACTTACCGGGTTGCCACATGTCGAGCTTTGTAAGTGCAACAAGTCTGCTGTTCTCAAGCTACCGAATGGGGTAATAGAGTCAGATAGCTCTGAGAGTCCGTTCTGTAGTGGATTTTGGGTGCCTCGGATGCCGTGGGAATCCATGCCATCTGTTAAAAACGCGCAGTGTACGAGAAAGTGTACGGTTTGTTGACCTCCACGCTTCTTGAAAGTTGCAACGAGGCTGTGAACCCAGCCCGTTTCTTCTGGGAAAGTCTCCAGCCTTGTCAATGGGCAACTGGCTCTCGTTTCCACTAGAATCCCCACAGCAGTGTTCTGAATCCACATCCACCTCAGCAGCACGGCTTTGTTGGCGCGAAAAGGGAGAGCAAACGAGGGCGGATTGGCGTGGAAATGGTGCGGGGAGAGGAGAAGCTTGCAGCATGTCACTTTGTACTTACCAAAAGGGAGAGATTTACCTGGTGCATTACAAGAAACCCTTCGCACCCGGCAACTTCTGGAATCCCGCCTCTAACTCTAGAATGTTCAGGTGAGGCGAGCCCCTATCTAGCAATGAAGCAGTCGCAGCGCTGACTATAGACGTGCCGGTAGACGTCCTAGTAGATCGTGCCGGCCGAGGAGATGGAGCTGAAACCTTCTATTATCTATATGATGACCACAAAAGAAAAGAGGAAAAGAGTAAAAAAATAACTTTCGCCACCGGGAGTACACAAAGAAAATAGAACCTTAAGATTTCAGCTGCTGTCAACCATCCGAAGGCAATCGTTTATCATGATGGAAAATGTGTATTGTTGATATCCTTGTCCTTAAAGGGGACCGGACTGTTAACAACATTACTTGTGTGATATTGTAGTTTTGTAATTGGTAGAGCTGTAAGACGAGTAGATTGTTACTCTGTATTTTAAAAGAAAAAAATTTAGCGAAGAAAACATGTGCTATTTGAAAAAAAAATAAAAAATAGTACTTGCACATGCGCCGATCGGGAATCTGCTGAATTATTAGAATATGCATTTGCAGGAATCGAACTCCGAAACTTACCGAACCCGAATCTAATGCTATCGGGAGTCGTACATTGAAATACGAGGCTGGAAGGCATTAATGCTAACCATTACACCATCGGCGCTTTTTGAAACTGGCGTTTAACACATCATTTAAGTAGTCAAAAATACTGGGCTGTGGCCAGAATTCAGCTGATCCCCACTACGCACCAAACACAATAGCCTGTATCCGAGGTTCGTTTAAGCAGCTCTTACTAGCATAACCAAGCAAAAAGAATGTTTTAGATGAATTGGATTGATTGCTAGATTATCCATCCGCCTAGATAAGTCGTATATTCGTTTCGGCATGCCGGTTTAGTGTTAATGAATGTCTGTGGAACTCGTTCCAGCCTTTAAGCATCAATTCTCTCATGTCCTGGCTCAGGCAAGGGCTGGCGTGCTGGGCCAAAACTGCCCAACCTTCGAAATCCACCAAATCGAACACCTTTACATGGCTGCAAGGGCTTTCAGTACGGTCAAAATGTTCTGCAGCACGCACTCTACCAATGACTTGATTCTTGATCGGCGTGTGGAACCTCTCGCATTGCTTGGAGGAGTGGGGAGTATGGTTGTCGTTGATGTGCCGGTCGCTTCGCGGTGCGCGTTATTCTGTCCACCGCGTGCCGCGCCCGCCTACAGAAATCTACAGGTTTTGATTGCAAGCAGCCAAAATTCCACCTCAACAGCCTTACATGCCCCGACAACTGAACTAATCACTATCTTCCTCATCGTAGTCCACTGTCTTACCTTGTCGAGCCTTTTTCGGGCGGATCATTTCGTACAGGTTGTCCATTTCTTTGGCTAAACCATTGATAGCCGTGATCAATGGGTTCTCCTCCTCCTCCTCGAGAGGTGCATCCTCGTCCAGGCCAAGGGCATCCGTAATGTACTTACGGAACTCTAGACCTCCCTTGGGATCAATCTCAGAGCCGCTGAAAGCGGTTATATGATCCTTAAGAGCAGGTTCCCAGTCCGGGTTCTTGAGAATGTCAGAGATCGGATTGCTAACTTTACCCTTGCAAAGCGAGATGAAGAGCGAGACCAAGTCCACCTCGGACATATTATTCAGCTTAACAATAAGCTGGCCTTTCGACCTCTTTTCATCATCCTCTTCGGCGCCTAACTTCTCGGCGACGAAATCCCGCCACTTCTGCGACACTGTCGGTGACTTCTTAGACTTCGTCTTAAGGACTTGTTTGCTTGCCTTGATGTAGTCGCTCATGATGCGGCGTAGGATTGTTTTCTCTAGCAGGTCCACGTTGACTTCATTTTCACCAAGATTCCTGCTCACGATACAGTGCTTGCCTCCTCGTCCGCGTTGGACTGCAACGCCTGTCACTCCTGCGCCGTTGGCCAGGCCGTTGGCGCAGCCAACGGCGCGGCCGCCGCAGGGCAGCCTGGTAGGCGAACCGACTTCATGATCTCGGCAGCCCCGACAAGGTAAGTATGGGTCGTAGAAG